TATGGTGGGGGTGGGGGTGGGAGGGAAGTGTTGTACAATAATGTGCTTTGTTTGTTTTTAAGTTGTCAGTCCCTCATGATAACCAGCAGGTCTGACATCCCTTGCTTCGAGTGTTCAAGAGCAAGATTCAGTCACTTCAGATGATGGGATGTTCAGGCTGTGAAGATAATAAATCCTGGCTGGCTGCTAGCTGCAATGGCTTGGATGCAAACAGACCCATGCATGAGTGTTGAGAACATCTTCCTGGGGTGTGTGGAGAGCCATGGCAAGAAGTGGGAAGGATACAAAAGGTCAATTGTATGTCCATTTATACACATGCAGAGAGCAGTGGGGGGTTGCAGATGTGGTTACCAGGTACTACTCAAAAGTCCTGGAGCAGAGAAGAGCAGAGATGCGTTTCACATTAGATTGAAATAACCAGCCAAATCTTCAATTGAAGGTTAGTTGTTGAAATACTAACGATTTCCATCGGCCTCAGAAAGAACAGAGCCTCTTCTGGTTAGAGAAATGTCCTGTCAGAGGCACACTGTTTTATTCACAAGGGTGTCTCATGAAAAGAGAATAATCATCCCTGCATGCTGACATAATTAGGATCCTAAGCACCCAAATTGCATTTACGTAGTTAAGGGACTCAGAGACCTACAAGGAAGAAGAAATGTTTTCTGGCCTGAAAATCTGAAATTTTATCTTTAGGAGCACTTTCAAAAGCAGCACCAGGCTTTTATTGGAACATTAACTTTAATCACAAAGGTGGCTATTTTAAATAAAAGTATCAGACCCAGTGAAGTGCTCAGAGAAAGAATACAACCTGGAAGCAAAACTCCACCCATGATAAGGTGTTTTGGAGACAGGGATTTCCCTCCTAAGTTGGGGGTGGGGAGAGGAAACTGTCAGTTTGCATTTCTTAGTGCAGAAAGTATTGATCTGATGTGTAGAGATCTTTCCTATTCTGATTAATTCAAGAAGGTTCTGGGAGCTACTGGAAGCTTCTCTGTATGAAAGAAGCTTCATGATTGTTTGGGTTATACCTTCTGGGAAGCTGGTTTGAACTGGTTCTCTTATCTCTTCTAATTAAGGTCATGCTGACTATAAATATAGACCAGAAGGAGCCTGGGTTTTACTTTCTCTCTTCCTTTTGGTGTGGTATTCTGTACATAGTATGCCTAGTGTTAAGGTTTAGTCTTGCTATAGGTTTATAAGTTTTTGTAAGTGCTGCAACTGGATTTTTATGGACTGTGCCAAGCCTGAATGTACTGGATTAGTGGCCATTATGCTCATCTGCCTTCAGTAGCAAGTAAAGCTCTGCTGCATGAAGTACAATTGCCTCTGGTCTATTTTTTGGGAATCTCTGCTACATGTTTAAGTTTTTCTTCCACACGTATGACAGAAACTACATTTGCCCTGAGGACAAGCACATTAGGGCTCAGAGAGTCCAGTCCCTCCCTAGTATCACCTCACAGTGGGCCTTCTGAAAGGAAAGAGCTTCAGCTCCCATGGACTTGAAAGCAAGCTCTCTTTCCTCAGTTCTCCGTCCCCCACACCTGGCCAACTGCTCCTCCCTCAACCCCTCACCCACCTCACCTGTCCCAACACAGCTTGCCCCACACAATGCACTCCAAGCCCACTTTTAATGGAGGGAGGAAGCTGTTCACGGAATGCTTTGCTCAACTGCTTTGTGAAGCGTCTTCCCACACTGTTCAACTGCTCACCTGTGCCACCTGCCACCTCGTTGTCACACTGCTGTTGGCGTGGCCACCTTGTGAACTGCAGCATGACAACAGCCTGCCATTTTTATGTATATAGGAAGATATCCCACCTTTGCTCCAAGGAACTCAAGGTAGTATACATGGTTCATCCGCTCTCTCACTCTATCCTCACAATACCTGTCCAGACCTTCCATCTGTGTGCCACCTCCTGCCTCTATAGGCCCCCCATAGCTGGAGCAGGCTTTGGGAGAAACAAAGTGCCATTTGTCCCCTTCCCGCCAGTATTTTTCTGGAAGGCTCTCTAAGCATGTTTGCCCCATTCACTCAACTCAATTGGACTCAAAGCCAACTTTAGGTGTGGATGACTATATGTGTGTGTACATTTTTGAACATCTTTGTATTTCGAATTTTTGTTTTCACTCAAAAAAGCAGTTTTTGAAACCAAGGCAAAACACTTTGCAAAGCAACAGCCCAAGAGATCAGAGTATTTTGTACTGTATTTTATACAGTATTTTAGTCAGAAAAGAAAACTAATGCAAGAGTGCCCCCTTCCTGTAAAAAAAGAAAATATTCCAGTATAATTCAGAATCTCATAATCAACCCAGAACAGAAGGGGTGAGGTTTTTTTTGTTTTTTAAAAACCATTTCTTCTTCTTCTTCTCCTTCTTCTTCTTCTTCTTCTTTTATTATTATTATTATTATTATTATTATTATTATTATCATCATCATCATCAACTCCCTTGGTAGCTCATTAGTTCAATGAATGTAAGCACCACAATTAAGATCTCTATCTATAGCACAATCACATATAAGTTTTGGGGTTGTATCCAAAGTAACAGTCAATCAGTGCAAGGATTGTGCAGTGACGGGCTGTCCTTCTCCCACCTCGTAGAAAAGCCGTGCTCCCTTTCACAAGCCTCAAGGAGCGTGTGTGGCTCTTGGGGGCTTTTCCCCAAGGAGGGAGAAGGGCAGTCCCTTCTCCCTCCTCGGGGAAAAGCCTGCAAGCGCCGCACACACGCTCCACGCGGCTCATGAAAGGGAGCGCTGAGCAGAGCCTGGGATGCACACAGGCTCTGCTCAGCGCTCCCTTTAAAGAATTTTGTTTTTCTTGCATTCCCCCTCTAAAAACTAGGTGCGTCTTATGGTCAGGTGCGAAAAATACGGTATATGATAACAGCCTTTTTCAACCTTGGGTTCCTAGATATTGTTGGACAACTCCCATCATTCCTAGCCAGCATGGTCAGTGCTTGGGGATGGGAGTTGTAGTTCAAAAACATCTGGGGCCCCACACTTGCATTAGAAGAGGCTGTGGCAGGAGTTGATAAAAAGATGGAGGAACACAGGATTGGGACAAGTGGTACAGACATCATCCTGAATTAACCTCTGCCATCAAGAGAAATGAGGGAACTCCTACATTTAGGAGCAGACCCACCTAGAATTGCACTAATAGGCCAGCTCCATTTTAAATGAACTGTTTATAATTTGCAATTCTGCGACTGCAATAATACTTTTTATAATGGGATTGCACGCTGTGGCTTAAGCTTTGGAAACAGTTTTAATTTTAAGTGAAATCTCAGAGGAAGTATGCACTCTGAAAGCTCAGAGGAAGTATGCACTCTGAAACTGGTTCCCGGTGAGGAGATCCTATGCCATCATGGTGCCGGAAAAAAATTAAGTATACCTAATTTTTTGTTTATACAGTGGTACCTCGGGTTACATACACTTCAGGTTACATACACTTCAGGTTACAGACTCCACTAACCCAGAAATAGTACCTCGGGTTAAGAACTTTGTTTCAGGATGAGAACAGAAATCGTGCTCCGGCGGCCCGGCGGCAGCAGGAGGCCCCATTAGCTAAAGTGGTGCTTCAGGTTAAGAACAGTTTCAGGTTAAGAACAGACCTCCAGAACAAATTAAGTTCTTAACCCGAGGTACCACTGTACTTTCTCTAAGGAAAGTAATATAAAAGGTAAAGGTAAAGGTACCCCTGCCCACACGGGCCAGTCGTGTCCGACTCTGGGGTTGCACGCCCATCTCGCTTAAGAGGCCGGGGGCCAGCGCTGTCCGGAGACACTTCCGGGTCACGTGGCCAGCGTGACGAAGCTGCTCTGGCAAGCCAGCACCAGCGCAGCACACGGAAACGCCGTTTACCTTCCCGCTATAAAGCGATACCTATTTATCTACTTGTACTTAAGGGTGCTTTCGAACTGCTAGGTGGGCAGGAGCTGGGACCGAAAGACGGGAGCTCATCCTGCCGCAGGGATTCGAACCGCCGACCATGCGATCGGCAAGCTCTAGGCACTGAGGTTTTACCCACAGCACCACCCGCGTCCCAAGGAAAGTAATATATGGATCCCTAAAAACTACTCCAATTATGAAGAGAACTATACATGCCACTTTGATTGAGCTCCTTGGAGGAAAGGTAGGATAAAAATGAAATAAATAAATGACAAACAAGAGAGCTTTATAAGATTAGCCAGCAGTTAAAAAAACCACTGTTTCCACTAATCATTCCAAAATGGTAGGTTTTCAAAACAAAAATCTTAACTCTTCTTTATTTTATATTTATAAAAATATTTCTATACTGCTGTATTGTAAAAATGTACCACAGTGGTTTACAACATAAAAACATAAAACCAAACAGCATCACAGAAAAATTAAAGTTAAAAGCAGTAAGAAATTAAAAACAAACATCAATAGACCATCCTGGGGGGCGGGGTGTTCTCTTGCTTGCCTGCATAGGCCTGGCAGAATAGAAAAACTTTCAGCAAGTGTTTAAAAGCTGGCACAGAAGGCTCCCAGTAAAACTCTATATTAAGAAAGGAATAAAGTGTCCTCTTCTTTTTGTCCTTCAAGTTCTTTTCTCCTTTAGACAAATGATACAGCTGTTGGTCCTGTTGCATTGCTTAGAAGCATTTCCCACATTCCCCATATTAGAGTTGTGGGTTTCCTATTGACATTAAGCACTGAAAAATACAAATGTATTCACAAAACATGCAGCCACTCACTTAGATGACTTTAAAGAAAAAGTACAGCAATTATTAGAGGACAGGATTAGCAACAGCTATGAGCCATGCTAGCAAGATAAAAGATCCAGTTTCAGAGGCAGCATATTTCCTGTTTATTCCCAGCATCTGGGAATGAAGTATCTGCTACCCTCATGTCCTGCATGGGCATTTGTGAAACAGAATGCAGGATCAGGCAGGTTTTTGGCTTGATCACAGTATTGTGATAACACAATGAACAGAAAATGTCACAGTGGCAAATGAAGAAAGTTGCACCACAGACACATCTGGCTTTGAAAATTTATTAAAAATCAAAGAATACAAAACTTCACATAAAAATATGTATTTTAGCTTCCCACATTGTTATACACACAAAAAGAAACTGAACATGATACTTTAATTAGCTATCCACAGCAGCATATAATATAACCAGAGTGGTAGCCAGTGCAATTTATTGGTTCACCATGACTGAAATGGAACATGATATCTGCTTCTCTTAAGCCTATTCTGCTTTTAAATGGACTCTGTTTAGGACACAGAGGTTTCCATAACATAGGTTCATATTCAATATTGCTAGCATGTAAAAGTGAGTACAGGTCTATAATCAGCCCTTGAATACTGGTTTATTCAAGTTTAGATCCCTTATTGTACCAGCATCTATTAAAAACCTTTCACAAGGTTTAAAAAACAGTCAAAGCAAAGATACACATCCAATATCAAAGCAGGACTGAGATTTTTGGCAATTCAAAATCCAATTGCTGTTTACATCAGTTGTAAAATTATCATTCATCTGGAGCAGTATATACACCAGGACTGGGATCCTACAATTCTGCATGAGAAAAGGGGCACACAAACAACCTTCCCTTCTTTCTGCAACCCCTTGCACTGCATTAGATGCTGCTCTGAAGAGCTCCTCAAGTTCCAAGAGAAGCTTTTCATGAGGTCTGAGAGGCATTGTGAGACAGAAAAACCTTTTGTGTATGTGGAGACCTTGGCAACAATGTTCAAGAATTATTCTGAGAAAACTTAGTATCTTACAACCTATGACCGACTAGGAGAGACACTGATTGTTTACTTCTGGCTGCAGGCTGCCCAACTGCCAGTGTGCATTTGCAAAGCCTCTGCCTTAATCACATTTGCCTGATGAAGAGGTTTTATACTCATAAACGTGACATACCTTTCCCGAGAGATGCTGGTACAGTAAGTCATATACATTTTATGCCCATGAGAGTATCAAAACAGCAGCTACAACCAATACCAATATGAATATTCATTAATAATAGGTAAATAATATTTAAAGTTTTATTTCTTGTTAAACTCTGAACTGCAGACAAAATGTGCTACTCTACTTTGGAATGTTGCGCTCTCTTCTCTCACTACCCAAAGGCCTTGCATTAATTCGGACAACGTTTTCTTTAATATGTGCTGCACCACCTTTCAAGGCAAGCCTACAGATACTAAAGCTCACTATTAGAAAAATCATTCTGTGTCAAACATTCAAATATCAGTTAAGAACATTCACTTCTGTATATCCTTCAGATGTCAAGATAGCAGAATTCTTTCTAAGCTCCTCCTCTAAGCAGAGCTACTTATACAGTGCTGTTGAGATTTAAGACTTCTTATCTTTAAAACAAGGAAAAGATGCAGCCAGTGACAATGAGAATATAGTGCTTTTTTAAAAACCCAGGGCTACACAAGATGTGTTTTCTTGCTTTAAAAAAGGTTAACAGAGGTTGCCATGGCAATGCACACTTGCATAGAACCCCTGTATGCATCTTTAAATCAAGTGACTGCCACAGACGATCGTGTCGCACGGGACTGTGCTCTTTTACAAGTTAACAGACTGATACTTTAAAAGCATAGAGAAGCCCAAAGGTACATTGCAGGTAGTTGCTTTTAACAGAACTAATGCACGCTGCTAATCAGATTCCTTAATGGAATCAATATATGTTCCTTTCTCCACATTCTTTAAGTTGGATATTTCATTCAGCAACAATGCTTGGAGCCAACCAGAGGGTAAATAAAACTAATTAAAAGCATTTGTAGATGAACATCTGGGACTTATTCACCTTTACCCTAAAAGACTGGAATTCTTTATGCTGATCTCTGCCCAGTTTTAAGGAATCAATTGAAGGTCCAAATTATCTTGCGTGATCCACATTGAAACAAGTATGACCTGTGCAAGAGCACTAGATTGTGCCCTCCCCATTAGCTAGAGTTAACGTAGTGAACCCCAACTTAAAAAATGCAGTCTGGGAAAGGATCTGTAAAGCAAGCAAATAATAAAATTACATTCTGTACACCCTTCATTCCTTAAATATAACTTAAATGAAAAACATTCAGAGTTATTGCACAAAAGTTATGTTTGATTTGAGTATGGTAACAAAAAGTTTAAACAAGAAATGGGAAGGCAACAAGCAAAGTCACAAAAATTGGCTACAAAGGAAAGGAAAGTCCAAACCATCTATACTCTTCTGACAAAACAAAAAAGCTATAATGAACAAATGCAGCTACAGCAGAAGGTGCCACCGCATTTATGGTCCTCACAGTACTTCTGCTACAGCTGCTTCGGCACTGTAGTAATCATGGATAGGCAGAAGACAAACTTCCACATTTAATAAGGCTTCACAGATAAGCACAATTATTTCTTTTAAGATGGACTCCACCACCACACAAAGAAACATGCAAGGTTGGATGCAGATATTTGGCAACATCCACAAACTGAAATGCCCAGTGCTGTTCTCAAGTCCAGACTAGTGTCACACATACTGCGTAAGTCTTAAGTGGACACTCTGAGGTTGGCCATTATCTGCTAAGGCTAATAGGCAAACTGTCTCTGTATTTCTTTCTTCTCCAGATATTACGGTTATGTTGGTGGTGCCCTCGGTTGCTAACAGGCTGCCTCATGGCTCCATTACCAGAAGAACTGTATCCGCTGCCTTGAGTATGATTGTGAGCTGCTTTGACCGTCAGCTTCATTCCATTGTGCTGCTGGAAACAAGAGGAAGTGGTCACAATTAGTGCCAGCTAAATTGCAAATTTACCAAATTCTTTTACTAAGTTTTGTCTCCTAGCAATTCACCAAGGCCAGACTCATACAGCTGTTTCCACATGTGTGACCGGAAGAGATGCAAACTGCATTCAAACAGTAAGATATAAGCAAAATGCTTCAAGAAAATCCATTTTAGAATAGTATTGCAAGCCAACTGACTTTCTGCTCCACCATCACCACTATCCAATGGGACAACTTCCATCATATAGTCCATACCTGATTATTAGTAGTCATAATCAATGTTCTTGCAGGCACAGACTGAGTTTTACCACTTGGCACAGGCAATGCTGGTGGTAAACCAACTGTAAGCTGAGATGGTGCTTGGAGATTGAAGTGGTACACATTAGGAGTTGTGCAAGGTGGAGTATCTGAATCCTTGTGACAAAGAAAAGGGGGGAATAGGTTTGTTGTTCTTTTAATATGAAAGGAGCACATGCTTACTACTCATTTAAGCACCCACACAAGCAAATACCAATAGCACTGTAAGCACCAGAAGATGATAAATATGTCAGGAAGCTGATACTTAGTCCTCTTAAGATGTGGTTTTCACCAAGAATGGTGTAGAAATGTCCTGTACTAGTTTGTAATGCCACTGGAGATCAAGGAAGCCTTTGTAAGAAAGGCAATCATGTTTGGGGAAAGATCCAAAGGGGATTCAGGAACTGTGGACTTTCCCCCAGGACATGACACCATACGTATATCTACATATACTATACACCCTGTATGTTCTGGGACTTAAATAAGCAATTCCTGAGATTGCCTGATCACTATTATTTATTATTTATTGCATTTCTGTCCCACCTCTTTCTCTAAGGAGCTCAAGGTGGCCTACATGGTTCTCCCCCTCCTCCTTTAATCCCCACAACAACCCAGAGAGGTAGGTGAGGCTGAGAGACTGCGACTGGCCGAGGGTCACCTAGTGATCTTCATGGCCGAGTAGGGTTTTGAACCCTGGTTTCCCAAGTTCTAGCATGACATTCTAACTGCTACACCACAGGTTTTACATGGCAAGTGTAAAACCTGCCATGCTCTGTCCATACTAATGAGGATGATATAGTTGTATAGGCAAGAAAGGTGCAATTCACATGAGCAACAACTTTTCTTTGTCTTATAACCTTTTTTAAATCTGTTATTTCATGTGCTTTAATACATTTACCTATTTAAATTCAATGGTGTTGTTCAGGACTTGGGAAACATTTTAAAGTTAAGAAGCATTTTAAGACACCAAATACATAAAATACAGGGCTAAAATGGCTGCAACAGAAAGGAAGCAAGGTTTTTAAGAATTGGTGCTATAATGCTCTTTCATTTAAGTGCTTCTATGTGGTTTTCTTTTTAAAAAACTATAAAATTATTTTCTCTCTTATTAAAAGATTAATTTAACATTAAATGTCATTATGACAGTTAAGGTGACATAGGCATTTTATCTTTCTGAAAATACAGCATGATAAATCATCAAGTTTTAGAGAACAGCAATGTACCGTATTTTTCGCTCTATAAGACGCACCAGACCACAAGACACACCTAGTTTTTGGAGGAGGAAAACAAGGAAGAAAAAAAAATTCTCAGAAGCCAGAACAGCAAGAGGGATCGCTATGCAGTGAAAGCAGCAATTCCTCTTGCTGTTCTGGCTTCTGTGATAGGTGCGCAGCCTGCATTCACTCCATAAGACGCACACACATTTCCCCTTACTTTTTAGGAGGGAAAAAGTGAGTCTTATAGAGCAAAAAATACGGTAACTGGAAAAGTTTCAAGCTCAGTTAGTTTCAACAAAATTTACGGAAGTCCTATTGCAATCTTACACAGATATACCAAATTACAGTCAGAAAAAAAGGAATAAACAAATAGAAAACAGCTTCAAGGGGGGAGGAATGGGACTTACAATATCACTGCCAGAAAGAGAAGAAACGGAAGAGGCAGATGAGCCTGATGACAGCTGCTGAGTACCAGTAAATGACAAAGCCAAAGGCTGGCTGTATGCCGATTCAGCATCACCATTCTGGACTACATTACATGCAGATATTGGTTCTCTCCCTTTCATTGGAATACCTGTAAGCATACACATTTATCAGTTTTGTTTGCAAATAAATCACCTTTCACAGTCCCTTGCTGTAAACAAGCGATATTATGCAATTATCAGATTTACTGCAGGGTTTAGCCATGACCCACATGCTCACTTCAGATATCACATCAAACCAAGAGGTGGTTGAAATTAATTGAAATTTTGATGTGAGTTTTTACTTTAAATCCTTTACTCACCAAGATCAGGTGACAAATTAGCTTTGCTTCCCCATTTCTTCTTAATCCAAGCTCTGTAGTCAATCACTTCCTGTGTCACTTTGATGATTCTTCCTAAGGTACTGGAAGAAACAGTGACCTACATAAGAAATCTACACTGATTTACGGATAGAAGTTTGCAATCAAGAGCCCTTGTAGATAAAGGCTTGCATACACACAATCTTGCTTCATTTTGACAAAGAAAGTTTTAAACAGCTTGTCATGCAGAATGGAGGAAAGACAGCGAGAGGAGGAAGGGGGAAGGGAGAAAGAAACAAGTTTCACAGTTACATTAAGCTAGTCATGCATTTCAGGATACAGTACTGTATGCTGACATCTCCAGTTATGAAGCCATTTAAGAAGACCAATAGTGCAAAGTTGGATTTTCAGAAGCCATGCAATTAACACACTCAAATTGGTTACCTTTCCGAATCTCTGTTGGGATACGATCTCGCAAGTGGTGATACTGCATGGCTTAGAACAATGTAGGCATAATCAAAAACTTGCTTTACTTGCATGGCACCATAACAACTTCTTCCAACATCGTTGCCTATAACGGTTAAATTAAAAATTTAAATAATGTTGACCTACAAGACCTGTTCATCATTTTTAAAGCTGGATAGTAATGGACACTTCTGATTCCATGTTGTCCTTGGAATGCCCATACATTTACCCCTTAAAATCTTGAAACAAGCAGTGATTCTTGGAGAGGTTCTTAGTCCTTATACACAAACCGCTTTCTGCACATATTGTGATCCATACTTCACCCAGGTATCCGATCTGCTATCGGACAGACTGTTCTGGTGACCAATGCACACACACTGTTATAAATTATTGCATTTTCCATATATTTTAAAACAGTCCGTTTTCCAGCCTCAATAAGAAATTCCATTCACATCGCTTTTCAGTTGGAAGCTCAGGGTTACAAAGTGATAGGGCGGATCTACACTCATGGTTTGTAACGTTAAGGAAGGGTTACGGAATGGTTATCGTAACATATTTAGACATACAGCAGTACCTCGGGTCAAGAACTTAATTCGTTCCGGAGGTCTGTTCTTAACCTGAAACTGTTCTTAACCTGAAGCACAACTTTAGCTAACCGCTGCATGATTTCTGTTTTCATCCTGAAGCAAATTTCTTAACCTGAGGTAATATTTCTGGGTTAGCGGAGTCTGTAACCTGAAGCGTATGTAACCCGAGGTACCACTGTACAGACCCTTCAGGTTACAGACTCCGCTGACCTGGAAATAGTATCTCGGGTTAAGAACTTTGCTTCAGACTGAGAACAGAAAACGTGCAGCGGTGGCGCAGCAGCAGTTTGAGGCTCTATTAGCTCCATGGTACCTCAGGTTAAGAACAGTTTCAGGTTAGGAATGGACCTCCAGAATGAATTAAGTTCTTAACCCAAGGTACCACTGTATTACGTTTTGATTGTAATATTAATAATGTGTTATTAAAATGTGACACCAGAGTGCGGTGCAGAGCAACAAGGAACCAGCAGTAAGGGAAATTGCATTGTTACGCAAGAATATTAAGGTAGGAAACTTCCAGTCATAGTCTACACTGCAGATCAAACTTGTGTGTCATTTACAAGGCTCATGCTACATTCATGCCTAGCAGCAACTGAAGGTGAAAGTGGTCAAATTAGGAGAACACTCAATTTGCTCAGCAGAGGATTATTGCATTTTCAAATCTTGAGGACCCTAACTCCTTCCCTATTATTGTGGGATGCTTCACAAAACTTAGTATGCAGTGTTTAGGTCCATAATTTTGCCCCAGAAAAGTCAAATGCAACAGGATGAAAAGGAAAGAATATAAAAACTGATTTACTAAGCCCTTATATGGAAATTCTTGCAGCCATGGATACAGAAAATAGGGAAATTCTGGTCTCAGGCGTCTTAAAAAAAAAGCAGCACCATTTAAAACATTAAAAATATACTACATTCTACTACTAATCTCTATGTATTATATGATAGTAAAAACAGTGGGGTAAGAAAACACACACAAAATTGATGGCGGAAAGAAATCACAAGATCAAGGCAAGGTTAAGGGCTTATTTCTGAATGATTATTTAAAACAAGTAACAGGAGCACCCATTTGAAGGATTTCCTCGGATAACCTTTAAACTCTGTGTTAAATCTGCATTCTTAATGGAAAAATATGAAGCAGCTTGCTATCTCACCAGGCAGAAGAGGATCTTCAATACATAACATGGAAGGTCGATACCCATTGGTCATGGCTTTCATGATTTCTTCTTTGGCAATATAGGCGCCTCCATTTTTTATTCTAATACCAGTTTTCAAGTAATTAAAATTCCTTCCATAGAGTTCAAAAAATTCTATTAGAAGCATTCCAAGATTTTCCTCCAGTCTTCTAGCATCAATTCTTGGGTGCAACTACAAGAAGAAAAATAGCAGTTTTATTATGCTGGTGTATGTGATCATTTATACTTCTGTCATCTTTATGGTGAACCATTTAAAGTTGGAAATGAGCATTAACTATCAACAACCAAAAATAACCTCAACTTCTTTAATATCAGATAGGCTTCTCTCACTTTAAGATTTTAGGAGATAGACTTTCAAAGAATTGTATGCTACAAGAAGGTATCATAACTAGTCCAGTTCAAATTAATTACGCACATTTATTCATAAGAAGGGATGCAGGTGGCGCTGTGGTCTAAACCACAGAGCCTAGGGCTTGCCGATCAGAAGGCTGGCAGTTCGAATCCCCGCAACGGGGTGAGCTCCAGTTGCTCGGTCCCTGCTCCTGCCAACCTAGCAGTTCGAAAGCACATAAAAGTGCAAGTATATAAATAGGTACCGCTTCAGCGGGAAGGTAGACGGCGTTTCTGTACGCTGCTCTGGTTCGCCAGAAGTGGCTTAGTCATGCTGGCCACATGAGCCGGAAGCTGTACCTGGCTCCCTCAGCCAGTTAAGTGCAACCCTAGAATCATTCGTGACTGGACCTAACGGTCAGGCGTCCCTTTATCTTTTATTCATAAGAAACATGCCATGTGAAATACAAACCATTCAATTACTGCTATTTGAAAAGTTATGCAGTATGAGGCAGCACTGAAAAATGATTACACAACTACATGAACTGTATCCTTAACCCCAGGATAGCCCAAACAGCGTCCTCCAGCTATTGTTAGATTCCTGCTCCCATCATCCCTGACCACTAGCCATGCTGGCTGGGGCTAATGTGAGTCAACATTTGCACCATACACACAAAATCTGTGGAGGAGTGAAAGTTTACAGCGGAACAGCATCATGTTTCTCAGCCCACTTTACACAAAGATTCTACTGTCTTTATCCCATAGCCTTTTGTTGCTTTTTGGACAGAACTCTTGCAGGAATTACACACTAATAAAGTAAAATCTACAGCCAATACAAAAGGTTTTGAAGCGAAAAAATCATATAAAGGTAAATAAACATTAATTGCTAACCAAAAATTTGTAAAGAATTCTTCAAGACTGACAGTACCAAATCACATACCTGTAGGAAGCTAACTGCCATTAAAATTAGGCTGTAAGAGCTAATTCCACCAGTAAAAACTTCATTCAAATCCCTTTGAAGGAGGAACTGTTTTAATACTAAAATCAAGTAAGGCAGCAATGAGTATTTCTGCAAATGAAAAGAACAGTTAATTTTCTGTGAGACAAGTTCTAGGTGATACGTTTATCATTATTTACTATAAAATACAAAAGATTTCTACAAAAAAAAACCCCCAAAAGAATAATGGGAGTAAAAAGCCTTTATACATTCTTGTGAATGAGCTAACGTATTTTCCTTAAATTCATATTTATTACCTACAAAAATATAAGTGTCACAAAGTAAGACATCAAGAACTGCTGTTAACACCAAAAATACAAAATTTGACAGTTAGCAAGAAAGTTGCACTTGTTAAGGGATGTGAAAGGATATATTAAAAAAATTGAACTATGTATTTATACTAAGCACATCCACCAAACCTTAAAAAGTATTCAGAGATTAGTGTTTTTTAAAATTAATATTCCATCTTACAGGGAATCAGAAAAATCAAGACAGACCTTTGTGATGGTACATGCAGTGAACAAGTGATTCACCTGATTGTATCCATACAAAATCATTCAAGGGCAACAAACTTCTGTAAATATGTACTAGTTTATTCAGCCAATATTCCCGAGCCTAGTGGGTAATCTGAAGGCACCTGAGCCAGAGTAGGTGAAACCCAAGGGTCCACTGGGAGCCCCATAGGACAGCAGGATATAGATAGAACTTTTTTTTTTTTACATTAAAAAACCAGATTACTAATTTGTTTCATCCCAAAGAAAAATGCTGTATGAACTTGCCATTTTTTCAGAACAGCAGTAGAAAGTTCACAGAGTACTTACACTGTATAGTTCATTCATTGTTCTCTGTATCAGGGGCTCAAGGTTTGAGTGAATATGTAGTGCCAACTCTTGATATGCTTACCTCCAAATTATGAACTGGCACTGATAAAACTGTTCACTTGAAGATAACCCATAAGAATATAATTAAGAAATATGCCTCCAGCAGTAAATGCAAGGTGCAGGTTCAAAATTTATTCTGTCCTGAAGTGCACAGAAAGCCTTTGTTAAATGACTGCAGTTTAGCCTATCTACTTCACAGGGCAGTAGAGAATAAAACTGAATGCCTCTATGTATAAGCCCAGAGCTTCTTGGAGGAGAAAATAACAGAACTGAATGGGATGGCACTATACAGATATTGCCCAGTTGTGGAAGGAAGCCTCAGGAAGAACTAGTGGGCTAAGAGGATTGGGATGTGTAATTAGGCCTGAATGAGGTCAACTGCTCTCAAGAAATCACCTGGGTGGAGGACTTGGCTATTTTTTCAGTCCAAAATTATCCATTTTATTGACCAGAGATTTTCAGGAAGTCCAATCACCTTTTTCCGGTGGGCGGCATTGCAGTTGTAGCCTTCGCCAACCTCTCCTCAGTAAAGGTATGCTAAAGGGATCCAGGGTGTGAATCCTGTCCAAAGCAGGACGGGGGCTCGGGCCATGTCACAGCCCCTACGGGGACCCCTCGGGGTGCCCCTCTCTGATGTAAGTCATAGCACACCTCCTATTAGTGGTTTATCCTTAAGGGGACTCCCTGCAGACGGGCAGGAGTCAAGGTAGTCTGTAACCAATAAAGTTGTGGCCTATTTGAACCCATAAACCAAAATACTTTTTGTCAGCGTGTTTTATTGTTCTCCTGGAACTTTGTGGCTCAGGTGCCTCGGCACGCAACTTGAGGTCCAGTAGTAGTTGCAAAAAAGTTATTTTATTTTTGCACCATGAAACAAGAGAAAATACCAAACAATATTTTGGACAACTAATCTGGTTCTATGATTGCTGGGTATGGCAGGTGCTTGATGTTGACCAAGATTCAGTATGTCTGGATTTCAGACAAGGGAGAGAAGAGGAACCTGCCCCTAGTAATGGCACTCAGTTTGAAAGAGAAGGTGATAAATTGTTTCCAGCATCCACCAATCCAGTTATAGAATCTCAGAGGGCCTGGAATGTCCGCGGTCACCTTACTCCTAGTGCAATAGGCGTGGCATCTTGAACAAAGTCTGATGAAGAGCTGTCACCCTCTCCATAAAAAGACATGGTGGAAAGCTCAGTCTTTATGTCCCAATGCTTGAATGAAAAGCTCCTGCAGACAACAACCTGAGGCTATAGCTCTGCCACAGATTAGCAGGCAATCCATATAGAAGCCTGCCATAAACTGTGTCATTTTTCTCCATGTGTTAGATGTTCCCTAGGATGCTTGGAACTTCAGAGGACTGCCCATGCCTACAATGTAAAAGCTTTTGTCAGGATGGATTTGGCAGCAACTGCTTTGAGGGAAAGCAATGAAGTCTTGTGCATTCTGCACAATGCTACTTCATTATTTCTAGGGAGCACATGCTTATAATGGGAGTCACAGAGTTGAGGAGAAGTGCAACCAAGAGGTGAACTTTAATGAGCCCATGATGGGTGGAGGCAGGGTGTAAAATGGTTTAATTGTGTACTCTGAGCCTGGCTGGATTGTTCTGCTTTGAATGACATAGTTAAAAAATGCTGGTAACCATATGAATTGTTGCATTTCGAAAAGCAATAGAAATATCAGGGAATATCAAAATTTGTTTATCTTCTATTGACTGTACCTTCATGTAGTCTTGGATAAGTTGAGCTGCCTTCACACCAGTTTCCATATTAAAACTAATGTCAACTTTCACTTCTGTTTCCTGGTCAGTAAGCTTTATTATTGGTACCTGTAAAGATATTCAAACCAGTCATTCAACCAACTCCAACAAGTAGACCAACAGTTTTTATTTTAAATTAAAATATCCAAGCATGACTTACAAGGACAGTTTAACTTTGCATCAATGCAGATGATGTGTAGTGAATAAAATTAATTTCACAATGATCTAGAGAAGTCTTGCAAAGAACTGCTTTGAGGTTAGCTACCCAGTATCTGTTCAACCCATAAGCACTGCTTCTTTTACCATGCCAATGTTGCTACTGTCAACATAAAGGTAAAGCGACCCCTGACCATTAGGTCCAGTCGTGACCGACTCTGGGGTTGCGGTGCTCATCTCACTTTATTGGCCGAGGGAGCCGGCGTACAGCTTCCGGGTCATGTGGCCAGCATGATTAAGCCGCTTCTGGCGAACCAGAGCAGCGCATGGAAACGCCGTTTACCTTCCCGCCGGAGCGGTACCTATTTATCTACTTGCACTTTGACGTGCTTTCGAACTGCTAGGTTGGCAGGAGCAGGGACCGAGCAACGGGAGCTCACCCCGTAGCGGGGATTCGAACCGCAGAACTTCTGATCGGCAAGTCCTAGGCTCTGTGGTTTAACCCACAGCACCACCCACGTCCCTACTGTCAACACATGCTCCTGCTAACTCAAGTTCTTCTTTTGACACTGAACTGGCACCAACATATGCAGCCTTTATGGCACTTTAAAGGAGCTTCAGCATCCTTTGCAAAGTGTTACCATCAGAACAGTACACTTGTGCAGATTCAGGTGCTCACCTTGGGATGGAGATTTAAATTGTATTTATTTAATAGTTGTAAGGAAGCAGTTTTGAACAGTGTTTCTGCTCTGTTTAGGCTGGTGAGCTCATTCTTTGAGAAGGGAGACCTAGTCATGATCACATATTAAGATCATGATTAACACGCGCAACATGGGGCTGCCTTAAAAAAAGTAACTGGAAATTTCAGCTGGCCAAAGAAATGCAGCAGCTAGATCTCTAATCAATAATCAATCAGAGTTCCATAATTTTCTTTTGTCCTTCTCTCTCTCAAACTTTTTCCCCTTTTGTGTTAAGTCTTTTTAATTAGATTATAAGCCTGAGAGCAGGGACTGCCTTAGTACTGATATTTGTATGCTGTTCTCATAGCCTTTTTTTGCTGAAGAAAGGGATAAAAATACTTCAAATAAATCAGTCCCAGTTTTGTAAACCATGCAACACCAGCACAATTCAATTTGTATTGGCTTCCAGTTCATTTCCGAGCCCAATTCAAAGTGCTGGTTGTTGTTTTTAAAGCTCTAAGCTTTAAGAACCATCACTTAGTGTATGAATATGTCTATTTAACTCAAAGTTTTGGGGAGGCATTGTTTTGTGTCCCACCACCAGATACAGTTGGTAGGTATTTGGTAGAGCTATCTCTGCTGGGTCACCCTGACCTGAGTGATCAGACTGGTCGTTTCCCACATAGTCTTCAAATGTCAAGTTTTTATTCTAGCAGGAAAATGGGTTGGCTTGCCCCTGAAACTTGCTGCTAAATATTATGCTTCAGTCTTGTATTTTTATTTAGGTTATTTATTTTTGTATATTTTTTCTTGCAAGTCACTTTGCTACTTTTTTTAAAGTGATGAACAACTTTAACAAAAAATAAATATGATGCTGATTCCCTACTGTGTTATTTGGCCCAGTTTGCATGTAATGCTGAGTCAAAACATGGCTTAGCACTGTGAGCATGTTGCCAGGAAGGAGACTGCATTTGCTGTATTCCTGCTTTGGTCCAAGGCTAAGTCATGGCTTGGCTCTGTGTTGTGTCCCCCAAACAAACTATAAGAAGTAATCAAAGTTGGTTTCAGTTTATGGTCTCTCTAGAGCAGGAGTCCTCAAACTTTTTAAACAGGGGGCTGATTCAGTGTCCCTCAGACACTGTCGGGAGCCAGATTATAGTTTGAAAAAAATATGAACAAATTCCTATGCACACCGCACCTATTTTATTAGTAGTGCACAAAAAACAAGAAAAACAATACAATCTGGGGTGGGGTTGTTGTTTTTTACAGAGGCAAGAAAGAACACAAAAGAATTGCAACCAGCACCACACAGGCCGGCCTCCTACCGCTGTTTCCAAAAGTCCTGCTATCCACCCTATGGAGTTATGGAAAGGTTGGAGGGGAAAGAGGAGGCCACTTGCGCCTGAGAGGAAAGTTTGCTGTGGCAAGATTGGGGGCAGGGGGAGACGACCAGGAAGAACAGAAATGAGATGCGGGGTGTGGGAGAGAAAGGCAAGAACGGAAGACCTGTGGTTATTTTAAAAAAAACAAAAACAGAAAGCATGAAGGGGGGTCAGGCAGCAAAAGGAAAGAGGAGGTATGCTGCCCCTTTCCTTGCCATCTCCTCTCCTCTTCCTCATTCTCCTCCCTCCGTGACCACCACCAGCACCAGAGCCTGGTAGAGCAGCCTCCGACCCTCCCCGCCGGCTCAGGCCATCATCACCTGTCAGGGACCAGAGCAAGCTAGGAAGCAAGCACGGGAAGCGTCTGACCATTCCCCCCCCCCCCGCTCCTTGGACGAGGAAGGAAGGGAGGGAGGGAGGGAGGGAGGGAGGGAGGGAGGAGAAAAGGCAGCTCTGGTCTTCCCAGTTCTTTCACCCACTCAGCAGTTCCTGCTGCTGCTGCTGCTGCTGGCGGCGGCCCCAGCCCTCCTCGGAACTGGCAGCTGATGGGGCTGGGTGTAGTTGTGTGTGGGGAGTGGGGTGGGAGCTGGAAAGGAGGAGCGGTTCTTTCCTCCGTACCTCAGTCTCTGATTCTCCCAAAGGCACCATTCCGGGGACTCCCGCTCAGCTCTGGCAGCTCATTGTCACCTCTTGGCAGCCTGGCCCCATCCCTCCTCCTCCTCCTCCTCCCTCCCTGGTGATCTTGGCGGTGCAGAGAAGCCAGAAGGAGGGAGGGAGGAGGAAAGTAATCCGCCGGCACCAATGAGAGGGAAACAATGCTGTTGGCACCAATCAAAGTCCAGCCCCTTTCCTCCACAGGGCGGGGAGAAGTCAGGAGGAGAGAGGAGGAGGTGCTACCGCCACCGTGTGAGGGAGAGGGAAAGAATGCGCACGCTGGTGCAGCCAAACAAGCAGATCCACGCTGCAGGCCGGGTTTAGAAGGCTATTGGGCCGGATCCGGCCCGCGGGCCTTAATTTGCCAACGCACGCTCTAGAGCGAGGCAAAGCACAAGTGCTGGTTCAGACATAACATTAAGTCAAACACAGCTTAGCCCTGGAAAGAATGACACCAAATGGGGGAAGAGTGCTGCAGCTGCAATCTCCACTCTGAGAACTCATACTTTTGCTCACTCATGTTCAACACAGCATGCAAGCTGGGTCTATGTTGTTAGCAACTACACTGTGCGTCTCACTGTAAGTTTAAAAAGTGGGATATTAATATTTTAATAAAGTAAACATGGGGGTTTGCATAATTTATTAGTTTTTGTTATGAGGCAGGGTGACAAAGAGTTTGAAGATTCACCATGCTGTCTTTGAAAAAAGAAATCCCCTGGGTAAGATAATCTTCCACCACTTTTTAAAGTCACTCTCTCCAAATAAAACAGGATCAGAGTTGAATCACCTGCTGAGAGTTTCATGTACAACCAAGTTTCTTACACCAAAACTCAAGATTTGGTGTCTTAGACATAGAAATCTTTAAAAAACAGGGTACATGTCCATTCACACCACAGGCTCTATCTAACTCCCAAGCACATTTACTATTACGGCATCAAACACCAGCTCATTTACAGTGATGCTCTAGTCTAAATACAGAATCTGTATCTGTTTACTGAGAGTTCAAGTGATGGACTGAACCTTTGAACCCTTGGACCTACCAATATTACCAGCATTTCAAAACAAATTTGGAGATATATAATTTGACCACTTAACTTCAGAAAAAATGACACAGTAAGACAATAAGGACTAAAGCCCCAAGGCACCATCAAAACAAAGGCAGCCTACAAACTAGATGTGTCTGGGAAGTGTGCTAACTATTGCAAATCCTCTGAAGCTATGACTCACAGGCTAAAGGCAGCCTAGCATGTGCCAGGAGGAATCTTCCAGTGTCAGCATCAGCAAAGCTGGGGGCAGTATAGACACTGAACACCATTTGTCAGTGAAGTTGTCAGGACCTTAACTCATGGACGAAAAATCAAACAAGACAAAGGCAAACAAATGGCTAAGTTTATGGTTGGTAGGACTGAAGATTTTATATCAGGACCCAGAAATGGTTCTCAAGTTGGCATGTAGAGTATATCTGTATCACATGAACAAATGATTATAACAAACTTAACTATTGAGCGATCAGTCTGAATAATAACAGAAACGTAACACTTATGTTTTGGGTTATTTGGACCACATATAATGAGGTGAGCTAATTTGGAAGAATTAATCAAAATAATGAAAACTGCAAGCAACTTTTATTTTTATTTATTATTGTTGTTGTTGTTGTTGTTGTTATTTATTAAATTTGTGGAGAACATATTCGTGAACAGTGACAGTCATAAACAGTGATAGCCATGAATCAATTGCAATACTGGGAATTTGATAGGAAGTCCAACAAAAGAGAAAACTACAAGGAAGTTTCCAAAAGGGAAGCATTTTTAAGGAAATATGAAATATATTTGCAAGTTATTTTTAACTAAGAAAGGAAAAGGAAAATGTTTTTGGTTTTTTTTTTGAAGTGCTGCTAATCAATGAGATCTATATTTGAACAATGAATGTGAAGTAGTAGTTTTGCTGAAGAAATTTACAAGAGGTTTCAGGTCATTGATGGGTAAATGGAAGGAAGTCTACTTATAATTGCAAAATGGATTATAAAATAAGTAACCAAATTACTATAAAATAATCCTAAAATTTTAAAAATAATTCAAATAATACATTAAATACAGTTTTTATGTGCTCCTCAGGCATGTCTAGTTACAAAAGATAAAAAATGCTGATTTCAATGTTTCAATTAGCTGTTTTAACCATCGGCTGTGGTGAGGACTGCAGGGCCTGCTCCCTTCCAGGGCCTTTTCCAACTGGCCCAGGCCCTTATTTGGAACAAACTTTTGGGGAAGTGTGGGAAGTGTTCTGCCATTGCTTCCCTGTTCCAAGTGGTTAATGTGTTTTAAAATGTCCTCAAGCAGTTGGTGGCAATTTAAATTTTTATTTCTTTATTTCCTTTTTTCCTTTGTTGGGGGTTGGGGGGTGGGATGGATATTTGGTTGGGGATTAATTTTAGTATAATTGTTCTGTTTTTGTTTTTTTGTTGTTTTATTGGTTCTGTATAGTTTGTGCTTTGTTTTTAAAGGGTGGGATCAGGGCTGCCTGGGAGTGGGGCCCCAGCCAACACAATGGCTGGGACAAGTTCCATGGGGGGGGGAGCACTGGGACATCCGATCTCAGTGATCATGGGCAGGAGGAGGAGTTACGCTAAGACCAGACCATGTCATTACCGAGGAGGCAGGTTTAGTCGTTGTTTGAGGACTATCCCTGCCTCCGGGTCTGGCCTTGACCGGATGGATACTGGAATCAACAGGGGAAACCCACATGACCTGAAGGTGTTGCTGTGTAATGCCAGGTCAATGATGAATAAAACCACTGCCATCCACGACCTGATTGTGGATGGAGGATTTGACCTGGCATGTGTGACAGAGACCTGGTTGGAGGAAGCAGATGGGCCCGTCTTTGCTGCTGCTTGCCCTCCAGGTTTCTCTTATGCACAGCAACCCAGGTCATGTGGGCGGGAAGGGGGGGTTGCAGTGATTTTTAGGAAGTCATTAGCTTGCATCAGGCGTCCTACTGGGAAGACCCAGTTTTCTGAGTGCATATTCTGGAAGTTGGGCAATAGGGACAGTACAGGATTCCTTTTGGTGTACCGACCTCCCCGCTGCACCAAGGATTCCCTGTCCGAGCTACTTCAGGTCGTGGCGGATGTTCTCCTGGAGACACCTAGTTTGGTTGTCTTAGGGGATTTTAACATCCATGCCGACACGACCTTACAAGGGGCCACTCGGGACTTCGTGGAAAGCATGGCCACCATGGGGCTGTCCCTGAATAAGTTTGGCCCAACTCAAAGTCATGGACATGCCTTAGACCTGGTGTTCACCTCTAGTGACATGGGTGATCTGACACTAAGTAAAAGTGAAACAAAAGAAGTGCCATGGTCAGATCACTTCCTGGTGCAACTGGACTTCTCCGCGACCCTTCCCCTCTGCAGGGAGGTGGGACCAATTCGGATGGTCCACTTCCACCACTTAATGGATCCAAATGGTTTCCGGAGAGTGGTAGGGGATGCTTTATCCCATGTTGATGGCCTTTCAGCTGATTCCCTGGTGGCCCGCTGGAATGCGGAGTTAACCAGGGCTATCGACTGTCTGGCTCCAAAGCGCCCTCTCCGATTGCATGGAGCCCGGACAGCCCCGTGGTTTTCTTCGGAGCTGAGGGCGATGAAACAATCGCTGAGACGGCTAGAGCGTCGGTGGCAGAAAACTCACTCCGAATCTGACCGGACACAGGTTAGAGCTCAACGTTGAGCCTACCAAGTGGCGATAGCGACAGCGAAGAAGACTTTCTTCACCGCCTCTATTGCATCTGCAGAAAATAGTAGCAGGAGACTCTTTCAGGTGGTCCGCAATTTAACGGAACCACCTTTACCACCAGGGAATTGTAAAGACCCCAAGATCTCCTGCAACAGTTTTTTGCAGATAAAATCACTCATATTCGGAAGGAGCTAGACACCACCGTGGGAGCAGGGTTGGGTTGGGAGAGTGCTAGAGTCCTGTCTGGTCAAGTTGCATGGAATCAATTTCAATCCGTTACCCCCGAGGATGTGGACAGGCTGCTTGGACGCGTGAAACCAACCACCTGTCTCCTTGACCCTTGCCCATCCTGGCTAATAAAAGCAAGCCGGGAAGGGCTGGGCAATGGGCTCTGCGGGGTGGTGAATGCTTTCCTCTGTGAGGGAACATTCCCAGATCCGCTGAAAGAGGCGGTCATTAAACCGCTTCTTTAAAAACCATCTTTAGACCTGGCCAGTATGGCCAACTATCGCCCAGTCTCAAATCTTCCATTCTTGGGCAAGGTGACTGAGCGAGTGGTTGCTGAACAACTCCAGGCACACCTGGAGGATGCAGACCATTTGGATCCCTTCCAATCGGGATTCAGGCCTCATCATGGGACTGAAACTGCCTTGGTCGTGCTGGTTGATGATCTCCGGAGAGCTAGGGACAAAGGTGAGAGTTGTTTCCTAGTTCTGCTGGATTTCTCAGTGGCCTTTGATACAATCGACCATAACATCCTCCTGGACCGTCTAGAGGGGCTGGGAGCTGGGGGAACTGTTATACAGTGGTTTCGCTCCTTCCTCCTGGGCCGTGTTCTGAAAGTGGTGTTGGGGGATGAGTGTTAAGACCCCTGGGCCCTCACTTGTGGGGTGCCTCAGGGTTCCGTCCTCTCCCCCATGCTTTTTAACATCTATATGAAGCCGCTGGGAGAGATCATCAGGGGGTTTGGATTGGGTGTCCATCAATATGCAGATGATATCCAGCTCTACCTCTCTTTCAAATCAGAACCAGTGAAGGTGGTGAAGGTCCTGTGTGAGTGCCTGGAGGCGGTTGGAGGATGGATGGTGGCTAATGGATTGAAGTTGAATCCTGACAAGAAAGAAGTACTGTTTTTGGGGGACAGGGGGCGGGCTGGTGTGGAGGACTCCTTGGTCCTGAATGGGGTAACTGTGCCCCTGAAGGACCAGGTGCACAGCCTGGGAGTAATTTTGGACTCACAGCTGTCCATGGAGGCGCAGGTCAATTCTGTATCCAGGGCAGCTGTCTACCAACTCCACCTGGTACGCAGGCTGAGACCCTACCTGCCCGCGGACTGTCTCGCCAGAGTGGTGCATGCTCTAGTTATCTCCCGCTTGGACTACTGCAATGCGCTCTACGTGGGGCTACCTTTGAAGGTGACCCGGAAACTAGAACTAATCCAGAATGCGGCAGCTAGACTGGTGACTGGGGGCGGCCGCCAAGACCACATAACACCGGTCTTGAAAGACCTACATTGGCTCCCAGTACGTTTCCGAGCAGAATTCAAAGTGCTGGTGTTGACCTTTAAAGCCCTAAACGGCCTCGGCCCAGTATACCTGAAGGAGCGTCTCCACCCCCATCGTTCTGCCCGGACGCTGAGGTCCAGCGCCGAGGGCCTTCTGGCGGTTCCCTCATTGCGAGAAGCAAAGCTACAGGGAACCAGGCAGAAGGCCTTCTTGGTAGTGGCGCCCGCCCTGTGGAACGCCCTCCCATCAGATGTCAAAGCGATAAACAACTACCTGACATTCAGAAGAAATCTTAAGGCAGCCCTGTTCAGGGAAGTTTTTAATATGTGATATTTTAGTGTATTTTTGGTTTCTGTGGAAGCCGCCCAGAGTGGCTGGGGAAACCCAGCCAGATGGGCGGGGTACAAATAATAAATTATTATTGTTGTTGTTGTTGTTGTTTAGATAATCTTATTATCCTACTTACTCCTTTTATAAACAGTTTTGAGGTTTTTATGATCAAGCAGAATATACATTTTGTGAAATAAAAAATAAGTTTAGGATTCAAATACTACTATTACAAACTCAGATAAAGCCGTTGAGTCAGAAACCTGCATCTTCAGAAGCAGAAGTATTGAGATTCAACACAGCATAAAAATAGCTGCATTAAAAAAAAATCATACTAAATAGCTTGACTTTCTAAAATGGAATATAGCTTGTTCCTGTTACTTACCGTAGCTTTGTCAAGTACTTTAATTGAATATGGCTCAGCCACATTGTGTTTCCTTAGTGCTTGTTCCAGGAGCTGCAGAGGGGGGCTCTCCCATTTCCCAAAAACGACTAAATCAATATCACTATAGATAATACAACATACATAAAGGTTCATTAGAGGATTACACATTAATATTCCTTTGAAGATTGTTAAATTCAGTCTTCAGTAGACTAACCTTACTACTAATCCCCTCAAACAGAATAGGAGGGCTTCTAAAAGTAGGAAAATGAATACAGGATAACAGACTGTGAAGTTATTACATTACAGCCTCAACCAAGAGCACCACACACAGGTATAAGTGTTTGTGTGTTTTGTGTATTTTGTCACATAATGTTGGCAATCTGGTTAAATTTTAAAAAGGCCCAGATTACTGCCTACATGTGTACATAGTTTCCTTTCTGCATTTATAGAAATATTTAAACTCTGGAAAACAATTGCTAAGGTCAGTTATTATTCATAATCATTACTCTGTATCTGCCAGAATATTACAGAGTAGAAGTCTAAAATGCTAGCATACATAGTGATGTGATATGTTGAATGCTATGAAACACCTCAGTGAAAAGTCAGTATCACACAAACAATTCTGCTAAATAAGACTTAGCTTAAAAAGTTATGCCAAATTCAAGGACGGATATAATGAAGATATATTAACATATTCCCATTACATACCATACTATGTAAACCTACGTTTTACATAGTACATACTAAACCTAAGTTCATGTTAACGGAAATAATTGCATGTTTATCCCCGATTCAATTTCCTTCCCCTTCCTTTGGTGTCTTCCCGGTATTGATTTTAAGACTGGGAAGAACAAAAAATCCCTTTTGTATGATAGCATTATTAACAAAATACACTGAGAGCTGGAAATGTTAGTCAAGGCTTACCTAGTTGGCAGATAGAGCCCTGTACTAAAACTTCCAAATATCTGAACCTGCAAAAGAAAAACAAAGTTAATGCAGATCTCACAATTCTGAACGCTGAACTGAAAAATCCCTCACGGAAATCCACATGCCTTTATCTTCAGAAACAGTTCCTTTTACTGTTATTTGCTTCTTCCACTCAAAAACTAACTGGCTTGCTTAAAAGGTCATGCTACTCAATTGCTAATCAAATGATTTGGTAATCAGAAGTGAATTATTTCTTTACTGGTTTACTCTAACCAGAGTTTGTTTGATTCAGTTGTCATGGAAAACTGTAGGTTGCAGAAAACCAGGAGGTCAGAAACCCTACGTGGGGATGAGGGAGCCCTCAACACATTCCTATTACTTGAATGAAACCAATTTATAAAACTGAATTAACAGGGAAAGACAAATATTTATGCTTTGTAATATTTATTACCAAGACTGTGATTTTTCTGGCAGGCGTCTCTTCAGTAACGAAGATCAAAAACAAAACAGATTCTGAAAAGGAGGCATACCACAATAAAGGTTTCAATGTTTCCTAATAAGAATGAGCCCAGATTGGGAAGGGACAGTGCAAAGCAGCATTTTCATAGATGGCAAATCACAGTGGAACACTCTGACTACTGTCTCTCTGCACCTATCCCCATATCCAGCTTTAAGGCTAAGAGACATGAATGTGGTCACAATATCTGAAGCAGTGCACAGCTGTCCCTCCAGTGTCATAAATATAAATAGTTTTATTGGGATGGCTTTTATGACAAAAAGCCTACTGATGTGTTTTCATGGGGGGGGGATAAATTTAGTATAATAAGGGAAGTTTCCACAACACTTTGGATCTACTGAATGCTAGCCGAGAGCATTGTATACATCATTTTAAATAAACAGAGACAAAAGGTATTAAGGATCCTATGGAAGCCATCAACGTGGCACAGCGCTTAGAAAGAAACATTGTTTACCCCAAGGCTTTTGATTTGGGTCAGAAGACATAAGGAAGTCAACCCTATGTTGTGCCCAGTCCACCCACGTTATGGTGAGAATGGAGTTGAGAAGAGCTTGGGGACCTAAAATACCAGTCTGAGATGTACTCACATCTGCTGTAGGCCAAAGATCTTTGATGACCATTTTTATTCTTTTCACTACTTCTCTTCTCATGACTTCTTCTTCAGGACGAGGGGACATGAAGGCATAAAAGTCAATTATTTCTTCATGAAGCCTATGGGGAAGAATAAAAAATTTTTTTAAATTATTTATACCTAAGATCCAAGTCTGGGTTTCTAAAGCGAAACTTCCATCCATTAGTATGAAAAAGTACATTAAATTACAGTGGTACCTCGGGTTAAGAACTTAATTCGTTCTGGAGGTCTGTTCTTAACCTGAAACTGTTCTTAACCTGAAGCACCACTTTAGTTAATGGGGCCTCCTGCTGCCGCTGCGCCGCCGGAGCACAATTTCTGTTCCCATCCTGAAGCAAAGTTCTTAACCTGAGGTACTATTTCTGGGTTAGTGGAGTCTGTAACCTGAAGTGTCTGTAACCCGAGGTACCACTGTAGTCTGAAAATTCATCCATTGGTATGAAAAAGTACACAAATTTGAATTTAGAACAGTGTGAACTAGAATATTCTATAAAAAGCAAAATTTCCAATGATTATTATGTAATTTGGAGGAAATTCCATTCCTAGAAAGCAGTTTGTGTGCAGGAAGCAAAATATGCAACCTGAAAAGACAAAAAAGTTTTGGTGAACTGCAGTACAGCTGTACCTTGGTTGTTGAATGCCTTGGTACTTGGATGTTTTGACTCCTGAACGCCACAAACCCGGAAGTGAATGTTCCGGTTTGTGAACGTTTTTTGGAGGCCGAATGTACGACGCAGCTTCCAAATGGGTGCAGGAAGTTTCTGCAGCCAATCAGAAGCTGCGCCTTGGTTTTCGAACTGTTTTGGGAGTCAAACGGATTAAGTTTGACAACCAAGGTACGACTGTAATTATAATGAGTAAAGAATAATTTAACAAATATTAACGCCTTGGCACTAAATACATTTAGAAAGTTTTTTCAACTAGGGTTGTCTGTATACTCTAAGGGTATGTTTCTGGTGTGTACAGAGACAGCAAACATATGAATATGTTTTATTCATAAACCAGAGTACTGTTCTGAATCCTAACAGTATACCTGAAGGAACGTCTCCACCCCCATCGTTAGGCCTCGTTCAGCCAAGGGCCTTCTGGCAGTTCCCTCACTGCAAGAAGTGAGGTTACAGGGAAGCAGGCAGAGGGCCTTCTCCGTAGTGGTGCCCGCCCTGTGTAACACTCTCCCATCAGATGTCAAGGAAATAAACACTATCTGACTTTTATAAGACATCTGAACGCAGCTCTGTTTAAGGAAGTTTTTAATGTTTGATGTTTTATCGTGTTTTAATATTTTGTTGGGAGCAAACCAGAGTGGCTGGGGAAACCCAGTCAGATGGGTGGGGTATAAATAAATTATTATTATTATTATTATTATTATTATTAACACTCAGAACTGATTTGCAGTAGAAATCATTAATTCAAGTAGGCCTCAGAGGATCAGATATTTAAGGATGATAGGCACAACAGCTACTACAGGAAACAAATTATAGATTCTGGGTATTGATATTAGAGTTAAGGAACAGATCAGAGGTCACAGTAAACTGTCAATGGATTTTTATCCATTGCCATTTCATGGCATAACCTTGGCCATACATTATGTCTTTCTCATGTGACATGTAGGACAGTGTACAAACCACATGGAATAATCCAATATAAACTCTCACACATACAACTGAATGACAATGGCTTCCCAATACATGTGCACACATTAAAACATGTGGGACAACCACAATTTTAATATTACACAAGTCCCATCAAAGTATCAAAAGTATGCTTAATAATAGAGCACATGAGAGAGACTGGGACAACTAGCTTTAAGGGAGTTGTAGCTTTCTAAGCTCCATCTTAGGGTCATTCCACATTATGAGATGGAAGAGCAAACCCAGTTCTGCCATTGTGTATATTTGACAGCTGCAGCTAATTATGGCTCCTTGATTAGTGCTTTAGGTGTGATACAAGTTTTCCTAATATACACATTTAGGTGTGCAACATCGCTTCACATAATTAGTTTGACAGCAAATCAAGGCCATTCCAAAATAGGATCAAAAATCTACATTCTTAGGCATCTTCTAGGACGCAGGTTGTAATGTATGTACACATAACGTTTGTAAATTTTCAAAAATAAAAAAGAAATTTAAAAAACATCCTGTAAGATTTCAGGGCTTACAAAATGTTTAGCACAGTTCAGGAGAGAAGGTCTGCTCAAGCCACTAACATGTTACAGTATCCTGGAATATTGAAGATTAGAACCAGGCCACGGGGTGTGTGTGTGTGTGAATGAATGTGCGTCATGAGGTTAAAAGACTGATCTTTGCAATACAGGGGATGCTTCAGGAAAAAGAAAATAAAAAGGACATATCTCCCTTTCCCACTCTTCAGACCCTCCTCATTACATAAAGTGGTAACATGTTCAGGCCCTGTGCCCTCAATCACTGTATAGCATAAAGCAGTTGCCAACATTTTTGGACTAGTGAGCACATTTCAAATTTTGAGAGTGTGCTGGGGGCACCAGTCGCAACATAGCAGCCATGGAGAAGGCATGGCATAACACAAAATGGCTGCCATATGAGTGTGGCATAAGATAAAAATAGAGAGACAACCACTTCTGACAACCTTCCTGCTGGTCCAGATTATGGAGATCACATGTATACACAAACAGATGCTGTTGCTGTCTAATAAAAGAGAGCATTCCTCAGTACTAGAAAAAATATACAAGGGTGCAACCCCTTTCACATAAAACTCCCCTCCAAAAACTCCTAAGGCTTCTGCTGATAGATGGCTATGCCTTTAACAGGTGCACACCTCAAAGTTTATAGATACAATGCAAAAATTTGTTAAGAGGTTCCACTCTGGCATGTGTGACAAATCCGCCTTCATCCCAACCTAGCAGCTGGAGAAAGCCTGCTAGACCAGGCCAACTGCCCATCTAGACCAGCATCCTCTTCTGACAGTGGCCAACCAAATGCCTGTAGGAAACCAGCAAGCAGATTTAAAGCACAAGAGAACTCTCCCTTCCTGTGATTTCTAGCAACTGGTATTATTCAGAATTTTACTGCCTCCAATTGTTTTCCCCTCTTCAGCTGCAAGGCAGAGAGAAAGGTGAGGGGGAGCTTTGTTGCTTGTGTATTATTGTACTTGGAGAACCTCAGGAGTGCAGTAGCAGAACAAACCCCTTCACCTTTTTAGCTTTAAGTGGTGGGGGATAGGTCTCTGATTTCTTTACTATGGACAACATCTTACATCTACAGGAGTAGTCCTGGCAACTATTTTATCTCACTACCAAGGCCAGCCAAAATTCATGGAACTTTGCCTGCAATCTATATAACAGCCCTTTTGGGGATGCTAAGATTGTCAGAGGAGCTGCTATTGGTTTGTTCCACTGTCCTCAGAAGCTCACAGTGGTGTGGGAGAAGGCATTCTCTGTGGCAGCCCCTAAGATATGGAACTCCTTCCCCACAGGGGTCTGTTTAGCATTTTCATTGTACAACTTTCAGGGAATCATAGAATCATAGAGTTGGAAGAGACCACAAGGGCCATCGAGTCCAACCCCCTGCCAAGCAGGAAACACCATCAGAGCACTCCTGACATATGGTTGTCAAGCCTCTGCTTAAAGACCTCCAAAGAAGGAGACTCCACCAAACTCCTTGGCAGCAAATTCCACTGTCGAACAGCTCTTACTGTCAGGAAGTTCTTCCTAATGTTTAGGTGGAATCTTCTTTCTTGTAGTTTGGATCCATTGCTCCGCGTCCGCTTCTCTGGAGCAGCAGAAAACAACCTTTCTCCCTCCTCCATGTGACATCCTTTTATATGTTGAAGGAATGTTGAAGACAAACCTCTTACAACCTGGGCTTTGACAGTTGATGTTTATATTTTTAAGACTCCCCTCATTTCTGGAATTGTAAGCCGTTTCTAACATTGTTTTAATTGTTGTAACCCACCTTGGGACATTAGGATGAAGGGCAGGTGATAAACAATCACAACCGCAATGTAAGTCAGCGCTATCTTAATATTGCAGATATACTGGGGCAGGGATGAGAGCGGTTCTCCAAAGGTTACCTACGGAGTTCATTGTTAGTGTACTAGGGAATTCCTCCTTTGAAGCTCGGTCTCATAGCTATAATACTAAACCAGGTGAAAAATAATTTTGAACTGTTACACCTAAAACACATGGGCAGAACAGCCATTCCTAACTACAGGCTTCACGGAAAGTGGACACCTTTCAGCCACAACCTCATATTACTCTGAAGTATGACCACTGATCACAAAGTGACTTAGACCCCAATTTAAGTGTATATAGAAAGGAAAGTTTCACATGTGTTCTGCAAAGACGACCCTGCATTAAGACACAGGTCACCTTGAAAAATCCCACAATCATCCTCCCTGTCTCATTCCGTTAATAGTTCAGCCAATAGAACATAAGACTCTTAATCCTGGGTTTGAGCCCCATGTTGGGCAAGATTCCTGCACTGCAAGGGGTTGGACTAGATGACCCTTGTGGACCCTCCCAACTCTACAAATCTATTATTCTAAATGGAGGTCCTAAGCCAATTTACTGGATTTCTCAGTCAGTCCAATCGAGAATGCCTTATTGTTAGGATTCATTTCTTGTCTTAAAATCATCCAAGCACTTTCAGCCTACAAAAATCAGCCACCAGGCAGCCTTAGTAGAAACCCCCTCTTAGGGGTCCAGACTTAGCACGGCTACAACGTATCTATGAATAGGACCCCCCCCCCCCCAGTCTAAAAGCAATCACTGGGGAGGGGAATTTCAGGCGAGGGGTCTTGGCCCCGCACAGCTGAGGAGCCCGTCGCAAGCAAGCGCCCAGAACGGCTCACCCTTGGATGCCGGGGCTGTAGCGCTGCCTGCTTTTCCACGGGGTGCCCGGAGCGGGGCCGAGCGCGGGCTGGGCTTCGGGACAAGGCCCGCCGCCGCCGCCTCCGGAGAGCAGGTAGTTCATCCCATACGTGCTGGCCTTGTTCTCCCGTTTCCTTCGGCTCGGGTGGTACTGGTGCTGGTGGAGGTGGCGGGCGGGCAGGGGCGGGGGCGAGGCGTCCGCCGGCCTCGGGCTCTGCGCCGCCGCTTCCCCGCTCCGCTTCGCCGGCTTCCCCACGGGCGAGGCCTGGCGAGACCCCGAGGGCGGCGGCGGCGGCGGCGAGGGGAACGAAGGCGGCCCGCCGGGGCTGTCAGCGCCGGACTCCGCGGAGGAGGAGGAGGGCGGAGGCCCCGGAGGAGGCTTGTGCAGCAGCAGCAGCGGCGGCGGCCTCTCGGTCAGGAGCGGCGGCGGCGGCGGCTTGGCGGCGGGCGTCGTCGTCGTCAAGCGGCACAGGGAGTGGCGGGCCTGGGCTGCCCGAGGGAAGGGCGGCGGCGAGGAGGGCGTAGACGGCGAGGAGGAGGAGGAGGAGCCGGAGCCGCCTCCGCCGCGGCCCTGCGAGGTTTCCCAGATCTGCATCCAGAGCGCATTGGCGGGGCCTTTCTGCTCGGGCTGGATCCAGGCCACGCGGGGATCCATCCATCCATCCGCCCCGGCGCCTCCCTCGCCGGCTCCGGCGGCCTGTCAGGCGCGCGCGCAAGGCCCCGACTTGTGAGGCGGCGCGAGGGGGCGGGGAAGGGGCGGTGCCAACCGCCTCTGGCCCCCAGGCCGCGCGCCTGCGCCCTGCGTCGCCCCGCCCCGAGCGCCTAGAGCTAGGAGAGGGGAGAGCGCAGAGGCGCCTTCGGGTCGCTTCGGCTTCAGGCAGCCAGGCAGCAGCTGGGCTCGGCACGCGGAAGAGGCCTGACCAAAGGCGGAAGGCAGCCGCTTCAGGAGCCTCAAAGCCGCGGGAGCCCGTGTGCTGAGCAGCCGGCCTTCTCGGGGACCCCGGGAGCGTGGGATCCCAGCATCTCGGGGCGCACAGAGGATGCATGCGCATTCAACTGCCGAATAGCATCCGGCGAGATTCAGTGGTCCACAGACTTGGAGGAAGCCACCTGATAAAGGAAGGCATTTTTTTTCACCTGCTGGCTCTCTAACTCCTTCCCCGCTTGCCATAAAGTGGTCGTTTATGCATAGCAAAAAAGAGAGGACAAACGCATCAAAACAGAGGATGAAAGATGACAGGGATTTGCATAAGAAATGCCCCTGCAAATTTATACATATAGATGGAGATTTAGAAAAAAATACTGTCACTTAAATACAAATACATCTGAATAATAATAATTTTACCCCACCCATCCCCAGCCACTCTTGAACCATGGCAGGGAAGACTTTAAGAGCTATGTGCCTGCTTAATCTGTGTCAAGGTGCTAACTATTGATGGGCAACTTCAAGACCCCTCCTGCTGTCCCTTCTTGTGGAAGGGGGCATTGGGTGTTGCTCACCAGAGGCATTTCATCCGCCAAGCTCGGCACGCTCCCTCAGGATTAAAACTACAATTTTTGCCTTGGCAAGACCAGCCAAAAATGATAGATGCCTACCAATATCTCTTGATGAACCTGTCATGTTCTATTGTACAGCAAGTGGCCATCAGAACACCTTGTGGCAGTAAACTCCATAAGGTAATTAAATGTGTAAAATATCCACTTCCAACGGTATGTCCTGTACCTGCTGCTAATCATCTTCAACAAAGGCTAAACTTTGTTCTTAACAGTCACTTTTAAAAAGGAAAAGAAAGCAATAGCAGCCACAGGGGGCACTATGGATTTTTAGGATTATGTATAGCAGGTAGGAATGGGGAAGTTAACCCTTTCCTTCCTTGACACCATCCTGACAAACATAACTCCTCTGAAGCCGCTGTGTGCATTGGGAGGTAAGCTCCCATTGGCACCCAAGAAAATTAACAATTTTGGAGGAATGTGCCTTTTGTTGTTGTTGTTAGAACCACAGCAGGGGAGGAAAGGATTATATTGCTCCTCTTTGCCAGGTTTGATCCTTAGTCCTACCCAACCAGTGGCTGTTGTTTGCATGATTTTTCTAAAAAACAGTGACAGCTCTGTTGGTTTGTAGCAGCAGAAACAGAGACTCTTGTGACTGATTTACTATAGTATGCTTTACAGGACAATCCAAGGCACAGGGAGGTGGTACAGAGTAAGCTGGTGCAAATGAGGTGTGCGTAAACCTATCCTGAGCCCATTCAAAAGTCCCAGGGAGGGGGACATGCTGGCCAGTGTTGTTATCAGGGGTGGCTCAGAGTTTTCCTGCCCCCCCCCCGAGAGATCTGCATGTTGGGACCTGGGAGCAAACCACAAGGCTCTGGGAGTGTGGAGGCCTGGGGCACCCATGTGGGGGTGCAAGGGATATTTGTGGCAACCACCAGCCCTCCACATTAGGAAGAGGGTGTAGCTGAGGCTCCCCTCTCCTTCCAGAGTGACCAATTTCTGGGAATCAGGCTCTCCCCAATGACTTCCATGATGCAATTTCAGTTAGAGAACCCTTTATGCTGATTCACCTCCCACTGAGTTCCTGGCTGAGCTGAATGGGCTTAGGCTGCAGCATATATCCCTGACCCATACCTGCCACACTCTATTTTCAGGGGTTTCACTGGCTTGCAATCTACTGGGCTTGGCTGCCCCAGTTGGGTCCCTACTGTGCTGGGATGGAGGAAAGGGCATGGGCACCTTTTTGGCTGAGCTCGGTTGGGGGACTCAGCTCAGCTGCACCAGGAGCCTTCCAGTTCAGCTGGAGATCCACTGCATCCTAACATGCTCAGCCTGGCAAATCTTGCTATAGGACTGTCCCCTCAGTATTTAAGGTGCAACAAGACGGTTGTGCTGTTGTTTGTAAAGTATGTGCTAAACACAAATGTGTGCTTGGTCCTGAATGCCTCAATTTCCACTGTGATGAGAGAGAGGAGTTTTTTGTCCGTGGTAGCCAACTGTCGCAGAGAGTAGAGTGGGCTGATGGTGTTCAGCTGACCTCCAGATGGGCTGTTGGTGCATTGTCCCTCCACTCCATCTTGGGATGCATCAGTGACCCAAGTGACCAGGGGTCAGGTGAGCACCTCTGGCCCACAACACCATCTAGTGGTCAGAAAGCTACTTTTGGGGGCTTAATCCGGTCCACCGGTCAGTTTAATCCAGCTCCTGTGGCAGTTTATTTCCTGGGGTAAAATCATAAAAAGCTCAACAACTTTGGTTGGCCCTCATGGCCCTTCACTTCATCAAATCTGGCCCTTTTTGAAAAAAGTTTGGACACCACTAGCTTTCCCTAAGCTATGAAAGCCCCAACTTCTTTTAGCCATCCCACCCAGGGAAGGTGCTCCAGTCTCAGGTTAATTTCTGGTGTCGCTCAGCTGAAATTGGTTACCTGCTAAACTGAGAAAAGGCTCCTGATTCTCAACTCTCCGGCTTGTCACATATTTGCCTCTCATAAGTTTCTATATGTTCCAGAGATTCTTGAAACAGATCTGCCTCTCTCATAACTTGATTCTGGTACAATATTAATTCACTGTCTATTTTATTAGGATGAATCTGGAAAATAACAGAATAGTTAACATTTAATCTGCTCCGGAAGATTAACTTCACAAAAGTTCTTTTTGGGTTAATAAAGGGACACTGTATAGTTGAATTAGAACTTGGATAATAAAATGACTGTTATTTAAAAGAGTTCTTGCCTTGAAAAATGACAAAGCAATAAGTTGATCTCAATTATCCTCTCTACTATTGACATTCACAGCGGTTTCTTGGGAGATTTTTTTACTCTGGTATCAAAGTACATCTGTACTGTACTATTCATACTGTGTGCGCACATGCTTAAAACAAGGCTTTCCAATTTTAAAAACACTGATGCAGTAAGAGGGAAAACAAGTCCCCTGCTGCCATGCATTATAACAATGTTCCAGGTTCATATTATACCAGAGGTAGAAAAAAATGCTTTTATTAGATTTATGAACTAAATAATTTCATCAAACAGCATAAATTATAAGAGCTTTGCACTGAATTTGTGTGCTACCTGACAACACATTTCTCAATTCTTCATGATACTGTGGCTTAATGGTTTCTATTTAAATTTAGCTTTTTCACAGAACAGACTTATTTCAAATTGACAACAAAATTATTAGAGACCTATAGAGATCTAATTTGATCCACCCACCAAGAATGACAGCTTTACAGACAACTCACATTGCTTTTCTGGTATTTCACAAAGGACAAAGTGAAAAGACATAACTGTGGCTATAAGGTATTTGATATTGTCTGTACAGTACAATAAATGGAAACTGGGATAGCTCAGTCATAAAGGATGAGGCTTTTAATCTCAGGTTTGTGGTTCGAGCCCCACATTGGGCCAAAAATTTCTGCATTGCAAGGTTGGATCAGATGCCCCTTGCAGCTCCTTCCAACTCTACAATTCTATGATTCTATGAAATATCCCACAAACTTAATATGGCACTAACTTAAGACCTTTATGACACCATGTTAAAACCTTCCTATTTTCCCAGGCATTTCACTGCTTGTGACAAGCTATACTGACCCCTATACTGTTGATGTTTCACTGTTGCAGATGCAGTTATTGCAGTTGTTGATTAGTGATGACTAGCATGTTTTTACTGGTGTTTTTATTTTATTTGTAAGTCGTGTGCAGACTATTTTTGTATTAGGCAACTTATAAATCATAGAATTGTAGAGTAGCACTTCAACAGAAAATTGTGGAGAAGATACTTTGGCTAAATAATTCCAAAGTGCTCTGTTGTCTGCGAACTGAGACATCCTGGCACCTAGAAAACTGAAGTATTTCCCAACCCTGGTAAGAGCTTATTCCTCATGAAGAATCTCCCATATTACAGTGGTGATCTAACTCTTCTTGGCACTGCTAGACACAGGCCCAGATGAGCTGGAGTTCAAAGGTTATGCTCCCATGCCAAGTTTGTATATGACTAAGCCATCGGATATGACTAAACTGCAGGAGGCAGTGGAAGACAGAAGTGCCTGGCGTGCTCTGGTCCATGGGGTCACAAAGACTAAACGACTAAACAACAATGACTAAACGACTAAACAACAACAAGCCATCTGATTAGCCAAGGGTGGTGATCATGTGATATTAGGTATGCTTCGTTTTCACAAAATAGCCTATAACTTATTTAGAGGTGATGTATGCCATACAGGACAAAACATATTATTTTCCTTAAAATTATTTTGTTTTTGCTACCTGCCTTTCTGCAGAATGACTCAAATTCAATGAGGCTAAGCAGCTGAGAAGATGAAGCAGTTGCAAGTCAGATTACAATAAGCTGCATGATATGAAGGAAGTTTTTGACAACTGCTCTGTGAACAGAAAGCCAGGAGAGCAGGCCAAGCAGGCCAGGAGACACCAGGAGCATGGCTTCTGCTGCTCCAGCTGGAAGGTCTTCTCTGCTGCAGGGCTATTGACTGCCAAGGGCCCTGTGGGGAAGGACCCCCCCCCCCAGGTTTAGTAATCTGGGTATGTTTTAATGTGCATTGATGTTGTTCATGAGTCCCTTTGAGTTTTGTACCCTGAAAAGTCGACTGTAGGTCAGGGGTGGGAAGTCCCTATGGGCAGATCCAGAACTGGTCCAGGCTCCGCAGACCACGTGGGCAGGTGGGGTGGCCTCAACCGCCTTTCCACACCCTGACATCACAGAATATCAACTCAAAGTTCAAGAAGCACCTGCAAAGGAAGAATCAGAAGCATGCTTTCTGGGTGCTCAGAATTCTTCCTTTATCTGAGGCTTGGACTTTCCTGTGCTCAGCGCCATGTCTTTTTCACTCTATAAGACACACCCGACCATAAGACGCACCTAGTTTTAGAGGAGAACAAGAAAAAAATATTTTTTCCCTCTCTGCTCAGCGCCCCTTCAGTGAAGCAGCAGGAGAAACAGAGCCCCTTCCATTTCTCCTGCCGCTTTGCTGAAGGGGCACTGTGCAGAGAGGGAAAGCTGCGCAGCGCCTCCCCAGCGAAAGCAACGCGAAGCCTCCTGAGCACAGCGGGAGGAGTGCTCCCGCTGCGCTTAGGAGGTTTGTGCGGTTCTCCCTGAAGCCAGGAGAGCAAGAGGGATCGGTGCGCACCAATCCCTCTTGCTCTCCTGGCTTCAGCGATAGCTGTGCAGCCTGCATTCGCTCCATAAGACGCACACACATTTCCCCTTACTTTTTAGGAGGGGAAAAGTGTGTCTTATAGAGCAAAAAGTACGGTACATCAGGCCCAGGAAAGACAAAACCCAGGGAGCAAACCTCTGAGGCTTGGAGGGCTAACTAGGCTCACAGGCTGGAGATTTCTACCCCTGCTAAAAAAAACCCCTCTAAAGAAATAAATTCTGCACAGACTGAAGATTCATTGGCTATAGGAGCAAATTACTATCAGTAACTGAAGGATTGAAATACACCTCTTTAGTTTTAGGGTTGACAAGGTAATGTAGTGGCTTGTGTATCTGAGTATCACTGGGAAAACCTGGGTTCAAATTCCCACTCCACCACAAAACTCACTGAGTAACCTCAGGCAGTGGCTCTTTCAGCCTAACCTATAAGGTTGATGTCCAAGTGGCCTGTCAAGGGCAGGAGTCCACAGGATCCAACCTGCCAGAATAAAAGGATTCCCCACCCCTGCAGAAACAGAATGGCATAGTAAACATATGTTTTGTGCTGACCTGCAGTAAGTACCCAGAAATCTAGTGTTGTGACTAATAACGGGCACTTTAGAATTTTGTAAATTTAATATATTACATATCTATGACCCACCAGATGTTGTGGGACTAGAATTCTCATTATCCCTGACAGTTGGCAGGGAGCTGGGAGTCCCAACAATCTCTAGATGGCCACAGGTATGTTAGACAGTATCTAATGGCCCAATCTATAAACTTAAATATAAAACACTCAAATCAGTTACATAGCAAAGCATCCACTGGAGAATAATTAGGAGGGGGAGAAGAGAAAGAAGATTTCAGAACTATTAGGAAAAAGCTGAAATTGGTGAACTTTTTGAAAGGATACACACATGACTTTTTACATCGTTATGAAGCCCTTTACAAACAAACACATAAACAATAATGCATCTTACTGGGGTTGCAGCCGTACAGCAGAACCCTATGCCTACTTCCAGAAAATGAACCCCCGTGGTGTTCATGGGGTTGCGGAGTTGGCCATAACTCGGGTGGCTTTCGAAGAGGGCGGGACCTATTGAGGGCGGAGAGGGCTCTCCGGGCTCTCTACTCGTCGGGAGGCAGCCGTGCTCGGATCCCCTGGGGGCTCAGCTGGGGGGCTGGAGCAGAAGGGCCGCCCCCAGCTTCGTCCTTGTCGCTGGGACCCGACGGGGATCTCTGGCGAGGGGCGAGAGGGGAACGAGCAGGATGAGGCCTCGGCCGGAAGGGCAGCAGGCGAGCTCAAGACGGGAACGAAAGGCCCCAATGATCGGCCCCTGGCAGCGCAGGGCGCGGGGGGAGACCGAGCGGGGACGGAGAGAGGAAGGCGGCGAGGGGGCTGCCCCCCAGGCGCGCCCCTTGAAGAGGCTGCTCTCCTCAGCTCCCTCGCCGGCCCGCTCCTCCCGCCCCCAGGCCGACGCCGCCCCCTCCGAAGCGCCCTTGCGGCCTGCGAGCAGCGGAGGAGCAGCGGCCCAGACTGAGGAGACGGCGGAGGCCGCGGAAGCGGAAAGGCGCGCGCGGGGGGTGTCCCTCCCTCAGCGCCTCGTCCTGCACTCGCCCCCCCCCCCCGCAAGAGCTGCGCCGGCCTCCCGCGCCCGAGAAGAAGAGGCGCGCGCGTCGGGCCCGCGAGGCGAAGGAAGGGCCGCCCCGGCAGGAGGCGAGGGGGGTCCGCGCTGCCCCCTCGGACCACCTCAGAGCCAGGGAAGCGGAGGTAAGTAAGAGGCGCGCCGGAAGCGTCGCCCTGGCCTTCTGGGAGGCGCCGCTCTGCCCCGTTCCTTGCTCCCCTGACAAATGGCTGCCCAGTTTCCCCATCAGCTCCTCTGGCAGCTGGGATGTGGGAGCCCCGGGCTGAAGCTGCAGCTCTGCCTTAGAATTCCTGCTCAGATTTACAGAGCGTCCTGTGCACAAGATGATGCTCTAGGGAGGCCGAACCTGCATTCCTATTCCCTGGCTACTGTACTACTACTACTATATAATAGTAATAGTAGTATTTGTATAGTAGTAGTAGTACTACTACTACTCGGGACGCGGGTGGCACTGTGGGTTAAACCACAGAGCCTAGGGCTTGCCGATCAGAAGGTCAGTGGTTCGAATCCCCGCTACGGGGTGAGCTCCCGTTGCTCGGTCCCTGCTCCTGCCAACCTAGCAGTTCGAAAGCACGTCAAAGCGCAAGTAGATAAATAGGTACCGCTCCGGCGGGAAGGTAAACGGCGTTTCTGTGCGCTGCTCTGGTTCGCCAGAAGCGGCTTAGTCATGCTGGCCACATGAGCCGGAAGCTGTACCTGGCTCCCTCAGCCAGTTAAGTGAGATGAGCGCCGCAACCCCAGAGTCGGCCATGACTGAACCTAATGGTCAGGGGTCCCTTTACCTTTACTACTACTACTACTACTAAGCACTTGTGACCTGCCAGCTTGGCCAGCTTGGGCCAGAGCCAGACGCTTTGCTAAAAGACTTACAGGATATTGGAGACTAGAATTTGTGTCCGTACCAATGGTCAGCTGTCTTATTATAATTAGACTTAGAAGAGACTGTCATACGGTTTGCAGAAGCAACTACCATGCTGGAAGTAGTTAGTGAAATTACTGACTGGGAAACTTGGGTATTCCCTGAAATTATAGGCTCATTCAGAACTGTAGGGAGCAGTATTGCTCAGCCTTTGAATGGTGTTTAAATCTTAAACGTTTTGCTCAACAGCATGAGATATGTAAAATGTTTCTTATTTGCTAACCATGCCTGTCAGAGCAGTTTCCTACGAGCTTATGTATGTCATGTTCCCAGTTCCTGCCAACCTAGCAGTTCAAAAGTACACCAGTGCAAGTAGATAAATAGGTACTGCTGCGACAGGAAGGTAAACGGCATTTCCGTGCGCTTTGGTTTCCGTCACGGTGTCCCGTTGCACCAGAAGCAGTTTAGTCCTGCTGGCCACATGACCCAGAAATCTGTTTGTGGACAAACGCCAGCTCCCTCAGCCTGAAAGCGAGATGAGCACTGCAATCCCATAGTCACCTTTGACCAGACTTAACCACCCAGGGGTCCTTTACTTTTTTTACCTTTTAATGTTAAGACAACCTGTTGGCTCATGCTCAGAACAGGATATGATACCAGAAACATGGAAAACTAATCATTTTTTCCTTAACAATAATTTATTTTGATTAAAGTGGCTACACTTTCACTGAACCACCATTTTTTCTCAGGCTGTGTTTTGGCAACATGCCACATTTATGTAATGGAAATATTAGTAACCTATCTCATGGGGTTGCTATAGCGGTCAATGATATTCAGCATTATAGTATGAGTTATAGGCTTGAATTCAGTGGCAAGGAAAGTGCCACTGCACACATGACGGCCCTGGTGCAGGGCTTCTGCGGATGGCATTTGTTAGGTGGATCCTGCCCACTGTGTTGTTCAGACACTTAGTTAAACTGATATAAGTGAAGCAGTGGAAAGCAATACTAGTCTTTTTATTTCTTTTCTTTTTTTTTGCATTCCAGAAAGATTAGAACCCTGAGATGAAACCTCACCAAACAATTCCTTTTTTTAGAACATTGCGTGTTCAGTGTTACTGCTCTCTCCAGCAGCGTCATCTTCCTTTACTTGATAAGAGAGCTACTTGTTGGACAAAACTGAATACTTTTCAGCACAGCTGGGATTTGTGGAATACAGTTGCCCCTATTGTAGCATTTAATAACTGGCCAAGGAGATATCACCAGACCTCAGGAACACTCTGGAACCTTGAAGCACTGCAAACGTATTTACAGACTTTAAGCCAAGAATACCAAAGAATGGAGAAATTGCTCCGTGATAGCTCAGTAAAAGAACACAGAAGAAGAGCTCTGAGCAAGAGACATGCTGAACTGTTCCCGCTTGCTGTGACATTTAAAGAAATTCAAGAGGCAGAAAAAGAACTTCAAGATTTGGAGATACTTTGTTCAAGTAAGTTATGCAGGTGTTTTGCTTAGCTCACCTCCCCCTGCCATCTTCAAGACCTTTTGCTTAAATTTCATCTAATAGAGCAATTGTACCCTGACATCCACCAACTCTCTGTAGCTTTCTCCTCACCTGTTGGCTTTACAAGCCATTCCAAGTCTCTCCCACTTTTTTCTCAAATTCATGGGTTCATTAAAAGCAGTGTGCTTGGACCAGCAGCTATTTGCAGGATTCACTGAGGAGGTACTGCAGGAAGTACTTCTTTAAGTGTGTTTACAGAGATCTCTCAGTAAGGATCCCCTACAGCAGGCATGTCCAACACATCGATTGCGATCGACCAGTCAGTCGCTGGATTGAGAGAGAGAAGCCTGGCGTGCTCTGACTGGCTCCTCAGAGAGAGAAAGGGCTGGTTTAGGGAGAGAGAGGGAAGCAGGGAAGAAGAATCATGGAGCAAGGAAGGAAGCAACTCGGAAGGGAAAGAGTTACCGACTGGCTCATCAGATCTGTGTAAACTAATAAAAAATATAGTTTGACTTTTCTCACTTGTTTAGTTACTTGTCCATCTAGTAACTATTTGGATCTGTCATGATGATATCCAAACATAACTATGGTACAGTGGTATCTCGGTTTTCGAACAGCTTAGTTCCCGAACAACTTGGAACCCGAATGCTGCAAACCCAGAAGTAGGTTGTAGAGCAGTGGTGGTGGCTTGAGGTTTGTTCATCTCCTTCCTGCTGCCACTACCTGCCCTGCTCATTGAGACCAAAAAGTCTGGATGCTATCCTAAAGTTCGAAGAGCCACATGAAGATACATAGCTTGCCCAGAAAAGCTGCTGTCCCTTTCCCCAGCAAACAGTGATAAAATATTTGACTAGGGCAATAATATTGTCTGCTTTCACCACCATCTTTTATGAGGAAGGAAAGAGCCTATTGTTTTCATTTAGTTCCTCCTCTCCTGTTGACCTACACACCCCTTCAATTTCATTTTTAGCAAAAGCCAAAACCCCTGCTTTCTTACGATTCTGATATTACCGTATTTTTCACTCCATAGGGCGCACCTAGTTTTCAGAGGGGGAAATCAAGGAAAAATATATGACCCCCCCCCCCCAGCTCTGGGAGCAGCAGACAGGCTGCAGGCAGCCTGTGCGCTTCTCCCAGACCTTATTCCTGCTTTTGTGGGAGGTGGGGGAATTCCCCCACCTCCCGCAAAAGCCCAGTTTGGGGAGAAGGGGACAGAAGCGTGCAGCCTGTATGCTTCTCCCAGACCTTCTCCCTGCTTTTGCGGGAGGTGGGGGAATTCCTCCACCTCACGCAGAAGCTGTGCGCTCTTTAAAGGGGCTGCGCGGCTTCTCCTGGCTTTTCTGGAGAAGCACCGGCACCAGAGGTGAAAGAATGTCCCTTCAGCCTCCTTACATTTCCAACATTTATTATCAGACAGATGATATATCTTAGCAAGCTTGACTGGGGTCATGTACCACCTGTATATCATTTTCATAATATTCTCTTTCAAGGCATTACATGCCGTGAATTTCATACCAGTGGTCCATAACCTTTCCCAGTCTTCAAACATAATGTTGTACCCAATGTCCTGAGCCCATTTTATCATGGCTGATTTGACTGTCTCATCCTGAGTGTTCCATTTAAGCAGCAAGGTATACATTCTCGAAAGTACCTTGGTTTTTGGTTCCAACAATTCTGTCTCTAGTTTCGATTTTTCCACCTGGAAGCCTGTTCTTTTGTCCAACTTAAAAACCTCTTGAATTTGAGCATAGTGAAGCCAATTTTGCACCTTATTCTTTAATTTTTCATAACTCTGCAGCCTCCAAGTTTCTCCTACTTTTTCTATAATTTCCCCATATTTCGGCCAACCAACCTCCATATTAGGTTTTTTCCGGTGAGAGCCACCTCGGAGTCTTACCTTCTAATAAGTCCTTGTATTTTGTCCAGACCATAAATATTGATTTTCTAACAATATGATTTTTGAACATTTTATGAACCTTTACCTTGTCGTACCACAAATATGCATGCCAACCAAAAGCGTTATCGAACCCTTCCAGATCTAGGACATCAGTGTTCTCAAGAAGTAACCAATCTTTCATCCAGCAGAAGGCCGCAGCTTCATAATATAATCTCAGGTCCGGCAGGGCAAACCCCTCTTTCTTTCGAATCAGTTAGTATTTTAAACTTTATCCGGGGCTTTTTGCCCTGCCAAACAAACTTGGATATATCCTTCTGCCACTTTCCAAAACATTCCACTCTGTCCACAATCTGTAGGGTTTGGAACAAAAATAACATTTTCGGCAATACATTCATTTTTATAGCTGCAATTCGACCTAACAAGGAAAGTTTCAATCTTGACCAGATTTCCAAATCTTTTTGATTTCCAGCCAACATTTTTCATAGTTGTCTTTAAATAAATTTAAATTTTTCGCTGACAGGTGAACCCCTAGGTATTTCACTTTTTTTTTACCACACTTAGTTCTGTTTCCTTCTGAAACCCAACTATTTCTGAAGGTGTCAAGTTTTTCCCCAAAACATTTTTTTTGCTTATTCAACTTAAATCCCGCCACCCGACCAAATTCATGAATCAGTTCTAATACTCTTTTTGTACTAGATTCTGGCTCCTGTAATGTTAAAACCAAATCATCTGCAAAACTCCTGGCTTTTCTTTTCTTTTTTAATAATTTTTATTAACTGGCCAATCAAATCAAATCCCATCACATAAATTCCGAATTACAAAGCCGAATTTTAAATTTTGTTGAGGGGACCCATATTTCAAGATCCGAAGGGGGATTCTGATCATCTTCTTGCTGGATTAATGTCCAAATCAGTCCAAACAAAGTTCATAATTCTATCCAGTCTTATCTTGCTGTTTCCACATCACATCTTGTTCATATATTTTCTCTTTTTTCTTTATGATCTCTTCTGATAGTCTCCTTAAGCCGATAAACACCAATAATAATCCTGTGTGAATTTTTCCGTTCTTCCAATCCTCAAATCGAGATGGTTTCCATATATCATCGCCTTCATAGATAACATCGCTCTTTCCATCATTAATTACAGAACTGTCGTTCTTAAGTCCCTCTGAGGAGTTTCACCCACAATATAAAAACAGCTCTATTTCTCTATTTCTCCTCCCAGACTTAAGTCCTCCAACAGAACTTCCCAATATGGCGACGGTATTTTTAACTGCGTCATTCCAAAGCCCTTATACATTCCACGCTCTTCTTAAAACATGCTTTGGTTCAAAAGTTTATCTCCACACAGCCTTAAATCCACAGCTTAAGTCCTTAAAACGACATTTCTGACTTGTGAGGGGGGGGGATTCTTGTTTAATCACATAAAGGAAAGAAAGGAAAGTTTCCCCCCCCCTCCCCCATCAGTCCCTTTGCCATACTGAGTCTTGGCGTATCTTCTCATGATTTATACTTGTTCCTCCGACTCGTCTTGTTTTATCAGAGATCTCTTCTGTTAGCAGTCTTTACTCCCCCTCCTTCCTTGAAATATGTGCATTCGCTTCATCCAAATTGTTTCTTTTGAAGTTCTTGCAGCTAGTGGCGCGGATCAGAGACGGCGTCCAGGAGCGCCGAAATCCCACAGGAGGGCATTGTGCCTAGTGCCCCCATCCCCACAAATTCGGGGGTGGTATAGGGCACAGCAGGCAAGGGCAGCCCCCCCACACAATCCTGGGGGGGGGGTAGGGAGGCTATTTACTCCCATCACAGCCTCCAAATTACCTCATGTGGGTCGGAGAGATGTTATTGTCAGCCATCTTCTGATGCGCCCCTAGTGGCCCCCTCTCCTGGCTTTTCTGGGAGGTGGGGGAATTCCCTCACCTCTCGCAAAAGCCCGCAGAAGCTGCACACTCTTTAAAGGGTGCGTGGCTCCTGTGGGCTTTTCTACGAGGTGGGAGAAGGGACTGATACAGCCAGTCAGTCCCTTCTCCCTCCTGGGGAAAAGCCCGCAAGAGCACACGGAGCTTGTGTGCGGCTCTTGGGGGCTTTTCCCACCTGCTTCCCCCCTGCATTCGCTCCATAGGATGCACACACATTTTCCCTTGCTTTTTAGGAGGGAAAAAGTGCATCCTATAGAGCGAAAAATACGGTACATAATTCCATTTCAAGGTTTTCCCCATGTCCTTCATGGCACACTGCCTCAAATGTCTTTAGATGAGCATGGATGCAAATTTGCCATCTAAGTCCAGGCTGGACCTTGATGGAAGAATGTAGTACATGTCTACAGGAACTATGTCCAGATGGTTCGCAGAACAACAAAGGACAAAAGTGAAATAAAATTAAATGAGGCAGATGCACCCAAACTGTTTGTTTTAACAAGATTACTGAATGTTTACTTCTTCAACCACTTATCCCTAGAGCTAAACAGCCCAGAAGAGAAACCGCTACTAGAACTTGCTCTAGAGGAAAAGGAGATTATTGACCAGAAGATCAGCGCTCTGTGTCGAAAGGTGAGCAGGGGACCATGGATGGATTTCCTGATCTAGCAATCAGTTTGAATGGTGATACGTATGGAGAATAGTGTGCACTAGACTCTTGTGTAGGAAAAACAAGGTTGTATCTTCCCATTTATCTCTCAATGTGGCCAGCGGCCTGGAGTTTTTCTCTAGGGAAAAGCGGTGCTGAAACTGTCCCCGCCCCCCACAAGCCCTTCCATAGCGGGCTGCTGCTGCTGTGCTCACAAGGATCCATTTCCGATTGTGCAGGTGCTGGGCTTAACTATGGGAGGGAGAGGTGGGGAGGGGGAGGGGGCAGCTATGGCCTGGGCTGGGGCTGGAGCCATCCAGCCTCTGAGGGGGCAGAAAAAGAAGGGGAGACAGGTTCTCTGTAGGATACAGAGAGGTGTTGGCCTCTCACACTGGATACTCTTCAGAATCAGAAGCAAAAAGCATTTGAATCTGCAGTGTGGAACTGTGGTGGGCTGTGTTCTGAATATTTTCACAAAGCTTCCTAGTTTGTGAGAAACTATACCTACACATGAACTTCTGATTCACATTATGATACTGTGAATGAAAAAGTAGGTTATGTGTTTCTGTACATAAAACATTAGCGTGAACTTGCTCCTGAATATCAACCCCACCCACACAAAAAATGTGTGTTTTGTCTTTGCTTTCTAACTATTATAAGCATTGATAATATTTTCCACTTTGTACTTGTGAATTAAAAACCTATTTTATTTTTCAGATTTTCCAGATCTTGATACCAAGAGAAAAATATGATGACAGTGGTGTATTGTTAGAAGTAACATCTGGCAGGACAACTGGAGGTCAGCAAAGTCGCCACATAAAAACCACCCTCCTCCTAGTTATGGGGCTTTCTGTTTTTGTCAGTTGTTTTGTGTTAGAAATTAGATATTGATTTAACGAAGCTAAATTATTAGTGGTGGTGGTGATGATCCACGGTCAGAGGCAGTGCTTCAGAATACCTGTTGCTGGAAATGACAGGAGGGGAGAGGGCTGCTCCTGGGCTCCCGTCCTGCTTGCAGGTTTCCCACAAGTTGGCCCCTGTGAGACCAGGGAGCTGAGCTAGGTGGCCCTGAGCCTGCTCATCTCCTTACGGTGACAGCATTCTGCACAGCACTGCTCATATTGACATTTCAGTAGCATTCAGAGAAAACTCTTGCATTTCAGGTGACATTTGTCAGCAATTTACCAAAGAGGTATTTGACATGTACCGGAATTACGCTGATTACAAATGCTGGACCTTTGAGACTGTGAACTACACTCCAGCGGATTACGGTATGGCTGTAGCCTGTTATACTAGTCGCATAGATAACTTAAAAGATTGCCTTCACCCCTTTCCCCAACCTGTAATGTGTATTTAAAGGTGGGCTACACCATGCTGCTGCTCGTATTTTGGGAGACGACGTCTACAGGCATTTGAAATATGAAGGAGGGACTCACAGAGTGCAGCGAATCCCTGAAACAGGATTATCTTCCAGAATGCAGCGGATCCATACTGGCACCATGTCAGTGATTGTCCTCCCTCAGCCAGATGAGGTATTCATTTCAGTCGGTGTCTCTTGCTGTGTAACTCCATAAATGCTAGTTTCTAAGTAGAATGTTTGTTAACTTGACCACAACACCACCTTACGTGATCTTCCGGGGGAATAGCCGTGCCCATAACTGCCTCATGAGATGGGCCTGTTGTGCATGTGTCTGTCTTTTTAGTAGGTTTCTGGTGCTACTTCAACTCTGCACAGGGAAGAAAAGCTGAGCTCTGGGCAAGCTGCATCCCACCAGTCTCCATGGGCCAGGCCAGCTTGCTTTACTCCCATTTCTCTTAGGCACAAGGGATAAACAGAGGGGTGTGGGGTACTGCAGCTCCCATTGTCCCTGGCCACTGGCCGCACTGGTTGAACTGGAGTTAGGAGCGAGCAGTGAGGTGACCAAGTTTGCTGATGATACGAAATTGTTCAGGGCAGTTAATTCAAAAAGAGATTGAAAAGAGCTCCCAAAGGCCCACCTGTTAATCAAGTGGCATCCCGAAGCCAGGACTGCAAAGCACCATGCAGGCAGGACCATGCTGTTAAAAATGGTTTTTATCTCCGTTTTAGCCGTGCATTTGGGAATCCAGCCCAATTGAACAAGTTCAGTTCCTGCAGGAAATTCCCCTTAGCTGATGTGGGAGGAGGTCCGTGCTGCCTAGGGCTGAGCACTGTGGGGCTGCTTCAAAGAGCAGCACAGAGTGCGCTACGACTCCTCTCTCCAGGTGCTACTTTGAAAGCACTCTCAGCCAAGGCTAGCATCCCCTTTCCCAAACATTAGGGAGGGTGACCCAGAAGTCAAAGCTTCGCCATGGACCTCCATGCTTGTGGGGTGGAGGAGAGGCGCTGCTTGCTTTGACAGTGTGTGCTGTCCCCAGAAAGGAACAGGGACGTGCGGCTAAGCTGAGTTCTGCAACTGCTCTGTGTGGCTTCTCCCAACTTCCCATTTTGGAGGCTGATAGGGTCGGGGGGCGGCTGCATTAAAGAGCAGCACTGGTGAGTGGGGGGTAGTCTCCTACCTTCTCCAGCAAAGGAAAATGGTGCACTCAAGCCTTGCTCCATTGAAGGAACAAAATTGGCCAATCCCTTTAAGCTCCTTAAAGGGTGGATGGGCATGGCTTCCTCCAGACGGCCTGGCAGGCAAAATGGAGAGGTCTGGCCAGCCAGGTTTAACTCACAAGCCACAGCTTCCCCTCCCTGATGAAGAAGATACTTCTCCTCAACCAAACATAACCATACCAAACAAAAACAAAAAAAGGGATTTTTTAAAAAATGCATGCAGCCCCAGCATGGCTTCTTTGGCAGTTCTTCTGATTCTCTGAATAGGGTGAAGGGAAAAAAACACACACTTTCCCCATAAAATTCCGTGTAAGATAGTAAAATGTTCTCTCTCTCTCTCTCTCTCTCTCTCAAGGTGACAGTTAAAATAGATCCAAGAGATTTGCGTATAGATACATTTCGAGCCAAAGGAGCAGGAGGTCAGCATGTCAATACAACAGACAGTGCTGTTAGAATTGTACACATTCCCACAGGTAACCCTTGTATAGTTTGTTTTATCTTTGCTCCCCTTTTCACAGAAACATGCACATCAAATATATAGGAACCAGTATTCAATTTGTGATACGCAGGCTGTCTTCTGTGGCTATGCTAAAAAAGAGGACTGATGCAGATTCCTGGGGGACAGTGCTCCTTAGAGGAGTGGATGGGGCAACCAGCCAGATGGGCAGGGTACAAATAAAATCATCATCACCACCATCTATTTATAATCTATTTGTATTCGCTGCTTCCTGTTCTTTAACCAGTTACAGATCCATAAGAGGGCCTGTTCCTTTATCCTGTGACTGCTAAGTTTTTTTGCTGAGGGAGGGACTGTATCAAAAGCTTTTTTGAAAATCTCCTTATACAATGTCTGAAGGATCATCCCTGTCCTTGTTGCCGCTGCCCGAGCCTCTCTTGCCCAGGTACAGTTGGGGGCGCACTTTAAGGCGGTGCACCGCCAGCCGCATCTCCACCTGCCCTTGCATGATGTCACATACGACATCTGGTGTGCTGTGGTTTGGGGGGAACAACCTCATAGGCCAAAGTGGAACACCTCCAGGGCCCAGAACAAGCTGCCAACTGGAGATTCTTCAACACTATTTCCCTCCTTTCCTCAGACTCTCTTCCTGAGAAAATTGACCAAGGCATAAGGATCTGTCTAGATGTATTGTTTGTTATAATGTAAATATATAGTAAATTACAAGAAAGGAGATTCTGACTAAACATCAGGAAGAACTTTCTGACAGTAAGAGCTGTTTGACAGTGGAACAGTCTCCCTCGGGAGGTGGTGGACTCTCCTTCCTCGGAGGTTTTTAAGTGGATGTCAGATGGCCATCTGTCATGGATGCTTTAGCTGGGATTCCTGCATTGCAGGGGGTTAGACTAGAAGGGATTGGGTCCCGTCCAACTCTACAATTCTGTGATTCTTTGATTCTGTTTTTCTGGAAATAATTTTTCATGGATAATATTTTTTGTGATTATGCCAGAAAAATAGTTTTAAAATACATAAAATAAGAAGTTTATAGATGGGAACTTAAACTTCATAGCGTCTGTGTACATTTTTGTTTCTTGGAGCACAGGATTTTCCATTTTACCAAATGGGAGCAGTAGCCCTTCCTGGTCAGCTTAGCATGAATAATTTGCAAGACATGGTCACTTATTTCCAAAACTTATGCAGGCAGGGATTATCTGATGAAAGCTTTCTAAAAATTCTGAAGGGTTAACCACTGAGTGCCAAGAAGAGCGATCTCAGCAAGTGAATAGAGAAACTGCTCTGCGGACCTTGAGAGACAAGCTGTACCAGCAGACCATAGAGAGAGAGCTGAGGCAGAGGCAGAGCGCCAGGAAACTGCAGGTGAGAAGATGGGCCACTGCTTCCCTTAGGTGCTCCCTGTGTGGAAAGGGGGGGGGGAGCTCTGCAATTGGCCTCACTCCGTAAGCAGGGGGTTTGTAGGCAGGAGGTTTTGGATTCAGCCTCTGACATTACCACAAAGCAGGTCTGAAGCTCGTCAGTGTTTAGTAATGGGTGACAATCACATTTAAATAAAAATCCAGGATACCTGAATTGATTTCTGTGGGACAGCATTCACTTCACCAGGAAAGGTTGGCATGCAATATGTGAGCAAACCAGTAATCTAGGCAATGGGTGCCCCCCCCCCCGCAGCCTTCTTTTTGGGGGTCTAATACCTGGATTTCTCTCCCTGAGTTTCAGTCATTGCTATGACTTCATACATTGACTGAAGGCAGGACCAAATTAGTTTCTCACAAAACACATGAGATATCTGCATATTTTGCCTTATGGCTTTGGTTCTACAAGTGCTAGAAAGTTTTATTTAAAATAATGAAAACCAAGGATTGGGGGGATTATGGCCTGGGGAGGGTGGCTCCCTCTTGCTGCAGATGCCCAAGGATCAAGACCTTTGAGCGACTTTGAATGCATTTTGCACTTGTATAATTGCAATAATTACAACTCGTCTCATAAGGTTATTATAACAAATTATCTATTATAAAGCACCTAGATTGAAAACAGTAAAGCTACAATGCAAAAGTAAATTAGATTTTAAGACCTGCATTCTTAATTGACATTTTGCATACAAAATAAGTACTATATTTTAATAGGCTTTATAGGTTATTTTATGGCTTTTATTGTAATGTATTGTTCTTTTTCTGATTTTATGTTGTGCTTGGAGTCTCCTTTTGTAGCAAGTGACTAATAAATTGAATTAAACATAATAAATTCTCAAGTGTTGAAAAATGTGTAGACATTGACCAATAATAATAAATGCCGAGCTATTGAGACTATAGCAAAAATGTTTTAATTATTACATTTTTTAAATTGTGAAACAAAACAAAATGTTCTTTTGCAGTTGGGGACAAGAGCCCAGTCAGAGAGAATTCGCACATATAACTTCCACCAAGACCGAGTCACTGACCACAGGGTTACCTATGAAATCCGTGACATCAAGGTATTTGTCTCTTAAAGGGTTCTCCTATGTTGGCCTGGAGCCTCCATCTTCTCCAGTAATGCAAGACCCTGCAGCAGTGCATGGAAACCCTGTTGCCCGATACTCTTTTCACTGGGACTTTGCATGTTGCACCATTCAGCTTCAGCTCTTCCCCTTTACAGTGGCACTCAGAAGAGGCTGTGCAACAGTCCGTTGTGGGGGGGGGGGGCGCTTCTGTTCGTGGCTCCAGCCATTGCATTCCTTCATGGGGAGGTGGTGGATGCCCCTTCCTTGGAGGTTTTTAATTCCCCCCCCCCCAAATAATATTTATTATTTTCAGTAGATAAACATAGTAAAAAAAGAAAAGATTAACAATAATAAAAACAAACAAAAAATAGGAGAAAAATATAAAAATGAAAAAAGATACATACAACATATTACCACTTAATTAATTAAAATTAAGTCTCATCCATCTTCATAAACATAGTGTTTGACTTCCTCGAATCTCTTCCATCTGAATTTCTTAGTAATTATATGTAGCAGTTTCCAACATCAGAATTTCAAAAAACCATATCACAGTCCTAATCATATTACATAGCTTTCCTTATCATACATTTTCTTATTTATAAATTTAATTCCATTTTAATCCTAGGCCTAATTGTTTCTTTCAAGTGGTTACATATCTTTAATATTACAATACTTATTCAAATAGTCTTTAAATTTCTTCCAGTCTTCTTGGTGTTCCTCTTCTTTCTGATCATGGATTCTCCCGGTGAGGTCAGCCAGCTCCATAAACTCCATCATCTTCATCTGCCATTCTTGTACCGTTGGTATTTCTTGTGTTTTCCATTTTTTGGCTAATAAAATCCGTGCAGCAGTTGTGGCATACAAAAATAATTTTACATCTTTTTTGGGCAGTTCAGAACCTGTTATTCCAAGGACAAAGGCTTCTGGTTTCTTCATAAATGTATATTTCATCATTTTTTTAAAATTCATTATAAATTTTTTCCCAGAAGTCTTTTACCTTGGAGCAAGTCCACCACATATGATAGAAAGTACCTTCCTTTTCTTTACATTTCCAGAATAAATTATCACAATTGTGGTAGATCTTCACCAGTTTAACAGGGGTTAAGTACCATTTATACATCATTTTCATAATATTTTCCTTTAACATTGTACATGCAGTAAACTTAACCCCTTTCTTCCAAAGTCTCTCCCAGTCCTCCATCATTATATTATGTCCCACATCTTGTGCCCAATCAATCATAACCGATTTTACTTGCTCATCTTTTGTATGCTACTCCAATAACAAACTATACATTTTAGACAAATTTTTAACATTAGTATCTAACAACTCTGTTTCCAGTTTGGTTTTTTCAATTGCAAAACCTTTTTTCTTATCAATCTTAAATAATTCATTAATTTGGTAATATTGAAGCCAATTTACTTTGTCTTTGATTTGTTCAAATGATTTTAACTTAAATCCCTCCACGTCTTCAACCAATAAATCTTTGAGTATCTCAACCATTTATATTAAGCTTTTTTTGTGCCTGCACTTCCATTGGTGAAATCCATTTGGGTGTTTTTCTTACCAAAAGATCCTGATATCTAGACCAAACATTTAAAAGTGCTTTCCTAATTATATGATTCTTAAAGCCACTATGGGCCTTTATTTTGTCATACCAAAGATATGCATGCCAGCCAAACCTATTATCCAATCCTCCTAGGTCCAAAATGTCCTTATTTTCTAAATTGATCCAATCTTTAATCCAGCAGAAGGCCGCAGCCTCAAAATATATCTTTAAATCAGGTAGGGAAAAGCCTCCTCTTTCTTTCGAATCTGTAAGTAATTTATACTTAATTCTCGTTTTTTTCCCTTGCCAGGTAAATTTGGATAGGGCCTTCTGCCATTCTTTAAAGCATTTGGCATTATCAATAATAGGTAAAGTTTGAAATACAGTGGTGCCTCGCAAGACGAAATTAATCCGTTCCGCAAGAGTCTTCGTCTAGCGGTTTTTTCGTCTTGCGAAGCAAGCCCATTGACGGATTAGCGCTATTAGCGCTATCAGCTGTTTAGCGGCTATTAAAGGCTTAAAGGCTTAGGGGATTAGCTGCTAAAAGGCTATTAAAGGCTATTAAAGGCTTAGCAGATTAGATTAAGGGGGGGAAAAGCGAAAAAAAAATCTCAAGACTCGCAAGACATTTTCGTCTTGCGAAGCAAGCCCATAGGGGAATTCGTCCTGCGAAGCAACTTCAAAACGGAAAACCCTTTCGTCTAGCGGTTTTTCCGTCTTGCGAGGCATTCGTCTTGCGGGGCACCACTGTAGAAACAGCATTTTCGGCAATACATTCATCTTAACCACCGATATTCGTCCCATAAGTGAAAATTTTAAGTTTGATCAAATCTCTAAATCTCTTTTTATTTCATTCCATACTTTCTCATAATTATCTTTATACAAATTCAAATTCTTAGCTGTTAAATTCATACCCAAGTATTTAAATGCTAGGCCTGTTTTTTCTATAAGGGTTTTTCTTTCATCTTTATCTAAGTTTTTATCGATTACCGTATTTTTCGCCCCATAGGGCGCACCGGCCCATAGGATGCACCTAGTTTTTTGGGGGGAAATTTTTTCCCCCTTTATTTCCCCCCCAAAACCAGGTCGGGGAATCCAAACCAGGTCGGGGAACAGCGGGATAGTGGCGCTGCACCTCCCCGCTGTCCCCCGAGCTTGTGGGGCTGCCCGATATCTGCACGAAGCCCGGGGCACGCTGTGCAGCACGCCCCAGACTTCGGGATGCAGGCTGCTATCCGCAAGCCTTGGGAGCCCGACGGGAACTCCCGCGGAGCTCCCAAGGCTTGCGGAGAGCTTCCTGAAGCCTGGAGAGTGAGAGGGGTCGGTGCGCACCGACCCCTCTCGCTCTCCAGGCTTCAGCGAAAGCCTGCATTCGCCCCATAGGATGCACACACATTTCCCCTTCATTTTTGGAGGGGAAAAAGTGCGTCCTATAGGGCGAAAAATACGGTACTTTGGTTTTCTTCTTGTTTAATTTAAAACCAGCCAGCTGCCCATACTCCTGTATCATCTCCAGTGCTTTTACTGCACTGGTCTCTGGATCCTGTAAAGTTAGAACCAAATCATCAGCAAAGGCTTTTAGTTTATATTGTTTCAAACCCACTACGATCCCCTTGACTTTCTCTTCTTTTCTCAAACTGTTCAGCAAGACCTCCAGGACCGCAATAAATAATAGAGGGGAAAGTGGGCACCCTTGCCTGATTCCTTTCTCAATTTTAATTTCTTCCGATACCATTCCTTGGAGGTTTTTAAGCAGAGCTGGGATGGCCCCCGGTCAGGGGGCTGGACTAGAGGACCCTGGGACCCCTTCCAACTCCACTGTTCTATGATGCTGCAATTCCATGCCTGCTGAGCATGCTTTGTCTTCAGGGGCCTGTGGCTTTGGCTTTGGCTTTTCTTCATTTGGGGATCTTTGGAGTATGTGTCTTATGCCTAAAATCTTTTGTTTATTCTATTGATGTTTGTGGACAGCTGTCTCTTCTGTCCCTGGGTACATTTTAAAACAGCTTTAAAATAGTGAGCCAGGAAATGAATTATACAGACAATGAGATGCTTATTTCTATCTTTTTATATCTGTGTTCTTCTTCCTTCCTCCTCTTCCTGCTGCTCCATCCCATTCTCCCTCACACTCAGTTGCCAGCTTTTTCTCTTCTCTTTCAGCCAGTGTCCCATGCCACCCAAGTCCTTACAGAGCGGTTTTTGTGGTTTCCTCTCAGGGATTTTTTCACAAAAATTTTCAGAATCTGCAGATTTCAGGTTCTCATAAATCTGTTGGTAACTTCTCTCATGTATGTTAGTGGTGCCATTTTTGGCTACAGCTTTGTAGGCAAAGGAGAACTTGAATCTGACATAGAAGGGGTGTTATAATTAATGTGGCCGAAAGCAACTTCACAAGTAGACCATGAACATTATACATGTCCATATGCTGCTTACTGATGTAATCCAAACTCATGTTGATCCTTTCAGTCCACAGTAACGTGTTTTATTTCCCCCCATCTTTTAATAGGAATTCTTAAGTGGGAAGAAGCTCCTGGATGAACTAATCAGCAAACTCTTAGAGGCTGCAGAGATGGAATCTCTGATGGAACATTTGGAAAACAATTTAAAATCTCTGCAAGCAGACTCCTGACTTGAAATGTGTAATGGATGCAAATGCTTTTAATTGGCTTGCAAAATTTAACAAACCTCACAGAAGTATGAGTGCTGTTCTGCATTTAAATATTTCATTATCGCTGTCGCTGACTTTATGGCTGTGACCTAAACAAATGGCATATAAAAGCATGTAGAACTTCATGCAGAGACAAAGGTTTGTCTGGTGCTTTATTTCAGGCTCCATAGTTGCTCTGACAAATCATACAAATAAAATTTTTTAAGGGATGGGTGCAGCTTGACTAATCAGACTGGCAAACACACACACTTATCCATGGAAGACGCAACTCCGTTTTCAAGCTGTAGAGACACAGCTTCCAGGGAAGAGCTAGCGTGTTAGCCCATATAATCTGCAACATGTAGTGTGCAGAAAATGGGAAATCAGTCAAGTAGGCATCATACTGATGACTTCCAGGAAACATGGTGGACTGAAGAGAGCTCTCCTGGAGACTCCTGCACCACCTGAGAAAACCCAGGCCCTCCATGTGCAGGATAGCGCAGAGCAGCAGCCGCTTGGAATGAAAAAGAGGGAGAGAAAACCACACCGTCCCCAGGGAAGCAGCAGGGAGATCACCACACAAGGGAACCTCTCCGGGTCCCGGCACAAGCTTCTTCTCCAGCTTCCATGTGGAGGCAGGTAGACTCTCCCTGACATGCCCCCCCCCAGCACAAGACACAGCAACCCGCCCCCGCCCATGAAGAAATTACATCCCAGAGAGTGAGGACTTTAAGAAACTACGTGACTGAGAGTCCGCTGGTGGCACTGCAACTGCAAGCAATCAACAGCAGCCAAGCATTCCCTCTGATCTCTTGCTCTGCCAGCAAAACTAAGGCTCCCATCCACGTGACGCTGACGGAAAAGCACCGCTCGTATACCTCATAAGGAATGAAAGTTTACTGCCCCCGTTCTCTTTCTCTGTTATCTTCCCAGTTCTCTTTCCCACTCAGCCCCACATTGCTTACAACAAATAGGTCACTAATGGACCCATATGAAGGACTCTGTGACTTGAAAACAGAGACACTAAAGGTACTTTTGTAAGTCATGGAAAATCTTTTAATGAAAACTTTTTAAAAAAGGTCTGCATCATACCACACGTGTCTGTGTGACAAGAGTCTTTTAAACAAGTCAAATCCAGGTGATCAAAAACTCATTTCCAAAGTAGTTAACATCTATTCCATCTTGTAACTTTTAGGCCTTTTCTGGTTTATTTATATTGTCTTAAGATTCAGAATCACAAAATGATTATGATTATTTTACATTTCAAAAGTGGGAAAAAGTGATAGTCTCACAAATACACTATCAACAATAGTATATAATTAGGAGAACTAATCTCAGTCATGAAGCAGCATGAAATCATTACAGATATTCTAGATTCATACGTTAAAGTCCAAAGAAAAGTAAATACAGTAACTGATTTATTTTTTTAAGATTTTCTAAGCTGCTTAAAACCTAATCTGTACTAAATTCTTTATTTTGTGAAAGCCTAGAGATGTTGTGCTGTTGACTTCAGCAGGAGTCACGGTTCAGCCTAGCTCTGCCGTCGTGGATCTGAACACTCCTAGGTGTATTTGCGACTAAGCTCGTTAATTTTCATAAACCCTTCTTTGTTGTTAATAGTCTTGTACACAGTAACGAGAAAGGGAAAAGCAGACGGTAACTCCACCCGCCTGCTCAGTTTCTGGTGTCCCCAGTGAAGACACCGAAGCTTGTCTGCCAGGTCTTTCCTTCCTGACCTTTCTAGAGCATCCTGAAGCAGTTTGGTCTTGTTAAGTTTGTGCCATGATTGTTCATACCTGCGTGTGAAGGGGGGAGAGGAGGGTGCATAGTGGTTACCAAAGGCTCCAAAGCCATTTGGATAGTCTTCAAAAGTGCTGAACCCAAGTAACAATTGCTCTGGCATTTCATCTGTACTTTGACATATCATTTCCTAAGGCTAATGGCAGATAGACTGGTGCACAAGCGCATTTCTTGTATAGTCAGCTCTGGCCAGAGGCATACGTGCATTAGCTGCATCTTGATAGGACTACTGTAATGCTCTCCTTGTGGGTCTGTCCTTGAAAACTACTTTGGTTGGTACAAAATGCAGCTGCTAAGATCTTGACTGGGACAGGCGTTGGGACTTTCATTAGTTGCCAGTTCATTTCCAGGTTCAAGTCATGGCACTTCAATTACTGAAGGACCAGCCCTTGCGGTGGCGTGGCAAGACACCAACCGGGCATTGGCCTCAGCTAATTAAAAAGACTTGACCGAGTCCTTGAGGCAAAACTGGATGAGTAACTCAAGGTGGAATCAACATCATCTCATTGCCTTGGGCTGATCTTAGACCAGTGCTTGTTCTAAGCAGCAGGGTTTGATCATTTTTAAAGAGAGAGTACTTGCAAAAGAGAATAATTGACTGTGGAATATTTTGTGTGTATCACATTAATTACAATCGATGCTTGCCTCTTCCTCTACCCAGGTGGCAGAGAGGCTACATCGGTGACCAGCATTTATTTAATTTGTTGAAAGCCACCCAGAGTGGCTGGGGCAACGCAGTCAGATGGCAGCATACATGTTGCTGTTGTGAATTCTATCTTTTTAGCCCTTATCTCTGAGGAGCCATTGTTTCTGTGAAGGAAATGCAAAAATCATGCTCAAGACTAAAATAAAGGATATTTACCCTCTGCTCTGACCTACTTACCAATGCTCCAGCATTTTCTGGGCTTGAGCTGTTTTTTTTGTGGTAGCTGCACGAAAGTGGTTTATCTCCACACGACTGAATCCCAGCTCAGAGGCTACCATGGTCCATTCAAAACCCAGTTGCTTGCCCAGTTCTTGCACTGATTTGAGGTTAATGACAGCATCCTATTGAATTTATATTTGTGTTATTAATTCAGAGGGCGTTCTTTTCTGGACATATTGAGGGACCTGTTAAACCAGTTTTGTACAGTGTAATCTACATAGATTTTGCTACAGAAACAAATGACTATATTATTAATCATCACCATCTTAGAGCGATTACACCAGATTCTACTTATATTGCTACTTTCCTTCTTTCTCGCCTATATTGTATACCAGGCATAGGCAAACTCGGCCCTCCAGATGTTTTGGGACTACAACTCTCATCATGCCTAGCTAACAGGACCAGTGGTCAGGGATGATGGGAATTGTAGTCTCAAAACATCTGGAGGGCCAAGTTTGCCTATGCCTGGTGTATGCTGTAATTACTTTCTCTTTTACATGGGCTTTCCCCCCAGGATATTGTTCTGCGTAGGTACAAGGAAACTAGGTATGCAAATAGATTAGTTTTTGATGGCACAACACCATAGCCACATTTCACTCAACACCAAATGGTAATTGGGAACGGCTGCCTTAGTTTCCATTTCTTTAATGCAGAAAAAGTCTTGCTGCCAGCAGCCATATCACATTAACCACCAAGGTCTTGAAAAGGGTTGCAATTAGGCAACTGTGTTTCAAAACGTGAAGAAAGCATGCAAATTTGTGTCCTTACTCATGATGCAGGTCAAGTGGTATGTTCACAGAAAAAATAGGCATGCCTTTAACAAAAAAGAGGACTGTTGAGCAACACACATTTAAGATGTCCCGTGGCATCTTAAATTATTACTTATGTATTACCAAAACTTACCATCAAATGAGCAGTTTAATTCTTTTGGTTCCTAGACAAATACACTCGTGGGGCCTCTTGTTTCAGTGGGTACAGGTGGGTATATCTGCTCATAGCTGGGCAATCATTTGACCATTCTTTGAATATTTGTTTGACCTCTCACTGTACCATCAGTGTTTAGGTTTGAAGCTGGTGGGAAATGCCAATCAAGGGAATCTTTGTATGCCTAATAGAAAGTTACTGGTAGGTTGCCTTCCTGACAGCATAAGGAAAGCAGGGCTGCCGCTTCCCTTTTGGTCGTACTTGAAGCAAGTTGCTTGTGGGAGGCAAAAAGGCACCAGAAACACAGATAATAGCATTATCTTTTTCTCATCTGTTATCATTCAACATTCTGTCCGTGTTAAGACTTTCGTTGACTCAGTCACAAAATATAAGGCAGGGTTGCATGACAAACCAGGTTACGAAGTCCCACCTCACACTTCGAGATCTGATTTTTAAAGACAAGCCTCCTATGATTGCTGGGAAAGATGTACAAGTGAACAACCGTGTGATCAGGAACTGTGCATGCAAAGTATTGAACTCACTTTCTGAAGCTAGAAGTGCTTGTGTATGATTCAGAATAAGCAGTCTGAAGAAAAGTCAAAAGGTCAGCTTACCTCCTGGGCTTTATTTGGCATTCTGTTTCACACTTGTTACCTCCTTTATTTTTAGTAAATCTGTTGGGATGGTAGAAAATGTTTTCCCCCACTAAATAATAGTAGTACTTCTTTCAATAATTATTTTGCACTATTTTCATTATCATTTGAGTAATTAATCTTGTGACCCAAGCCTGTATAATTTATTCTATAATTGAGTCTACTGATAATTTGATAATATTTCTATGAAAGATATAATTGGATCAACTCTTTAGTGATTGGTAGAGCATTTATTCACTCTTTACAATTGGAGTCAGTATGAGGGAACAGATTATAATTTTTGTTTTGGCTGTTGGTACTTTAATTCAGATTCCCAGCTACTCTTGGCAGCCCAAAGCATGTTTTCCCTGAACTCAGCCTCATTATTTGCAAACTTCTAGTTAGTGTGCAAAGGTTTACAACCTGGGAACCTAAGTAAAAACATCTCCAGTATATATTACCTGACAGAATTGCTGTGAGAACTGTAACACTATAAATATTGTATTTTTTTTGTCTGAGTATATGCAAGGCAGCATACAAAGTTAAAAAGATATAACAACAGAATAAGCTAAAACACGTTTTTAAATAACAGTAGCAAACAGACCCCATAGTAAATTATTGTTAACAATTATTCATAATCTCCCAATAGCCATTAAAACTCTACTTGCTTATGAAAGTACATTTCAGAGTCAACAAAGCTGCTTTCTGACATACCTTGTTTCTGTGTTTTATTCAATAATTGCTCTTCTTCCTATTATACAACTTCTTGTTAAATACATATATTTTAAAATACTATTTTCTGTGCTATTTTGAGCAGTTGGTATGCTAAAATATTACTTAAAATACTACGTTTCTGAGGTACCTTTGCAAAAGAAGTACCTAATGAAAACTGATTTAAGTTAAGAGAACTCTTTGAATGTACTCTTGCATGTTGCTAGGCAGCGAGTGCAACATGCACTCCTGTTAAAATAGTTAATTTTTAAAATGCTTAACTGAGAACTGTTTGTTACTCATGATAAGTACATCCAAAGAAGTTATTTCCTCAAAATTCTTCTTGAATAGCCTTTTTTGCTCCACCACAGAATAATCTGAGTCGTGCAGCTCCAAAGAACACATTGTTTTATTAGAGACTGAGGGTCACCATTGCTTTCCCCATTTAAAACACAGCTGCCGCCGGTGGCCATTACAACTGTTGGGGTGGGAAGTGGGAAGCCCAACAGTTCAGTTGGAGCCAGAGTCAAAGGCAGGCAGAGCCAAGCAAGGTGAGTTTTCTCCCCATCCTCCCTGGGGAAGTTCTACAAGGGCAACAGGAGAAGGAAGCTCTCAGGCAAACAAAAGGATGACTTGGTATGGGGAAAAGGGGTGGGTGGGTGAGGGGTGGGTGCTGAGCTAGAAGGGCAAAGCCAGAGAGGGGAAACCCACAGCTGCATCAGACCCAAGGTGACTTGTTCCCGAAGCTCTGCTAACGCCATCTTGGTAGCCAAGATAACCCCACAATTAATTGGTAGAGGTTGTAGCAATGAGCTCATGCGTGTTTATGTTCACTTGCTTTGATAATAAAGAAGCACTGATTGGGCTTGCTTTGACATTCTTCTTATCTGTGGGCTTGGGGTGCTGGGCTCTCTGGGCTCTGGGTATTTGCCACCGATGCCCTCGTCTAGTCAGGTGAACTGATGTTTGCAGCTTTGCTGTATAAAGAGTATATACACATCTGCTTGGGTGTGGACAAGCCATCTCCTTGCTGCACTGCCTGTCCCACGGCTGCTGAGCAGAAGGGCTAGGAGACCGGGAACACTCATTTGCTATGACTCCCCCAGAGGGCCTGGGGCATGTGCCTCAAACCAGAGGAAATGATTGCAACACAGGCAGTATAAAATGTACTGGATCAAATATCACTGTCAGGTATGACGCCCTAACTCTGACCTAAGTCCTTCGACACTGCAAATCATAATGCCCTGTGGACTGTCCTTCTGAAAATCGGCTGCCCAGATAAATTTGTGAACATTCTTTGGCTCCTCCACAATAATATGACAGCAACAATCGCAGATTACAATGGCTCTCAAAATGAACCATTCACAGTGGGATCAGGTGTTAAACAGGGTAGCGTTATTGCCCCAACTCTATTCATTATTTTCATTGCCATGATCCTATACTTTGTCAAAGGGAAACTCCCCACCGGAGTAGAAATCATATATCGAACAGATGGAAAGCTCTTTAATCTGAACAGGCTGAAAGCAAAGAGTAAGGTTACTGTAACTTCCATCACAGAGCTTCAGTATGCTCATGACAACGTAGCGTGTGCATGCTCAGAGGATGACCTCCAACCCATCCTAAGTATCTTCGCAGAAGCTTACAAAAAGCTTGGCCTATTGCTCAACATCCAAAAAAACCAAAGTGCTGAACCAACAAGCACAAAACAACCCCTCTGCAGCGCCCCAAATCCAACTCAATGGTGTAATGTTGAAATGTGGGAGGAGCTTATCAGAGCTTGCAGGGCAGCGGCGCGCGCCTAGCGGCACACACAGTTTGATCCATCTTTTAGATTCAGGGGAACTAGTCTCAAACGTTTGTTGGGGGAGACCTAGGTTTTTTTTTGTGGGGGGAGTTATTTGTCCTGTCTTCACGCTTTTTATGATGGAGGACCACTGTAGCCACCCCCAACGACACGTTCTCAAGATGGAGGGGGAGGGAACAGCTGCAGTCGCCTGCGGTTCCTGCGCAATGTTTGCCATCTTGCCAAAGGTTGCAGGCAGCTTTACCTGCAGCAATTGCATGCTGATTGCCCTCTTAAAAGACAAAGTCCAGCAACTGGAGGAACGTGTAGCTACGCTCCAAAGAATTAGAGAGCTGGAGCTCTTCTTGGAAGCAACAGAGCACACCGTCTCCACCAAGGAGGAGACAGGGGACTCCCCTGAAAAGGAAGCTAGTTCACCAACACAGGAGCCAGATATATGGAGAAACGTGACTCAAAGAAGTAGGAGGCCCAGGGTTCGCTCTGATTGTTTAGAAATACACAATCGCTTTGAGGTCCTCTCCCCTAGCATGGAAGACGAAGAGCAGACTCCATTTGAGGATCTCTCCCTCATTACAGTCGATCAGGTATATGAAGACGAGCAGCAAAGTCAGTCCTCAGGGAATGTGCAGGCGACCTTGGAGCGGACAGCTCACGGAAGAACCCCGACCAAACCTAAGAGGAGGCGTGTAGTGGTGATAGGGGATTCCCTACTGAGGGGAACAGAAGCAGTGATCTGTGGGCCTGACAAGATGTCTCGGGAAGTGTGCTGTCTCCCGGGGCTAAGATCCAAGATGTAACTGAACGACTGCAAGGAATCATAAAACCCACTGACAAATACCCCTTCCTCTTGGTTCATGTGGGAACCAATGACACTGCAAGCAATAGCCTCCAGAAGATCAAAAGAGACTACGAGGCTCTGGGCAGGAAATTGAAGCAATTAAATGCACAAATTGTCATCTCATCTGTCCTCCCAGTTGAACGACGTGGCCCAGGGAGAGAGGGGAAAATAGTGGAAGTGAACAGCTGGCTTCGCAAATGGTGTAAACAGGAACGGTTTGGATTCTTAGATCATGGACTGCAGGATGTGTACAAAAAATGGAAAAGGGGGGAAACCACCAAAGAGGAATTCAAACAAATAGCCAGCACGTGTAGACACAAAGTCAGAAAAGCTAAAGCACAGAATGAACTCAGGCTTGCTAGAGAGGTTAAAAGCAACAAAAAAGGCTTTTATGGGTATGTTTGTAGCAAAAGGAAGAACAAAGAAACAGTGGGGCCACTCAGAGGAGAAGATGGTGAAATGCAAACAGGGGACACAGAAAGGGCTGAACTCCTCAATACCTTCTTTGCCTCAGTCTTCTCCGATAAAGAAAACAATGCCCGACCTGAAGAATTTGGAGCAAATGATTCAGCAAAGGAAACACAGCCCAGAATAACTAAGGAGATAGTACAAGAATACTTGGGTAGTTTAGATGTATTCAAGTTTCCAGGGCCAGATGAACTGCATCCAAGAGTATTAAAAGAACTGGCAGATGTGATCTCAGAACCACTGGCAGTCATCTTTGAGAATTCCTGGAGAACAGGTGAAGTCCCGGCAGACTGGAGGAGGGCAAATGTTGGCCCTATTTTCAAAAAGGGGGAAAGAGAGGACCCAAATAATTACCGCCCAGTCAGTCTGACATCAATACCAGGGAAGATTCTGGAGCAGATCATTAAGCAAACAGTCTGTGAGCACCTAGAAAGGAATGCTGTGATCACCAATAGTCAGCATGGATTTCTGAAAAATAAGTCATGTCAGACTAACCTGATCTCGTTTTTGACAGAATTACAAGCCTGGTAGATGAAGGGAACGCAGTGGATGTAGCCTACCTTGATTTCAGCAAGGCATTTGACAAGGTGCCCCATGATATTCTTGTAAAGAAGCTGGTAAAATGCGGTCTTGACTATGCTACCACTCAGTGGATTTGTAACTGACCGAACCCAAAGGGTGCTCATCAATGGTTCCTCTTCATCCTGGAGAAGAGTGACTAGTGGGGTGCCACAGGGTTCTGTCTTGGGCCCGGTCTTATTCAACATCTTTATCAACGACTTGGATGATGGACTCAAGGGCATCCTGATCAAATTTGCAGATGACACCAAACTGGGAGGTGTGGCTAACACCCCAGAGGACAGGATCACACTTCAAAACGACCTTGACAGATTAGAGAACTGGGCAAAAACAAACAAGATGAATTTTAACAGGGAGAAATGTAAAATATTGCACTTGGGCAAAAGAAATGAGAGGCACAAATACAAGATGGGGGACACCTGGCTTGAGAGCAGTACATGTGAAAAGGATCTAGGAGTCTTGGTTGACCACAAATTTGACATGAGCCAACAGTGTGACGCGGCAGCTAAAAAAGCCAATGCAATTCTGGGCTGCATCAATAGGAGTATAGCATCTAGATCAAGGGAAGTAATAGTGCCACTGTATTCTGCTCTGGTCAGACCTCACCTGGAGTACTGTGTCCAGTTCTGGGCACCACAGTTCAAGAAGGACACTGACAAACTGGAACGTGTCCAGAGGAGGGCAACCAAAATGGTCAAAGGCCTGGAAACGATGCCTTATGAGGAACGGCTAAGGGAGCTGGGCATGTTTAGCCTGGAGAAGAGGAGGTTAAGGGGTGATATGATAGCCATGTTCAAATCTATAAAAGGATGTCACATAGAGGAGGGAGAAAGGTTGTTTTCTGCTGCTCCAGAGAAGCGGACACGGAGCAATGGATCCAAACTACAAGAAAGAAGATTCCACCTAAACATTAGGAAGAACTTCCTGACAGTAAGAGCTGTTCGACAGTGGAATTTGCTGCCAAGGAGTGTGGTGGAGTCTCCTTCTTTGGAGGTCTTTAAGCAGGGGCTTGACAACCATATGTCAGGAGTGCTCTGATGGCGTTTCCTGCTTGGCAGGGGGTTGGACTCGATGGCCCTTGTGGTCTCTTCCAACTCTATGATTCTATGATTCTAAGTGTCGATCATTTCTTCTACCTAGGCAGTTATCTTTCCACAAGGGCCAACACTGATGCTGAAATCCAGCATTGCCTGAGCTCTGTGATTGTGGCTTTCTCCCGATTGAAGTGCAGAGTGTTTGAGGACCAGGACATTCGCAAGGAACCCAAAATGCTTGTTTACAAAGCTATTGTACTACCAACCTTACTGTATGCTTGTGAAACATGGACCACTTATAAATGCCATCTCCAACTCCTTGAAAGATTCCATCAATGGTGTCTCCAAAAATTTTTACATATCACTTGGGAAGACAGGTAAACTAATGCCAGAAGCAAAGATCAGTGTCGAAGCAATGATTCTTCAACATCAACTTTGTTGGACTGGTCATGTTATTTGGATGCCTCATTATTGTCTTCCAAAGCGAGTACTCTATTCCAAACTTAAATATGGAAAACATAATGCTGGTGGTCAACAAGAGGTTTAAAGACTCTCTCAAAGCAAATCTTAAAAAATGTAGTATAAACACTGACAATTGGGAAACACTGTCCTGTGAGTGCTCCAATTGGAGAAGAGTATTCACCAAAGGTGTCATGGGTTTTGAAGACACTCAACTCTCGCCCAGAAACCAAATCCACACCGTGATCAACTCCCGCCCAGAAACCAATGTCCCCACTGTGGAAGGGTATGTGGATCCAGAATTGGCCTCCATAGTCACTTATGGACTAACTGTTAAGACCGTGTTTATGGAAGACAAACTTACATGGCTACGAGTGATCGCCAAAGAAGCCCAGAAAGCAAGGGGGCCAAGCTGAAATGACCGGTCTCAAATAGAATGATAAGTAGTACCTCAGCTTCAGTGTATAATAGAAGATTTTGAGCATAAAAACTGGCCCTGTCCATTTGCAACAAATTATTTGGGAGGCAGACAATGTGGACCAGCTAATGGCTATTTTTATCAACACTAAGCAAAGGATCCTGCATGTGTATTCTTTAGAGATTTCTCTCAAAGACCCTGTCCAACCCCAACTTTGCAGGTGTTTGCCCTGAGTGATGTTACCATGTTGATAAAAGCTGGCCTAGACATTTCTTAACATAATTGGTGAGCACATGCTAAGAATACCACAAGTATGCTGTTGGAAAACAAATTGTGTGAATGCCATATTTTGATTATTTCTTTTATATTCCAAAAGCCAAAGAGGATAAAAATTGTTTTCACAATGGTGCCATTTTCATATTTATAGTTATTACCACAGGGAAATAAAAAAGTATTTCCAAGTGTCTAATTTTGTTTCTTGTCATGTTGTGTAAATCTTTTAAGTGGCAATTATAGCTGGTAGGCTTTGGTTCAAAGGACATTTTTATTTACAATACGATCACAAACTAATCCAAAATATTTTACAAATGGAAAATTTTTAAGAAAAATAAAAGGAATTTTTGAGTCTCATACAACACATGGTAGTTGAAGATTTGAGATACATATATGTTTTATATCGTTTGCTTGCAGTGTGGAGGCTTTAATATGTCATGTGCTGTCATAGTGGAAGAAACAAGGCAGAAGGAAAGGGTGTGTCTTGGTGAACAAGTCACGTTCACTTTTCACAGACTGGCAGGGCTCATTCATTGTTGTTATGAGACCCTTTGAGGTCCATCAACCAGTCAGTTCAGCCATGAAGAGAGATGGTGGCTTGGGCATGGAGCCAGTTACCAACTGAAACCCACGAGCCACACATATCAGAATGGCCTGCACATGCAAGTGCAAATATCAAAGATTATGACAGCCTAATTTAGAAAATGCTATTGTTCAACATTGTGATTCAGTAACGCATGTCACTTCACTGTGAATTATCCAGCAAGTTAATAGTAGGCCTTGATCTCTCTTCTACCCATCTTGGAGCTGGAAGGAGGTGGTGAAGCTAGGTTCAAATGGCAGCACAGCTCAGATATACATGTGCTTGGATACCCCTGGGAAAGACTCTCACTCTAGATTAAATTTCCCCTTTACATCTATCATAGAACTGGAGGGTTGGGACCATGAGTGTCATCTAGTCCAGCCCCCTGCAATGCAGGAATCTATTCGCCCAATGCGGGGCTTAAACCCACGACCCTGAGATTAAGATGATTAGTGTGGAAATAAATGAGGATTATGATTTCACATTAAGGCTGTATAAAACAATAAGATGAATTGTCAAGAAACAGAATGTTCTTGACTTATTGTAACAAAGGCAATGAGACAGATTAACAATGTGTTAGCACTTGCAATATACATAACTGCAGGAAGAGAAGGTGCCAGACAGAAAATATTTTCTGAGCAGAAGAGCACAAAAATGGTAGGAGACAGTGGAAGCATTCATTCAGAAAACATTTTTGATCCCCCAGTTAGAACCCAGGAAAATTCATATTGGAGCATTTTAATTTTTTTTCTGGTTCTAAGAAATCTTTGCTCAAGTCACTCAAAGTCAGCCATGGAAATTTTCTCCTATGGAGATGGAACACTTTGATCCTAGTTCTTTGTTGCCATGGTGTAGGTGAGTGAGAAAATAGGGAAAGTAAGCAAAGATTGCAGGGAGCAGGGGGAGGAAGAAAGAAATCAAGGAGTGGCATAAGCAGATCTGTCCCCATTCCCTTAGAAAGATTTTTCAGCTTTGGGAATCTAACACAGCTAAATTATCAAAGTCCTTGTGAAAGTGTGAGTTTGCTAGGAAGACTTCAACTAGTTTTAAGTTTAGATTAGCATAGGAATTTTAGATGGAATAATTGCAAATAACATTGCCTCACTAGTTCAAAGTTAAAGCTTTAAATTTCTTTGCAAATCAGAATAGAACAAATCTCTCCCCAGTTTTGGGGAAGGTAAGGTTTTGAAACATAGTGCTGTAACCAAAGATGTTGCTCAGTTGTTCAGCAAGATGGGGAGGGAAGCAGTTTATAGGAACTTCCCTCCCACTGCAGCCCCCCCGTATCTGCTGTACTGTCCCTAAACTCCCAAGCAGCTTTTTTTTTGGGGGGGGGGGAGGCCTGCAAGGTGAGGGAGAGGCATCGCTTATGATTGTTTCCCTCCCATCCCACTGACACAAAGTTACTGCCAGCTGAGTGCTACCGCTGGATACAACCTGTAAGCACCTGCAAGACCTGCTTTGTGGCACCCATCTGAAAGCAACCATCATTTAAGCAGCATGTCTGACACAGACTCTTCTTTGCTTCTCTTTATTGGTAATTCACACCGCTTGCAAATACACCAACAACATACTGCCATTTTAGAAGAGTAATTCACACACAAAAATATTTACACAACAGGAAATAAGAGTGTTTCAGAATAATGCACATGAAGTGCATTATTTTCCATCCTAGACTTTTGCATGATTACTCATTATTAGTAAACTGAAGAGCCCTAATAATCCAAGAGCTTTTTCCTTTCTTCTGCTTCATATTAATCCTTGGTTCTTGTAAACACAAGCGTGCGCGCGCATGCGCGCGGGCACACACACACACACACACACACAGCAGGAAATGAATAGCTGACTCTGTAAGCAACGTCTGAGAAAACAGAAAAAGGCAGATAAGTGGCACAAAGAAAAGTCAGAAGAGTGCAATTATTTACTTTGTGACCCTTTACCAGCAACAGTGTGGAACACAAAACTCCTTTCTTCTGCCCCAATTACTTCACCCCACTGCTTCTTTCTGTACCACAGTAATTAGAGCTAGAGGGTTGCATAGTCAATACCGAGAGAGCAAGAAATTCAAGTTATACAGAGCTCTAAAATATGCATGGCCTCCCTCGTGTTTCCTATTTAGGGCTAACCATAGATTGCTATGACATTAGCTGTGACCTTCAAAGCAGAATCAGTTACCCATAGTATCTGATTACAACCACAGTTTGCAGATTTTAAATGTCACAGTAAACTGAGGTTAGCATTAAAAAGGAAATGGAGAGAAAAGCCTCTCAAGAGAGGAAGTCGACAGATGGTTTGAACCTGAGCCTCTGATCACAGCAGGATAGTTCAAAACAGTTCATATATAAAATTAGGTAAGTTACAAGGCAAATTTTAAAAATAGCTTGCTTTCCAACATGTAAACACATCTGAATTTAAGATGTGAAGTTTACCTGGGCTAATCAGAAAAAAGGCAGTTAATGGAACCATTAGAACAAATGGAGTAACACATACAGAACAAATTAACTTGGCATGTCCAAAAATAAATGCTGGTACTTTTATTAGATTTAGTTAGCCTTTTCTCACTTAAAGCAGACAAACATGTTACCATAAGTTTCTATGCTTCATGCTATGGTACAGTGTACTTTTAAAAAATACCATTATTTTGCAGTATTTAGCATATCTCAAGCATGCATTTTAAAACTTGTCTGAAATAAAGCTATTTAGTACCTGAGAAACTAAGGCAGTCCTATGTATAGTTCCTTTGGAATAGCCCTGACTGAATTCAATGGAAGTTCTGCCAAAACATCACCATCATTATATTTATTTCTATCTGGCCTTTTTCCTGATAAGACTCAAGATCAGTTACAACTAAAATAGAAACAGCTAAAAACTTTTTTTAACGGAAATTTAATTTTTTTAAAAAATAAGCATAGGATTGCACTGTAACTCATTATTTTAGGCACGGGAGGAAAAAATAAGTTTAAAAGAAGTGCATATACTCCCTTCTTTGGTGAAAACCAGCTTCTACAGGTAACACAGCAAGTAGAAGAGGGGCCCAAAAAGCAAATGTGACTCTTAATTTGGCACCGTAACATGGATTACACCCAATGCTTTTCTGTTCCCTCTTTTCAAGTTTCTCGCAGATTTGGTCCCCTTCAGCCTTCATTAGTAACTGTATCGATAGTGAAGAAAGAAGACAAAAACCAGCAAGGCAGTGAAGATCGCCTGCAGAGTAGACAATGTCCAGGGAAGTCCCAGGAATAGAATCTGCAAAGCTGTTTGTGCCTCCCCTGATGACAAGCTGTAGAATAATAACCATGCAAAACAAATATATGTTTACTTAATTTGCAAAACTATGCAGGCCAGAGAATTCAGGTTACCTTCGTGTCCCAGGCTCAGGTTTTTGGGCCACAAGTACACGCAGCCCAGGCTACCATTCTGCCACTGCACAGACCAGAAAGGGAGAGACCAAGGTCCCACGGACTCCGCCGCAGCGCAGCAAGAGACCTGCCCTTGTCTATTTATCTCATCCATAAAACATTCCTTTCCCTCATCCAAAGCCTGCCAAAGAAAAACAATGAAATCTAAGGAATATACAAGTGAGCAAGAATTACCGACGAAAGAAGAATGGCAGACAAAATTGATGGACTATGCAGAATCACATAAATTAACAGGAAGGATTCGAAACCTGCGGGACCAGAGTTTCTTAGAAGACTGGAGTAAATATATGAACTATTTGAAAAGTAATGGTAATGAACAGATCACGCTAGTAGGATTGGAAGAAGTTTTGTAAGGAGGACTATTTGAAATATTGCAAGAAAGACTATGAGAAGAATTGTTAGTTAATGATAATTAAGAGTAATAGAGAAATTAAGAAATGCAGAATAAGTGATAAAGAACGAAAAATCATCAGAGGCGTTGACAGAAGTCTAAAATATTGTATAAGATAAGAAGTTATGTTATATGATTGTTGGAAATGGTATGTTAAAAAAACCAATAAAAATGTAAAAAAAGATGGAGGAATATACACGCTACCATCACAAAAGCACAAAAAAGTAGCAAGAAAAGCAGAAATATTTGAAACCAAAAAAAAGAAAGAAAGAAAAAAGGTAATATTGTTGTCCATAACATGGGGCTGAAATATCACATTGAAATCTTACCTAGGCTTTGAATGGTAAATTGTTGTGTATTCTACTACTTTCTGTTAAGGTAAATGAGAGAAAGGTTTGATGCTAATTGCTGCATCACATTTCAAAACTCTCCAGAAATTTAAAAGGTGTAGTTAGATATTCACTGTTTAACTTTAAAAACCAAAGGGGAGGTGCTCTTCTGTCACCGTTCGTCAATACTTAATATTATGACAAGCTACCATATAAATTACAATACTATTTTAGAAAGCAACCACCATGAAATTGTATCCCCTCTGCTATTGACTGATGATAACCCACCAAAGGAATAGAACATAAGCAATGGAGCAGCTAAACTCCCATTTCCCTTAGAAAATGACTCACTATTACCACATACTGATGGTAAGACAAGAAACACAAATTCAGATGATGAGGTATGTAAAAAAATATATTTAGATGACTGCATAAAGGAAAAAAAACCTTTGTTTAGCAAACAAAATTAGTACCACCTCAAAAATAAGTAGTATAATACAATTTACACCCAATAAACTTGGAAGAATTAAAAGCTTCTAATTTCCAACCATTTCCGTCAAAGAAATAGTTTAAAATATTTTGTTTTCTTCCCCCTCTTCTCTCTTCCACAAAAAAACACACCCCACTGCAGTATAGTTAGTCTGTTAGTGATCATTCAGTCTCTGTCGTATGTTTCTAGATTTTCCATTTTCAAATTTTCGCTTTTTGAAAACTGGTATTCCCTCCGTTGTGTCTCCAAGAGAAGTGACAGTTTTTTCTTTAAATATCACTTTGGCATCCTCTGGGGCTTCCAGAACTGGGGCTGGCAGAGAGTCACTTTCCACGTTGGGAAGCTCCAAGTCTACTTTTTCACTAAGATAAAACAAAACAAAACAAAACAAAAAGAAGCATTAAACAAATGCAAGTTCCACTAATATATCAAACCAAAATCACGTGACATCGGTAAGGGAATTCAAACACAAAAGCTGACAAGAAAAACCCATCAAGCAAAAACACTGCTCAACCTTGAATCAAACAGGCAACATAAAATAACAATATAATCAGACTAGTGTTAAGTTAATTGCATACGTAAAACTGACAACGTAAGTTTATGGGAGCAAGCAAGGTTGGGGACAGGCTTGAAGGGACACTCCCCAGGTGTGCCCTTGGGCAGGCAGGCAGCATGGGAGGGCTGGGTGGATTATTATTATTATTATTTATACCCCACCCATCTGGCTGGGTTTCCCCAGTGACTCTGGGCGGCTCTCAACAGAATATTAAAAACACGATAAAACATCAAACATTAAAAACTTCCCTAAACAACAGACTGGTTGCAATATCACCAATTAAACGATGTGTTTAAAATGGATAAGAAAAATGGATTTACTAAGGAAATTTCAAGGTCTGAAAAGGATTTATTGGAAAACATTATGAAGTTACCTTCCAAAATGTGTAAGTTGTTAGAGTGGCATACTAAGGATGAAGAAGTTAAATCAGTAATGATACAAGGGGCACAATATCAAATTTTCATTTTGGGAAAAGTTAAAATTTACAGCATGCTGTGCGCTGAAGGAGAACTATATGAAAATGATGTGTCAGTGGTATTTAACACCTATAAAATTAGGAAAGATGTATAGAATTGCTTCAAACGTATGCTGCAAATATTAGGAGAAGAAAGGCATGTTCTACCACATGTGGTGGACGTGCAAGATAACAAACGCATTCTAGGAAATGATCTATAGTGAGTTGAAAAAAATGTTTAAAAGAATGTTTGTGAAAAAACCCAGAGGCTTTTTTATTAGGAATTTTAGGTGCAGAGATACCAAAGTAGCAGAAACGATTATTCATGTATGTGATGACAGCAGCGAGGATACTAATGGCCCAGAGATGGAAAGAAGATAAAGTCCTGACCAGAGACGAATGGCTGATGATGATGATGCCAAAAATGGCAAAAATGACTGGGAAGATCAGAAACCAGGAAGAGAAGAACTTTAAGGAGTAGGAAAATTTTACACTGTACTTAAGAGAACACTGTAAACAACTAAAAACTTTGGCAGGATTTGAGTGATGCTTGTAATGTACTAAAAATAAAGGTAAAAATGGATTATTTAAGAAAAACAGAAAATAAGTGAAGCAGTTGAAAAAGATTGAAAATGGTAACCATGGAAGGGAGATGGGGAGTCAAAGGATTCAGGGGATCCTAAATGATGATGTTGATGTTTAATGTTTGAATTTAAATTTGCAATGTAAAACTCAATAAAAAAGATTTATAAAAAAAAACCTTCCCTAAACAGGGCTGCCTTCATATATCTTCTAAAAGAATTGTGCTTGGAAACGTACTGGGAGCCAATGTAGGTCTTTCAAGACTGGTGGGTTTTTTAAAAATGTATTTTTATTAAATGTAAATTTATTTTTAAATATATTTTTATTAAAGATTTTCTTGGTTTACAAAAGTATGTGCAATGTCTCTCTCTCTTTTCCCCGCAAGTAACCTTTTTTTACAGATCAGTTTCATTTGTTGAGATATTAGGAAGAAAAGGGGGAAAGAGGTGGAGGGGGGAAAGGTCAGTGGGAGTGGAGTGGGGTGCCAATGTTTCTATTTTACTTAATATATGTGGGGTTTTGTGTCAGCATCGCTTGTGCAGGTTCTCTGCTATTCACTTGTGTTCCTTTGGTGGTGAGAGAGGTTGGGGTGGGGTTGACCTAGGGTGTGGTTGTTTGTTTGTGATTGGCTGTGGTGATCTTTGTTTTCATGTGTGAGTGGGGTGGGTGGGTGTTTTGGATCAGGTTAGCCATATTGATTTGTACGCTGTTGGTGGATTTTTGTCGTCATCTTGTTGGGCTGTGTATGTGATAAAGGGGAGCCATACCGGGGTGAAGGCATCTTCTTCTATTTGTCCCCGTGTCAGTTTCAGTTTATTGGTAAATTTTTCTAGTAAGGCTGTTTCCCATACTATTTGGTGCCATTGGTCCATGCTTACTCCTGACAGGTCTCTCCAGTATCTGGTTATGATGTTTCTGGTTGCTGAAAGTAGGTGGGTTATGAGTTCTTTGTGGTGTAAATGGGCATTATTGTCTTCGAAGATGTTTAGTAGGGCCACTTCTGGGGTGATTTCTAATACTTGCTTAGTTATTTTACATATTTCTCGTATAGCTGTTGTCCAGAATAGTTGGATTTTGGGGCACTCCCACCACATGTGGAGGTATGTGCCTGTGGAGGTGCACCCTCTCCAGCATTTTGGTGAGGTTCCTGGGCATATTAGCGCTAGTTTTCTTGGTGTTAGGTACCACCTGTAGGTGAGTTTCAGAGTAAGTTCTTTCCTTTTCGTTGATATGGATTTAAAGGGTTGTTTAGACCACATTCTGGTCCATTGAGTGGGGTTAATCTCATAGCCTATGTCATCCTCCCATTGTTTTTTTATTGTGTCCAGGGGGTTCGTGGGATTTTGGAGTAGCATTTTGCATATTGCGGATACCATCACTTTACCGTGTCCCTTTGTTGTTAGGAGGAGGTTTTCGAAGGTTGTCAGGGGCCTAGTTGCTACTGATTTTACTGCTGGATTGTTTAAGAGAGCATGTAGTTGGTGTTGTGCTAACCAGGGCATTTGGGTGTCTTCTAGTTTGTCCTGTATTTCTTGTGTTGACAGAGGTTTGTTATTTTATAGAATTAGGCAATATAAGCCTTTGGTTTGCCAGGTTTTTATTTGGAGGTTTTGCGCTGCATGGTGGAATAATGGGTTACCAGGGGCATTGGTGGGGATGGGGTTGGGGATAGTTTGCATATTTCTGCTTTCCCTGGTTTGAGCATGGTCTATGTGCCTATGTGTACCTGTTAACTGTTGTGGGAATCTTCCTTAGTTTGTTTGGGAGGAGTGGGTATGCTGTGGTGCAGGTATTTTCAATTGTGTCCCTCTCTAGGTGTACCCATTGTTTTCTCTCATCTTCTAATATGTATGGGATTATATGGCATATTTGGTTGGCAATGTAATATGCTTCTATGTTGGGGATTCCCCATCCTCCTTCTGAGGTGGGGAGGTGCAGGTATTTGGGGCTTATTCTTGGTTTTTTTTATGTGAGAAGATAAAAGAGTGTAGTTTTCTCTGCCATCTGTGGAGTTGGGGGAATCCAGATTGGGAGGGTTTGGAATAGGTAGGTTAGTTTTGGGAGGGTGATCATTTGGATCATGGCTATTTTGACTGAGAGAGTGAAATTCATGTTGTTCCATCTTTTTAGGTCTTTGTTAATTTGTCGCCACAGGGGCTTGTAGTTGTGGAGGTACAATTTATTGAGGTTTCTGGTTATTTGTACCCCTAGGTATCTGAACTTGGTGTGGCAAAGTTTTATCTTGGTGACATTAGTGAGTTCTTTTTGGGTGTGTTGAAGCACATAGCTTCTGACTTTGCAAAATTTACCTGTATGCCTGACACCATTGCAAATGTGTTGAGTTCTCTGATTAGGGAGGTTGCTGTGCTTATGGGGTCTGGTGTTGTGACCATTAGGTCATCTGCAAAGAGCCCTAATTTATAGGTTCTGCCTTTTATTTCCACTCCCTTGATGTCTGTGCTGCTCGGATTTAGATTGTTAAGGGTTCCAGAGCCAGGATAAATAAGAAGGGAGACAGTGGGCATCCTTGCTTCGGGCCTCTTTGGAATGCTATAGTATTTGAGTCCATATTGTTAATTCTGCATTTTGCTGAGGCTTGGGAGTATATTTGTTTGAGGATTTGTAGGAAGTTGGGGCCAAATTTCATGTTAGTTAGTACTGCTAATATGTATTTCCATTCTAAGCAAGGATGTCTAGGGACATAATTGTCAGTGGGAGTTAAGTTGCCTTGCTGTGTTCGATCAGGTTCAGTAGTTTCCTGATGGGGTCTGTAATACTGCAACCAGGGACAAAGCCAGTCTGGTCTGGGGCTACCAACTTGTGCAGGAAGATTTTTAGCGGTTGGCCAAGACTGATGTGCATATCTTGTAGTCTTGGTTTATTAATGAGATTGGGCAGTATGATTCTACTTTGAGGCTGTCTTTCAGTGGTTTGGGGATGGAGACTATTTTGGAATGAGTCCAGGTTTTGGGGATGGGCCCCCCTTTTATGATGTCATTGAATAGGCGGGTCATGTAGGGCATCAGGGGTTCTTTGAATTTCCTATAGAATGCTGCTGTGAAGCTGTCTGGGCCTAGGGCTTTGTGTGGTTTCAGGTTTTTGAGGACCGTATCTATTTCCTCTGGGGTGATAGGACTGTCCATGAATTCCTGTTCCTCATCAGTTAAGGTAGGCATGGTCAGTCCCACTAGGAATTTTCTGATTTCCTTCTCAGGTGGGTTATGGGAGATGTATAGGTTGGAATAGAATTCTGTAAAGCCTGAGGTTATTTCTTTGGGGGAGAATGGTATGTTGCCATCTTTTTTGGTGATTGCAGTGTATTCTTGTTTTGAGTGCTTTTTTCCTACATCTATTTGCTAGTAGTCTGGAGTTTTTCCCTCCATATTCATAGAAGCATTGTTTAGAGTATAGAATACTGACCATTGTTTTGCTGATTTCTAGGGAGTCTAGCTCTCTCCTTTTTTGTTCTAGAAGTTTGAGGAGTTTTTTAGATCCTGTTCGTTTGTAGCGTGATGAGATGGCTGTGATGTCTTGCTCTATTTTGCTAATTTTTGTGGAGGTTTGCTTTAAGGAATGCTTTCTCTTTTATGCAAGCTCCTCTGGTGACCGCTTTCATTGTGTTCCATAGGAGGGGGGTTGTTACATTGTCTAAATAATTTTCCTTGAAGTAGTTTTGGAGAGTTTTTGTGAGACTCTCTCTAATTTGTTTGTCTGTAATTAGGATGGGACTGAAGGACCATGATGGGGTGGTTTGTGTTCCCTCTCCTATTTAAACAGTGACTTCTACTGGGGCGTGATCTGTGATCACCTATGTTTGTTGATTCCACGGAGGAGATCAGACCCTGTGTGAGCAGAATGCTGTCCAGTCTGGACACTGTACAATGGCATCCGGATTGGAATGTATGGATGGTGTCTCCTGGGTTTTGCTCACTCCAAATGTCGTAGAGAACCCTTTTATGTAGCATTTTTAGTAACTTGTAAGAATCTCTAGTTGTTGGGGGTTTCTTTTGGAGGAAGGTTGCCCATGGGGTTGTAGGGTGGATGTCTTGCAGGGATATACCTTTCATATTTAGGTTGAAGTCTCCTCCTAGGATTGCTTCCCCTTCAGAGGAGAGGAACTTGTTTAAGTGTTTTCTGGGTGAATTCTAGTTCTTTCGAGTTTGGGGAATATATGGAACAAAAATGAATCTGCCTCTTTTGTTCTTTAGGACTGTTGTGGCTTTGAAGTTCAGGTCTCTACTAAGTATTATGGCTACTCTGCGGGCCTTTCCTGAGCCTGGTGCAACCCATTGTTGACTGATGCAGGAATTGCTAAGGAGTTTGCTCCCTTTGGGTGGGTTGTGTATTTCTTGTAGGAAGGTGATGTGTGGTTTCATGGTGTTTATGTATGAGGTGATGCGTTTTCTTTTGATGGGGTTTTCCAGCCCCCTCACATTTAATGTAATTGCTTTTAGGCTAGCCATCTTGCTTATCTATTATGTAGGGTGATTCCTTGCCAACCCGTCCGGGTTGTCCTGTGTCTCTCACTTTGTGTTATTTAATGAACCAATGGGGTTGCGCTGACCTAGTGTGTGGTGGGTGGGGGACTAGTAGGATTAGGATTAGATTTGGGTTAAAGAGTAGGGGGTAGAGTGTAGAGAGTATCCTATATGAAAGGGACGCTGGTGGGAAAGGGACGCGGGTGGCGCTGTGGGTTAAAGCCTCAGCACCTAGGACTTGCCGATCGAAAGGTTGGCGGTTCGAATCCCCGCGGCGGGGTGCGCTCCCGTCGTTCGGTCCCAGCGCCTGCCAACCTAGCAGTTCGAAAGCACCCTCGGGTGCAAGTAGATAAATAGGGACCGCTTACCAGCGGGAAGGTAAATGGTGTTCCGTGTGATGCGCTGGCTCGCCAGATGCAGCTTGTCACGCTGGCCACGTGACCCGGAAGTGTCTTCGGACAGCGCTGGCTCCCGGCCTTTAGAGTGAGATGAGCGCACAACCCTAGAGTCTGGCAAGACTGGCCCGTACGGGCAGGGGTACCTTTACCTTTTAGTGTGTGGTGGGTGGGGGACTAGTAGGATTAGGATTAAATTTGGGTTAAAGAGTAGGGGGTAGAGTGTAGAGAGTATCCTATATGTAGTCTCATAGGTGTTTATAGGGGGATTTTGGGCCATCTGGCACTTAGCCAGTTGGTCCTAAGTCTCAGCTGGTGTGGAGGGCCTTGTTCAGGGGCAGACCATCCTCTGTGTCATTTGCGATAGGGGCTGGTCAGTGAGACAGTGTTAATTGTCTTTGTGAAGCCAATGTCGGGTATAGGGCTCATAAGCAGTGCTGCCAATGTTATTAGCAACATCATTGGTATGTTGGGGTGGGGATGTGGGTGTTGGTACGCTCTGGTGCCACCACTGTGCTGGTTGGGTGTCAGATTTTAGCCTGTTTGTGGGTTGTTTTATTGAGGTTGGAGAAGTTATTTTTCCTTAGTATGGAGTAGCGGGGTGCTGAAAGTGTGGGTTATGGGCTGTTGGGTGATGGGGAAAGTGGTTTGAAATCGTCTGGACTGGCATTGGGCAAACTCCCATTGACAATTATGTCCCTAGACATCCTCAAAGCCTTTGATTGCTTGGAGTGGAAATACATATTAGCAGTACTAACTAACATGAAATTTGGCCCCAACTTCCTACAAATCCTCAAACAAATATACTCCCAAGCCTCAGCAAAATGCAGAATTAACAATATGGATTCTAACACTATAGCTATCCAAAGAGGCACGAAACAAGGATGCCCACTGTCTCCCTTATTTATCCTGGCTCTGGAACCCCTAGCAATCCGCATCCGAGCAGCCACAGACATCAAGGGAGTGGAAATAAAAGGCAGAACCTATAAATTAGGGCTCTTTGCAGATGACCTAATGGTCACAACACCAGACCCCATAAGCACAGCAACCTCCCTAATCAGAGAACTCAACACATTTGCAATGGTGTCGGGCCTACAGGTAAATTTTACAAAGTCAGAAGCTATGTGCTTCAACACCCCTCCTCACACCCAAAAAGAACTCACGAAGGTCACCAAAATAAAACTTTGCCACACCAAGTTCAGATACCTAGGGGTACAAATAACCAGAAACCTCAATAAATTGTACCTCCACAACTACAAGCCCCTGTGGCGACAAATTAACAAAGACCTAAAGAGATGGAATAACATGAACTTCACTCTCTCAGACAAAATAGCCATGATCAAAATGATCACACTCCCAAAACTAACCTACCTATTCCAAACCCTCCCAATCTGGATCCCTCAACCCAACTTCGCAGTTGGCAGAGAAAACTACACTCTTTCATCTTCTCACATAAAAACCAAGAATAAGCCCCAAATACCTGCACCTCCCCACCTCAGAAGGAGGATGGGGAATCCCCAACATAGAAGCATATTACAATGCCAACCAAATACGCCACATAATCCCATATATACTAGAAGATGAGACAAAACAATGGGTACACCTAGAGAGGGACACAATTGAAAACACCTGCACCACAACATACCCACTCCTCCCAAACAAACTAAAGAAAATTCCCACAACACTTAACAGGTACACACAGACCATGCTCAAAGCATGGAAAACACAAATAGGCAAACTATCCCCAACCCCATCCCCACTAATCCCCCTGGCGTACCACCCGTTATTCCACCGTGCAGCACAAAACCTCAAGATAAAAACCTGGTGAACCAAAGGCTTATATCGCCTAATAGACTTTTATAAAAATAACAAACCCTTGTCAACACAAGAAATACAAGACAAACTAGAAGACACCCAAATGCCCTGGTTAACACAACACCAACTTCATGCCCTCTTAAACAACCCAACAGTAAAATCAGCAGCAACTAGGCCCCTGACAACCTTCGAAAACCTCCTCCTAACAACAAAGGGAAACGGTAAAGGGACGGTATCCGCAATATACAAAATACTACTCCAAAATCCTGTAAATCCCTAGATGCAATCAAAAAACAATGGGAGAATGACATAGGCTATGAGATTAACCACACTCAATGGACCAGAATGTGGTCTAAACCCCCCTTTAAATCCATATCAACGAAAAGAAAAGAACTCACACTGAAACTCACCTACAGGTGGTACCTAACACCAAGGAAACTAGCACTAATACACCCAGGAACCTCACCAAAATGCTGGAGAGGGTGCACCTCCACAGGCACATACCTCCACATGTGGTGGGAGTGTCCCAAAATCCAACTATTCTGGACAACAGCCATACAAGAAATATGTAAAATAACTAAGCAAGTAATAGACATCACCCCAGAATTGGCCCTACTAAACATCTTCCAAGACAACAATGCCCATTTACACCACAAAGAACTCATAACCCACCTGCTCTCAGCAGCCAGAAACACCATAACCAGACACTGGAGAGACCTGTCAGGAGTAAGCATGGACCAATGGTACCAAATAGTATGGGAAACAGCCCTACTAGAAAAATTAACTAATAAACTGAAACTGACACGGGACAAACAGAAGAAGACGCCTTCACCCCGGTATGGCTCCCATTTATCACATACACAGCCCAACAGGACAATGACAATAATCCACCAACAGCATACAAATCAATATGGCTAACCTGATCCAAAACACCCACCCACCTCACTCACACACGAAAACAAAGATCACCACAGCCAATCACAAGCAAGCAATCACACCCTAGGCCAACCCCAACCTCTCTCACCACCAAAGGAACACAAGTGAACAACACAAGCAACGCTGACACCAAACTCTACATACATTAAACATAATAGAAACACCGCCACCCGACCCCACCCCCATCCATCTTCCCTCTCTCCACCCCCCTTTTCTTTTCTTTTTTTCTGCTCCCCCCTAATGCCTCAACAAATGAAACGGATTTGTAAAAATGTTACATGAAAAAAAAAATACGAGGCACTACACTTCTGTAAAACAAGAAAATCCTTAATAAAATATAAAGGCTGGACTGGCATTGGGGTGGGATGTGGAGGTGTAGGGCTGCGGGGGGGGGGGAGGGAAATATTGCTGGTGTTAGCTATATTTATGGCCTAGGAGGAGAGGGGAGAAGGAAGGGGGGAGGGGGAAGAATCACCAGTCCTTCAGTTTGAGGTGTTTTCCGGTTGCTTCATTCAGCTGTAGTTGTTGTTGTAGGGTTGTTCATCTGTGATGTGTTGGTTTGGTTGATCTTGGCCTGGTGTCTTGTGCTGTACAGCGGGACGATTCTGTGCATGGTGGTGGTTAGCTGTACTGGTTTGCACTGTTGTGTCGCTTCTGTTGCTTCTTTTTCCTCTTTACTGTCGTCCAATTGTTTGCTGTTGTTTCATCATGGTTGTGGCTGTCACTTGGTGGGTCTGTCAGTTGCCATTCTGGTGGTAGGTTGAGTTCGATGTCCTTCAGTAGTTGCAGTACTTCAGGTATGTTAGTAGCTGTGCATTGTATTGTGTTGGTTGTTACAATGAGGTGGAAGGGGAAGCCCCATCGGTACTTGATCCTTGCTTGGAGACGCTGGGTGCATGTGAGTAGGCTTTTTCTCCGATTTAGGGTGTCCTGGGATAAATCCTGTAAGAGCAATATGGGGTTATTTCCATATCAAAGGTTGGTTGAGTTTCTGGTGTTGTTCCATACCTCTTCTTTCTTTTTGTAGCACGTGAAGCACACAATGATGTCTCTTGGGGGGCGTGTGTTGGGTTTTGGCATAGGTTTTAGGGCTCTGTGAGCCCTCTCTAGGTCATCTACCTTGAGTGTCAGGTTTGGGATTGTATTTTTCAACCAGCATACAATTAGGTCTGCTGGGCTTTTCTCCTCCACTTTTTCAGGAAAGTTGCGGAAGCGGATGTTGCAGCATCTACTGTGATGTTTGAGGTCTGCTTGTTTGATTTTCATTTCTGTGTTTTCTGTTTCTATTCTTTCCAGGTGGCTTTCCAGTTCAGCCAATTTATTATTCACATGTGTGTTTTCCTCTCTGTACTCCTTTATTATTCTTTCTTGTATTTGGTTCTTATTTTCTAGAGTTTCCACTTTGAAGGTCAGGTCACTGCACACTTTCAGTAGTTCTGTTAGTCTTGTTTTCACTTCCTTCAGTTCTCGTTTAGTTGCTGGGTCGTTCTCAACTTGGGGTGTGTGTGTGTTGTGTCCTCAGTGTTGTTTGCCATCTCCCTGGTCGGTGTCATCGCAATCTCACTGATGTTTTTGGTTTAAGACCTGCTTGATGTCCTCTTGGGGAGGGGCGTGTTGTGATTTGGAGTTGTGGTTCCTGGATGTTGCTGAGCTGAACAGGCGTTGTTGACTGGTGGCTTTTAAAGAGTGTCTGGATCAGGTGGTCATTTGTGTCCCGTCTGGGTTGTGTTTTGAGGGCTTCTCTGGGGTTCCCGTAATCTTCTCAGTGGTGTGCACTCATACACACAAAAGGACATCATGGACTGTCCTCGGAGTTCGCTAGATGACATCGCGGGAGACCGCTGCCCCAGGAGAGCGAGGAAGATTCTTAGGGACGACTCATACCCTGGCCAGCACTTCTTTAATCTCCTACCTTCGGGCAGGAGATACAGAAGTATAGTCAGCCGCACCAACAGGTTAAAGAACAGTTTTTATACGTGGGCTGTTGGGCTGCTGAATGGAAAAAAAATAGTGGTGTAATTGACTTCTGACAAGCACACAGTGTGTGAACAAGACTGAGTGTATGTTTGGGGGGGGGCCTCGTTTAATTTCACCGCACACTGGTGGTGTAGTGACAATAAAGGTTTATTATTAGGGGTACTGGGGTCCAGTTAGGGGTGGAAGGTGGGATTAGGGGTTAGTTAAGAGATTTAATGCTGGCAAGGGTGTGTTTAGGACAGAACCAAACAAAGCAATATAGGGGCAAAAGATTGGAAAGAAGAGAAGAGAAGAAAGGGATTTAGGAGATGGGGGGGGGGAGGAGATTAGAGAATAAAATAGGAGAGTGAGAGAAAGAGGGGAAGGAAGAAAGAAAGGGGGGGAGAGAGACAGAGAGAGAGAAAGAAAGTAAAGTAGTAACAATGATAATATATTGTAGTGGTGGTTCTAATTATGGTATGAGGTAAGGGACCGTGGGGAGGGGGGTTATTAATGAAAGTGGGTGGGGAGGTATATGTATGTAGATGTAGGGGTTAAGAAGGAAAGAGGAAGCAAGAAACAGACAAACCCAAAAAAGGAAAATAAATAAAAAGAGAAGAGAGAAACCTGAAGATGGTGAGGTGGTGGTGCCTGACAGTAATATCTGTGTATCAAATGCTAAAAGTAAAAATGAAAAATATGGTAAAGTAAAAGTATGTAGAAAACCTCTTTGAGGGGCTGGGCAAACCAATACACAGTACAGTGGTGCCCCGCAAGACAAATGCCTCGCAAGACGAAAAACCCGCTAGACGAAAGGGTTTTCTGTTTTTCGATGCACTTCGCAAGACGAATTTCCCTATGGGCTTGTTTCGCAAAACGAAAAAGTCTTGCGAGTCTTGCGATTTTTTTCGCCCCCCCCCCTTTTTCTAAGCCGCTAAGCCGCTAATAGCCTTTTAGCCGCTAAGCCGCTAATAGCCGCTAAACTGCTAATAGCGCTAATCGGGTTGCTTCGCAAGATGAAAAAACCGCTAGACGAAGAGACTCGCGGAACTGATTAATTTCGTCTTGCGAGGCACCACTGTAGTGTGTGTGTGTGTTCTCCTTAAGAAGAAGAAAGGGAGGGAGATAGAAAAGGGGGAGTGGGGAGAAGGAGGGGTGAAGAAAGAGAACAACAAAAAAAGAAGGGAAAAATAAAAGTAAAGGGGGGGAGTAAGAGGAAGGGTATCAATAGCAATGGCAGTAATATGGAGAAAATTTTTGTTTTAAAAGAGGGCAGTGGTCGTAGCAGCGGAGTGGGAAGGACTCCCCCCCTCAAAAACAAGCTAACAAATAAAACAGAAATGGATTCAAAATTTTGTTATTCTCCCTTTTTAAAAATAAAAATAAAAAGATAAAAATAAAAGATAAAAATGAGAATTAAAAGTATATTTAAAAAAAAGATTTTAAAAAATTGGTTATTTTATTTTATTTTTAAAAATGAATAAAGTACGGAAAGAATAAGTAAAAGAGAGCAGAAAGTCTGGGGTGAAGTGGCAGTCCCAGGGAATGGCCTGTGCTGGTTCAAGGCTCTCTTCTTGGTACCGCCATTTTAATTCGTAAGAGTAAAAATTCAAATAAAGGGTGGCTGCAGTGGCAGTGCCCCCCCCCTTTTAAAAAATGATAAAAGTAGGTATATGGAGGGAGGGAATTTAAATTTTTTTAAAAATTATTTATTTATTTTTTAGAAGTGGGGAAGATCATTATTATTTTGGGGGGGGAGGGGTAAAAAGTAGTTTCTTCCTTTCTGCGATCTCCTTTGACGCACGAACTTCCTCTGCTTCCTCTGAGGCTTGCTTTTGGCGCGCTAGCCACCGGAGGGCTAGGCTTGGGTCGGGCTCAGCCGCGTGGCCTCCTTTGCCCTCCCAATGCTCACCTACCTCTCCTCTTCTTTCCCGTCAGCAGCGGCGATGGCAGCAGCAGCGGTAAGGTTGGGGCTCCTTTTTCTTTCTTCCTCTTTCCCCCTTTCCTTCTCCTTAGCTCCGTGGTCCTCCTGGCCCTGGAGCTCCTCTGGGCCGTTCGAAGGGTGCCCGGGTGCCTTCCCAGCTCGATCAAAGCCACGGGGGGGGGGGGGGGGTTAGGCTCCTCCGGTAGACATACCGGGCACCCCCGATTCCTCTCTGCTAGCGGCACTGGCAGCAGCAGTCCTGGCAGCCTGGGAGTCAGCCAGCCAGAGCCGTTTACTCTGGCTGGCTTCAGGAGCTGTTTTCTGCCGTGGCGGCCGCCATGGTGCCTCGCTGGAAGACTGGTGTTATGTGGACTCGGCGGATACTCCCAGTCACCAGTCTAGTTGCCATATTTTGGATTAGTTGTAGTTTCTGGGTCACCTTCAAAGGTAGCCCCTCATAGACCACATTGCAGTAGTCCAAGCAGGAGATAACTAGAGCATGCACCAGTCTCGCGAGACATTCTGCAGGCAGGGAGGGTCTCAGCCTGCGTACCAGATGGAGCTGGGAGACAGCTGCTCTGGACACAGAATTGCCTTGAGCCTCCATGGACAGCTGTGAGTCCAAAATGACTCCCAGGCTGTGCACCTAGTCTTTCGGGGGCACAGTTACCCCATTCAGGACCAAGGAGTCCCCTATACCTGCCCACCCCCTGTCCCCCCAAAACAGTATTTCTGTCTTGTCAGGATTCAGCCTGAATCTGTTAGCCACCATCCATCCTCCAACTGCCTCCAGACACTCACATAGGACCTTCACCGCCTTCACTGGTTCTGATTTAAAAGAGAGGTAGAGCTGGGTATCATCCGCATACTGATGAACACCCAGCCAAAACCCCCCAATAACGGAGAAAGGATGGAACCCTGAGGCACCCCACAAGTGAGAGACCAGGGGTCCAAATACTCATCCCCCAACACCACTTTCTGGACACGGCCCAGGAGGAGGGAATGGAACCACTATATAACAGTGCCCCCAGCTCCCAGCTCCTCTAGACGGTCCAGAAGAATGTTATGCTCGATGGTAACAAAGGCTGCTGAGAGATCCAGCAGAACTAGGAAACAGCTTATTGTAACACGAATAATGTAATATTAGTTAAAGGAAAGAAAAGAGTGAGAAAATGAACTAGAAAAATGCGTTTAGATGCAAAGAAATAGGAGAAAATTTGTGTAGGGTTGGGGGAGGCCAAGGGATCTAAGTAATCCCAGGAGTGAAAAAATTGAAAATAATGTGAATGTCCCCTTCGTGGATCACTGCCTTGCCGTGGCGAAGGGGCCTGAATAACTCAGAGAAGCTATGAGCTATGCCGTGCAGGGCCACCCAAGATGAACAGGTCATAGTGGAGTTTTGACCAAACGTGATCCACCTGGAGGAGGAACCGGCAAGCCACTCCAGTATCCCTGCCAATAAAACTCCATGGACAAAGGCAACAGGCATATAAAAGTTATGACGCTGGAAGATGAGCCCCTCAGGTCGGAAGGCATCCAACATGCTACTGAGGAAGAGCGGAGGACAAGTACAAGTAGATTCAGAGCTAATGAAGCGGCTGGGCCAAAGCTGAAAGGACGCTCAGTTGCGGATATGCCTGGAAGCGAAAGGAAAGTCTAATGCTGTAAATAAAAATATTGCATAGGAACCTGGAATGTAAGAACCATGAACCTTGGTAAGTTGGATGTGGTCAAAAATGAGATGGCAAGAATAAATATTGACATCCTGGGCATCAGTGAACTAAAATGGACGGGAATGGGCAAATTCAGTTCGGATGACCATCATATCTACTACTGTGGGCAAGAATCCCGTAAAAGAAATGGAGTGGCCCTCATAGTCAACGAAAGAGTGGCGAAAGCTGTACTGGGGTGCAATCTCAAAAATGATAGAATGATCTCAATATGAATCCAAGGCAGACCTTTTAACATCACAGTAATCCAAGTCTATGCACCAACCACTGGTGCTGAAGAAACTGAAATTGATCAATTCTATGAAGACTTACAACACCTTATAGAAATGACACCAAAGAAGGATGTTCTTCTCATTATAGGGGATTGGAATGCTAAAGTAGGGAGTCAAGAGATAAAAGGAACAACTGGCAAGTTTGGCCTTGGAGTTCAAAACGAAGCAGGGCAAAGGCTAATAGAGTTCTGCCAAGAGAACAAGCTGGTCATCACAAACACTCTTTTCCAACAACACAAGAGACGACTCTACACATGGACATCACCAGATGGGCAGCATCGAAATCAGATTGATTATATTCTCTGCAGCCAAAGATGGAGAAGCTCTATACAGTCAGCAAAAACAAGACCTGGAGCTGACTGTGGCTCAGATCATCAGTTTCTTATAGCAAAATTCAAGCTTAAACTGAAGAAAGTAGGAAAAACCACTGGGCCGGTAAGATACAATCTAAGTCAAATCCCTTATGAATACACAGTGGAAGTGAGGAACAGGTTTAAGGATTTAGATTTGGTGGACAGAGTGCCTGAAGAACTATGGATGGAGGCTCATAACATTATACAGGGGGCAGCAACTAAAACCATAACATTATACAGGGGGCAGCAACTAAAATCATCCCAATGAAAAGGAAATGCAAGAAAGCAAAGTGGCTGTCCAACGAGGCCTTACAAATAGCGGGGGAGAGAAGGCAAGCAAAATGCAAGGGAGATAGTGAAAGATACAGGAAATTGAATGCAGATTTCCAAAAAATAGCAAGGAGAGACAAGAAGGCCTTCTTAAACAAGCAATGCAAAGAAACAGAGGAAAACAATAGAATGGGAAGAACCAGAGATCTGTTCAAGAAAATTGGAGATATGAAAGGAACATTTTGTACAAAGATTACCATAATAAAAGACAAAAGTGGAAAGGACCTAACAGAAGCAGAAGACATCAAGAAGTGGTGGCAAGAATACACAGAGGAATTATACCAGAAAGATATGGATGTCTCATACACCCCAGGTAGTGTGGTTGCTGACCTTGAGCCAGACATCCTGGAGAGTGAAGTCAAATGGGCCTTAGAAAGCACTGCAAATAACAAGGCCAGTGGAAGTGATGATATTCCAGCTGAACTATTTAAAATTTTAAACGATGATGCTGTTAAGGTGCTACACTCAATATGCCAGCAAATTTGGAAAACTCAGCAGTGGCCAGAGGATTGGAGAAGATCAGTCTACATCCCAATCCCAAAGAAGGGCAGTGCCAAAGAATGCTCCAACTACCGCACAATTGCACTCATTTCACACGCTAGCAAGGTTATGCTTAAAATTCTACAAGGCAGGCTTAAGCAGTATGTGGACTGAGAACTCCCAGAAGTGCAAGCTGGATTTTGAAGGGGCAGAGGAACCAGAGACCAAATTGCAAACATGTGCTGGATTATGGAGAAAGCTAGAGAGTTCCAGAAAGACATCTACTTCTGCTTCATTGACTATGCAAAAGCCTTTGACTGTGTCGACCACAGCAAACTATGGCAAGTTCTTAAAGAAATGGGAGTGCCTGATCACCTCATCTGTCTCCTGAGAAATCTCTATGTGGGACAAGAAGCTACAGTTAGAACTGGATATGGAACAACTGATTGGTTCAAAATTGGGAAAGGAGTACGGCAAGGCTGTATATTGTCTCCCTGCTTATTTAACTTATATGCAGAATTCATCATGCGAAAGGCTGGGCTGGATGAATCCCAAGCCGGAATTAAGATCGCCGGAAGAAATATCAACAACCTCAGATATGCAGATGACACAACCTTGATGGCAGAAAGTGAGGAGGAATTAAAGAACCTTTTAATGAGGGTGAAAGAGGAGAGCGCAAAATATGGTCTGAAGCTCAACATCAAAAAAACGAAGATCACGGCCACTGGTCTCATCACCTCCTGGCAAATAGAAGGGGAAGAAATGGAGGCAGTGAGATATTTTATTTCTTTTATTTCTTATTTTATTCCATGATCACTGCAGATGGTGACAGAAGTCACGAAATTAAAAGACGCCTGCTCCTTGGGAGAAAGGCAATGGCAAACCTAGACAGCATCTTAAAAAGCAGAGACATCACCTTGCCAACAAAGGTCTGTATAGTTAAAGCCATGGTTTTCCCAGTAGTGATGTATGGAAGTGAGAGCTGGACCATAAAGAAGGCTGATCGCCGAAGAATTGATGCTTTTGAATTATGGTGCTGGAGGAGACTCTTGAGAGTCCCAGGGACTGGAAGAAGATCAAACCTATCCATTCTTAAGGAAATCAGCCCTGAGTGCTCACTGGAAGGACAGATCGTGAAGCTGAGGCTCCAATACTTTGGCCACCTCATGAGAAGAGAAGACTCCCTGGAAAAGACCCTGATGTTGGGAAAGATGGAGGGCACAAGGAGAAGGGGACGAGAGAGGACGAGATGGTTGGACAGTATTCTCGAAGCTACAAACATGAGTCTGACCAAACTGAGGGAGGCAGTGGAAGACAAGAGTGCCTGGCGTGCTCTGGTCCATGGGGTCACGAAGAGTCAGACATGACTAAACAACAAAAGTAAAAAATAAAAATAAATTCTAACGACTAAACAACAACAAAAAATGTGAATGTATAAAAAATTTGTTTAAAAAATGAAAAATATTTTTATTCATTTTTTTAAAAAGGAAATAGTTTTCACCTTTGTTCCTAACCCGCCGGAGATCATCCACCAGTGCAACCAAGGCAGTTTCAGTTCCATGATCAAAGGGATCCAAATGGTTTGCATTCAGTTGTTAAGCAACCACCCGCTCAATCACCTTGCCCAAGAATGGAAGATTTGAGACTGGGCGATAATTGGCCATATTGGCCGGGTCCAAAGATGTTTTTTAAGAAGCAGTTTAATAACTGCTTCTTTCAGTGGGTCTGGGAAGGGTCCCTCACAGAAGAAAGCATTCACCACTCTGCAGAGCCCATCACCCAGTCCTTCCCGGCTTGCTTTTATTAGCCAGGATGGGCAAGGATCAAGGAGACTGGTGGTCGGTTTCACTCATCCAAGCAGCCTGTCCACATCATCGGAGGTAACAGATTAGAATTGATCCCACGCAACTTTAGACAGGACTCTAGCCCTGCTCCCACGGTGGAGTCTACCTCTTTCCGAATCAAGGAAATCTTGAAGGAGATCTTGGGGTCTTTACCAGGCCCTGATGGCAAACCACCTGTAAAGTTTCCTGCTGCAGTTTTCTGCAGATGCAATAGAGGTGCTGAAGAAGGTCCTCTTTGCCATCGCTATCGCCACTTGGTAGGCTCGAGGTTGAGCTCTAACCCATGGGTAGGCAAACTGAGGCCTGGGGGCCGGATGTGGCCCAATCGCCTTCTAAATCCAGCCCGGGAATCAGCATGTTTTTACATGAGTAGAATGTGTCCTTTTATTTAAAATACATCTCTGGGTTATTTGTGGGGCCTGCCTGGTGTTTTTACATGAGTAGAATGTGTCCTTTTATTTATAAAATGCATCTCTGGGTTATTTGTGGGGCACAGGAATTTGTTCATTCCCCCGCCCCCCCAAAAAACATAGCCCCCCAAAGGTTTGAGGGACAGTGGCCCGGCCCCCTGCTGAAAGAGTTTGCTGACCCCTGCTCTAACCCATGTCCAGTCAGATTCAGAGTGAGTTTTCCACCACTGATGCTCTAGCCGTCTCAACTATTGTTTCATCGCCCTGAGCTCTGGGGAAAACCATGGGCAGTCCGGGCCCCCTGCAATCGGAGAGGGCGCTTCGGAGCCAGACAGTCAATAGTCCTGGTTAATTCCGCATTCCAGCGGGCCACCAGGGAATCAGCTGAAAGGCCTTAAACAGGGGATAAAACATCCCCTACAACTCTCTGGAAACCATTTGGATCCATTAAGTGGTGGGGGTGGAACATCCAAATTGGTCCCACCTCCCTGCAGAGGGGAAGGGTCACGGAGGCCAGGTGTACCAGGAAGTGATCCAACCATGGCATTTCTTTTGTTTCGCTTTCATTTAGTGTCAGATCACCCACATCTATAGAGGTGAATACCAGGTCTAAGGCATGTCTGCGAACTATGGGTTGGGCCAAACTTATTCAGGGACAGCCCCATGGAGGCCATGCTTTCTTGTAAGGTTGTTTTGGCATGGACGTTAAAATCCCCTAGGACAATCAAACTAGGTGTCTCCAGGAGAACATCCGCCATGACCTGAAGCAGCTCAGGCAGGGAATCCTTGGTGCAGCGGGGAGGTCGGTACACCAAAAGGAACCCTGTACTGCCCCTATTGCCCAACTTCCAGAACATGCACTCAGAAAACTGGGTCTTCCCAATAGGATGCCTGGTGCACGCTAATGACTGCACCCCACCCATATGTCCTGGGCTGTTGTGTGTTAAGAGAAACCTGGTAGGCAAGCAGCGGCAAGAACAGGCCCATCTGCTTCATCCAACCAAGTCTCTGTTACATGTTATCAAAACATTGTCAGAAACCGGTTTGAAGTTCAGATCGCAATAACAGGAATTCAGAGGAATTTAACGTTCTCCCAAGAAATGGTATACAATCAATGGTCTCCACGCTGCATCTGGGACTTACTATGGATCTTTATCTTCCGTGATTTCTTCCCATTCCCCGTAAGGTTTGACTCTTCGAGATGCTGCCTGAGAGGTTTCCTGCCGAACGGCTGGTACATCCTCTATATCACTGCTTTCCTGCTTCACTTCTTGCCATTCCCCATAAGGGCTGATCTTTTTGCGTCTGTGAGGCTTTTCCTCTACTTCGTCATCACTTTCTGTTTTCCTCTGAAAGCAAAGAAAGCCAACAGCAAACTACTGAGCAATACACCACCAACAACTTCCTTTAACCAAGAGAGTCCACACACACCAAACACTGGTTATACAGAAATTCACTTATCCAAACATGAGGAATTAATACCCAAACTGTGCGTTACACACCACAGATTCATATATCCAAACAGCCGGACCTGCATGTAGTGCTGTAACTAAACAAGAAGCCTTCAACAAGGCTTACTTTTTGTGTTTTGCTGGTCTGTGACAGCCATTTCGCCAGAAACCATGTGGGTAGGGGCGGGGATATCTGACAAACAAGAGAGCATGTTTTCCTTCCCTGTTTTCCTTTTGCAAGGTTTCAGAGGATTTTCCTGGTTTTTCCCATCACTTTGGTGTCGAAATTTGGTGGTCAGGAATGAATTCGAAATTTCCTCATAGGACTCAACAGAAAACACTGACTCGTTACACAAACACTCACCTATTTCCTGACAACGCATGGTGTTTTGATAGTGTGACCAACGTATACAACATCAACCTCAACACAATTTATACAAAAGCAGCCTAAACAAGTTCTATAATAAATAAATCAGCAATCCAAGTGCAACATAGTGAGCAAGATGTCTTTATGGGTCCTCCATCCCTGGTATCTCCTCCTTATTTCCCAAATACCCCGCTTCCTCCAGCCCTACTCCCACTCAAAACCCTCTAAGCATCCCCCATTGTCATAAGGCTGTGACCCAGAGACAGGGGGTCCTATCCCTTCTTTTCAACCAGTCTCTCACCCTTGGGGAAGATTGCCTTTGGCTTCCTCTCTAACCACAATCCACATCCCAAAACCACCTGAAAGAAGTGCTCTGTCCCCATAACTGGCTCATCCAAAGGGCTTTTATCTCCCTTGTCCATATAGTGATGTTTGGCAACTGGCATGCCAGAAACTGCTGCCATGGGCAGGGAGACTGTTCATTACCCTCCCCACCCCCCACCCCGGCTCTGTGGCCTGGTCTCCTCAGTGGCAAGCATTTCTGCTGGATGGCAATGAACTTTTTATTCAAACTTCAATAATTAATATGACTTGATAAAAGATGTGGGTTTATTCTGAAAATGACTTAGGAAAATGACTTACCCGGAGATTTCTTTTTGGCTTTTGCAGTTCGCTTTTAAGGTCTGCTTTCCCTGCATCTGATTCAGCTTTCTTTGACTCCATTTCTCGGCTGTCTTCAGGATGGTTTTCTTTTTGACTCTCTTTTGAAGGAGACACAAAATTATCAGGTTTCTCCCAGGTTGATACTGGAAAACACAGACAGCAATGTATTTTAAACAATAGTTTGTATTAAAAGAATCTATATCCAGCCTATTTTCAAAATAAACTCAAGGTGGCTAACAAATCAAAACATCACACAATGTTAAATTCCCATTCTTAACCCCACTCAAACAAACAACTGTTATTTGTGTTTCACAATGTTAATGCAAAAGCATCAGTTGTACACTCAACATACAAAAACAAATATGGGTCTGAGGTAGATGATGCAATTTGGTGTCATTGGGAAGCTAGATATAACTCTGAAAATCACTGGTTTTGAATTCTGGCAGCTACTCCCAGCCTAGTGCCTAAATGACAACAAAGTAGGCAACCTGGCAAACCTCACTGGGGAGAGCTTTCCACAATTGGTGTGCCAGTACTGAGAAGAACTACAGTGGTACCTCTAGTTACGAACTTAATTTGTTCCTGAGGTCCGTTCTTAGCCTGAAACTGTTCTTAACTAGGGGCATGCTTTTGCTAATGGGGCATCTTGCTGCCGCTGCGCCGCCGGCACACAATTTCCGTTCTCATCCTGGGGCAAAGTTCTCAACTCGAGGTAACTCTTCCAGGTTAGCGGAGTTTTTAACCTGAAGCGTTTGTAACCTGAGGCGTTTGTAACTCAAGGTACCACTGTACCTAGTTATCATCCACTGTACTTCAGACATGATTGGCTCAAATAGTCATGACATTAAGAGGGCAGACTCAGTCCGTTTCACCTTATGAACAGTGCTGCAGCTTCTCTATGGCCCAAAGTTCCTACAGAAAGGACATGAGGGCCTTATCAGGGTAACAACTCCACCCCACCCCCCACCCTCTGGGATTTAGTTCTCCATTTGTGCTACTGACTTCACAGAAGTGTAGGGCTGTCTCACGCTGGCAAAACTCTGCATGGGCAGAAACCCAAGTTCAATCCCAGCATTTCCAAGGAATTTTGGGAAAGACCTATATCAAAAATCTGGGAAAGCTGCTGCCGGTCTGTGTAGGCAACACTGAGCTAGGTGGACCAATGGTCTAACTCTGGATAAGGCACCTTCCTATGTTTTATCTCTTTTTTATCTTCCTTACCTCCTGTTTCTATGTTGTAGTAATAGGTGCGACCATCTTCACTTGTTCCTTCCATCCACTGTGCTGTCTAACAGAGAAAAATAAACCACCTAGTAAAAGATTAATCCAAGTCTCACCGATGTACCATATGGATATAGGCAAGGAAGGTCAGGCTCCACTTATGAAAATATTGCAATTATATCTAACTCATTAAAATAATCTGGGGGAAATTCCATACACTCTAACAGAATTTGGACAGAGACAGAATGGCTCTTAGATAGCCAAGTTACCTGAAATACATCTTTACACCTTTTCTTTGAAGCCTTTGACTTAATAAACTTTATTGTTTCCATTAACAAGTGAAACAAGTCCTTTGTTACCTTGGAAATCCCATTTCCCCACACCCTCGTCTCCCCAAACTGTTAGCTTTTAGAAAGCAATATTCTTAGGAAGGGATCTGTTCTTTTTCTTTATAATTCTTGATTGTACTGTATAAATAATAAGGGTCACCAGAAAACTAAGCAAAATGAATGATGTTGTATAACAGCTTGGAAACTGCATTAAAAAAAGAAATTGAACAAAGGTAGGTATAAGAAGTATCACTTAGAAAATCTGATTTTCCTCCCCACCAATTATATATGGCGGGCGCTATGAGTCCTGGGAAAAGATACCAGAGAAACATGTCAAAGACTTGCTCCTGGATCCTGTCCTCACACACCTGAAGCCACATTACAAACTTGTTCCTAAATACCCATGCAACATGATAATTGTAGCTAAACTAATTTTTGCTCTACACTTGAATGCAGTCAATTCTCCCTGATGTGGGAAAGATGGAGGGCACAAGGAGAAGGGGACGACAGAGGATGAGATGGTTGGACAGTGTTCTCGAAGCTACCAGCATGAGTTTGACCAAACTGCGGGAGGCAGTGGAAGACAGGAGTGCCTGGCGTGCTCTGGTCCATGGGGTCACGAAGAGTCGGACATGACTAAACAACAAAAGTAAAAAATAAAAATAAAATCTAACTTTGCATACTTAAAACTTAACTTTAGCAGGAAGCGTTCTGAAAATGTGAGTCATGCCAAGACTCAGTTTATGGTGTGCAGCATTTGCCAAAGGAGTAGATCCAATAAGGGACACATGGCTTCAGCTGGTGTTTCCCCTTTGGTGTGGGACTTAGCTACTGGTAATTCTAATGACCAGTTCAAGCTCAGAGAACCTGCATAACAATAAAACAAAAGCAGGATTTGCTTTTACAACTTTCATTTACCTTTTGGAGTTCTTGAAGGTTGTCCTGAAATTCTTCAGGTTTCTCCCACTGCGATTCTTAAGGGTGGGGATGATAACAATAAAAGAAGAGATATTAGGTTTCAGTTGTCTGTACATTGAAAAAACGATGGTGACACATAAAGTAAATCTGTATGGAAGTAATGATAGCTGGGTAATGGCCACAGTGATGGGAGCACCGTGGGGAGCACTGAGCTGGCTCTGCCAATGTGTCCACGCAGCCTCCACCTTGCTGGGCCTCATCCCCATCCCGGTAAGCGGCAGTGATGCCAATCTCAGGAGGGTGGCTCCACGTGGTCACACTGATAGCTCCTGAAGGACTGAAGGCGGCAGACTGGAGAAAAGCTTCAGAAAGGAAGAAGTCTGTGGCAAATGTGTTTTTTTTAGCCAAGGAACTTCCATGCGTGGTGAGAGCAGGTTATTTTGTTCTGATGTCATAGGTACAAGCGGGTGGTGAGGTAATTGGAAAGGAGCCATTGCAAGATATGTGGATGGTTAAATCCACATTCCTTGTTACAGGTTTACCTCCTGATATAGCGTTGTAGTAATACATATAGCCTTCTGGAGAAAATCCTCGCACCCATTCCTTTGCTGCATCTGATGATGTTTCTGTGGTCTCTCTCTCTCTCTTTCTCTTTTCTTTCTTTTCTTTCTTTTCCTCATGCTTTTTTGGTGCTGAGCTCTGACCTAAAGATTCTGAAACATCAAGTTCCAGTTTTAAAAAACAAACATCAAAACTTCCGGGGACTTCTGGGTTGCTGTGGATGCTCCCTTCATGAGCGAAGACCAAGGATATATTTTGGGGGTTTGGGAGAGCTACACCCGCTATCATCCCCCTGGATTAAAGAGACTGGATATAGATCACTCACACACTTGTTCAGCCAGCTCCCCTTCCCTGCTGAGCCGAAAGGTTCAGTGAAGGAGAGGGGCTTGAGTGACAGGGAGTGGGAATCCATCTTGCTGACTCCTCTATTGGACAATTTACTGAACAGAAGCTGGCCGAGCGTAACCTTCTCTGATTTGGATTATAACAAGAGAAGCTCACCTGGACATGATGTAGAAGTGAATTGCTGGGATTTATATCTGCTGTTTTTTTAAGGAGGGAAAGAGGAAGCAACTACAGCTATGGGAAAAGTGAGTGACAGAACATATTAAGCAGGAGCTTGTTCATCTCTTTGGCAGCGTCAGACCCTACCTGTCGTAGCACCAATTCTTTTCAAATCCTCCTGATAAGCCTTCATTGCAGCTTCCTCCATGGCTGCAAATTCCTTTGACATTTTTTCTTCTTCTTTTGCCTTTTCCAAACTTTTCTTTTTAATCTGCAATTGAAAAAATAATGAGTTCCATTAAATAATGGAATTTAATATAATGTGATTAGTTTAAACAAGGTTTAATATATTGTATTACCTCACTAATCTTTTTAGCCACATTTTCCTTATGGTTTTTTCCTCGTTCATGAAAGTCAATACTCTTTAAAAGGAAATGAGACAGAATTAAAATACACAGAAATGTGAACTGGCAGGAGCACAAATGAGACTGAACACAGGTGACATATTAAAACAAAAGGAAGCAAACCTACCAGTAACCTAGAGTTCCAACAAGAAGTTTAATGACATGGGGCTGGGGTACCTTAGTGACCACTGTGCTCTAGATGAACCTGTTCCAAGAGTTCATCAAAGGCACAGCTCTATGTGTTGCCTGCTTGCCCTAATAGGACGGATAGGAACTGGGGGGAAGGCCGCTGCAGTGGCGGCATGCCACTCACAGAATGCACCCGCCAGGAAGCCTTGCTTGGTACCTTTGCTTTTAAGTTCCAGACACCTTTTCTTTTCCCTCTCAGGCATTTTAGCTGGATTTTGTGGCAGTGCTCAGGAAGTTTTATGCTACTATGTCTTGTTTTTTATTCTGCTTCTGTTTCAATCTGCTGTTTTTATCGTTTTCTTGTTTAAATTATTTGTTAACAGAAGCTGGCTAAAATATCTTAAATATATAAGATCACTACAGTCAATTAAAATCTCAAAATAATACTGCGTACTAATACAGGCTCGCCTCAGTGAAATGCTCAGAAGTTCAGGCTACAAAGATAAATATAAAAGAAACACACAATAGGAAGGATGAAAACAAGTTTCCTTTTCTTTCAATCACAAGGATTCCTGAAATGTTAATTTATTTTAAATATATATCAGGCATACTTAGTAACAGCAGCAATGAAGAATACCAGCCTGAAGCACACCCCCACAGATGGAGCACACAGGACAGTAGTGCTTGTGAAATACAATATAGTCACATTGGTCAGTACATATTTTACCAATTGGCAATTTAGCGCACAACACTACTGACTTCCCCAATGTTGATGACCTGCAAGGGGCACTATTGGAATGGTGTGCAGGCTTCTCTCTGCCGGCCTCTACCAATAGAAAGGGGCTTCATGGGGGGGGGCTCTCACTGCCAGCAGTCAGCAGAAGGTCTCAGAACAGGGTGTTTCTGGCACTGTAGGCACACATCTTCCAAGGGGCCCAATTCTGGAGCACAGCAAAGGGAATGAATAAAAAATCTCTGCACCTTCTCCTTCCTTCACCTCCTAGGATTGCTTTGCTACTTATTTTATTTCCAACAGCTGAAGTGTGGTAAAGTTCTCACCACTTGCCAGAATGATGCAGCTGAACATCTTACCAAGTTAAAATGTTTTTCTTTGTTCACACAGTTCTTTGTAAGCTTTGGAATGGGAAGTGGGGTTTAGCCACAGGAAAAGCAGGGGTAGCAGAAGAAGAAACTGAAGCTTCTAATTTAGGTAACAGGGTTACAGATTGTGAAGTAGGAATAGGTTTGGAGAAAGTCACGCTAAGGGAGAGAAAGAGGCTGGACTTCCTTTGTTGAGACAGAAATGCAAGAAGGTGCTTAAGAACAACTTTAGAGAGGATTTCAATGATGTTTTGAAGGGGTGGGACAGAAGGCCATACAGGAACGCAGCTGACATTTTTTGCTTACAAGATTTTGTTATTGCCGTAAGTTTATACTTTGTGCCGCAAAGAACTGCCAAAGTAATCCAGATTTTGCACCATGAAAATTAAGTTTGTATGCATTGGTTTATTTGCATAATTTATTCTGATTGTGTCAGCCATGGAAATAGGTAAGCAGACTGTTCAAAATTTTGCAGAGTTATATTCTTGCTTGTAAGATTTCACCAGCCATTGTCCACATTTTTTCAAGTTTATCTTTAAAGTCTTTAAAGTCGTGAAAGCTAGGAATTTGCTTTGTTAAAATAAGGGTGTAGGGATTTATGAGAAGAATGATCAAAGAGAATTCATCAATATTGTAGTAACAAACAGAAATATTGCAAGGAGTGCCCTCCACCAACCTGAGATCTTGAGACTTCACAGCTCACATGACATGCAACTACCATCAATATTAACCCTGCTCGGGCACACAGGTAGGAAGCATGGGGACAAAATTGCCCCCTGCATACCCAGCTGACCCAATCAGTCGCCAACCTTTCTGTAATGAGCAGGGGACGTCTGAGGAGTTTTTACCTGTGCTCACTTAAATGTGAGTGGAAGCCTCTGCATGATCCAGCCCCCTGATAAAGCAGGTTCCCCCATCATGTAGAGGCTTCTAGCCCCCTTCATACCTTCCACATTTAACCTCGGAAGGTCAGGGACTGAGTGAACAGAACGGGGGGTGGGGGTGATCCCATGCCTCCTACGCATGTGGGTTGTTCTCATTCAGGAACAATGCCTGAATAGAAATACTGTTGCAGCTATTGGAGCACTCATGACAGCTGGTCCCAATAAAGATCAGGACAGTATCAGTAGCTGTTGCACAACCTCTAAGGAAGCAGTATATCTGGATCTCAGATATACCTGGGGTTCACTCAGACTCAGCACTCAGGTGACCACTCCTCATAATACAAACTTCCAAGTCTAGATTGATCTGTTGAAAATTAATATATAATTCATTTTTTGTACTTCAGTTTCACTTAAGAGTACAGAAGGTAGATCATCATACAGGCTTGTTGTCCGCTATCCAGCACTTGCAATAATCACAGAATTTCTTGGGCTGAGATTTCCAGTAATCGGCCCTAGAAAAGAAAAATGTGGAAATTAAAAGCCATTTTGCAAGAGTAAGCAACTCAAACTGAATCCCAACCTTCTCACTGAGTTATTTGTTCCAGTGCCAAAAATCTACTTTTCCTAATGTGCGATACCAACCATTTCTTTGTTTTCTGAAACACAGGAGTGCTTCAGAGAATCTCAGTGAAGAACAATGAAGGCTCTTAGAACATACTAAGTGCCGTATTTTTGCGCCATAAGACGCACCTAGTTTTTACAGCAGGAAAACAAGGGGAAAAAAATCTGACTCAAACGTTGTACTAAACTATTTAAAACAGCAAAGCGGGCGGCTCCTGTCCGCTTTGCTGCTTTAAAGCGAGCCACGGTACATAACGAAGTTAATGGAAAAAGGATAGACATTCCATTACAATGTAGCTGTTTTCATTATCACTGGGAAGTCAGTATTGGCAGCGGTCACATAAACTAAAATTTGAGCATTTTACTGTTATTAATCAAGAATGGTAATAGTCAGGGAGAGAAACCAGGGCTGTGCAAATGAGAAGGGCTTGGAGTATGGAGAAACAGCAAAGACATCAAATGATTGCGCTCCAGTTCCTAAATCTGTGAAGTTTTCTCAAAACAGGCATAGTTGTTTTGAAAGGAAGATTCAAAGAGTGGGAAGTGGAGTGACTGAGCAAAGAACAGAGGAGGAAAAGAGGGCAGATAAATAGCTTCCATTCAATACCAAGAGAACACAAAGTTTTTGGTTTGGTATAGGTGGACTGTGCTTGTAAGAATTTTTTTAATGAATTATAGATTTGGAGTGGAATATCAGTGCCTCTTTTCAGCAATAAAGATTAGCTGCTAGGAACATGGTCCACACACAAACACACAGGATGTCCGGTTATAGTTGTGCAGTTTAAACTGTTACTGAGCCAGATGCCTGCTTAGTTTAGCTGAGCTCACTATTACTGGTTTGTGGAGATGCTTTGCATGTATTGATGACTATTTCTGCAAAACTGCTACTTGAAGAAATCCCCAAACTTAATATTTTTAAATTTCAAATGGAGCTCAGAATCCAGTTAGGCAATCAAGCCTTTGCAGTTCAATTAGGAGGCACTGAGAGACGGCAATTTGCTGCGCCCCCCAAAGAGCAACCCAGGAGCGCGGGGCAACAGTGCACAGCCTGCCCGCTGCTCCCAAACCTTTCCTGGGCTTTAGGGGCAGAAAAGCTCACTCCCAAAGAGCAGCCCAGGAGCGTGCCACACTCCGGCGATTTGGCTCCAGGGACCACACATTCGCTCCATAAGATGCACAGACATTTCCCCTTACTTTTTAGTGCGTCTTATGGAGTGAAAAATATGGTATGTGTATTACTGTAGTACTTTTATACATGTGAATAACATATAAAAAGATGCAATTTATTCCCATAATAACTATGAGACTGAAAAACAGTGATGGGCCCAAGTCCACACAGGAAACTTAGGAATTGGGCAGGATAGGACTTCTGGTTCACTGTGGAGGTAATGGCAGCGTGCTCGGTGTCGTCCGCTTAAGGGACGGCACAGTTCTGGCAGATAGAGCTTTGGGGGTGAGCGCCAGGGCTAGGTGCCCCCAACCCCCACCCCATGGAGGAGTGGGGGTCCTACGGGTCCAGCAGAGTGTGGGAACTCACCCTCCTGAGCCTCCAGGCTGCCATTTTTGCGCGGGGGAAAGAGGCTTGAGTTCGCTCATGGCTCCACCGTACTCTACTGCCGAAGCCACACACCGCCACCACAAGCAGCGGATCTTCCAATTAGAGGTAAAAGCCAAATAAAGTTTTTTAAAAAGGAATTAGGCATAAATTGACTGATTTGGTGAAACAGAAGCAAAAAAGGAAGTCAGCTTCTGATTTCTGTGGACAGGCTCTGCAAGGGGATTTTTTGTGAATGGGAAGTAGAGTGGCATTCGCAGCTATGCAGATTTAGTAACAGTTTAACTTTGGACTTTTGAGAGACTTTTTTTTGTCAGCATTTAAAGTTTCTGACAGATATATTTTTTAGGGTGATTTCACGATATAGCCAATTTTCATAGTTTTAATATTATTTTAGATTTTAAGATGAACAACTTTGTTTCATTATTTTTTTATTTTACAGCAATAGATTGTAGGAAAGTTGTACCCATTCCCCATTCCCCCCCATGATGTCCCAAAAATGTAAAATTTTGTCATAAGACATAAGAGACCCATAAATTTTAGTCTTTGTTGAGAAAGAGCATGTCTTTGCAATAATTTTTACCATCAAAAACTATTGATTGCATTGTGCCCTAATGCTGAAAATCCAGCTTTTCTACACCTAGTTTTTCTACCAAAAAATCTACATTTATACATTTTTTTAGGTATTTATAAAATCTTTTGAGTGCTGGTGTATTTTTTCCTGAAATCCTCATCATGTTATTGATCTCTATGTAAAATTTCAAAGAGATCTGATCATTGGTTATGGAGGGAAAAAAATAAAATGCACACAAGGCCAGGATCTTGAGGGACAGAAACATAGATTTCACGAAACTTTGAAGTGCTATAAAATTAAAACTGTTTGAGATAGAGGGAAAACATTTAAGGGGGTTTCTTTCAACCATAAGGGAAGGGTGTACAGCAAGTTTCATCAAAATCTGAGAGGGTGGCGAAACCCTTGTTTTGTGCGTTGATTTGATGCGGAATGACCCATCTCTCCTCCATTTCATCTCTGGTCTTACAAACTATGAACATTTTTTTTCTCCTCTCCTTCTTAAATGAGGTCAAAAACTTGTGCATCACTTTGTGATTTCTGACTGGTTTGAATAAAGACGACCTATTAATTATAATTAATATCCTTCTCCTCCTTATCCCTGTATGGGATTTTTCTGACCCGTTTCCCCGCCCCTTTGGCCTGATAATGAAACACGGGCGTGCGATACTGGGGGCTCCCGGGACGCCTGTAGGCCCGCGAGACGGGCTCCTGAGGAGCAACCGGGAGCGGGGCTGAGAGACGCGTGTGAAAGGCTCCCTCGCGGGGCGGCCTGAGGCGGGGCGGCGGGAGGGAGGGAAGGAGCCAGGCCCACCCACCTTCGGCGGCGCCCCCTCCCGCTTCCCTCCCTTCCCGGGAGCGCTTACATTTCTCTCGCCGAGGCGCCGCCGCCGCCGCCGGGTCTGTTTCCTGAGGAGCGGAGGGAGCCGAGCAGCAGCGCCTTTCTCTCCCCGCCCCCCAGAGGCGACGCGACGGACGGCAGCCGCACAGGCTTAATCCGCGCCGCGCGTTCGCCCGCTCGCTTCCTCGGAGAGGCGGAGGGAGGGGGAGGAGGAGCCTCCCGTCGGGCGGGCGGGCGGGGGAGGGGCGCGCCAGAGCCGGGGCGAGTTGCGCGCGACGCCCCCCCCCGACGAGACCCCCCCCCCGCGCGGGCTCTGAGCGGCCGCGGGTTCGAGTCCCGCGCGGGCGGGCTCCGCCACTTCAGAGCGGGCGGGGAAAGAGGCGCTTTCGGGTGGCGCGGAAACCCGACGGGGCGCCGTCCGCTAGAAGGAGACGCCGTAGCTGGCCGGTCAGTTGGCTTCCTCGAGTCCGAGCTCCCCCTCCCGCGCTCCCCGCCGGGGGGGAGACCCCCTGGAGCCCCTTCGGGTCGGAAGAAAAGGCCCCGCGCAGCTGCGGCTCGGAGGGGCTTCTCCTTCCTCTCCCCCGCGGAGGGGTCCAGGCGGCCCTTCGGGGCGATGCCGGGGATGCTGAGGGTCCCCGCCCCGACGGGCCCGGCTCGCCCGCTCTCCCGCTCGCTCTCCCGCGGAGGCTTTGGGGCAACGGGGGCAACAGGCACCATCTAAACGGGGGGGGGGGTCTGGTTTTCAGCAGGACGGGGAGAGGTGCTGCCCCTTTCCTCCGCTCTTACGTTCTTGCCGCTTGTTTTCTTTCTTCAGCGCTGGAAGTGAGCTGGGAGGCGAGAGCGATGGCTGAGCGAGCCACTCGGGAGAGGTAAGTCTCGGAGCAGCGCGAGTTTCTCTCGGCCTTTGCCTTGGGTTAGCTGCTTAAGGAAGTCTCCCCCCCCCCCTTCCACGGGGGAAGAGGAACCTCCGGCTCCGGGGGCCCCGCAGAAGCCCACAGGTCACACCCGCCACTTTAAAGCACTGCTGGAGCAGCGCTTGAATCCTGGACTTTGCGAAAGGTGCTGGGAAGAGTGGTTCTGGGAGGCCTCATGAGTGCTTTGCATAATTTTTAGTTTTAGGAAACCTCAGTAAAGACTAACTGCAGTTTGTCTGAGTTTGGGCAGAACACTAAGCTGCAGTTAGTATCGTCTTTTCATGGCCACACTGGAGAAAACGGTGGCGATCCTAGGAACCCAGTGGCCACAAAGACTTGTTATTGCAATACTAAACCATGGTACAACTGCAGCCCCATAAGGTAACCTTCAGGTAGGAAGTGAGGATTTGTGGGCAATACTATTAACATGAAAAGGTTGGTCCTTAGGGTATAAATATTGATTTGGTGATTGAAGGACTGCCACCCAGTGGATATAAAGGTGTATTATATCTCACATATTTATAGTCTAATGCAATTTGCAGTTACTTTTGATATTATGAGCAAGTGTGGCTTGTATTAATGTTCTGACAATTCATAATGATTAGTTCACTTATGAGTTAGCAAAGTACTAAAATGGATGATGGACAGTTTGTAAAGAAATGTGTACCATTAATTAAAATTATTTGTTACTCCTGCATACCTCTTTATTAGTAATTACCTGCTTATTTACTTGCCAGTGTTGTGAACTCTAGCAAGTTCTCCTTTCCATGAATGGAAGTTACCTAAACTTTGTTGCTATAGTATTGCTTTATGTGGTTTCTGATAGGTTCAGCTGTTATTGCGATTCCTCTTTAGTTTCAGAACCGTCAATAATATGAAGAAACAGCAAATACGGTAGTAGCAGAAAGACACAAATACTGATAAAGCTGTACTATTTTATAATTTCACCTAAAATTAGAGAAGGCATGGCATGTGATACATTTTATTTGCTGAGGCCAATATATATTTTTAAGAAGATACAACAATGGGGGATTAGGTTTTTATGAGTAAAGTGGTACCTTGGTTGGCTCCCAAACAAATCAGCCCCTGAATGCCTCAAACCTAGAAGTGAATGTTCCGGTTTGCGAATGTTTTTCAGAAGCCGTACGTCCGACTTGGCGTCTGCGGCTTCCAGTTGAGTGCAGGAAGCTCCTGCAGCCAATCGGAAGCCGTGCCTTGGTTTTGTCTTTTTTTCAAAAAGTTATTGCTTTTCCAGTTTTATAACAAAATATAATAACAATACATAATAAAAAAACAGAAAAATACACAATACAAAAAGAAAAACATAGAAACAATTACAGTGGTGGCTCGCAAGACGAAATTAATTCGTTCTGTGAGTTTTTTCGTCTTGCGAGTTTTTTTGTCTTGCGAAGCACGGTTTCAATTTTTTCAAAAAAATCTTCAAAAACCTCAAAAAAGGCTACCACACTATGAGTTGATCCCCGAAGTCAAGTCGCAACTGCACCTCTTCAAGCAATGCACCCTGTATTACTATAACGGTTTTAAGAAAAAGGAAACAAACTTTCAAGACGTTTCCGTCTTGCGAAGCAAGCCCATAGGGAAATTCGTCTCGCGAAGCAACTCAAAAAACGAAAAACTCTTTCGTCTTGCGAGTTTTTCGTCTTGAGAGGCATTCGTCTTGCGAGGTACCACTGTATTACTTTCAATACCTAATTTAATTACTAGCCTCTCTTTTATTGATTCTAGTCCTTAGTATTTTACGACCCATTATTATTATAATCCTCAGCCAACTTCCAAGTGATTCCCAATTATCTTATATTACAATATTTAGCTAGATATTCTTTAAATTTCTCCCAATCTTCTTGAGTCTCCTTTCTGATTGTAGATTCTTCCAGTCAGGTCAGCCAGCTCCAAAAAGTCCAACATCTTCATCTTCCATTCTTCTATTGTTGGTATTTCTTGAGATTTCCAATTTTTGGCTAGTAATAGTCTTGCCGCTGTGGTGGCATACAAATACAATCTAACATCCTTTTTGGGCAATTCCAATCCTATTAGTCCAAGTAGAAAGGCTTCTGGTTTCTTAATAAATGTATTTTTCAACATTTTTTTCAACTCATTATAAATCTTTTCCCAGAAGTCCTTAGGACACATCCACCACATATGATAAAAGGTACCTTCTTTTTCTTTACATTTCCAACATAAAGTATCATTTGTGTGGTAAATCTTTGCTAATTTTACTGGGGTTAAGTACCATCTATACAGTGGTACCTCGGGTTACATACGTTTCAGGTTACAATACACTTCAGGTTACAGACTCCGCTAACCCAGAAATAGTACCTCGGGTTAAGAACTTTGCTTCAGGATGAGAACGGAAATTGCGCGGCAGCAGCGGGAGGCCCCATTAGCTCAAGTGGTGCTTCAGGTTAAGAACAGTTTCAGGTTAAGAATGGACCTCCGGAATGAATTAAGTACGTAACCAGAGGTACCACTGTACATCATTTTCATAATATTTTCTTTTAATACAGTGCATGCAGTGAACTTAACCCCTTTCTTCCACAGCCTGTCCCAATCTTCCAACATTATATTGTGTCCAACATCTCTTGCCCAATCTATCATCATAGATTTAATTTGTTCATCCTTTGTATGCCATTCCAACAATAAATTGTACATTTTGGATAGGTTTTTAGCATTGGTATCTAACAACTCCGTTTCCAATTTGGATTTTTCCATTGCAAAACCATTTTTCTTAAGCTTATACAGTTCGTTGATCTGATAATATTGTAGCCAATCTAATTTATCTTTAATTTGATCAAATGGTCTTAATTTAAGTCCTTCATTGTTTTCCCACAATAGATCAGCATATTTCAACCATTTACTCTCCATATTTAACTTTTTCTGGGCCTTTGTTTCCATTGGTGAGAGCCACCTGGGTGTTTTCCTTTGTAAGAGATCTTTATATCTTATCCAAACATTATATAAAGATTTTCTGATTACATGAGTTTTAAAACCTTTATGGGCTGATATCTTGTCATACCATAAGTATGCATGCCAACCAAATACATAGTCAAATCCCTCCAAATCTAGCACATCAACATTTTCTAGTTGAATCCATTCCTTAATCCAGCAGAAAGCTGCAGGTTCAAAGTATATCTTCAGGTCTGGCAAGGAAAATCCCCCTCTTTCTTTTGAGTCTGTTAATATTTTATATTTAATTCTGGGTTTTTTTCCCTTGCCAGATAAATTTAGACAATGCTTTCTGCCATTCTTTAAAACATTTTACATTATCAATAATTGGGATAGCTTGGAATAAGAACAAAATCTTTGGCAATACATGCATCTTAACCACTGATATTCGGCCCATCATTGACAGTTTTAAATTTGACCATACCTCAACATCTCTCTTAATTTCATTCCATAATTTTTCATAATTATCCTTATATAAATTCAAATTTTTCACTGATAAATTCACACCCAAATATTTCACTTTTTTCACAAAGACAAGGCCAGTCTTTTCCGGAAGGACTTTTCTCTCCTCATTATCTAAGTTTTTCTCCAACACTTTGGTTTTGCTCTTATTTAAGTTAAATCCTGCTGCTTGCCGGAACTCCTGAATCAGCTCCAGTGCTTTCACTGCACTGGAGTCTGGGTCTTGTAAAGTTAACACCAAATCGTCGGCAAAGGCTTTTAACTTATATTGTTTGGATCCTACTGTTATACCTTTGACCTCTTCCTCCTTCAAAAAATTCCTGAAAATAAAAAGATCCTACTAAATGGATTGATCACAAGAAAAGAGGTTGAGAAGGCCATAAATCAGATGCAGCTTGGTAAAGCCCCAGGACCAGATGGTTTGTCTGCAAAATATTACAAGACTTTGAAAGATTGGCTTATTCAGCCGTCGGTTAGGTGTGCAATAAAATATTAAGAGGGGACAAAGCACCTGAAACTGGAAGGAAGCTTTTATAACTATGATACCAAAACCAGATCAAGATAGATCCAACGTAAATAATTACAGACCGCTCTCATTACTTAATGTGGATTACAAAAATTTTACTAACATTTTAACCAATAGGCTGAAGAAGATACTAACAGATTATATTCATAAGGACCAGGCAGGATTCCTGCCTGGAAGACACATGAAAGATAATATTAGGAATATAATCGATGTGCTAGAAAGGTTGGAAGCTAAAAAAATTTGTAAAGCGATCTTAATGTTTATTGATGCTGAGAAGGCCTTTGTCAATGTTTCCTGGAATTTTATAAAAAAGAATGGAGGTTGGACAAGAATTCCTAAATGGTATTAATGTGATCTATTTTGAACAAAAAGCAAAAATTATAGTTAATAATGTGGTCTCAGAAGAAATTAGAATTGAAAAAGGAACCAGGCAAGGGCGCCCACTTTCCCCACTACTTTTTATTTCAGTTCTGGAGGTTTTGCTAAATATGTTAAGAAGGCCGTGCCTTGGTTTTTGAACTGTTACAGGAGTCGAATGGATTCCCAGAACGGATTAAATTCGAGAACCAAGGTACCGCTGTACTCTTAGTAGAGTTGGGGGGCAGTCCTATTGCAAGCTCCACTGGGGTAGGCAGCCTAGGATGCAGCAGATCTTCCGCTCAGCTGGATTAAAGTCCTCAGCGCTGGCTCAGATGGGCTTAACTTGCTCATTCTTGCCCAGCTGGCTGAGATGAGCCTGATGTAGTCCCAAAAAGGGGTGTGTTTCCAGGGATGGGACTGGGGGAGGGGCGACTTAGGCACAGTCATGTGACACGGCAACGTGGTGCAAAATACTATTTGAAAGGCTTGTTTCCCCTCTGCCAGTCTTAGGCAGAGCAGCAGCCACAGCCCTACTGCTGAACAGAGTTAGGATCTGGTATAACTTTGATGTTGATCTTTGTTGATGTTTGTTTCCAATAGAAACAGCCAATTGAAGGGGCAGTAAGGATGAAAAAGTTATGCACTTAGGTTGCATCTAATGTGCAGTTGGTATATCAAATAAATAAGGCTACCACATGCTGAGACCATCTGCAGGAAGTGAAAATTTTCTTGTAGCAGAGTACACTGCTGCTGCCAGTGAACATGCAGTAGAAGCATAGATGCTTATAAAATTGCTTAATTCAATTTAAAGAACAATAGATCCCTTATTTTGCATTTGAAAATGGGCCCCAAGTTGAAGATTTTTGAAATTAACGAACTTGAGGTGTATGTCTGTTATAAGTCTTTGACAGCACCTGAATGCAACACATGCTTCTGTTGTGAGGATCAAATTCAATAAAAAGTTAGTTTGGATGTTCTTTTTACATTTTTTTTAATAGTTAAGTTGAGAGAGAAAGATTTTGCTTTGCTAGAGATAGAGAGGTAAACTATTCAAAACTTGGAATTTTGAATTTTTAAAAACAATATTAGCAGATAAAATTATGACCTGTAATCAAAACTGTATATGGAGAATGTTACATGAATATATATTAAATTTTAAAAAAGAAATTGTTGTATCCCCTTGAAGGATCAGTAAGTTACTGTGGCATGAGCTTTGATAGACAACTACATTAGTAGTGCCCTCAAAAAAAATCCTTAGATTATTAAAATACTGTCAATCAACATATGCTGGTTTGCACTCTCAAGGTTTAAGACCAGTTAACACATGGAGTTGGGTATAATATGTTGAGGCATGGGGCATTTGTTGTGTTCCTACACAACCTTGTCAATTCTCTGCTTTTCATTTCAAAAAAAATCTGTCAAGGCTTCGGTTACATTAATTGTCCCTAAGTCTGAAAGCTGCTTCAGACAACTTGAGCTCTGAACTTCACCCTGTCTCATCTCTGAATATCATGAGCATGTAAATGATAAGGTAGTGTAAACATGTCTAAGCACATCTTCAGGTGTGGTCTGCCACTGTGACCAAAGTTGAGCCTGAGTCAATATTCAACTTTTGTTTGTAGATTCATCTGCCCCAACTTCTTTCTCTTACGTAAGACTAGGGAAATATTCTTTTAAACCTGGTTTTGTCTGTGCTATAGGACAAAGAAACTGGAAGACTTTGTATAAACAATGTACTGGAGACACTATCTGAGCTTTAAGATAAAACCCATTAAAAATGCATGTGGGACAGTAAAGATGGCAACAGCAGCACCCCTGATCCTTCCCCAGTTCTACAGAAATATTCAACACTGATCCGTAAAGCAAGACTGTTCAACGGTATCGCTCTCTGAAGTTTATTTTCTGCTCTACAGTAGACTAACTCTGATTGCATTTGTCAGGGCAAAGGGTTTGTTTTCATCTGCTGTTCATTTCATAGGGCTGCCCAGCCATATATCTGGATGGGCTGGGGTCATTCAGGCCCCTCAGTTCTGTTTGCTGTACAGTGGAACCTCGTGTTACGTACCATCCCCCTTGCAAACGCTGCGGGTTACGAGCTCCGCTAACCTGGAAGTAGGTCCCCTTGTTGCAAACTTTGCCCCAGGATGCGAGCATGTGCCAGAAGCACGGCAGCAGTGGGAGGTGCCATTAGTGAAAGTGCGCCTCATTTTATGAGCGGTTTCAGGTTACAAACGGACCTCTAGAACAGATTACGTTTGTAACCGGAGGTACCACTGTATGTAGATTTTTGTTTCTGTTGTGCCATAGCTCCTCCCTGAGTCTGCTTATGTACAAGAGATCTTTCCAGTCATTCATTACAACTTCATATCTGGGGCTTTTGTTTACTTTGCTCCAAAATCCCTACAGACAACACACAGAAAATAACTTCTGTGCTAGAGATAAATTTTTGTAGACACCTGAAGGCAGCCCCGTTTGGGAAGCTCTTAATGCTTGCTTTTTGACAAGCTATATGCACATGTTCTGCTTTCTTGTTGCCATATTGCTCATGGCCCATGCTTCTGCCCTCAGTAGACAGTAATTGTAGCCATCAGAAGCAGTATTGGTGCACTAGAAGCTAGTAACCTTGGACCTCCTGCTCAGATTTCCGTCCTGTTACGGCAGCTGTGTGGGAAGACGGTCAAATATAAACTCTTCATGCGCCTTGTGCCCAGTGATGTCCCTCTCTGTTGTTGCAGCACATCCTTCTTGTTTGATGTTTTGTTGTATTTTTAATATTTTGTTGGAAGCCGCCCAGAGTGGCTGGGGAAACCCAGTCAGATGGGCGGGGTATAAATAATAAATTATTATTATTATTATTTTTTATCTCCGCTTGCTGGGCAGGGTAGAGTAAGTGGCTCTGCCATTGTGTGGATTCCAGATGATCAGTAGTGGCAGCCTGTTTGTGGCTCTGTGACAATCATAATATCTAATGATTCTTTTTAAAATTTATATTCCCTCTTTCTCCTCTTTGCTTCAAATAATTTGAATAGAAGTGCTCCCCTTCCCCTGACAGTATGGTCCATTGAGTTCTTTTTTATCTACTGCTTGGCAAAACCATCACTTAACGTGCATTATCATCTAACATTTACTGCTTATTAACTGAGCAGTAGAAGTATTTGATTACTTTATTCCTAAACCCTTCACTGTATGATAGATTTCTTTAAGTCAAATATAAATAGTTGTAAGATTTGCTGCTTTTGTGCTTGTGCTCTGAGTAGATAAATGGACAGCAGCATGCTCGAGTAGGAAGAATGCACGTGATGGGAAAATCTGGGCAGAATCCAGTTGCTAGCTGTAGACATCCTCCAAACCAGCTTTTGGACTCTTGCTGTAGGAGAACTGCATGTGCAAACAGCATTACTGTTTCTGGATCAGAATAATTTCTTAGGTTATGCAGAGTGTCTGTCCCGCCCCCCCATCTTATTAAGCTTGGCCTTACAGAGTAAATCTAGTCTTAGCATTTTGTTTTGAACAGCGGGCAGTGAGACCTTTGGAAACAGAGGAACAGCTCCTGACATTTGGGAACATACGGCCTCTGTACATAATGCTTTAAACTGAAACACTTCTTTGATGTGTCTAGATCCAGCCTATAAGTAACTCAGCATCTGCTGGTGTTACAATGTTTCTATTTTAACGCCATAATTTACAGGAAAAATAATGCAACTCCCCCCAAACCTTCCAACCTTTAGCCAGAACCCTTTGACTGAAGCATTGTTCCTGTTCCACTATTTGGTTGGGCGGGGGGGGGGGGGAATAGAGAAGCACATTTTAATTTTGAAAGAAGAAAAAAAGTGAAACCAACTCAGTTGATGTGTACATCTGCTTGCATGTTTTAGCTCATGCTAAATACTTCAGCTATGAAAAATAGCATTCCTTGAGTATAAGTATCCTTGTATTTAATGGTTGATTTTGAACTGATCAAAAGCTGTCAGATTTACTGTGTTCTGAAGACTTTTCAAGCCACTATTCAGAGTTAACAAGGGCTATCGAGTGTCTGGCTCCGAAGCGCCCTCTCCAGTTGCATGGAGCCCGGACAGCCCCGTGGTTTTCCCCAGAGCTGAGGGCGATGAAACAATCATTGAGATGGCTAGAGCGCCAGTGGTGGAAAACTCACCGAATCAGACCGGACACGGGTTAGAGCTCAGTGTCGATGCAGATGCAATAGAGGGGGTGAAGAAGGTCCTCTTCCCATCCTGCTTTGCAGAAGGGGCGCTGCGCAGCTCTCCATCTCTGCGCAGCGCCTCTCCAGTGAAGTGGGAGGAGGAACGGAGCCCCTTCTATTTCTCCTCCTGCTTTCCTGGAGAGGCACTGGGCAGTGCCTCCAGTGAAGTGAAGTCAGAACAGCAAGAGGGATTGCTGCGCAGCGAAAGCAGCGATCCGTCTTGCTGTTCTGGCTTCAGCGAAAGCAACGCAAAGCCTCTTCAGGGCAGGGGGACTGTTCCTCCCGTTGCCCTCAAGAAACTTCACGCGGCTATCCCAGAAGTCAGAACAGCAAGAGGGTTCGCTGCGCAGCGATCCCTCTTGCTGTTCTGGCTTCTGGGATAGCTGCGCAGCCTGCATTCGCTCCATAAGATGCACACACATTTCCCCTTACTTTTTAGGAGGGAAAAAGTGCGTCTTATAGAGCGAAAAATATGGTAGCCTTGGTCACACTGGTGGATGATCTCTGGCGGCCTAGGGACAAAGGTGAAAGCTGTTTCCTAGTTCTGCTGGATCTCTCTGCGGCCTTTGATACTATCGACCATGACATCCTTCTAGACTGTCTAGAGGGGCTGGGAGCTGGAGGCAGTGTTATACAGTGGTTCCTCTCCTTCTTCCTGGGCCTTGTCCAGAAAGTTGTGTTGGGGGATGAGTGTTCAGACCCCTGGCCTCTCACTTGTGAGGTGCCTCAGGGTTACGTCCTCCCCCATGCTTTTTAACATCTATATGAAGCCACTAGGAGAGATCATCAGAGGGTTTGGGCTGGGTGTTCATCAATATGCAGATGACACCCAGATCTACCTCTCTTTTAAATCAGAACCAGTGAAGGCAGTGAAGGTCCTGTGTGAGTGTCTGGAGGCAGTTGGAGGATGGATGGCGGTTAACAGATTCAGGCTGAATCCTGACAAGACAGAAGTACTGTTTTTGGGGGACGGGGCGGGCAGATGTGGAGGACTCCCAGGTCCTGAATGGGGTAACTGTGCCCCTGAAGGACCAGGTGCGCAGCCTGGGAGTCATTTTGGACTCACAGCTGTCCATGGAGGCTCAAGGCAATTCTGTGTCCAGAGCAGCTGTCTCCCAGCTCCATCTGGTACGCAGGCTGAGACCCTATTTGCCCGCAGACTCACCAGAGTGGTGCATGCTCTAGTTATCTCCCGCTTGGACTACTGCAATGTGCTCTATGTGGGGCTACCTTTGAAGGTGACCCGTAAGTACAACTAATCCAGAATGCAGCATTTGCATCCATTTATATAAATATGCACACCCTTAGTCACCTGCCTGTGCAGATATATAACTGTGTTGATCACATGCTAAGAGGACTTGCTGTGGAAGCCAAAGTGATAATATTTCCCAGGGAGTGGATATGCTGGTGATTTCCCTGTGCAAATTCCACTGCATTCCTATTCTTTGATGGCTGGGAGAGACTCGCTTGGGAAAAGGAAAACAAGCATTCTGGAAGACTATGAGTCGTAGCTCAGTGGCAGAGCATCTGCTTTGCATGCAGAAGGTCCCAGGTTCAACCCCTGGCATCTCCTGGTGGAGGTAGGAGATATTCCTGCCTGAAATGGGACCAATAGCCTGACTCTGTATGAGGTGCTGCAAGCCATGCCCACTGTACTCAGGTTCTATTTGTGCAGGCCATCAGTGGTACCAGGAAGGGGTTGCATCCCCATTGTCTTTGTACAACTGGCCCCTGGTGGTACAAATGCATATTGTGTATCTGACCTGGCGAACGGATAAATGAGATACAGCGAGAATAGTGATTGGGACCTGCTGCACAGGTCTCTGTGTTGAGGCTTCTGGAAATAATTGCATATGTGTGGGGTGAGCTGCTGAACCTTGACATCTGCAACCTGGATGGGGTCCACGTGTGTTGGAAAGACTGGAAGGGCAGCTATTTGCTCTGGGGCGTTTCCACTGCCTTTGATTATCTATACGAGGTGGGGCACTTGGGTTGTTCAGCAGTTACCTACACATGTCTCCCTTTTCCCCAACTGACCTGCCAGGTCTTGTTGTCTCAAAAGCATCTCTGTTCTCAGACTTGCTTCCCAAAATGTTAGCAAAGTTCTGCTTTCCCCACCAGCTGTGAGGGCAGGATGCCCCTTTACTATCTTGGCCCTTCACCTGAGCCATCCCTTGTGACATCAGAGTCCATGTAGGCAGGGCATGTGAGGCATAGCCCTGTGGCACGTGTCATCTGAGTTGAGCTTGATACGTGTAGGTTATATATTCTGCTGATACTGTGAGGCAGTTGACTGTTGAGATGTTCCACATCCTGAGCATTCCCATGTCACTACGGGCCTGGGAAAGGTGGGGGAGCCTGGAAAATTAAGTTTCTGTATCCTCTATGTTTCTGCCAGATTGCACTAGATGGTACAGTGGTACCTCGGGTTAAGTACTTAATTCGTTCTGGAGGTCCGTACTTAACCTGAAACTGTTCTTAACCTGAAGCACCACTTATCTAATGGGGCCTCCTGCTGCTGCCGTGCCGCCGGAGCACAATTTCTGTTCTCATCCTGAAGCAAAGTTCTTAACCTGAAGCACTATTTCTGGATTATCAGAGTCTGTAACCTGAAGCATATGTAACCTGAAGCATATGTAACCCGAGCTACCACTGTATTGTGGATGTGACTGATGGGGAATTGGATGTGGTAGAATTATGTCTGCTCCTAGCTGTGCCTGTGGCCTGGCTTGCTTTATGTTAATTACATGTGGATGTATCTTTGCCTGCCAGGTTCTGTATGCATGGGTGACTGTATTTCTGTCTGTGTGGTCTGTCTCCCCCGCTCCACTGGGGGGTGGATGGGGCTAATTATGCCTCATTCAGACTCCTCTTGAGCTTCTCATTCCCTGGATGCAGTTCTTACTACAGATGGCTAGGCAAGAGGCCGTTTACACATCTGACTATGTACAGACCTTGAAGGCTGGAAATCAATACATCTGTAACAGTTGTACCACCGGAACATAAATGCCACTATTTCAGCAGAGTTGACACACTCTTCAGGGCCTGTTTTGGGTTTTCCAGAGTATAACTTAGAAAACCTGAAAAACTGGTTCCATGGAGATGGAGGGAGAGGGGTGAGTGGAAGAGTCTTATGCATCCATGGGCAGTAGCTGCTCGGCAAGCCTACTTCTCTTTCTTTGTAAAGCACTGTACATTCACCCTTAGTCATATGTCCCAGCCAAGAAGGAGGCCTTTAGGAGAAAGCTTTTTCCTTCTTAAATTTTTTTTTTTTTTTTTTTTTTTTTTTTGCTGAAGGAACGTATTGCTTTTGCTATCAACTCTGGTATTATATGTTTGATAATGCTAAGGGTATCTCTACATCTTCAAGTCGGACATGTATCCCCAGAACAGAAAGAGTGGGTGGGCACCACAGTAGATAGACTGGTAACTTGATCATAGGTTTGATTACTCAAAAGTAATTCTCATTGTGTTCAGTACTACTTAACTCCTCAGTAAGCATATAACATTGCAACCACATTAACCTAGTTTTTATGAAAGCATTTATTGAGACATATGGGGAACTCAGTGGAGTAAACGTAATCCAAATGGTATAGCAACCTCATCAGCTTTTTTGTGGTTACTTTTTGGAATGGCCACTTGGAGGCGGAAATGGAGAGTGGTTGAGAAGCTCCGACCCTTAGAGCCACTACTCATTTTTCCTATGGGATGGTAATGGAAGGATGACCAGTTAGAATTTAGTTTGATCTTTCATTCAGCATTTTATGGAGCTCTTTCAGTTGGTCATCCAATAATTGCCACATGGTACCAACAGCCAGTGGTGTTCAACAGTATTTTTACCATACTGGTTTCTGTTAGTCTCTACCTAACAGTTTCTGCCTTGCATCTGAAAACTTGCATCTGTCTCTTTAACAAAGAAGTGCATTCCTTTCCGATGGTTGAAAAAATTAGTTTCACTTTTGCAGCCAGCACTCCACATAAGGGACGAAGAATTAAAAGCAATATAAAATGAAAATTCTAAACAATCAGAGCTTCCTTATTTGTTAATAATCTTTCCTAGTCACAAACAATTAAAATTTGTTTTTTTGTTTTATTTTCAGTCTGTTAATGCCTCTTCTTACGCCAGCAGTCAGTTTACATTCCAGGTGATAGTTTAACTGGTAGACAGATCACCTCAGTTGTAATTGATCACAGTCTCAAAGATAATTAAAGAAGGGAGATCTAGCTGACCTAATGCCTCGAGGGCTAACCTTCAGGGCTATTCTGTGGTGTCTGGGCACAATAGTGGTTGGTTTCTCTCTCCCAGTCACTCACTATCAGAAACACCCCTGTCTTCAGCGTGAAGAGTAGCTTTCTTCAGAGCATTAGAGGTTGATCCCTTAAGGTAAAGGTACCCCTGCCCGTACGGGCCAGTTGTGTCCGACTCTAGGGTTGTGCGCCCATCTCACTTAAGAGGCCGGGGGCCAGCGCTGTCCGGAGACACTTTCGGGTCATGTGGCCAGCGTGACAAAAGCGAGGATGTGACAACCAAGATTTATGTCTTGGCTGTCATTAATCACTGCATAATTATCTCTGTTGACAGAATACCAACAATTCTGGCACATGGTTTTTTAATATATTATTAGATTCGTGATTCAAATTGTCAGGGTGGCTTTCAGTAAAATCATTCCTGCATTTCAGGGGGTTGGACTAGATGACTCTTGGGGTAGATTGCTGTTTTTGAGCTATTTATATGGAAAACTGGCAAAAAGGGCACTGCTGCCATGGGCTGCCATACGTCTGCATTTTCCCGGACAGTTTCCCGATTTCTGCCTGGACACTGCTGCCGACTGCAGTACCTTGGTTCTCAAACGCCGAAAACCCGGAAGTGTTCCGGTTTTCAAACATTTTTTGGTCAGCCAAAAGTCCAATGTGGTTGTTGGCTATTGATTCCGGGGCGCCTGCACCAATCAGAAGCTGCACCTTGGTTTTCTGATATTTTGAAAGTCAAACAGACATCTGGAATGGATTAAGATTGGCGCTTTTGTTTTTGCTATTTATTTTGTGTTTTTGTGGCTTTTTCGGTTAATTTGTTTTTGTGACTGTGTGGAACCCAGTTCAGCTACTGATTGATGGACTGTGTGACTGCGGAAATGGATAAAAGCCCCCATCCAAACTGACTATCATCCGTGCAGGTAAGAATTTGTTTTTATTTTTATTATCTACAATACAGTGGTACCTCTGATTGCATACGCTTCAGGTTACATACGCTTCAGGTTACAGACTCCGCTAACCCAGAAATAGTACCTTGGGTTAAGAACTTTGCTTCAGGATGAGAACAGAAATTGTGCTCCGGCGGCACGGCAGCAGCTCCATTTGCTAAAGTGGTGCTTCAGGTTAAGAACGGACCTCCGGAATGAGTTAAGTAATTAACCTGAGGTACCACTGTACTGTTTTATTTATTTTATAGTACAGTACATTGATATGGCTTTCATTTTATGGATCAATGGTCTCGTTAGATAGTAAAATTCATGTTAAATTGCTGTTTTAGGGGTTGTTTTTAAAAGACTGGAATGGATTAATCTGTTTTGCATTATTTTCTATGGGAAAGCACGCCTTGGTTTTAGAACGGACTTCACGAACGGATTAAGTTTGAGAACCAAGGTACCAGTGTATTCTGACTGTGTATGGGAGAATCTGGACATATGTCAACCGTACCTTGCGGTCCCTTCCAAATCTACACTTGGTAATCTTTACAATAAGGAACACTTTTCCCATGTAATGACGTTATCGGATAGGAAAGGTCAGTTAGGGCCCACAGGCAGAAGTGGGGGAGTTCGCAACATTGCATAGCTCTTTCTCTGAGACACCTCAACTCTTAGAATCACAGCACTGTAGAGTTGGAAGAGACCCAACCCCATGCAATGCAGGAATCATCTGCCCCTTTCTTACTTAAAAAGTATGGAAAAGGTAACATCCCCAAATTTTTCTATTATTTTATTTTTTTAACAATTATAACTGGTACTGGATTTTTATCACACTATATGCATTAATTAGCTCTCACCAATATGTACCTGAAACTCAGGATTACATTTTATATATCTGAAAGCTTATGCCATTATAAATGTATTCACCTTTAAGATGCCACAAGACTTGCTGCTGTATTTACCACATACTTATTTTTTGTTAGGTAATTATTCACTTTTGTTGAACACAGGTTATTAATACTGGCAGTTGTTTCTGCTTCTGCTCTCCTTCTGTCCGCAGTCTGTAAAGTGAAGAAGCGTGGGGGGGGGGGCAAGGAAGAAAAGAAAGCAGCCCCTCTGACTGTGGGGAGGTGCTGCGTTGCTGTCTGCAATCTGCGGTGGGCTCCCTGATATGTGGTACCAGTTGGATTGCTATAGCATGTTATATGTGGGGCTGCCTCTAAAGACGGTTCAGAAACTTTAGCAGGTGCAAAATTTGGCAGCTAAGTTGCTCACCAGGGCAAGACGGTTTGAACAAATCCTGGCCCAACTGCACTGGCTACCAATAAGTTTCCGGGCCCAATTCAAAGTGCTGGTTTTGACCTACCAAGCCTTTAATAGCTCAGGAACGCAATACCTCAAGGACTGCCTTTCTCCATGTGAACCAACGCAGACCCTGAGAACATCTTCGGAAGCCCTTCTTTGGGTGCCTCCTCCATGAGAGGTCTGGAGAGTGGCAACACGAAAACGGGCCTTCTCTGCAGTGGCTCCCCATCAGTGGAATGCTCTCCCCAGGGCAGTTCGCCTGGCGCCTTCATTATACATCTTAAGGTGCCAGGCAAAAGCTTTCCACTTTAACCAGGCCTTTGGCTAATTAACATCTTGTGACCTTTTACATTGTCTTTGGGTGGGGTGGGGGTTATGGGATTGTTCTTGTTTGTGTTATGTATTTTGTGTTTTTATTTTGGATTTTTATGCTGTGAACTGCCCAGAGATCTTTGAATGAAGGGGTTATACAAATTTAATAACAATACCAGCATCCATGGCGCATGTTCTGAATTCAGCTGTTCCTTGTTAGTTCCTTTGCAACTTCTTGGCCAGTGCTAGGACTGTCCTTCCTGATTCCAGTTTCATTTTGCCCTGCCTTTACTGAATGGCTACACCTCGTAAGGTTGGTCTTGCTGTATGTAATTGTTTTTCCAAGTTCCCTTTTTATGTTCTTATTTTTTGACTCAAACCAAAAAAGCTATGCTGAAGAGTTATCTTACATGGCAGAAGTATTGCAAACAACCTTGATGCCCCTGCTCCCCCAGTGCAAGGTTATGGAGTGTTCAGAATAATTACTACTCTGACAAAAACAATGGCTTCTGTTGCAATTTAATTGAAGTAAATTATATTCAAATTAAGTGGTTTTAACAATACTGCAAAGTTGTGTTTAGCTGATTTACAGTGTAAAGGGTTTGGTGATTGATCATTAACTGCTCTGAACAGTGAAATTCTTCGGTTCTTAGCAAACAGAGCACAGGGAGGAATATCTGATAGGGCTGCATGAATTGCTGTGGCCTTTCCTTGTCCTCTTGTTGAGCATGCCGTCTGTATGCTCCACTTTGCTTCTGCAATTGTTCGGCCTTTGCTCTCCAACTAGTTAAGGTGTGGCTGGCTGATTCAGGTTGTTCTCTCTTTCCCCTCTTACCTGAAGATTTGCATGTTTGACCTGGTGGAGTAATTGGGCCCACAGCAACCTGGGCGTGCCTCTCTGAGAAACATTTAGTTTCATGTATGACTCATAAGCTGAAGCACACACACCACTTCCCCAATCTACAGAAGCCATTTTAACTGCACAAAACTGCTGGATTACTTTTTACTGTCTAGCTTTTGGGACTCTGCAAACATCTTAGATCAAGGTAATTTTGACTGACTTAACTTGGTGAAGTGTCTGTAACTTAAATTTAATATTTCTGGTAGAGGATTAGGTGTACCTGCTGAGTTTTTAAAAACAAACATGGCTGTGTGCTTCTGGCTATGTTAATAATTGAAAGTCACACGCTTAATTTAATTAAAAATAGGGAACAGATAGTGTAATACTGACTGTTTTGTATTTAAATGTTTTGTTTGCCACAATATTAAAAAATGGGTTTGCAAGATTAAGGCTGGGAAAATGATCTGTTGTTGCACAATAAGTTTGATTGCAGGAAAATTGAAAATCACTTTAAGGGGGCCTGTCAGCTTTACTGGTTTACCTATATGTAAAAGTGTTAATGGATTTAATGCTTTTGAAAAAGGAAACTAATATAATATAAACTGTTGAAATCCAGCACTGTGTGCCGCAGAAAAAATACATTTCAGGTGTAGCCTTTACCTTTAAGGTGGATTCTTATTTGTAAAATAGTTACGTGTGTCTAAGCATGGTATAGGCAAGCCTGTGGCAATCCTCCAGACGACACATTAGTAAACTGAGCTGGGTTAAAGAGTTGAATTCTGATTGTTCACATCCAAGAGACTGAGCTGAGGAAGACTGAGCCAGTCTTCTGTTGTCTGTGATTTTAGCACTCAGCTTTCTGTTATGCTACCCAAAAAATGAAAAATAAGAGTTTGTAGTTGTTATAATCCTAAAGACTGTTGTTGCTGGGAATTTCTGCCGTTCTATGCTGCAAAACGTATATATTACATTTTATAGCAGAAGGGAGTTTGTGGTGTAACATAAAGGTCTCAGGTTAGGACCAAGGAGTGGAAAGGCTGTTTCTATGAGGGGAGGGGAATACGCTTGAGTTGTAAATTATTTGTCTCTTGACTTCAGCATGCAAAGTTACTGTTTTCCACAACATGATTTTAGATGGGGGATTCTGCCTGTCTTGTTTAGGCGTTAGTTGTCAGTTTTAGCTGAAGGCTTATCTGAGTAAGCTGTGTTTTATTTCCCCTTTTCAACTGAAAACAAAACTTGATCAACTTTTAAAACCAGGTCCGCTTCCTTAAAACAGAAGATGCAATGCCAGAGGAAAAGCTGCCTGTAATGTCTCCCTGTGTCTATGGAATACAATGGGGCTTTTTGCTGCTACCAACATTACCAAGATAGAAAGCTTGCATGTTGGCGGGGGGGGGGGGGGGCTTGGTCAGATGCTGTTCAATTTCTGGTACTGTTCCTTTGTTTCAGCCTCTCTATTAAGTTCTCCTGCAGTATCCCTAGTGTTTAATGCTTTCAAAGTAGTGGTATTTCCTAGCATATAAGGAGCCTATGTTATCAGATATTTAAAAATAACTTTGAAATCCACATATATATCTGTGATCGAAAGAACTTGGTGATTGCTGTCTGTATTCAGTAATGTTTTAGGACAACTTTTTGTGAACCGCAGTCAACCACAAAGCAAGCCTCTTTTGAATCTGAGGAGATGTGAAAGGTTGGTGATAGGGGCAGGAAGTGTATGCTGCTCAAAACAAACAACAACAACAGCCTTTAAACCATTCTCACGAGTTGGGCAGAAGCCCTTGAACATGACAACTTTGGGTTGCTAGCCTCAGAAGGCCAAACTAGATATTTATTTATTCATTAAAGTTTATGTAGTGCTTGATTGTGTGTGTGTGGGGGGGGGGTTTAAAAAACACACGTTCAAAGCAGTTTACAAAAATAATAAAACAATCAGATTCTCAATAAAACCAGTTAAAAACAACTATTTAAAACATTTTTAAAAAATAAAATCAGTGATAAGCAAAAAACCAGATTAAAACACAGGCCAACGTTCTACATATCTAGATAGTCACGCTTAAACAAAACGTTTTTAGCAGGCACTAGAAAAAGTGCAGTGGATGTGCTGGCCTGATTTCAAAATGACCAAAATGATTCCAAAATGTGTGCTGTCAAACTAAAATATGGATTTCTTTCAAATGTGTTCCAAGTATTATGTGCAGTGCTTTTTTTCTGGGGGGACACAGGGATATGAATACTCCTAAACATTTTGGGAATCTTTGTACTTTTGTCCATTTACTGTATTGTATTTTTCCTGATCTGAACTATAAAATGGTGATTTTCTTGAGTCAAAATGAGAGTACCCCTAAAAAAAAATTAAGAAAAAAAAGCACTGATTATGTGGCATCTTTAACAGTGCTAGTTCCGCAGATCAAAGTGCTTGAGTGGCCCTATATGGGATAAGGCAATCTCACCGGTAAACTGTCACAGTTGTAAAGTTGTCACAGGCTTTCTATACCAACAGGAACAACTTGAACTTGACCCAGTAGCAAATCAGGAAGCGCTGCAGTTGTCTGAGCAAAGCCATTCTATGCTGACAGGGTCTCATTCCTGTCAGCGATCATGCCACAGCATCCTGCACCATCTGCAGCTTTTGGATCAAGTGCAAGGGAAGCCCTACAAGCATTCCAATAATCCACCCTTGAAGTAACCAATGCATTAACTGCTGTGGTCAAGCTCTCCTGATTCAGGAACATCGTAGGTGTTGCACCACTTGCATCTGTTAAAAGGTGTTTCTAGCCACTGAGCCTACCTGGACCTCCAGTGACAAAACTGGATTTGGAAGCAACCCCAGACTGTGAACTTTGCTCCTTCTTGGGGAGCGCAATGCCATTCAGAGCAGGGAGTTGACTAGTTTCTTGGACACAGGAACCAGTCTCACACACAGTGCCTCTACCTTGTCAGGATTCACGTTCAACTTCCTCCCCCTCATCCGTCTCACCAGGTAGGACACAGAAGTTCTCACAGCTTGAGTGGTGGTCTAGTCTTTGGTTAGCCCACACCTCTGTTTCATTTCTTGGTTAAAAATTCCACCTGCCCCTTTTGGGGGCAGAATTATATGGGTACCTGCAATTTTTCCAAGGGGAAAGATCAACCTTGAAGGAGGAGGCAATTTTTAAGTGGAAGGTGTTGTGAGATCAGTCCCCTCCCCTATAGTTTTCCCAGCTTGATTTCCTCCATGACTGTTACGTAGTGTAGAAAAAGTACAGGAGATTCTCATCACATCGTATCTCGCTTAAGGGGCAGCGTAAAAAGTTAAAGGTGAATGTTCACTTTTTGTAATGATTATTAATGTTCTCATAGTTCCTAGTGGTCTCCTGACATATTCTGTCAAAACCAAGTCTGCCAGCTTCTTTTTAAAACATTGGTATTGAAATGACCATTATAAAATATTTTCTGCTTGCAGTAGGAGCATTTCTTCATTACTGGGGTTTTTGGGGTTGTTTTCTAAAGCAACCCTTCATTTCCAAATTGTTGGACGTATTTAACAAAAAGTGGTGAATTGCAGTGCCAAGTTGCTTGTTCCATGTGTCACAGCAACGCAGGTGGCGGCTGCTGTTGGATATGAAGTCTCTATTAATTTGTCCTTTGCGTGAACAGTGAATGTGATATCTAGCCTATTGGAAAGAAAAGGAACAGAACAGAATAGAATGGCTGACCTAGCTGAACAGAACAGGACCCACATAGAAACATTTGGAATGTTTTGTGTTGTTGGTTCTGGTGTGTGTGTGTGTGTGTGTGTGTGTGCGCGCGCTGCATTTCACAAAAAGTGGTTTACATCAAAATATTAAAACTGGGAAAGAGGATGGGTGGATAGGGAAAGAGAGAAGTGCATCTCTGCATTAAGAGAGCAAAATTGTTGTTTGGCACCTACTCATGTTGTGTGTTCACTTGGAGTTTCTGGGACTCAAGCAAAGTTAAATAGCAACTTCGGCAGTTCAAGTCAAGTTGTTTTATTATGGTCAATGACCAGTATTAGGATGAAATCACCAATTAAAAAATTTAAAATCTTAGAACAAACTAAAATAAATAAAATTACATATACATAAAAAAGCAGTTCCAGCTGGTCATTTATCCGTCAGAGGGAACCCTTCATGATCATTTGTCAATATACTACTCCTGGGTGCTAGTCATTATGTGTCACATTTTAATTGCTGCTCCGCAGAATTTGAAGCCACATTATATGTTACACCGGAATTATTATCCAGGAGCAGCAGAGTAGCAAGAAACTGTTCAGAACTCCTAGTATATTTCTGGAGTATAGGCAAAATAAGGTACTACTGCAATTATTTTTCAGGAGGTCTCTTTCAAGGGATTGTCACCAACTTGCTTGGGAATAAAAGTAACCCTTTCAGTAATGTTCCCCTGATGAAAAGCAGTGAAGGCTAAAAATGTGTTGGAATATATTTTTTGATGTTTACCACATCTGTTCTTATCTCTGTGGTTTCAAAGTTTGCAGAGTTGCCAATTTCTTGTATTCTGCTGGCCTCTTCTGCTGTACTTTAACAGCTACTTGATCAAAAGACATGAGCTGATGCTTATATTTGCCTCTGCGTCTTGAAAAACCTCACTTGTTGATTTTTGCAGATTACACAATAGTTGTATCCTGATTTTTATATCAAAATCTTTACATGTTTTTGGTTATCTGACCAATCTGTTCTTGCTCCTCAGTTTATGCTCCCCCCTCCATTAAAACTGGAAGGTAAAGGTAAAGGGAACCCTGACCATTAGGTCCAGTCATGGCCGACTCTGGGGTTGCAGTGCTCATCTCGCTTTATTGGCCGAGGGAACCAGCGTACAGCTTCCGGGTCATGTGGCCAGCATGACTAAGCCGCTTCTGGCGAACCAGAGCAGCGCATGGAAAAGCCGTTTATTGTGCTGCATACCCAGAGGGAAGGCATTATAACTTTCCTCAGATACAGCTCTCAAAGCGGAAATTAATGTGAAGCAGGAACCCTCCTTTGTCCTGAAACTGACACCATGACTAACTCTACCTTAAAAAAGGTAAAGGGACCCCTGACAGTTAAGTCCAGTCGCGGATGACTCTGGGGTTGCGGCGCTCATCTCGCTTTACTGGTCGAGGGAGCCGGCGTACAGCTTCCGGGTCATGTGGCCAGCATGACTAAGCCGCTTCTGGCGAACCAGAGCAGCGCATGGAAAAGCCATTTACCTTCCCGCCGGAGCGTTACCTATTGATCTACTTGCACTTTGACGTGCTTTTGAATGGTTTACAAAAACTGACACGCTCAAACCATAAACTGTTTTTAAATCATACATTTCAAAACAGGGCAATGAATTACAGTCATACCTCGGGTTAAAGATGCTTCAGGTTGAGCATTTTCAGATTGCGTCCCGCGGCGACCCGGAAGTAACGGAACAGGTTACGCCGCTCGTGCATGCGCAGACACTCAGAATGACATCATGCGCAGATGTGGCGACCTGCGCAGATGCGGGTTGCGTTCTGCTCATGGTGCGAATGGGGCTCCAGAACGGATCCCCTTCGCATCCAGAGGTACCACTGTACTAAAATGAGCTAATGTGACTTTACTAAAAATGCAGCCACAAACCAACCACTGAAGCCAGCGGTAAAAGGATAGTAAAAAGAAGGCTCCCCCCTTTCCGTGGGGAGGGCAACCTAGTCTGGGAGCATTTGCAAACTTCCATTCAGAGTATTTGGAGTTGGTTTTCCCACCCCACAGCACAGTCTTCTTACCTGGATTAAGTTTCACCTTGTTTCCTCTCATCCACCCAAAAACTGCCTCAGGGCCTCCCTGGGGTTAGCAGATAGAAAAGAGACGTAGAATTGGGTGTCATACTGATGGCACTTCAACCCAAACCTCCAGGTGACTTCCCTCACAGTGATTTTATATACAGACCTTAAAGGTATACTGTGTATAGCACCCTGAAACTGCTCTCCTTTCATCACTTTCTCCAGGAAGGACCAGAGGAAGTAGATGTGATTTGCATCAGTAATACTTTTTTCTGAAATAGTTCCACCTAATATAACTTGAGTGACAGAACATTAATAAATGCAAGATCATTGAAAGTGCAGTCTTGTAGGAGATATGTGTTGTCTTTCTGATTGCACATGCAAAGACCTCATAGGGCACTTGTGAATCCACCCCCCCCATCGCATTCTGCACTCTGTTGAGCATAATTTGTAGATCTGATTCTGAACCAACCTTTTGTCTGCGCGCAGAATGGCTTCTGAACGTCCAACCAAGTCAGGAATTGTAGGGCATAGCATTCACTTATTGTAGAAGTGAATACTCTGCATTTGTGTACTGCTTACTTGCTGAACCATATGAAATAGTTAACCTAGGCCAAGGGTCACCAACCCTTATGGTTGCGTTTGCATATTTACACAGACTTGGAGAAACTGGTGTGGACACTGCACACACGTGCTACAACTCAACGCACATGGCAACTATCGGCTACAGCCGGATGCTTCTTTCAAGCCTAATTTCAGAAGTGGGGAGGAGACCCAGTGGGCACCAGGGAGGGTGTATGTGGGGGCATCTATGCCCACAGGAACTATGTTGGCAACCCCAGACCTAGGCAATATTTTATTGGGTAATTGTTTTATGGATAGTTCTGCTAATAATATGCCAAGGATATTTTTATACACAAGGCTTAAAGCAATTCTGCTTCAATAAGACTTTGGGAAAAGAAGTTTATTTGCAGTGCTTCTTTCCGATGCGTTAGCAGTGATTAGACCCACAGGGGTCTAATCAATGCAATTTAAGGCTGTGTAAAATTATTCCTAGTAAAGGGGGAAAGCATCTAAGCCTTAAAGTGTAACCACTGTTAAAAAGAAGGTTTTGTTAATTGGGTTCATTTTGTGCTGAAAGAAATAGTAGGAAGATCAAAGTAGTACAGTAGATGCAATGCATCGCTTCCACTCTCCTCAAGATCCATAAGATGTGGGCAAACAACTGGAAGAAACCAAATTTACGAGCAACAGAAAAATGGTCTTGAGGTGCTTGGCAGACTTTGATCATGATAAAAATGACTTGCTTGAAGATGATGATGATGATGATGATGATGATATAACCCCCTCAATCCGGCTGGGTTTCCCCAGCCACTCTGGGTGGCTCCCAACAGATTAAAAACCGAATAAAACATCAAATATTAAAAACTTCGCTAAACAGGGTTGCCTTCAGATGTCAAGAGGCTCCCTGGGGAAATAGACTTGCCTCCCCATGGACAACTGGCAGACTAAGATGATACATCGGAAGAGACCCTGTAATGTACAAAGGAATATGGCAGTAAATATTTAATATTGGATAATTCTGTTAGTCTCCATAAATTGTAACATCTTTTCAGATTCAAGTCTCAAACACATTCCCCACTCCCAAAAAGGATTGAGAAACTTTGGCCTTGTTCAACTGTTCAAGAATAAGCTTCAGTCAGCTTTGGTCTCATGTGCTTCCTCCTCCATCCCTGGCACAGTTGGAAGAAAGATTTGGGGAGTTTTCAATATTAGATTAGCCATAGCTTGTTGTGATGTTTGACCAACAGGGGTTTGTCTTAATGATGGTTTATTGAAATAAGTCAATTTTAAAGCATATTTTACGAGTCTGGCTGACTGGCTTGTTTCAACAGACATAATTAATATTATCCACAGTTCAGGTTTTGGAGAACACACTTAACAATTGTTAAATGGAAGCAGAAGCTTCAGATCTCCTTGAGAGAGTTGGGAGGCAGAGAAACTTGCATGTGTTGGTTTTCATAGCATTAAACCATGGTTTGGCATTCTGTTTGGATGCAACCTTCCTCCAACTATGGAATGTATACTCAGTTGTTACTTTAAGTGTCACTTATACTTCATTTCTCCCTTCCTCACCTACAAAGTCCTTTTTGTAATATTCCAGAATTTGAAACAGTCTGCAATCTGAATAATTTTAGGAAAGTTGCGTATATGCGTGTAAATTGTTTTTGTTTTTATAATTTTAGTTGTATATGGAAGTTTGTATATGGGACTTCCGGGGGCGGCGCGAACGGCGAATGGCGGTCCTCTTCTGAACGGGAGAGGAGGCTCCACAGACAACGGGTCGTCCGCTACGGCGAAGCGGAGACCCACATCGGAAAACCCCAGGCAGCAAGAGCCTGGGGTCCTGGGGCTCGGTGGGCGCCTTGAGCGACCCTCCAAACGTGAAAGGAACCCCGTAAGGGGCTCCGGAGCGTGGAGGGGGGTTGCGGCGCTGAGAGCTGCTTCACAGTCCGTGGAGCGAAGCCGCGCTGCTGTTGCCGGTGAGCGCTGATCCCTTTTCCTGTCAAAATATGGATTCGGATGAAAAGCAACTTATTCGTGAGTAAAGACTGAATCACTTGAAATTAGAGACTTTAAATGAAAAATCCTAATTGGTTTGAAGAGGCGGAGAGACGTGGAAACAGGAAGTCCGTCTTCCGCAGCCATTGAACTTGAAAAAAGCAACGAGCTGGAGGAGTGGAGGCTGAAAGAAAGAGACTTTAAACTTTACAGATCTAAGCATCTATTGGACTTGCAATTGAAGGTAAAGACTTTAAGTTAAAGATTTGGAATCATTACTTGCACTTGACTTTCCTCCTTTTATTGGATTACAAATTAGAAGGTGAAACCCAGAGTCAGGAGCTGCCTGAACATTGAGAGACTGAGCTGTCAGTATTGCAGATTTGGATACTGTATATTGGAACTTGCAACAATCTGAGAGTATTGAGACCTTTTAAATTTGAAACATTCTTTTTTGAGACAAATAAGCACTGTCTGTAACAAAGTGACCATTTATAAACTCTGCCAAATATTTGTATCTGAAGGTTCTTGGATATTAAATTAGACTCTGAAAGACATTTTAGGCTCCCTCTAGAGGATCGGATTAAAACAGTGACTTTACATGTACATTTACTTTTGATTCCCTTGTTGGCTGCCGCTCTGGGCCTTTCCATTCCCATGGGAAATTCAGTGTGACCTTGACTGATAGATAACGTTGGAATGAGTGGCACAAGAAGAAGAGGGAGAGTTAGACAAACAACTTTAACAACTCTAACCTCAGCCTCGCAGACACGTAGATCATCTGTACCTACTTTGCCCTCAGAAGTAGAAGTTGAAGAAGTTGCCTTGTTACAGGCAAAAGAGGGAGAGGGTGAAGCAGAGCAGTTACAACTGGAAGATATGGCCTCAGGAGTATCTGTTTCTGTTCTAGACAAAATCTTTGAAAAATTGGAAGCTTTGGACAAGAAAGTAGATGTGCAATCAGCAAAGATTGACAAAAATACAGAATGTCTAAATAAATTAACCATACAAGTGGTACAGAATACACAAGCAATTGGACAGTTAACGGAGGCCTCAGCAGAAAATCGGAAATTGGCTGAGGACACCAGACAAAAACTAGAAAACTTAGAGCAAGAGGTAAGACCACTTACTAAACAAGTTGGGGAGCACCAGATTTATCTTTCTATGATAGAACTGCGAAACCGTGAGAATAACCTGAGGATTAGATCACTACAAGAGGCAGAAGAAGGAAATTTAACTGAATTTTTGACCAAAGAATTCTCCAAGTTCTGGAATTTGGAAGAAAAGGACTTTAAAATTGTGTCAGCTTTCAGACTTGGAAGATTCATAAAGAAGGAGAGGCCCAGAGACTGTTTGATAACATTGAGATCAAAGGAGGAAAGGGATAAGATAGCGTTCTGGGAAATGATCTATAATGAATTGAAAAAGGTATTTAAATATACCTTCACTAAGAAACCAGAGGCTTTCCTTTTGGGTATTGTCGGCCAAGGGGTGGCAAAGAGGGACCAGACATTTTTTATGTATGCAACAACAGCAGCAAGGATACTTCTCGCAAAATACTCTTCCTCCACAATTTAAAGAAGTGGCTTTTAAAAGTTGGAGGCTCTGTGGCTGCCTGCTTGCTGTGAATTTGGTGTGTATTTGGGCACAAGTATACATGGTTTCTTTCTTTCCCCCACCACCTCTATTTCAGTTGCCACTGATTGGTTAGATCTGACACAGAGATCTGGGCTTCTTAGTTCCAAATGTTTGTGAAAATTCCTCTTTTAAATGATGCAATATTTTAATGCTTTAAACAATTACAGGGTTGATTTTTACCTAGGAAAAAGTAGTTGGAGTTACAATATCCATCGTATCTTAATTAAGTATTTTCCAAGCAAAATCTAAGATTGCCCAGTTAAAATTGCCAGGCTTGGTTGTAATCCCTCCCAGCTAACTCCCATAATTTTCCCATTCTGGTACTTCCTGTTTTGTGATGGTTCTTTGATGAAGAAAGTAAAATTTTTGTATGACTTTTGTAGCTTAAAGGTGTATACTACAGTTGACAACAGATGTTTGTCAAACTCTGAAATGCTTGCATCATTCAATAGTTTTAATCATGCTATGTTTCATAAAAATGCAGGATTAATTGCTTCTATACAGTTTTTGTGATGATGGACATGTGGCACATCATATTGTTGCATGCCACCCCAATCTCCAATTCCAGCGGTTCCAGGCCCTTACCCAGGGTTCATGTTTCCTTTTGGAATGAGGCACAGAGGAGATTGTGGTGTCTTTATGATATCTGATCTCTTTATGCATATATACAACCTCTGCCTATCAGGGAGGGGTTCACAGCATCAACACCCAAAAAGGGTCTTGGATTCAAGAAAAAATATAACATTGCTCTCAAAGGTTGTTCTGCCTCTCTCCAGCTTGCTGCTTTGCTTTGAATTCACCTCGCTGCAACTCAAAACCCAGGCTTTGTCCTTCTAACTCTCTGAGTTGAGGGAGGGTGCCTGCCTATTTGCTGTCTCCCACAGATTCCTGTCGCCTTTGTTCTCTTAATGGCCAGGTGATCACCTTAACACAGGAAGCTAACTTGGCTTCTATGTTAACACTTGCTGGATTCAGGGATCCAGGGGTGAAGAGGATCTCACATACAGCCAACTTCTTCCCCTGCAAACTCACAACAATACTGTATGTTTAGGTCACAATTGCTAGAAGCCTTGCTAGCCATTAGATCTTGTGAAGCTAGGGAACATAATTTCTTATTTCTTAAGATGGTGGTTTGTGGTTTTTTGTAATATACATAATTTCAAAGAATGTCTGCCATCTTTCATCTCCCCCAGTTCTATCTTTTCCTTGTGTGAGAATTGGCTCCCCTTGCCCCACAGTGTTTTGAATTTGTGTTTTTATAGCATGTTGCTTTGCAGATGTTAGCAGGTGTTTCTCTGAAAGGCATGACACTTGATGCTTTGTTTAGTATACTGTGGCATTAATGAACTCTCCTACTACAAGTGTGAAAGAAAGATGCAGCAGTGAAGGCAGGAAGCACTTGTCACTCATACTTCATAGCTACACGTCTGCTTCCTGTCAGTTAGACCACTAGAAGTGGAACAGATGAACCAAGATACTGCTCTTCTTTAATTCTTCTCATGAAGGTTATGATGTAACAGTCTAAAATGGAAAAAGTAACTGTATTCTTTTTTCAGGGAAGACTGGACTTAATGGAAATGGGAAAATTTCTGATCATTAGCAACAAATGGAGGAATAAGGCAGAGTAGATAATTAATTAATAGTTAAAGCTATTTTTCGTCATCTGCATACTATCCCTTGCTTTTTCCTGTAGGACTAATTGCAGTCGTTAACAGTTGTCAACAGGTTTACTATACCCATTTAGTCAATCACCTATCTTCTACTACCCTCCTGAGAAAAACCCCACCCACTATATATAAGGGTCTGGTGACTTCTGTTTCTGTGTATCTGAAGAAGTGTGCATGCACACGAAAGCTTATACCCAGAACAAACTTAGTTGGTCTCTAAGGTGCTATTGGACAATTTTTTAAATTTTGTTTTATTTATTTTGACTGCGTCAGACCAACATGCCTACCTACCTGAATATTTAATCATTGTTATGATTAGTCAGAAACAATCAATTTATTTGTATTAGAACATTGTAGAATTCCATGAAATCTATCTTCCAGTTGGGGTAACATGAAATTACATGATGGAGTAAATTGCATGCCTGTGACAATCTAGTATAAATGTGATTATCATTGATGTTATATAATGGATCACATCCATTAGGTTAAGTACAATTATTTTCATATTCGTCCGAAAGAATAAGAAAAATGGTTGCTTGTTGGCAGCCCATAAATTCTGTCCGCCACCAAAAGCAGTGGTGATGCCTTGCTCTTCCCCCAGCCTTGTCACCATGACGGCGCCTATCTGCTGGGGGCAAAACTAAAATCTTGCTTGCTGCAAACAGTCCAGTGAAGAAGGAGGGTCTGCTTACTTTGAAGTTTTTAAGGCTCTCACACATGACAATCCTTGACAAAGCAGGATATTTTTTCCCTTTCAACCAATTTCATTTGGTGAAAGAATGTGCAGGTTTTTGAGCTGGAAAGATTTCTTAATCAGGTAGAAGCTAGCCAGTTCTGAAATGCAGAGTTGCAATATTTTACTCACTTCCTATAGATAACTGCCTAATTGGAAAGCTCTTTGTAACTACTTGCTAGTTAATGATTTTTTTTAAAAAAAGAAAGTTTTAAATCTCAACTGTTTTGTGATGTATTATTTGTAGTAATTTATACAATCTGCATTTGTAAGTAGCCTTTATGCTATTTCAAGGCTGGCTATCCAGACATGTGAATTTAAACTGTGAAACACAGTGCCTTGAGCAGGACAGAACCTTTGTTGCTGTTTACTACCCTTGTTGAAGCAGGTGTCTTAACTAAAGACATTGGGATAAGTCCTACAGGAAGCTTGATGTTTCAAAAGACAGCAAACAGCAAACTAAATATGACATAATAGGCATCACTGAAACCTGGTGGGATAAGTCCCACGATTGGAATGTAATAATGGAGGGATACAATCTATTTCAGAGAAACAGACCAGACAAGAAAGGAGGAGGAGTGGCGTTATATGTCAGGGATGTGTATACCTGTAAAGAGATCCAAGATTTAGAACCTCAAAGCCAAAGTGAGAGCATTTGGGTCAAAATTAAGGGAGAGAAGAATAACAGTGACCTCATTGTGGGAGTTTACTATAGATCCCCAAGCCAAACGGAGGACATCGATGATGCCTTCCTGGAACAGATGGCCAAGCATGCAAAAGGAAGGGAGATAGTAGTAATGGGGGACTTCAATTACCCGGATATTTGCTGGATGTCAAACTCAGCCAAGAGCATAAGGTCAAACAGATTCCTCACTGGCCTTGCAGACAACTTCATTGTCCAGAAAGTGGGAGAAGCAACAAGAGGAACAGCCATTTTAGATCTGGTCCTAACCAATGTTGATGACCTGGTTAGTGGGGTAGAAGTGGAAGGATCATTAGGCATGAGTGATCATGCTCTTCTGAAGTTTACTATACAGCGGAAAGGAGCAGCCAAGCATACTAGGACTCAATTTCTTGACTTTAAGAAAGCCGACTTCATAAAACTTAGGGAAGTGCTGGGTGAGATCCCATGGACAGTAATACTAAAAGGAAAGGGAGTTCATGATGGCTGGGAGTTTGTTAAGAGGGAGATAGTAAAAGCACAACGTCAGGCAATACCAATGAGACGGAAACATGGAAGGTGCCTAAAGAAGCCAGGGTGGCTATCTAAAGAACTTTTAACTGAGTTAAGATTAAAAAAGGATGGGTACAATAAATGGAAAAGGGGGGAAACCACCAAAGAGGAATTCAAACAAATAGCCAGCACGTGTAGACACAAAGTCAGAAAAGCTAAAGCACAGAATGAACTCAGGCTTGCTAGAGAGGTTAAAAGCAACAAAACAGGCTTTTATGGGTATGTTTGTAGCAAAAGGAAGAACAAAGAAACAGTGGGGCCACTCAGAGGAGAAGATGGTGAAATGCAAACAGGGGACACAGAAAGGGCTGAACTCCTCAATGCCTTCTTTGCCTCAGTCTTCTCCGATAAAGAAAACAATGCCCGACCTGAAGAATTTGAAGCAAATGATTCAGCAGAGGAAACACAGCCCAGAATAAGTAAGGAGATAGTACAAGAATACTTGGGTAGTTTAGATGTATTCAAGTTTCCAGGGCCAGATGAACTGCATCCAAGAGTATTAAAAGAACTGGCAGATGTGATCTCAGAACCACTGGCAGTCATCTTTGAGAATTCCTGGAGAACAGGCGAAGTCCCAGCAGACTGGAGGAGGGCAAATGTTGTCCCTATTTTCAAAAAGGGGAAAAGAGAGGACCCAAATAATTACCGCCCAGTCAGTCTGACATCAATACCAGGGAAGATTCTGGAGCAGATCATTAAGCAAACAGTCTGTGAGCACCTAGAAAGGAATGCTGTGATCACCAATAGTCAGCATGGATTTCTGAAAAATAAGTCATGTCAGACTAACCTGATCTCGTTTTTGACAGAATTACAAGCCTGGTAGATGAAGGGAACGCAGTGGATGTAGCCTACCTTGATTTCAGCAAGGCATTTGACAAGGTGCCCCATGATATTCTTGTAAAGAAGCTGGTAAAATGCGGTCTTGACTATGCTACCACTCAGTGGATTTGTAACTGGCTGACTGACCGAACCCAAAGGGTGCTCATCAATGGTTCCTCTTCATCCTGGAGAAGAGTGACTAGTGGGGTGCCACAGGGTTCTGTCTTGGGCCCGGCAGCTAAAAAAGCCAATGCAATTCTGGGCTGCATCAATAGGAGTATAGCATCTAGATCAAGAGAAGTAATAGTGCCACCGTATTCTGCTCTGGTCAGACCTCACCTGGAGTACTGTGTCCAGTTCTGGGCACCACAGTTCAAGAAGGACACTGACAAACTGGAACGTGTCCAGAGGAGGGCAACCAAAATGGTCAAAGGCCTGGAAACGATGCCTTATGAGGAACGGCTAAGGGAGCTGGGCATGTTTAGCCTGGAGAAGAGGAGGTTAAGGGGTGATATGATAGCCATGTTCAAATATATAAAAGGATGTCACATAGAGGAGGGAGAAAGGTTGTTTTCTGCTGCTCCAGAGAAGCGGACACGGAGCAATGGATCCAAACTACAAGAAAGAAGATTCCACCTAAACATTAGGAAGAACGTCCTGACAGTAAGAGCTGTTCGGCAGTGGAATTTGCTGCCAAGGAGTGTGGTGGAGTCTCCTTCTTTGGAGGTCTTTAAGCAGAGGCGTGACAACCATATGTCAGGAGTGCTCTGATGGTGTTTCCTGCTTGGCAGGGGGTTGGACTCGATGGCCCTTGTGGTCTCTTCCAACTCTATGATTCTATGAAAAGACCAATGCCCAGTTTTTCAGGACTGTCTAATCTCCTGTTTTGAGTTCATATTGCTTTAGACTCCTAATTTAGATGGCGGAATTCATTTTATTCCCATAGTAAGTTAGGGTATCACTAACTTTGTTGATCCAAGAGAATAAAGGAAATTTAAAGTGGTTATTTGCTTAGTGCCCAAACAAGAAGGTTACCTAAGAAAATCATGGCAGAACCCGTATACAGTCATACCTCAACTCCCGAACGCCTTGGGAGTTGAATGTTCCGGCTCCCAAACAATCGAAAACGGGAAGTGAGTGTTCTGGTTTTCAAACTTTTTTTGGAAGCTGAACATCCGACGCGGCTTCTGCTATTGTTTCCGGCGTGCCTGCGCAATCGGGAACCAATCGGAAGCTGTGCCTTGGTTTCCAAACTTTTTGGAAGTTGAACAGACTTCTGGAATGGATTCCATTTGACTTCCGAGGTACGTCTGTATTATTGAGAGACAGGAGTTTGTTCTGAGTAGGCACAGCCGGTCCATGCTGATCTCTAGCTGTTGTTTGCTTGCCATAGTTTATCTGTGGGGCTGCAAGGTACCCCAGAGGTGGGAAAGTGTTTCATTGTATTTTGTTTGCTTCTCATTTTTCATTCACTGCTTCTGCAATGCACCTGGATTAGGTGTATTTTCTTCACTTTCCTGCTTCTTTGCTGGAAACTAAACACAGCACTGAGGATGGGGCAGGGCTTTCCTCAGCAAGCGTTCCCTGGCAGACGCTGAAGTTCATGATCAAACTAGCCCTTTGCCCACATTCCCAGCCTTGAATTGTGTTCCCAAAACATTTGTTCTATGATCACATGCTTGGCTTCATCGGCTTTTAGATCCTTTTGGTTTCAGCAGAGCTTAAAAACTCCCAGCACTACGACTACTGCTACTTCTACAGACCCTCCAAGGGTCCCTATTTTCCAGGGACATCCCTGATTTGGAGAAACCTTCCTGCTTTCTGATTTGATCCCAGAATGTCCCACTCTTCCTTCGGATCTCCCTATTTTCATTGGAGAAATGTTGGAGGGTATGGAGCTATCTGACCCCCGACCCGTCTGAAGGCAATCCTGTATAGGAAATGTTTTTTTTTAAAATGTTTTGTGTTTTATTATGTTTTGATATATGGAAGCTGCCTAGAATGCTGGGGCAACCCAATAGTATGTGTGGGGTATAAATAGTAAAATGATCCTTATGGAATGGGATGTCCCTATTTTCAGTGGAGAAATGTTGGAGATTATGCTGCTGCTACTAGTTCCTTCCTTTCACCAGAATGTCCCAGCGCAGGTTGCAGCCAAATAAAATGCAGCACAGAAAACAGTTTAAAACAAATTGTAGTTTAAAAGAAATTGGGCTTGTTGCATTAGCAATTTTATAGAACTATTGTCCGCTTTTCATTTTCTCTTTAGGTTTTTGCTGTTTTTAACTTTGATTACTACAACTGTGTTGTCTCTATCCTACAGTTCCATAAAGAGCCCTGAAACAAAGGATTTATGCTAGCGTAATATTTTGGATGTGCCTTTCTAAGAGCAGAGGAGGGATAGGGTTCGTTGATTCCATAGGGTTATGAGCATTTTGCACAGTAAAGGTTTCTTAAAAGGAAGATGCCATTTCTGAAAGTGCACCATGTGGCTGGTCTCCAAGACCAAAGTCACTGGTCTCCTGTGACTGACCTCTCCACTTGCATCGAGCTCTCTCCTGGGCAGGCTGTGTGGTGCTTTCTCTTTTCATCAGCTAAGCCTGCCTTTTCACTTCAGTTTTTCTCAGCATTTGTAATTAGCATTTGAAAAACCTCTTAGCCCAGGACAAACCTGTCCAGCGGATAATGCATGTAAATGAAAAGGTGCTAACATAATTCATACCTTACAGAGCATGTTTGTGCTTTTCTTCCTTTTGACGGGTGTAGTTAACAGTAGTTAACAGTCAGTAGAAAGCGCATACAAGTTTCAAAGCTTTGTGCAAAATGTATACAGTGTTTCTTAAGTGTTACCAGCAATTGTATTGGATAGAGTTGAGGGAAGAGCTGTGAGAAGTGGCAGAAAGAGAGAGCTCTAAAAATAGCAGCAGTAAAGGGAGTTTTCTCAGGGGAGCAATGGTTGACGAATGGCAAGCAAGAAGAGGTGGAAGCGAAGGGATGGAAAGAGAAATATCCGCGTTAAGGATACAGTGCTCATCCCTGAGAGCAAGAACTGGTCACTTGTGTCTTCCATTGCTTAGATTGTCATATGCTTCAAATTTAACTTTGCAGTCAAGTGTGGATTGGGTTATGCGTCTTTTGCTTACTTTGAACAGCTACTTATTGCAGGAAACAAACAGAAAGCAAACAGAAACCTGACAGCAGGGAGCAATTATTAAAACTACTGCTTACAGTGTTTATATGAAAATGTGAACTTCTATCAGTATCATAAGTGAATGGGTGTATTTAAAATACTTATTGCAATAATAGAAAAGCAAGTCAAGAACCTTTATAAAAGATAATTTCTGGTCCCCCCCCCTTTGTATCTGCTTTCTGAGCAAGTTCGTTCTGACATGACATAATTTTTTTTTGCTACCTGAAATACTTTAAAGTGACTATATATATATATGTTAAGATATATTAACATCTAGGAATATAACTGTGTTTATAAGTCTTATTTTAAAAGTATTTTATGGCATTTTGTACATAAAGGGGTCCCGTTGGTACTGAAAGGGGTTAAATATGAAACAACAGGTATAGGCAGATCTCAGTATGTGATATGTTTAGTTGTTTTGCAAGGGCTAAAAGTCCTGGCTCTCTGTAATCTGACACAACGATAGTGCAGGCACAGTCCTGAAGGAAGAGAGACAGCAATGTGTACAAACTGGAATTTCTGGTCTAGCTGAATCATACCAGCTGCCTGCCCTACTAGAGATGTGACTGTTCATGTTGGTCACACTTGACAGCAACTGGGAGGGAGGAAGACCATATTAATATATTAGCATCTTCCAATAAGATAGATTTAAACTGTAAGAGGCTTGCAAATATATGTAATATATGCAGCCTTCAGGCACCTGTAGGCTCCAAATCTACAGTGGTACCTTGGTTCTCAAACTTAATCCGTTCTGGAAGTCCGTTCCAAAACCAAAGTTTTGCAAAACCAAGGCGCGCTTTCCCATAGAAAGGAATGCAAAATGGTTTAATCCATTCCAGACTTTAAAAAATAACTCCTAAACAGCAATTTAACATGAATTTTACTATCTAACGAGACCACTGATCCATAAAATGAAAGCAATAAACAATGTACTGCAGTCACACAATCAATCAGTCAATCAATCAATCAGTAGCTGAACGGGTTCCACACAGTCACCCACAAGAAAGAGCCACAAAAAACCCCAAAATCAATAGCAAAAAACAGACAGACATCAGCGTAACACTCAAATCAGAAGTGTGGCACTCAAAATGGAGCACGTTCGGCTTCCAAAAAAGGTTTGCAAACCCGAACACTTACTTCCGGGTTTGCAGTGTTTGGGTTCCAAGTTGTTTGAATATCAACATTATCGCCTTTTCTGGATTAATATGAGGCACCTCTCTGTCATGGTGTAACTTAGCCCTTTGCCATTTTCTACATGTCTTGACTGGATGTTCACAAACTGTATTCAGATGTAATATGGACTGCCTCCTGAATGTTCATATGATGGTTGATACTTTTGTATAGTACTTTCAGGTGTTTCATTACTTTCAGGTGTACAGTACTTTCAGGGTAGATATGCTTAGAAATTAAAAGTGTCCATAATTTTTTTTACCCAAGTTGGTTGAGAAGCTGCTTGGTTTCTACTGGTGATAACAGAATAAATGATACAAGGAGAGAACTATAGCCTAAGATAGGAAAATAAGTGGTAAGGGAACTCCTAGCTGCTTTAAATGAATTCAGATCTCCAGGGTGTGGTGAGCTGCACCCAAGGGTACTGAAGGAGCTTGTGGATATAATCTCAGAGCCTTTGTCTATTATCTTTGAGAATTCTTGGAGAAGAGGTGAGGTCCCTGAAGACTGCAGGTGGGCAAATGTCCCCATCTTCAAAGGGGGGGGGAGAAGACCCAGGTAACTACTGACCAGTGAGTTAGAGGTCCATACTAGGAACCGCCCTAGAACAGATAATTAAACAGTTAGACTATGGGCATTAAAAATAGGAAGTTATGATTACTAAAACTGAGCATGGGTTTCTCAAAAACAAGTACCGGTAATGCCAGACGAATCTCCTTTCTTTTTTTGATAGGGTTACAAGCTTGGTGAATCAGAGGAATGCTGTGGACATAGTGTATCTCAATTTCAGTAAGACTTCTGACAAATGCATCCCCCATAATAGTCTTGCAGAGAAGCTGGTAAAATGTGGGCTGGATGAGGTAACTGTGAAATGGATTTGTAGCTGGTTGATTGATCAGACCCAAAGAGTGCTCACTAACGGTTCCTCATTATCCTGGAGAAAAGTGACAAGTGGGGTGCCACACAGCTCTGTTCTGGGCCAGTTGATGTTCAACATATGTATAAACTACTTGGATGAAGGTATTCACTTGCAGGTGACACCAATTTGGGAGGGGTAGCTAATGCCTCCGAAGACAGAATCAGAATTCAAAATGACCGTAACAGTTTGGAGAACTGGGCCCAGACTAACAAAATGAATTTTGGTAGGGACAAATGTAAGGTTCTGCACTTAGGCAGGAAGAACTAGATGCACAAATATAGGATGGGGGACAATTGGCTTATTAGCAGTACATGTGAAAGGGATCTAGGGGTCTTGGTGGACCACAAGCTTAACGTGAGTCAACAGTGTGATGCAGCAGCAAAAAAAAGCTAACACTATTCTTGGCTGCATCAACAGAAGTCTAGTGTCCAGATCAAGGGAAATAATAGTACCACTCTAGTCTGCCTTGATCAGACCACACTTGGAATACTGTGTCCAATTTTGGGCACCACAATTTAAGAAGGATGTTGACAAGCTGGAAGGTGAGCAGAGGAGGGCAACCAAGATGATCAAGGGTCTGGAAACTAAGCCTTACGAGGAGTGCTTGAAGGAAGCTGGGTATGTTTAGTCTGGAAAAGAGGCTGACAGGAGATATGATAGCCGTCTTCAAATATCTCAAAGGCCGTCACGTGGAGGGTGGAACAAACTTGTTTTTCCCCTTGCTAGGACCCTAGCGAATGGCTTCAACTTACAAGAAAGGAGATTTCAACTAAAGATTTCAGGAAGAACTTTCTGACAGTAAGAGCTGTTTGAAAGTGGAACAGACTTCCTCCTTAATTGGAGGTTTTAAAGCAGAAGTTGGATGTCATCTATCAGGGATGGTTTAGTTGAGATTGCTGAATTGCAGGGGGTTAGACTAGATGGCCCCTAGTGTCACTTCCAACTCTACATTTTATTATTTTAAGTATGCAAAGCTAAGAACCCAGGCACCAAGAACGGTGTTACTTCTTAGAACTAATCAGAAGAACTTTAGTTTCTAATGCACACTGAATATGAGGATTCATTGTAAGTAAAGGGGGAGGGGCACTGCAATGTTGGCAGGGATTATTAGGGAATTTCTGACCAAACAGTGGAGTTTGATGCAGCGCATCTATAGGAAATAAAAATGAAGTATGATCAGCTGCGTTTGTGACCTCCTGAAAGCTTCCACTCCAATATGGGTTTGGTACAAAAACTCTGAGTACAAATATCAAGAGGACTGCCAAAATTAAAGAACATCACACATGATATCTTGATCTCATTTATGTTTTGCTTTTAATAGCGCTGCTTTGGCTATTTTTATCTCAGGTTAGAATTTTGATATAGCTTATCACTTCCTGCTAAACTGATTTAGTCCAACTTTATACATGGTTTGTTAGAATGAAAGAATTATAAGTCTATCTCCCCACATGTTGCAATATTCCTAGTGCAGTTTTGTTTATCGAGTTTTGTAGCATACTATTCTTTGCATGTCTCATTTGCCATGACGTGGTCAGTGTTTCCTTCCTGCTGTTTACAAGCCGGTGTCAGAGATAAGAATACACTCACGTTGCATTTACACAGGGTTGAAAAAAATGCCCAAATATCTGTTCACTTAGGGGTGGCAGAAGACTTTTTTGCATCTTTAGATCAAAAACAAGCAATGAGTCTTAGGAGTGTGGTAAAGAGAGACATTTTCTTAAACCAGTAATAAATATATATTGCAAAGTTGGATCGGCTTGAAAGGCAGAAAAGTGTTACGTGGACTGGTGGCATTTGATCCCTCCAGTCACCTTAGATGGTGGGTTTTCTGATTACTCCATTGTATTTCTGTTTGCTGGCTGCTAGAAAAGTGTGCTTCCCAATTATAATAATAAAGCATTTGTCTGTTTTAAGTAATATTAGTAAGATGTTAAAAAATAAAGAGATGGACTTTATAGCGTCTTCTTTGATTTTATTTTACATTTTTTATGACTGTGATGTTGATTTTGTTTTTCAGTGGCCTTTGGATTACAAGAGTATTCAGGAAGGCATTTTCTAATTGACCTGTCTGTGAATAGTAGAATCCAGGAAGATTGTATAAGAATCTGGGTACCAGAGTAACTTCAAGATCGTCTACCCCACACAACTCATTCCTGATGATAAACTCTGTTTCTTTACATTGAAGGAGCATTTTCCCCACATGCAGAACTGAAATCTTGGAATGCTTTATTATGGCAGCAGCTGTACAGCAGAATGACCTAATGTTTGAATTTGCCAGTAATGTTATGGAGGATGAGCAACAGGTAAGGGAGAAATAAAATAAACCATGTTGGATAACCACTGGTGTATTCTACGCAAATATTAAAAGCGTTGTTTTACTTTTTTCCCTTTTGAACCTTTGATTCTAATCACAAGAGAAATCCTGTGCACATCTATGAATTGCTTTCTAGTGTATGTGTGTTTATGAGCAATTTAGTTGATAGGCTTCATGCCTTAAGACTTTCTAACACCTATAATTCTCCAGATGGATGAGAAAAAGCAAACTGAACTTGAATCCTAGCAAGACTGAGGCACTGTGAGTGGTTCCTACATCTGAGAAACTGGTGAATTGTTTACTCTGGATAGGATTGCACTCTCCCTGAAAGAGGAGGTTGATTGTCTCAGAGTATCTCTGGATCCAGTCTGTCACTGTAGGTCCAGGTCCAGGTAGCCTCAGTGGCTAGAAGTGCCTTCTAGCAATTGCAGCTGGTATGACATACACAAGTTTCCCTTCCTGGACCAGGAAGGCTTGGCATGGATTACTCCAGGGTTGGATTTACTACAAGGTGCTCTATGTAGGACCTCCCTTGCACTTGATCTGAAAGTTGCAGTTAGTGCCGAGTGTGGTGGCATGTTTGCTGAGGGAGGCCTTGTCAGCATATAAGATCTGTGCTCGGAGAACTGCAGTGGTTGCCCATTTGCTCCTGGGTGAAGCTCAAGGTACTACTGGTAGTAAGTGAATCAATCTTTTAGTGTGACAAGCACACACACTTTGGAACTCCTTGCTTATTGACACTAGGCAGGTGCCTTCACTATGCTCTTTTTGGTGCCTACTAAAAACACCTTAGGCAAGCCTATCCACACGTGTAGAATGTTGACCATGTGTTTTAATCTAGGTTTTAGCTTATTGTTGATTTTAACTATTTTTTAAATGTTTTAAATAGTTGTTTTTAATTACTTTTGCTGCTAATGTCACCGTTTTCTTCTTTTTGTAACTGCTTTGAGGGTTTTTTAAAAACAATTGAGCAGTATCTAGGTGACAACCATTTCGCTCAGGGGTTCCGTTCCTGGCCTCCCATGTGTGTTGGTGTGCATATAAGCATGCCGTACCCCATTAGACCCCCTTCTGCTGCCTTCTGGGTCCAAAGGCACCTCTGAGCAGCCAAAAATGATTATGTTGGTGTCAACTGTTATTATTGCAGATAGATAAAATAAATGAAGGGTGGCTAAGCTGTAGCTCCCCGGACGGCAGCTCCCGCTATACCTGACCGTTAACAGTGTTGGTTGGAGCCAAAGAGCCACAGTTTAGCCAACTTTGTAGCAAAGGACTGAGCAGCTTTTATTGGCACTTTGCCTCTTGAAATGTTTGGCACTTGTGTATCCTTCAAGAAGAGTGTCCTGTCTTCTGGCCACGGCTGAAAGGTTGTGGCTTTCTCCCTCCCCCTTTCTGTGCACAAGCAAAAGGCATGAGGCAGAGGGGCGAGAGGGCAGTCAAGGCAGCTCAGAATTTGGGTGTGCTTTTTCCAGAGGGCCTTGCAAACTGAGGTGCTCATGGCCCTTGAAGAATCCTGGGGAGCTGGGCTGAATCAGAGGGTACCACAGGCCCACTGTCGGTGCTTGAGTGGGATCATCAGCTTTGGCAGGGCTGGGCTGGGAGGCGCCCTCTTGCATCTGCAAACCCTGCCCAGAGAAAGAGGGAAGGGGACATTTGATTATTATTTTATTTTGCAGGTTGGGGGGTCACAGAATCATATCAGGGAGTGAACAGTAAAGGGAGTGATCAGTAAAAGCAAGGTTTTGTGGTTTTTTAGAAAATGACTAGTTGTGGGGGTAGGGCTTGGGAGCTATAGAAAATCTTTTGGCATCATAGTACCATAGTGAGGGACCCATGGGATCAGTCAGCAAAAACATTATTTAAAAAACCCTGTAAATTTAAATAAAAATAGGGGTAAAATTTGGAGACCCCTTGGGAGGGGCAAAAAAACCTTATGGCATCATATTGCGAGAACCATAGGAGCAATCAATTAAAAAAAATTGATTATTATTTTAAGAAATGACAAATTTCAGGGTAGGATGGAGTTTGGAGACTGTGTATGGTGACTTCAGGTTATCCACCCTAGTTTAAATAATGAAGTACTTGGGCTAACACGTTAGTTAAAAGCAGATTGAAATTAAAAATCCATAAGGCCCATTCAAAAGCTAATAAATTTGGACCCAAGTGTACACCCTTGGGAGGGATCTGGGACCAGCACTGTGAAGGCCCTGCATCTGCTGTCTGTCAGTCAGTAATGGTAGAGCCTCTGAGGCCAGTCATAAGGCTGGGAAGGGGGCAAGAGCCGTTCAGAGAAATTGGTCCTAATCTGTTTAGGCCTTTAAAAGTCAACAGCAGGACTTTTAATTGGATCCACAAACGAATAGTTTGCCATTGCAACTGGTATAATGACCCCAAAACCTGGTCCCAACTACTCTCCAGGCAGCTGCGTTCTGATTTCTGAACTGTCTTCAAAGGCAGCGCATGCCAGACATTGCAGTAGTCCAGGCTGCTCTTCTCTGCATAAAGTTAACAACTGATGAACCAGCTTATGCTGGTGAAAGGTGTCCTAAGCCATGAATCCCGCCTTGTGCCTCCACAGATAGTGCAGAGTTCAATAGAGCGCCAATCTCCATACTTGTCTTTCAGGGGATGTGCCTCCCCATGCCAAACCAATTGCAAATCTCCAGATATACAGTAGATGGCATCTCACTTCAAACCAACCGATGATTTTCTTCTGCAGCATCATATACACATTAAACAAATGGAACCTTGTGGGATTGTGCAGGACAAATCCCATGGAGAGGCCCAGCCGGTTAATACAACTACCCTCTGAGTAGGTCCCAAAAGGGAGAAGGGGGACCACTCAAGCCAATGCCTCAGATTCCCAAGACTACATGAGGGCCTCCAGTGTCAACCACTATCAGGCATACACTAGGCTGCTGGCAGCAAGAAAGCAGGTAAAATGTTTGAGGGGGGTGCACATGACAATGGTCTCACCCCTTCACTTGCTGATACCCAGTTCTCGGTTTTGGGGGGTAGAGACAAACTTGTAGCATGCCAGACAGATCAGTTTGCTTTGAGGAGAGTTACAGAATTTTACTTTGCTATGAAATTCTTCTTCGTTGTGTCTGATTTATACATTTAAGCTTATTTAGATCAGAGCCTAAAGCTAGAAGCGTTTTCGTACAAGGACCTGAACACTGTGTAAATTGATGGACTGGATGAGGGTCAATAAATGGAGCTTGATGGAGGCAAGTGATTCTTGTGTCTGGAAGATTGGCCAGTTGCCTATTCTGGTTGTGTTTGCATTCCCTTTGGAAAAGCAGGCTCATAGTTTGTGCTCCTGGATCCAGCCTTGTCAATGGTAACCTTCGGTAACCTCAGTTCTAGGAGTGCCTTTCACAAGCTGTGGTTAGCACACCAATGACAGTTATACCTCGGGTTACAGACACTTCAGGTTGTGTGTTTTTGGGTTGCACACTGCGCCGAACCTGGAAGTACCGGAACGGGTTACTTCCGGGTTTTGGCGCATGAGCAGAAGCGCCGAATCGCGACCTGCGTGTGCGCAGACGCAGCACTGCAGGTTGCGAACGTGAGGCACCCGAGCAGCCATTGTCCTGCAATTCTTCAACTGTGATTTATGCATTGGTGACCTCAGGACTTGATTACTGCAATGCATTCTCTGTGGGGCTGCCTTTGGGTCTGGTCTGGAGGCTCCAGCTAGGACAGAATGACGTGGCTAGATTGATGGCAAGGGCAGACTACTTGCCATACGTAACCCTGTTGCTTGAACATTGGCTTCATGAATTTTCAAGTCCCTTAACAGGGTCCAGGATACCTTAAGGACAGCCGATTCCAATCACTGAGATCTCTAGGGGAGTCTCTTTTTTTGTGGCACCCCATGGCTCAAATGCATGGCTCATATCTAGCAGAAGCCACACATTCAGTATTGTGGGCCCATGTCTATGGATCTAATTTCCAGCTGAGCTGATACAAGCCACCACTCTGTTGAACTTTGGGCACTTGGCAAAGACTTTCCTACTCCCAGAGGCGTTTCTCCTTAACATTTAAACCTAGACAGCATCTTAAAAAGTAGAGACATCACCTTGCCAACAAAGGTCCGTATAGTAAAAGCTATGGTTTTCCCAGTAGTGATGTATGGAAGTGAAAGCTGGACCGTAAAGAAGGCTGATCGCCGAAGAATTGATGCTTTTGAATTCTGGTGCTGGAGGAAACTCTTGAGAGTCCCCTGGACTGCAAGAAGATCAAACCTATTCATTCTTAAGTAAATCAGCCCTGAGTGCTCACTGGAAGGACAGATTGTGAAGCTGAGGCTCCAATACTTTGGCCACCTCCTGAGAAGAGAAGACTCCCTGGAAAAGACCCTGGTGTTGGGAATGATGGAGGGCACAAGGAGAAGGGGACGACAGAGGACGAGATGGTTGGACACTGTTCTCGAAGCTACAAACATGAGTTTGACCAAACTGCGGGAGGCAGTGGAAGACAGAAGTGCCTGGCGTGCTCTGGTCCATGGGGTCACAAAGAGTCGGACACGACTAAACGACTAAACAACAACAAATAAATATTAAGTCTACCCATTGAATTTTGTTGTTGTTTTTTGTACAGCACATAGAAATTTGAGTGGTATAAAATACCTAATGGTATAGAACAGCTCATCATCATCCTACTTTGGTGGGGAGGGCGCAGGAGAACAAGATTCTAAGCACAGGAAGCAGCCTTATACCAAATAAATTTTTATTAGTTTCCCAATATTTCCCCAATAATAGCCCAACTATAGCAATATCAAGGATGCAGCCTTATACCATACCAGACTATTGGTCCATCTTGCCTAGTTTTATCTCTTCCGACTAGCAGTGACTCTCCAGGGCTTCAGGCAGAGATCTTTCTCAATGTCTTCTGTCTAATAGCAGGCAATAGCAGGAGTTGAACCTGCGACCTTCTGCAAGCAAAGCATTTGCTCCACAACTTCTTCTCTTTATATATTTTTCTCTGAAAAGAGGCGATTTGCATTGCGTTTTTAAGCTTATTGTTATTTTAGAGATTATGAGTTCTGTGGTGGAATTATTGCAGGCACAGAGATTGTTGAAGGTGTTCTCTTGTCCTCATCAGATAATATCTTCTCAAGGCACAGTTACAATCCTGTTCTATCCCTTCATGACAATGGACCACTCCTGGAGAGTCATGAAACGGCATCTCACTTCAAACCAACCGAACTTATTTTGGGGAATATACTTGCTACTTTGAGCAGTAACTCCATTGTCTGACCAATTTGCAATAGAATATTATTTACTTTGGTTGTATACTGTTCTTCCTCCAGGTTGATCAGGGCAACATACTGATTCTGCCATTGTTACCCTCCAATTTATCCTCTCAACAATCCTCAGAAGTAGGTTTGATGGAGAAATAGTGACTGGCCCAATTTCACACAGGGACTTACACCTAGGCGGACACTCCCTGGAAGGACAAGAGGCACTAGCTTGGAAGATAGCTGAATGTAGCAGAGAGCATTGGAAAAGAACTATGCTCTGATACATGTAAAAAATCTCTCTCTTTGGCTACCATTACACCTGGTGAATTGCATCCAGCATTGTTGTCATTCTGAGGGGTAAACAAATACACCCAAACAACTCCAGCCAAATTTATATTGTTCTCTGATCATTGTGGTGAATTTGTAACTTAGCAGATAGAATTGCTTGGCCTGGTTAGCAAAATTATAATTCATCTTGCTAAGCTGAGATGAAGACAGGAGTGCCTGGCGTGCTCTGGTCCATGGGGTCACGAAGAGTCGGACACGACTAAATGACTAAACAACAACAAGCTGAGATATTCATGAGCCTTTTGCTTGCATGTAGAACCTTTTTGTGATTCAACCAGGAACAATCTAATTACCTACAGTTTCCCATTTCAGCCAAATCAGGAAACTATGGTTCCAGCTTTGGAACAAATTATTGTGTGGAACTCAATTTAAAATGCAGTTTAATATCCTGGTGTCTTCTGAAGCTAGTGCTTGGTTTGAATGAAATGGGAAATTGTGTTAATGAGAGAGTTCCAGGTTTATCATGGTGAAGTAAGGAGCAAAATGTTTGTGTGTATGTGTGCAAAAGATTTATATGTATCTCCACTTTAAATGCAGAGATACTTTTTACTGAATGTGGCCACTGGGTTTGATTTGGGAATAGCTTCTTTATTTGAGCTTGTGTTAGAGATCTCATTCTTAGCCTGCTTAGTTAGATTGGTTTCAGTCCCCCTGAGCTATGCAGAATACATGCTTGGGGCAAGGAGGTATGAAGGCTACCACAGTGTTACTTTTTCTGGTACTTATCCTGGCTGCTTTGAAGAAGTGTAGGCTGCTGGACAGATTTTTAATCTGTTTAAATTTACATCTCTGCTAAACTTTGTGCAGTTTGCTGTTCATGGCAAATGCTAAAACTGACCTTTTCAGCTCCTGGTGCAGCCAATTTCCTATTTTGGAATCAGTAAGGACGGATGGAAATTAAATAGTTTTGCCTTCTTATTTTCACCCTTAGTATGGCATTGATTCTGTATGTGTTGCCTTCATCCATTATGTTTACCTAAAAAAACTAATAAGAAAAAATACACCTAATTGTTCCAGTTAGATGTTTCCTTGTCATTTCATATTGGTGAGCAAGAGGAGTTGGTGACATGACTGAAATATGTTCAGGGAAATATTTTGCAAGATTCTCCTTATACCTGTCAGTCTTAAAGCAGCTGGTTGCTTAGTGTGCTCCTCTTAGTAAAATATTTCCCTTGTGGATGCTCCTGAGTCCACATTTGCAACTTGCAAAGTAGCTTTTTGTGACTGAGAGGTTTTTGTTTTCTAGCACATGGTGATGCTGGTGAGTAAAGCTGATCTTACTCTGTACTTAGAATTAGATGTATATATTGTTCATTTGGTATCTGCTGCTCAGTTCTTATAATAATAGTAAAATGCATGTTCCTCGTAGATCCTCTGGTCTTCCAGACCTAAACCATAGCTCCCTCTGCTCCCTCCTGTGCTCTAACCTTTGGTCACTCTGCCATGCGCCTCAGGCATTTGCCTACTTGTGTCTCACCCCGTCCGGTCAGCTTGAGTCTTGTCTCTCTTCCAATATGACTTTTCTGTCCAACACTCTTGCCTGCCACACAGAGGGTCTTTTCCCCCTGGGTGTCTTTATCTTCTAGTATGTATGTTTTTACTCTTGCATGCCAACAGCTTAATGCGTCAATGGTTTGTGAATATAAACATTTCGGATTTTAGGATGCAGTGTTTTAGAGTTTTTGTTGGTACTGCCCATAGGTCCAGTTCAGATGTGATACTGGCTTAGCGCAGACAACACATTAAAGCAGGGTTTGAGCCAGCCGTAGTTTATAACCCAATCCATGTTTTGTGTTTCCAAATGTACAAGCAAAACACGACTCATTGATGCATCTCATGGTCTTTGTTTTCTGCCCTCTCAGTTTCATAAATTTACTCCCATCTATCTCTATGGTAAAGCAACCCCTGAAAGAGATGTAGTTGCTGTAACTATGGCTTGTTAATTCAAATGTCATGTCAAACCATAGTTAGCACAAATGTTAGCTTTGAAAAGCTAAGTTCTGATTCTAGCTTCTGATTATGGCTTTCCAGCTGATTGTAAGCCATGGTTTGACAATTCAGCCATCACACAAGCTTTAGTTGGGCTTCCTTAGTCATATTTTGAAGTGATGTCTGAATTGAACAAAAGATGCCTGGCAGCTGATAGTTTGCCAGCTTTGGTACATGCCCTCCATTTAACTCTGGAGAAATTCCTTTCTCAGTTCTAATCTTGTAAACCAGTTGCCACCATTTTGTATTAATTGATTTCAAACCATGGTTTGTATTAACAGTGCTTTGCATCACTACCAATGAACAACGCTAAAATGTATTATAACAGAAGGTGACGTTTGCTTTACATCTATTGTGGTTTTTGTGTCTGGGCTGAGTTGTTCTCTCCTGATTTCTTCCTACCTTTGCTGGCAGTCTGATACTGAAACTGATTACAGACACCCGCTCTGCAAAAGGGCTGATAAGGATAGCACAAAACGTTCATACAAATGTGCAGAGATAAATTTATTCCACCAAGAATTTGGTACACTTCAGTCCCAAATTAGCCTTTCATCAGTGGCATCTGTAACCCAATGAATAAAAGCATCCCATTTGAGCAGCTTTCCCCAACCTGATACCTTCCAAATGCTTTGGGCTGCAGCTCATCAGCCCCCGCCAGCATGGATGATGGGAGTTGTACTGCCACATCTGGAGGGCAGCAGGTTGAAGAAGGCTGCATTGGAGCAATGCATATTCTGTCTAGTACAACATAATTGGTTACATGTAAAAAATAATAAGTGCAGCACACCTGTTAAATGTCAATTAAAATGAAAAAAATATATATTTAGTCTCTCTGGAAAATTGATGGTGCTGGGAGAGTTAATTATTATCTTTCTTCGTTCAGTCTTTGTGTAGCTGTGGCTTTGTTATTGTATCTGTCACCAAGGAAAAGAAGGGGGAGGCTTTTGATTTATGCTCAATAAGGAATTTAACAAGGTTTTATTATGCCCTCCCCCCTCGATCGAGGCTGAATGGACTTCATTTAAAATTACTTTTGGACCAGACCAGGAGTGTGAGTGCCTCATGATTAATGCCAGTATTCCAAATTAATGAGGAACCAGTCAAGAATCATGCCAGGTAATACACACTTTGCCTTTCAAGTCGGCAGACGCTGGCTTAAGCAGCGTAGCGGGTTGCAGTGAACTCCCCAGAACCCACTGGGGAACATTGCCAGGAATTTTACCTCATGAATTTTGGCTTTCCCCTTCCTGAACTTCCTTACTGCCCCGGAGGGCAGTGGAGAGCTACTGCCATTAATCGTGACGTCAGCCGGAAACCGAAAATTGATGGTGCTCTTAAGCTGTAATCCTTGCACACTTACCTTTGAGTAACTCTCATTGAACTGAATGGTGCTTACATTTGAGTAGATGTATAGGCTTGCACTGTCAATAACAGATAATTCTTGACTTCTGTAAGAACAGATTTTTACAACAGTAGGGATTGCCTAAGCTGGAAAAAAACATGCAAAGTGCAAATACATAGTTGTATTCTAAAGGTTTCTTCATATAGTAAATATGTCTCATTTGTAACTTCTCCTTTAAAAAAGGAAAAGTTTGCAACAGCAGAAGAGGAAGTTGCCTAAGATAAAGAAGAGTCTAAATACACAACTGTATTCTAAAAGTCTCTTCATATGCTAAGTATTACAAATGCAATAAATGGTTTGCATATTTTTTGGCACGCCTTGGTCACCAGCCCCAAGTACCTCAGAAGCCCAGCACACCTGCAAGAGAATCACCCACTCTCCTCTTGGCTCCACAAGGTGAATGGGGGTTGTTCCAGTTTCACTGAGCTGAGCTAATATAATAGAATTTAAGGAAGGATAGAAACATATGTGGGACACTCATAGAAGAGGAACTAATGCCTATATGTGAACTTGTTAGCTAATGCATGGTCACAACTCTATGAAAGTTGCCAAATTACTCCTATCACAATTTTATACTGCCTCTTTTTATAAAACTCTGTTGAAATGGTGTCTCTGCTAAATGATTGAATTCCAAAAGCATTTAAATCATACACATTGGCAGATATCTAGCTGTGTTATACTTGGAGTAAACCTTAGGGAGGAGTTAGCAGCCAGCAGCAAACTTAGCACATTGCAGCTTCTGGGAGCTCACAACCAAGAACTTGTGATCAGAACTTGCAGGTGGGCATTTGCGAGGGCAATTTGACGGGGAGGCCTGGAGTCCTGTCTCACGGTGTGCTTAGGACCAAGAGTCAGAGGGCAAGGGAGCTACTGCCATGACCTGCAGTACCTGTCCCATGTTGGTCTTTCTGCCAGAGAACGTGTGAAAGTACATTTGTAGCAAGTGTAAGCTGGTTGCTTTGCTGGAAGAGAAGGTCCAGCAACTTGAAGCTCACCTAGACACACTTCGAGTGACAGGACAAGATGCAGTGTTTCTCAGTAGAGCTGAGTTGGACTGTGATGGCACAGCAACAGAGGTGAGATGGCTCTAGGGAGGAGGAAGATCTCCCACTGCAAGAGACTAACTCCTGGAGGAAAGTGATGCACAGAAGTAGGACTGTCACAAACCATACTGTGTTGTTGGAGCTGCAAAATCACTTCCATGCTCTCACCTTGGACACCAATTGTGGGCCAGAGGAGCATGGGAAGCATTTGCCAGCCTCAGAATACACCAAGGTGGCTGTGAAAGGTACAGTGCACAAAATGATCCTGCCACCCTCCAGAGGAGAGGAGGAAGAGACAGGAGGAGATGGATTTGGAGGAGTCCTTTTCCATTCTTGACCTAACCCCTTTGGATCATGGATGAGTATGCCAATAACCCACTTGCTACCTTCCATGGAGATGATCTCTGAGAAAGGGAATTGCAGTGTGGAGAAGGCAAGCTGAGAGGAAGGAGTGGGAAGTACTTGAGCCATAAGGTTCCTGCCTTTGTAACCTATCCTAATAATATCCAGATAAGCGCCAATAGTCAAGAGGAAAAGACTCAAGAACAGCAGATGCAGACCTTAGAACACTCTGAGAAGGCTGTGGAAGACATCATGATTCCTGCCACTCCCCGGAGGAGGGAGAGACAAGTGGCAGGGGTAGGTGACTCCCTACTGACGGGGACAGAGGCACCAGTGTGCAGAGGAAATGAGATGTCCCGGGAGGTGTGCTGTCTTCCAGGTGTCTCCTGAGACAAGACAGATGTGAACAACAGCAATAGCATCTATTAAAAGTCTGGAAGAAAAAAGAACTTCAAGTGGTCTGGTGTGAAATAATTCCTTCTAACTTTCTGCCATCTCCCAACATTTTAAGTCCACATCCTGTTGGACTTCAGTTCCAATCAGCCTGAGCAGGCACAGTCTGCGGTCAGGGAAGATGGGAATTGTAGTCCCAACATCTGGAGGGCTACAGGTTCCCCTTCCCTGTTGTAAGTCATTCAGTTTAGCTAAGTATTTTATTTGTGCAGAGCTTCCATAATTTAATATTAATGTAGCTTTCTCTGCTTTGCACATAATTTTTTTTTAAGTACAATATTTTAAATCTTATTCTCTTATACTAATTACTATTCCTTCTTTGTCTTCCTTGTATATTCATTTTATTGTACAGAACATTTTTAAAGCATGGGCTTTATTCTGAAGAGTGATTAAGTAAAATTGGAAAGTGCTTCAGATTAGGTATACTGCACACATATTAACTAACTATTTTGTGATTTTGACATTTGCCGCAAGTCTGAATTGGTAGCCAGTTTTGTTTTTACCAACAACAAAAAATAACTTTAACAATTAAGACTTAACATGCAAAAATCCTTGCAGCTATAACAGTATCATACGGATCTGTTCCTGTAAAAGCAGTTGTATGTGTTTTATAATTGTAATGGTTGTATTTGATTTTATAATTGTTTGTTCTATTGTTGTAACATACCCTGGGCCACTTGAGGTGCCTTTATATGGCTGAGGTGACATATAAATGGGGAACTTCCAGACCTCAACTCATGCTCTTAATCACTATGCAACACCAGCTCTCATGGAGTTGGAAAAGACCCAAATATAATCTAGAATAGGGGGGCCACTAGGGGGCGCATTGGAAGATGGCCGACAATACCATCTCTCCGACCCACACGGGGTAATTAAGAGGCTGTTATGGGAGTAGGCAGCCTCCCTTGTTGCCCCAAGGAAATGGGGAACACTGCCCTTGCCTGCTGTGCCCATACATCACCGCCTAATTCGAAAGAAGGGGGTGAGGGCCCTAGGCAGAATGGCCCCGTGTGGACCTCGGCTCTCCTGGACGCTGTCTCTGATCGCGCACTAGTTGCAGCAATTTGGAATAATTAATTACAAAAGAAGCAAATGCACATATTTCAAGTGAAGAAGGGGAGTGAAGTCTGCTAATTTAAGTGACCTCTGCGAAAGAAGACGACGGGTTGGAGACACAGGAATATTTTACGATGAAGATACACCAAAGGCTGGGTATGTTGACAACGGGACTGAATGGGGGGGGGACCTTTTTTACTTTCCTTCTATGTGATTTACAAGAACCCCTCCTCATTAGAATCGTCGGTTGAACTGACCCAAGCAGGATGATTAAGGTCTGTGTGGAGATAAACTTTAACCAAAAGTATGCTTTATGGAGATCGAGAAGCAATAAGAGCTTTTGGGAATGGCGCAGCAATAAATTCGGAGTCGCCATCTTGCCAAAGGATTTATAGCCGGGAGGAAGAACGGACTTGTTTTTAGACTGCATTCCTAGTGAATCTCCTCGGAGTTTTGAGAAAGGAGGCAGATTGGTGAAGATTAATGACACTAAGACTGTTTTGATGTATGGAAGTGATGTTATATGGAAAACGTCTGGATATGGCTACTGGATAAAAAAAATAATATCCACGCAGGATTACAAACTGTTCTAACCAGCTTGCGGAGATTATCAGAGGTCACAAAGAGAAAGGAAAAATATATGAAAATAACAACAAGAGATGTGGAAAAACAATAAGAAAGGACTGGATAGTACTGTGAACATCATAAGGTTAGATTTGTGGACATTAAAACAGCAGTAAGAAGCAAGAAGTTGATTGGATCCCCTTCGGAACTTGAAATATGGGTACCCCCAACAAAAATTTAAAATTCGGCTGTGTAATTTGGAATTTATGTAATTTGGTTTGATTTGATGTGATTGGTTGGTTAATAAAAAATTATTCTTAAAAAAAAATTTTTATCTAGAATAGTAGTCTTCAAGCTTTTCTATCTGGAAATGACTTTAGTCCAACATTTTTAAGGAACACTTATTACTTTGCTACCATGCAAGTGTAAACTGTTAGTGTCCTGTTGCACCCCATGTTGCGTCACTGGGTCCCACTAGTGGGTCCCAACTCATCAGATGATCTAGACGGTGATAGCCTACACAGTGCCCATCAGAAAGTGATGGATTTCAACTTCCATCATCCCCAGCTAGTGATGATAAGAATTCTTGCCTAAAATTCTCTGTAAAGGTAAAGGGACCCCTGACTGTCAGGTCCAGTCGTGGACGAATCTGGTATTGCAGCACTCATCTCACTTTATTGGCCAAGGGAACCGGCGTACAGCTTCTGGGTCATGTGGCCAGCAGGACTAAGCTGCTTCTGGCGAACCAGAGCAGCACACGGAAACGCCGCTTACCTCCCCGCCAGAGTGGTACCTATTTATCTACTTGAACTTCGTGCTTTCGAACTGCTACATTGGCAGGAGCAGGGACCAAGCAGTGGGAGCTCACCCCGTCGGGGGGATTCGAACCGCCGACCTTCTGATTGGCAAGCCCTAGGCTCTGTGGTTTAACCCACAGTGCCACCCATGTCCTACAGCACCACCCACGCTCTGTAGGACACCAAATTGGCTACCCCAGATATGCACAATGTCTGTGCCAAAAAGCAGGATTCTAGTATGCCTCAAGCTACAGCAGACACATTGCAAGATATGCTTACAAGGCAATTTATTGCTCCAGCTGACTCATGAAGTTGAGACAGATAACACGTTTGCCAATTTGTGTTGTGACATTATGTCTAATTATTCCCACTGTTTGCTGATAAAGTAATGTTTTGTTTTTGCCTTGCCCCTTCTTCTTACAGCTGGGTGATCCATCAATCTTTCCTGCTGTCATTGTGGAACATGTACCCAGTGCAGATCTCCTGAACAATTACTCTGGTTTGTCCTGTGTTGCTGAACCCAGCGACATGATAACAGAGAACTCGCTGGATGTTGCAGAAGAAGAAATTATAGAAGATGATGATATCACCCTTACAGGTTTGTGAGCTTTTTTTTTTGCATTGTCACTTAAGGACACAGTGGCTGAGATATGTCCATGCCTTTTGACCTGTTAAACCAGGAAGCTTCCAATTAACCATGGTTTCATGATTGGTCCAAGTTGGAAAACCATGGTTACTAGCTGAAATGAAATGGGAAACTATGGTTAATTGGAGGCTTTCTGATTTCATTTCAGCTCACATGAAGTGGCTCTGTGCTCAGACAAAAGCTTGTGCATATTTTGGCTCAATAAGCCAAGTTATGATTGCCTGAACCAGCTCAATTGAGTTATCACACTGAACCATTGTTTGAGCTTCCTAATGAAGGGGCAAACCCATGGTTTATAGCTGCTTACCTGCTTTTGTTTTCATCCTTTCTGTACTCACCTTCAAAAGTTCATCTCATTACTGAATCTTGAGGCAGATCAACAGCTGTAACTATGATTTATCAATTCAGATATCACACCAAACCATCATTTTCCAGCATACTTCAAACTACGGATTGTGGTTTGCTGACTGATAATAAAGTTAGACAGAACCATAAGGCCTTTTGAGGTACAGATGTAGTAAAAAATATGTTGGAACCAACACATTGTTTTTCCATCCATCTTGTTTTTCCTTGAGACACTGTTGTGGGAGCCTTGCTTCTGCTTCATTATTAGCTGAAATCTCCAGACACAGCACCTCACTTGTCAATCTTTTCGGTGCTGTTTCTTGACATAGCTAATAATTCAAGAGCTCCGTGTGTCAGGCTTCAGGGACTCTGCTTCCTCCCCCCACTTTGGCAGTAGATAAGCAGAAGCAGGTGCTCACAATTAAGAATTCCACCCACTTCCCCCCTTGTCACTCACATCACTTTTGCGTCTTACAACCTGATCTTGCAACCACTTTGCTTTCTGTGCTGCCCCTTATCTTGCTCTCCTTGACCTTGGGCTGAGCAGATGGGCGCTTTCCAGCGAAAGTGAGTCTGTTAACTCTCTGTCTCCCAGTTCTTCCCAACTTCTGTATTCTGAACTATGTCCCTCTGTAAACCACTGTTCCAAATCTATACTGTTCCACTGCTCCTGGGAGGATTCAGGATGCTGATCAGGAGCAGGGGGAGGGGGAGACTCCCACCATTCTTCCTCAACACAATCCCTGGCATCATGGGGAGACATTGAATTTATGCATAACAAAGTGGAAAATGTGCAAGGCTTGAGAAAGCTTATTACAGGAGTGGCTGAAAGCAGGAAATGCAGCTACAGATTCACTATCATGAATATTTTCTCCTCTTGGGATTTGTAGTTATGTCCCAAGATCCCATATATGGCATGAAACCCAAATCAAAGAATGTTTTCATTTCATTTCATCTCATATGCTAGTCTTTTGCTGAATTATCTCTCTTATCTGCAGTTGAAGCGTCTTGTCAGAATGGAGATGAAACAATGCAAACCATCGAAGCTGCTGAAGCTCTTCTTAATATGGATTCTCCTGGCCCAATGCTGGATGAGAAGAGATCAGGTGAGTCTGACAGGAAAACATCCGTGCAAAGTGTCTTCTGTCCAAAAACTATGCGGCTGTGTTAGATTTTGCAGGAGAGAAGGCTTGAGCTCTCTAGTAGGTTTACTTGGTAGCTTTGCCATTGCACCATAGGGAAGAAAATAAGGCTATTTTAAAAATATCATTAACAACCCTTTCAATTAGTCCTAATCTCCCAATTTTTGGAAATGGAAGGGTTAATGAGAAGCTTTTACTTTAAAGGAGTAGTGTTAGTAGATCTTCTTCCCTTTATTTAAAGAAGGAGCATGATTTCACAGAAGTTGCTTTTGAGTCTAATTGGTCTTGGAAAGATTTAAGCCTGTACCTAACTTTCCATTGACATTAATGAAACCTGTAAAAATGTTGCCTGGATCAGGCACAAATATTTAATGTCCACACAAGCGTCATTTTCTTTCCACATTCTCTCTTTTTTTAAAAAATGATATTTATTGAGAATTTTAAGGTTACAAAGAAATAAGAAGGAAAAAACAAGAGAAAGAGAAAAAGAAAGAAAAAAGTAGATAAAAGTAACAATTAAACAATACAAATCAGTAAAAACCAAAGTCAAAAAGAAAAAAACAAAACACACAGTACATCAAAAGCAAAAAGCAAAAATAAACAAAAAATTTAAAAACAAATCCAATATTCCCAGATCCTTAACTGTCATTACCTTATTTCATCGACCTCCTCACACCTCCCTTTTTTGTATTCTAGTTATTAATTATCTCAGCAAATCCTTTCCATTTTTCACAATATTCTGTCATTAAATTACCTTAATCTATTTTAACCTTATCTTACCATAAAAAACCCTAAAACTTAAAACTTAAATCTTATTTATACCAAATTCTCTTAACCATTACATATTCTTACATAATTCTTTTTAACATTTCTGTTAAAGCCCAATAATTTCATTCCAGCATTTTTCTAATACTCATTAATTTTACAATACTTTTCTAAATGAATTTTTAAAACTTTCTTCCAATATTCATCCATCGTCTCTTCTTCCTGGTCTCGGGTTATGTCAGTCCTTTCTATCCCATCCATCTAGTCCATCAACCTGGTGACCTTATGTCCGAGGCTCTTAAGTCTCTTCCATGTCCCTTCTGCAGGTCTTCTTCATATTTATACCTGTACTTTACTTTGTCTTCTGGTCCTTTCACTCGGGGAGGCTCCAGCTTAACAATATTTTTGTCACTTCTCGACAAGTCAGCCCCTTTTCCATAGTCAACACTGAAATCCACGTGGTATTTGAAGGCATGTTTCAAGGCCCCTCCAAAGTTAAAGGGCCCCCACAACTCCGAGCTCCCCCCGGCCCAAAGCCAGACTTGAAAAATCAAAACATCCCTGCATAGCGGGGTCCATCCAGCCCCCCATCTCCAAGCCAAACAGAACTCCATCTCTCCAAATCTGTCTTTTTCCAGGTTCATTCGTCAAATCCAACAACTCATGTTCCTGCTGGGTCACAGCTCCCTCCATCTCTGCCACCCAAGATCCAGCCACAACTTCCTCCCTCATCTCATCTGTCAGAGCACATTCCTGGATTAATTCCTGAGTGGGTTCTATATAGGTACCCACTGCCTGTCCAAAATTTCCAATCGCAACAGTCATCAAATCCATCTTCTCATGTAACTGTTCCAATAAAGCACTTGTCTTGCAAAAGGCAGGCACCAGAGCCTCCGAGTACATTCTTGTTCAAGGTCGAAGTCTGGTCCCACGATCTTAATCTATTACAGCTGCAAAGCTCCCCAGTTCGGTTTTAATAACAGTTTCACAAGCTCCCTCTAGGGGAAACAATTTCTATTTATAACCATCTTTTTTTTAAAAAAAAAAAGCAGATCTAGCAACAAAGTTTCCCTTTTTCGGATATTTTGTCAATATTTTGTTCCTTTTAAATGCGAAGGGGAACAATGGAATCAATATGTTTCTCTTCTTTTAACTATCTGTCAAAAACGTTTGTCCATAGTCAATGAACTTCCCCAGAACGTTTGTCCTGACACCCCGCTCCCAGGTTCAAGACGGTGGAAAATTGCCTTTCTTTACTCTCTCTTCTGCAGGTTTAAACAGTCTAAAAAAGGTTCCCCCCTCTTCTCCTGCTTCCAAGGGGGGTTCAGTAATTTTAAATGATGAAATTTTGATCCTTTACAGACGACTTTCTAAACTCTAGCTTGCCGTGTCTTTGCTTCAATCTATCTACAAAAGCGGAAGGAGGACTTCCTGTTTAGACCTTCCCGCTTCAGTGCCAAATTAAAAAATTTCTTAATCCAATTTTCCGTTCTACTCACGGGCAGTTGTTTAAAATCCAATTGTCCACAGGAAAAAGTCAGCGCTCTCCGGCAACAGCAATGCGGCTTCACTCCGTGAAAGAAGCAATCGATTCAAAGCACCGCGCCACTCACCCCACGTCGCTCCGGATCCCCGAAACTGGGTTTCCCCGCGAGTAGGGGGGGGCGCAAAGGTGCCAGCCGAATCCCACGTCCACAGGCTTCTCCCGCCTGTGGTTTTTTATGGGTCTCCGCCTCACCGTGGCGGTTCAGACCCTGTTTTCCACGAAGCGGATTCCTCCCGATCGGAGGAAATCCGCCATTGCCAGAGGCGCTAACCCGGAAGTCCTTTCCACATTCTCTTTACAACTTAAATGTTAAATTTATCACTGATTTTTTTAAAACATTGGTTTGATGTTCACATTCATCCGTTTCAGTAGCTTCAGATTTGGAGCTACTTTAAGACCTCTCTCTTTTGGTTCACTTTTGGTTAAGTCACTTCCGGGACGAGCTGATGTATTCATTTTTTCATTCAGTATGTATCTTGCTCTTCCTTCAGAGAGGGTAAGGCAGCACACATGGAGTTATCCAGTATCACCTTCTTAACAGCCCTGTAAGGTTGTAATTAAGTAGGTCCCTTGATTAGTCAAGAGAAATAGGTAACCTACATTAAGTATATTCAAATTAACATGTGTCAAGATACATTAGCATTTTATTAGTTATTCTGTTAAAGTGATTGAAATTCAAAAGTCAGCTTTTGTTCTTACAGAGCCTTGACTATTTTGTAACCTCATTGCTAGAAACCTTTCCAAAAGCATTAAAGTGCTCATTGACTTCTTTATTGTTTTTCTGCAGCCCATGGGTTTGGGATGGAGGAGGATGTTGACCTTGGTCCTATAACCCATGTGTCAGTCACACTAGATGGGATTCCAGAGGTGATGGAGGTTCACCAAATCCAAGATGCATTTGCTGAATCACCAAGCACTCTAGCACTTGAGCAACCAAAAAAGAGAAAAGGTAAGAAATGTGATTATGTGCTAAACATTCTCCTACAAATGGAATACGTATGTGCATGTTTATAATATCCATTGAACAATTGGAAAAATAATCCAAATTAGCATAGTGGCTCATCAGTAAAGCAGAATGATCACATCTCTTAGCTAAGTAGATGTGTTTGACGCTGTTTTATATTTCAATTAAGGTATGTACAAGAAGAAACATTTGATTATTTTAAAATAATAATAATAATAATAATAATATTTTTTTTTATTTATACCCCAGCCAAGACCGGGCTCAGGGTGGCTAACAACCAATAATAAAAACAAGTTGATTAAAATACAATTTAAAAGATTAAGATACAACATTAAAACAATTAGGGAGCAATCTCATCATAGGAGGAGAAAGGAAAAAGAAAAACGGGGAGGGAATCAAACTGATTCTGAGCCAAAGGCCAGGTGGAACAACTCTGTCTTGCATGCCCTGCGGAAAGAGATCAGATCCCGCAGGGCCCTGGTCTCAAGAGACAGAGCATTCCACCAGGCCAGAGCCAGTGTTGAGAAGGCCCTGGCTCTGGTTGAGGCTAATCTAACTTCCTTAGGGCCCGGGACCTCTAGGGTGTTGCTATATATGGACCTTAAGGTCCTCCGTTGGGCATACCAGGAGAGGCAATCCCATAGGTACGAGGGTCCTAGGCCGTGAAGGGCTTTAAAAGTCAAAACCAGCACCTTAAATCTGACCCTGTACTCCACCGGGAGCCAATGCAGCTGGAAAAGCACTGGGTGAATATGCTCCCATGGCAGAGACCCCGTGAGGAGCCTCGTTGCAGCATTCTGTATTATTATTATTATTATTATTATTATTATTATTATTATTCTAAGATAGAGACACCATGAACTGAACTGTTTAAATTCAGTACCTACCTACTCTGATTCTTGGGTATTTTCAGAGTAGAAGCTATAGGTTAGCAGCATGTTCAGCCTACTTCAATTCTGCAAACCTAAAACTGATTTAAAATGCAGAGACCTCTGGAAACTCCTTCCTGGTGATTGAACTCCACACAGGTGGCACAAATATTGAAAGTACATCATTTAATTGGGGAGGCCATGACTCCATGGTAGAGCAGTTGCTTTCCATGCAAAAGTTCTGAGTTTTAATCCACAGCATCTCCAGGTAGGACAGTGAAAGCATGGAAAGCCATTGGCATTCAGTGTAGACAGTGCTGAGCCAGTTGGACCAGAGGTCGGATTCAGCTTATGGCTCCTTTCTGTGTTATTTGTGCTGGTGTGAAGCCTATGTGTTTAGGCACCTCTCAGCTGATGCATATGCCTAAGCAGCATGCCATCTGTGTGAAAGCCCATCACAGGGAGGTGCTTCTTCCTTTTTTAAAGTACATTCCAGTTACAAGGCAAGCAAAGTGGAAGGAAACCAGTGTGGCTGCATAAAGAGCTTACAGATGAGCTGAGAGTTAAGAAGGGCATGTATAAGAAATGGAAGAAAGGGGAAATCACAAAGAAGGAGCATACACGAGTAGCCTACAGTTGCAGGGGGAAAGTCAGGCTGACTAAAGCTCAGAATGAGCTCAGGCTTGCAAGAGAGGTTAAAAATAATAAAAAAAGTTTATTTGGCTATGTCTGAAGTAAGAGGAAGAACAAACAAGTGGCAGGTCCTCTGCGTGGGGAACATAGAGAAATGCTATAGGGTGACAGAGAAAAGGCGGAACTCCTCAACACCTACTTTACCTCTGTCTTCACCCAAAAGGAAAGTGATGCCCAACCTGGTGATAACAGAATAAATAATGTAAGGAGGGAGCTGTAGCCCAAGATAGGAAAAGAGGAAGTAAGGGAACACCTAGCTACTTTAAATGAATTCAGATCACCAGGGTCTGATGAGCTGCATCCAAGGGAGCTTATGGATGTAATTTCAGAGCCTTTGTCTATTATATTTGAGAATTCTTAGAAAACAGGTGAGGTCCCTACAGACTGGAGGTGGGCAAATGCTGTCCCCAGGTAACTACCAACCAGTGAGCTTGACATCAGTACCAGGAAAGGTCCTAGAACAGATAATTCAGCAGTCGCTCTGTGAGCGTTTAGAAAAGGATGCTGTGATTACAAAGACCCAGCACGGGTTTCTCAAAAATAAGTCATGACACACCAATCTGATTTTTTTTTTAATGGAATTACAAACTTGGTGGATCAGGGAAATGCTTTGGACATAGTATATCTTGATTTCAGTCAGGCTTTTGACAAAGAAAAAATAAAGACTTTCTTGAGGTCATTGTTAGGTGGATTTGTAGCTGGTTGACTGACCGAACTCAAAGAGTACTCATTAATGGTTCCTTGTCATCCTGGAAAAAAGTGACAAGTGGGGTGTCGCAGGGTTCTGTCCTGGGCCCTTTGTTGGTCAATGTCTTTATAAATGACTTGGATGAAGGAATTGAGGGGATGCTCATCAAATTTGCAGATGACACCAATTTGGGAGGGGTAGCTAATGCCTCAGAAGAAAGAATCAGAATTCAAAATGACTGTAACAGATTGGAGAACTGGGCGCAAGCTAACAAAATGAATTTCCGTGAAGACAAATGTAAGGTTCTGCACTTAGGCAGGAAGAACCAGATGCACATATATAGGATGGGGGACAATTGGCTTACTAGCAGTACATGTGAAAAGGATCTAGGGGTCTTGGTGGACCACAAGCTTAACATGAGTCAACAGTGTGATGCAGCAGCAAAAAAGAGCTAATGCTATTCTTGGCTGTATCAACAGAAGTCTAACGTCGAGATCAAGGGAAGTAATAGTACCACTCTATTCTAACTTGGTCAGACCACACTTGGAATACTGTGTCCAATTTTGGGCACCACAATTTAAGAAGGATGTTGACAAGCTGGAAGGTGAGCAGAGGAGGGCAACCAAGACGATCAAGGGTCTGGAAACCAAGCCTTATGAGGAGTGCTTGAAGGAAGCTGGGTATGTTTAGCCTGGAAAAGAGGCTGACAGGAGATATGATAGCCATCTTCAAATATCTCAAAGGCCGTCACGTGGAGGGTGGAACAAACTTGTTTTCTCCTGCTCTGGAGGGTAGGACTCGAACCAATGGCTTCAAGTTGCAAGAAAGGAGATTCCAACTAAACATTCGAAAAAACTTTCTGACAGTAAGAGCTGTTCAGCAGTGGAACAGACTCCCACGAGAGGTGATGGATTCTCCTTCCTTGGAGGTTTTTAAGCAGAGTGGCCATCTCTCATGGATGCTTTAGCTGAAATTCCTGCATTGCAGGGGGTGGGACTAGATGACCCTTGGGGTACCTTCCAGCTCTAAGATTCTATGATTCTTAGTCTCCAACATGGCATGAGCCATAATGATGGGTAGATTCAACTAATGAGTTGCATCAGTGGAAGCCTGCATAAGCCCTTTCTGTTGTTACCCAGTGGAGTTTCTCCCCCTGCTCTGCACAGAACTGTGTGCAAGCCGAAATGCTTGTGCTGACAGAATTACCACCTTAGTGTGACGTTGAATTCCTCCCATGTATATGTTTAGATATACATATAATATAAATTGATAAAGATGATTATACAATAATCACATGATCAAGTTCTTTAATAAACCACATGACATGTGCTCGTTTTGTACAGTCTCACGAACCTCTTTGCTTCCATTTCACTTCTCCCTTCAGGCAAGTGAGGAAATCAGATCAGGAAGTCACAGTTGACATAGCTTCCTGTTACATGTGTACTGGGAACCATGATTAATGACTTCCAGACCAGCCAGGATTGTGTTGTGCAAATGTGGCCAATGTGTAATAATGCTTAGCATTCATATCAGAAATGGGGCGGGGGGCCAAGTACCTCCTTGTTTACATGAGATGGGAACCGGGGACATCCTGGCACATTACCATGCTGACCATGTGGGGAAATGGTCAATCCCCCTTGGTGGGGTTGCGCTACCACTGAAGGTAGCCTGAGGATGCTTCCAGATCCATCTTCATCATTGGAGGCCCAGGCAGCCTCAGTGTCTAGAAGCATCTTTTTCGAACTGTGACTGGAATGGTGGCTTGAACCATTCTGGACCACGAGAGCTTGACCACAGTAGTTCAGGCACTGGTGACTTCAAGATTGGATTGCTTCAATGGACTCTCTGTGGAGCTGCGCTTATGCTCTGACCCAGAAACCGCACTTAGTGCAGAATGCTGCTGCATGGTTGCTAACAGGAGTGAGGCCTTGTCAGCATAGAGCATCTCTGTTCCAGGATCTGCCCTGGTTACTGATTTTGTTTCCAGGCCAAGCTTAATGGCTTGGAACTTCTTTACTTTTTTTACTTTACTTTACTTTATGCTTACCTCATATGCTCCCACTCATCTGCTTCAACCAGCAGAACTGGTGCTGTTACAGAGCCACATATTACTTGCTTCACGTTTGTAAGAAAATGATCTTTTAGTGCAGCAGTACCTGCACTTTGGAACTCCCTGCCTCATGACATCAGGCAGGCCCCTTCACTGCACTTTTCTTGGTGCCAGCTAAAAGCTTTTTTTAATGCAAGCCTATCTAGATATGTGGAGTGTTTACATGTATTTTAATCTGGTTTTAGGCTTATCATTGAATTTAATTATTTTAAATAATGTTCTTAATAGTTGTTTTTAACTGTTTTTACTGATTTGATTGTTTTATTCTTTTTGTAAACTGCTGTAGATATTGATGTTTTACTCTTTTACTGTTAATTTTAATTTTAATTGTTTTAATCAATTGTTTTTAACTTTTTATTGGTAATTTTAATATTTTTGTAAGCCATTTACAGTTTTTATTTAAAATCAGTTGATGCGATAAATTAAAAATAAATAAAATATTGCTTCTTAGATGCCTATTTAGCTCATTGCTAAATGGGATAAATATAAATTATCAGAATTTAACTAGCAAAGGCTTATTGCTAAGTTTTGGATAAATTATTTGGAGATCCATAATTGGGAAGCTATTTGTCCCACAAAATAAGTACTGTAAAATAATTGACTTGGACTCCATTGGTGTGCTGGGTCCTTGAACTGTTGTGATCTTATCTAGCAGTTTGGTTGTTTTAAATCTGACGTGCCGTGGGTTCGATATTCAGTGAAAGCATTGGTTGCCCTATGTCTGTTTTATAGTTTCAGTGTGAAAGTTCATACAACAGTCATTTTATTTCAGGGAAGAAACCCAAAGCTCCGCGACCAGAATCTCCTACTCTGACTCCAAACATATCAGTGAAAAAGAAAAGCAAAGATGGGAAGGGTAAGCTTCGGCAACGTGATCCGACGCCTGTCGATAGAGCTGAGTATATAACATTCTGGATAATTGGGAGTCAAGCACAACTACTACTTCAGCAGGGCTGCTTCATTCTGATCATAGGGTTTAAGAGGCAATGAGAGGTGTTTCTTGTTTCATCGGAAGTGAATTTGCCTTCTACAGTGATAACAGTAAAGAAGATAATTGGGAAATTGCCCTTGCCTCATTCCATGGCAAGTGCTGCTTTTTTGTACTGCAGGAGTACACAGGTACCCACTGCTGGTACTTTCTGATACTAAGCCACACTGTATTTTTAAGTTGTTGTTGTTGTTGTTATTAATTAAGCTTACATACTGCCCTCCATCCAAGAATCACAGGGAGGTTTACAGTATAAAGGTGGCTTTTCCAGGGTGTGTGTGTGTGTGTGTGTCTGTCTGTCTGTCTGTCTGTCTGTCTGTCTGTCTTACAATGGACTCTGCTCTGTGCCTGTCAGATAATACTAGTCTAAGTGAAGAATAGCAACACTATGAACTATGAACAAGTCCTGTAATGCTTGTGAGCTCCTTACGATATAGACTGATTTGATCCCATGTAAAATTCTCTACATAGTGCTACTTGTGTGGAGACTCTGGGCATTATTGAACTTGATGATAGAGAATCTGCAAATGTTATAGCCTTGACATGCTCACTCAGAACCAAAGTATAATAGTTGGATTCAAATACTTTTGCTTTTTGACAATATGTTGAAAATGATCAACATAAATTTAGAACAAAATTGGACAGCTTTGTAGTCCAAGAGCCCGTTGAAATAGGTTTCTGCAAAGATAAGGGAATCCTCATTCTGCATAGGTGGCCCTGTGCCCTCTTGAGGCAACCCCAAATATCTAAGGAAGTCAATCCTAAATGTTGGGGGGGGAGTGCAGTCAAAGGGACTTATTTTTCTATTGGTGGTTTTGCGGCATCATCAAACCTTTTTTAGAGTGCTGACTTCAAGGAAATGAGCGCTACTTGGACTTAGGACCCCACCCACTCAAGATTACCCGAATGATGACCTCTTAGCCTTTCTATTGGCAGCTGCCCATATGGAGATAGCCAGATGCTGGGAAACTGACGATGGGCTTCACATCGACTCTTGGTGTCCCAGAGTAAATGGCATTGGCTGTCAAAGCAGCAAGGGACAAATACAATCCCTGTTCCTTTTATAACTTTTGGCAAGTGTTTACTGAATAGAGAAATCATACAGATTGTGGCAGGAATCTACCCAGCACTCATGGGAAAATGTGGCATGATATTTAGAGTACAGTGGTGCCTCGCAAGACGAAATTAATTCGTTCCGCGAGTTTTTTCGTCTAGCGAATTTTTCGTCTTGCGAAGCACGAAATCCCATAGGAATGCATTGAAATTCAATTAATGCATTCCTCTGGTCAAAAAAAGTCCAAACAAAGCCAAATTTGGTACAACAAGACTTTATTAAGTGCTCTTTAAAGTCACACATACTGTAAAGAGCATTTCAAAAATTGAAAGAACAATAAATTAAGTTTCTAAACATGACAGAAAAACATTTAAAAATCAACAAAGTGTCCAGTACATTTTCTAAGACTCTGGGGGACAACTCGAAGAAGGTTCCTCTTCCACTCTTTGCTTCTTGCTGAAGAACCTGTCCATGGTCTGCTGCTTCATCCGCCTTTTCAGCACCTCCCTGAAAGGCGACATGATCCTCGTATCAAAAGTGTTCGCAAAGTCATGTGCCACGTGCTTGTCAGGGTGGTGCCGCTGTGCAAAAGCCTGCACATCCTTCCACTTCAGGCAAATGTCCCTCAGTTCTTTGGAGGACAGCCGTTCCTCAGTTGCTTCCTCCTCTTCCAGCGAGGCTTGCTCCTGCGCAGCCTCTGCCTGCAGTTCGACCAGCTCCTGGGTGGTCAGCTCGTGGTCGTGCTCCTCCACCAGCTCGCTGATGTCCTCCTCTGTGACCTCCAGGCCCATGGTCCTCCCCAAGGCAACAATGTCCTGCACCACTGTTGACTCTGGTGCATCAGAGTCACTTGGTGCCACACAGTCCGGCCACAGGCTGCGCCAAGCGCAATTCAAATTTCTCTGGCTGATCCCGTTCCAGGCCGTGGTGATCATCTTCAAGCAGGTGACGATGTCGAAGTAGTCCTTCCAGAATTCCTGCAGGGTGATGGTGGTAGAATCATAGAATCATAGAGTTGGAAGAGACCACAAGGGCCATCGAGTCCAACCCCCTGCCAAGCAGGAAACACCATCAGAGCACTCCTGACATATGGTTGTCAAGCCTCTGCTTAAAGACCTCCAAAGAAGGAGACTCCACCACACTCCTTGGCAGCAAATTCCACTGTCGAACAGCTCTTACTGTCAGGAAGTTCTTCCTAATGTTTAGGTGGAATCTTCTTTCTTGTAGTTTGGATCCATTGCTCCGTGTCTGCTTCTCTGGAGCAGCAGAAAACAACCTTTCTCCCTCCTCTATGGTGCAATCAGTCACCTCAAAGCATCGCCTGAGAAGCTCCTTGGTGTAGAGTTTTTTGAAATTGGCGATGACCTGCTGATCCATCGGCTGGAGCAGTGGCGTGGTGTTAGGCGGCAGGAACATGATGCTGATGAAGCTGAACTCCTCCAACAAGTCCTCCTCAAGGCCTTTAGGATGAGCAGGAGCATTGTCCATCAGAAGCAAAGCCTTCAGCGGCAGGTCGTTGTCCAGCAGGTACTGTTTGACAGCAGGGCCAAAAGCAAGATTGACCCAGTCCACAAACAGCACACGTGTGACCCAAGCCTTACTGTTGGATCGCCACATGACACTCAGCTGCTCCTTGTCGACCTTGTGTTTCTTGAAGGCCCGTGGGTTCTCCGAGTGGTACACCAGCAGGGGCTTGATCTTCAGGTCGCCGCTTGCGTTGGCACAGAAGAGCAGGGTCAGACGGTCCTTCATGGGCTTGTGGCCAGGCAACTTGGCCTCCTCCTGTGTGATGAAAGTCCTTTTGGGCATCCTCTTCCAAAACAGCCCAGTCTCGTCGCAGTTGAAGACCTGCTGTGGAACGTAGCCCTCCATCTTCACAACCTCCAGGAACTCCGCTGCAAAGTCTTCAGCCGCAGAAACATCAGAACTGGCAGCCTCTCCATGCCTGACCACGCTGTGGATTCCAGATCTTGTCTTGAACTGGTCAAACCAGCCTCTGCTTGCCTTGAAGACTTCTGGCTCGCCTGAGGTTCCTGGCTGTTCCCGGACGAGGTCTGCGTGCAAGGCCTTGGCCTTCTCACAAAGGCGGCCTCAGTCACTGTGTCCCCTGCCCGCTGCTTCTCTTCTAACCAGATGAACAGCAACTTCTCCACCTCCTCCAGAACAGCTGGGCGGTTCTTCACAATCCTGGTGACTCCCTTGGCTGCATCAGTCGCAAGGATCTTCTCCCTCATCTTCAGGATGGTCCCGATGGTCGATGGATTCCTCCCGTACTCCCTGGCGAGGTCTGTCACACGCATTCCACCGTCGTGCTTCCGGATGATCTCCTTCTTCATTTCCAGCGTAACCTTCTCCTTCTTCCCCTCGCTGGCCTCTGCAGCAGCAGTCTTCTTGGGTCCCATGGCAGCACAGCTCCTACCTGCGCAACCCCCCCCCCCAAATCAGTGCTTCACACCCAAAAAATTCAAAAGCACCCAGCCACCCACCACACAGAAATTCAAACCCAGAACCAAGTCCTTGAATTCCAAACACCCCAACCCAAAATCCAACCCCCCCCCCCAAAAAAGTTTTAAAAGTTTAACTTACCGAATGGCTGCAAAAGAAGTTTTGGGAAAGCTTCAAAAATCACCAAAGTCTTCAAAAACCTCAACTATTCCCCCAGCCACCCACCCCACAGAAATTGCAAACCCCTCCCCAACTGTTGTAAACCCCTCCCCAACTGTTCCCCCAGTCACCCACCACACAGAAATTCAAACCCAGATTTTTTTTTAAAAAAAACAGCGGAGTGGCCCAATGGTCACAGAAAATCATAAAAATGCAGGAAAAAACCACACAAGCTTCCAGATTCTTGCAAACCCCTCCCCAACTGTTCCCCCAGCCACCCACCACACAGAAATTCAAATCCAGAATTTTTTTTTAAAAAACAGCAGAGTGGCCCAATGGTCACAAAAAATCATAAAAATGCAGGAAAAAAACACACAAGCTTCCAGATTCTTGCAAACCCCTCCTCAACTGTTCCCCCAGCCACCCACCACACAGAAATTCAAACCCAGAATTTTTTTTTTAAAAAACAGCAGAGTGGCCCAATGGTCACAGAAAATCATAAAAATGCAAAAAACAAACAAACACACAAGCTTCCAGATTCTTGCAAACCCCTCCCCAACACCAAGTCCTTGAATTCCAAACACCCCAACCCAAAATCCAACCCCCCCCAAAAAAGTTTTAAAAGTTTAACTTACCAAATGGCTGCAAAAGAAGTTTTGGAAAAGCTTCAAAAATCACCAAAGTCTTCAAAAACCTCAAAAAAGGCTACCACACCGCGTGCTATGAGTTGCTCCTCGAAGTCAAGTCACAACTGCACCTCTTCAAGCATTGCACCCTGGGTATTAACGGTTTTACGAAAAAGGAAACAAACTTGCAAGACGTTTTCGTCTTGCGAAGCAAGCCCATAGGGAAATTCGTCTTGCGAAGCACCTCAAAAAACGAAAAACCCTTTCGTCTAGCGAGTTTTTCGTCTTGCGAGGCATTCGTCTTGCGGGGCACCACTGTAATCAGATGAAACTTTCATAGAATGAAAGTCTGTCATTCTATTGGGTAAATAAACAAACCACTGTGTTGCAAAATGTGACTCAGCAATATTGAAAGCAACACAATGGCCAGAAACACTTACAGTATAGAAAACTTTATGGAATAATGCAAAACATGAAAACTATCAAACTGAAGTCTCTGAAAGTCCTTGAATAAGTCACGGTGCCAGACTTTACCCAGCGGAAATCAAGTTTGTATAATCAGCAAATGTCCAGTTCTGATGTCCAACTCTGAACTCTGCTGAACAGTGTTTCCGGATAGTAACTACTGTTTCGTTCAGTTCTTCACCAGCCAATTAGTTCAACAAACTCTCGTAAGTACAAAGATGTGTAATTTCTTCATTATCTGAAAATAAAATATACAAACGATGACCTGCACATACATAACAATAACTTCAAATAGCGTGGAAATTATAAACTGTAACATAAAAAGGTTACATACCCAATCTTTTTTTGAACTGATATACATGAGAATGAAAAATACTCTGGAACAGTGCTCATACAATTATGTAGTCACTGTTACTAACATCATTTTTTGAAAAATATATATAGCCAGCCCCAGGTGATACTGATAACAAGGAGACTGAGCTTAAAGCCACAGTACAAAGTAACAGCAAACATACAGATAATCAAATAAAACATTTGAGGTCTAATTCCGAGTTAAGTCCCCCTGGATGAATGGATTTAAACATAAAAATAAAACGGGTTTCTTGCTGCCGTAACTGATGTTCATAATCTTTTCTGATACCCTTTGTCCCCTGATTCACCCATAAAACTGTAAATAATAAATCCGTATCTGAATTGTTGTGGGAAACAAAATATTCTACCAGAGGTGCCTCCATATTGGCGTTACGTATGCGTGAACGATGTTCCCCAATCCGAACCCCAACTGCTCGAAGTGGTGGAGCCTATATACAATAGATTACAAGGACATCGGATAAGGTAGACAACATCTCTGGTCTGACATGTACTAAATTGACAAATAACAAAACTGAAATTAGTTTTCTCATCATAAATTTCTGTAATCTGTGAAGAAAAAGGGCAGGATAAACATCTGCTACATTTGTGGTGACCAGTGGGCCCAGAACTACTGATGGTATATTATAATTCTTTCGGAATTCATATCCGTGTGTACTAACATTTCCTTAATTGATTTGGTCCGTCTCAGGCCAATCAAAGGAAATTCATTACAACCTGGTACATTCCAGAGTGCATGCCAATGTTTGCATAGAATTCTAATGATTCTATCTACATGAGTGGTATATTATAATGAACCCATAATGCGATTTTTGAGACAGAGAGGTGGCTGTGGGACTATGGAAGAAAAGAAGGGTCCCAAAATCCAGGATAATTTATTTGAAGTTATTGTTATGTATGTGCAGGTCATCGTTTGTATATTTTATTTTCAGTTAATTAAGAAATTACACATCTTTGTACTTACAAATGTCATTTTATTGGGACAAGTTATTTGTTGTTTACTGCGGTAACAATTGTTTTCTCAAAATGTGTCTTTCTGAAATTCTTTTTATTCATTTATTTTAGGAAACACAATTTACCTTTGGGAGTTCTTGCTAGCTCTGCTTCAGGACAAAGCCACTTGTCCGAAGTACATAAAATGGACTCAGAGGGAAAAGGGCATTTTTAAGCTTGTGGATTCCAAGGCCGTGTCGAGGTTGTGGGGAAAGCACAAAAACAAACCCGATATGAATTATGAAACAATGGGCAGGGCTCTCAGGTAGGTAAACTTAAGATCATGACAGAATATACTCAGCACAAAATGTATATCATAAGGGGGAGAGCATCCTAAGCTAAAACAATGTTAAGCACTAATACTAGTAAATATTATATACAGATATACAAAAATACTTTGTGCGGAGCTCACCCCGCTCTCCAAAACCACAACCACACTCCCAACCTAATGAGGATAGAGTCTGATCAGTGAGCCTGCCATGCTGACTGTTGGGAGGGAAAAGATTGAAAATAATATTAACATTCTAGAAATATTAATACTGTGGTTGAATCAAGACTAGCTAGCGCTGGACTAGTAAGACATGGCTCACAATCTTCCTCTCTTAGCATGGATACCGGCTGTTAAATGAATCATGACCATCTCAGGCCCACAACTGCATTTTTGTTTGCAGTGTGGCTTCATAAGCCCAGGTGGATCCTGTTCTGTACTTTGAGCGGAATGTCCTTGGTTGCATGAAGACCTTTCAGAATATGGAGAGTGATCTGTTGGGGGAAAGTACTTGAGTATTCAAAGCTCATCAAGAACAGAAACAGCAGGAAATGAATTGTGTTCATTCTTTTAAAAGTGCATATTGCTGCATTAATCTGTTAGTGTTAAAACAGTATTTTAGGTAGAGTTTCTCCAACTTTAAGTACAGTCGTACCTTGGTCGATGAACACCTTGCGACTCAAACGTTTTGGCTCCTGAACGCCGCGAACCCGGAAGTGAGTGTTCCGGTTCGTGAACGTTCTTTGGAACCCGAACGTCCAACACAGCTTCTGCGGCTTCCGATTCAGTGCAGGAAGCTCCTGCAGCCAATCAGAAGCAATGCCTTGGGTTTTCGAACGATTTCGAAAGTCGAATGGACTTCTGGAACAGATTCCGTTCAACAACCAAGGTACAACTCTATTCCTTTGTGTAATCTTTGGTGTGTTTTCCTACTTCAAATAGATATTATTACCAAAGAGGCATTCTGGCCAAAGTAGAAGGACAACGTTTGGTGTATCAGTTTAAAGAAATGCCAAAAGACCTTGTTTACATAGATGATGAAGATCCAAGTTTGAGTACAGATTCCCCCGATTCATCTTTACAATCAGCACCTGCTGGTAATAGAAACCAAATGGGCAGGTCTAAAACGTCTTCAAACATGGCACAAAAAGGAACATCTGCTGCTGTTTTAAAGACTCCAGTCAGCTCCAAGTCTGCCAGGCTTAAGCAGCCCATTGAAAATTTTCAACAGCAGCTGCCCACCGTGACATCAGAAGTGTTGAGGACGGTGCAGCCTAGTCAGCCAGTCCATCCAACTCAGCTTTATCGGACAGTTCATTTAATGCACCCCGTGCAACCCATTCCAGAAGGACACACAGCTGTGAGCAGTAACATGCTGGAGGAGAACATAAGGTAAGAATGTCAGAACAGGGCACCTGGGGCTGCTGGGGGCAGCTAGCTTTAACAACAACAACAACAATCATAATACCCTGCTTTTCCCCGCAGACAGGACTCAAGGCAGCTTACAGATAAGAACAAGAATCACTAAAAACATGGAAAAAACAATTAAAAAACAATTAAGAGAACTAAAACTATATACATATATAAAATCTGTTTAAAACATACAAATAATTACAGTACCTAAACTGTTAACCAGAAACCATTTTGAGTTTCGTCAACAAGTCACTTAAGCAAAACCTTGGGTTACCTTGACTTTGTGAAGATGTCAGCTCCCAGAGAGAAGCTCCCAGTCTCTCTGCTCCCTGCTGCCACCAAGCAGCTCCTGCTAAACAGGTCCACAACAGCACAAGGCTTTGAACTTTGAAAGTCTGTTCCAAGCCCTAAAACAGACAGACGTGTACCTTCATTCCTCCACACTGTGCAATGACATATACCTTCTGGGTGGCTCACAAAAAATTAAAGGAATAAAATACAATACTAAATATGATGATACAGATGATAAAAGTTATTATTGAAGGATGAATAAGTACAGCAATTAAGAACATGCATATAAAATAAATCACAAACCCTGATTTGAGAAGCCTATAATTTTAAAAAGATGGGAGGGTGCTACATTGACAGGATGCCACCACCACAAAGGCCTTCTTCCTAGAGGCCACCCATCTCACTTCATTTGCCAAGGGCACTTGAAGCACGGGCTCCTCTGATGAGGATGTTAAGGATCAGAGAAAATAAAAAATTTTTAAAAGTAACTTGGCCTTTAAAGTTGTTAAGAGCTTTAAAAGTATGCAAGCATCACTTTAAATTGAGCCCAGAAACTTAACTGGGATCCGGTGCAGCTGGCAGAGCTGGGATGTAATGTGGCCAAAATAATCTTGGGAGCATATTCTGGACCAACGGCAATTTTCAGTGCTTTTTAAAAGTTGTCTCCATGTCTAACCCATTGCAAAAGTCTAAATGGGCGGTTAGCAGGCCAGATAGGACTGCATCTGGCTTGTCATGCATAGACTAGGACACTAGGAAGATGTGAAAATAAGATACCTAAAAGTGGAGGGCAAATTTGCACTTCTCTCTCAAATGGTTAATGTACATCCAAGGCACCCAGAAATTTAGAATTTGGCACATATGTAGTCCAGAACCCAGTGGCTACAAGAAAAAGTTTGAAAATTAGTCATTGTTCCCTCAAAACTATAATATTGGGGTTATGGTGCTCACCTCACAACAAAAAACAAGTTGCACTGAATAACTGAAACATTGGCTTGGGAATTCTGTTCTGGATTGGGGGTGGGGACAATTCCAATCAAAGCCCAAAACACAGGCGGTTGCTTTCAGATGCAAACTTTTATTTACTTATTTTCACACAGACTTCACTGCTGGTCAGTGGGCATTAGAGATAAAAATCTGTGAATATGGTTAGTCCACAACAGCCGGTTTTGAGGGGCCTCACAATGCCTAGAAGTGCCATGCTTGGTGTTGTGGTTCTGCTGGGCTGGGCTTGCCTCCAGAGTGCTTCACAGCCGACACAAGCAGGGAGAACTGAAGTACAAGGCAATGGGATGAGAGGGGAGCAGTATTGGAGGGTGGCATGGAACAAAATGGAATACAGTCATACCTTGGTTTTTGAACAGAATGCATTCCGGAAGTCCATTCGACATCTGAAACATTCAGAAACCAAGGCGTGGCTTCTGATTGGCTGCAGGGGCATCCTGCAGCCAATCGGAAGCTGCGCCGGATGTTCAGCTTCTGAAAGAACGTTTGAAAACCGGAACACTCACTTCCAGGTTTCAGTCGTTCGGGAGCCGAAATGTATGAGTACCAAGGGGTAGAAGGAGGGAGAGAAATACAGAAGACACTTCCTATTTTGAGGGTTATTTTTAAATTCCTCCTTACAGAACACAAACACATCCAGGCACACAGACTTTGCTATTTCTTGAGTCCTTTGTGCAAAACTAAGGAACTGTTAGTTATTGAAGCTGGGGAGGATTTTTGATGGGGGTATATTTTAAGAAGATAAACAGTCATGCCGAAGTGTTTCCCTACTTTTTTGCTGCTGTTTTATTTAAGGTGTCTTTTGTAGCCTTTGAAAAATGGAATCAATTAGCCATTCCAAAAAGAAAGCATCAAAAATATGCCTCTCTGCAATTTTTTTGCATTTGCCTTTTTCGCCAGGGGGATATTTTAAACATCCACCCTCACTTTTATTTGCAGAAAGTAACTTCTAGGGTAAGAAGTGTGAATAGAGGATTCTGGGTCTTTTTCAGCTTTGTGATGCCATGGGAAAAGTCTTACAATGCAGCCATTTTTCAGCCAGAAGAGCAATAATGAACCCTACTCTCTAAATTTGCTCTCTGTTTGAATATCAGCTGACACCAGCCACTCCCTGCTTCTCAGCTATCTTAAGGCTTATGCCGTGCAGAAATAAAAAAGGCCTTCATTGGAATTCACCAGTGTCTGATGCCCATTAGGAGCAGCAGGGTGGAGACAGCGAGGCCAAGAATTGGCAGGCAGAGTCCTCTGCTCCTGGCTTTGTCCCTGTCCTCCTTCTGCCTGCTAAGTTCTGCAAGGGCAAAACTGAGATGGAGGAGGAGGAAGCACAGGCAGAACTCTCTGGGCTCATGGTAAAAGTAATATTTTGATACTGAACAGATTTGGGGAAAGTTACGGTGGTCAACTGAGTTACTTCTATTTTGGATGAACAAGTAGATTTTATTTCTAAATTGTGTTCACAAAGATTCAAGATATTTTGTATGTTAATACTTTAGCTTTGTGTCAGACTTTAGTTTTAGTTTTAATGTGTGAAGAGCCTCGTCCTCTTCATTTGTCATATTCCTCACAACTATTCTAGTTTTCTCCTCATCCTCAACATCGTTTGCTTTAGGCTGAGAGTTTGGTGTTTTCCAGTGAGTCCTCATTAGGGATTTAGCATTGGCTTTCCAGGCTGAAGGCAAGTTCATTGTCATGTGGCTTTCAAACAGAACAATATTACAAATGCATTAGAAGTAGTGGGGGAAAATGTAATTATTTTTGCCTCTCTTAACAGGACTATCCAAGCCCCAAGCCAAGTTCCGGTTGTTGTGTCCCCAGGGAATCACCAGCAGCTGCATACAGTAACACTCCAGACAGTGCCTCTAACCACAGTGATAGCCAGCGCAGATCCAACATCCACCACAACACCCCAAAAGTTTATTCTACAAGCCATCCCAACTTCACAGCCCATGACTGTGCTTAAAGAGAACATTATGCTGCAGTCTCCCAAGCCAGTCTCTCCTCCTTCATCCATTGTCTTCAGTCCTGCTCAGGTTCACCAAGTTCTCACCAGCAACGTGCAGACCATTTGCAATGGAACAGTCAACATGGCTTCTTCTCCATCCTTCAACACTGCTACCCCCGTGGTAACTTTTACGCCCAGCAATTCACACGTTGTTGCTCAGCCGTCCAATACTGTGATCGCTTCCGTCATTAAAGCTCCAGAAACGAAACCAACTGTTATACAAGGAGTGATAAAATCAGAGGCAGAGGATAACACAGTGGAAGAATGCAAACACTCAGAGCAAGGCTTCCAACAGCAGCCTTTGATGGTGGTGGTATCCAACTCCAATGGATTTCCCTCTTCTGTGCAAATTAAGCAAGAAAGTGAACAGTTGGAGCAAAGTTCATATAAGTAAAGGTTTTTTTTGTGATGGGACTTCATCAGCTGTTTATGTATCATTTGATTCCAGGCATTACAAAGCTACTTTAATTTCTGAAATTAATTTAGAAGTAATACGATACACTTAATTTCAGTGTTTTGTTTGCTAAATGATATAAAATATTATTGTTTAAAAATGCAAGCTTGAAGGAATATGGCATTTATCTTTTTTAGATCACTGTCCAAAAAATCTTAATTTCATACACTTCATGCATTATTTGTCTATCTTGCTATCTTGCATAATAATATAACCATTGCTGTAATCAGTGCTTTAAAATAATAAATTTCTACAAAGATGTTTTCACCCATCTATGTGATTCTTTTAGCAAATTCCAAAGATTTGTTTAATGCCAGTGAACTAAAATACTTTTGTTTTTATATGGACAGAAAACAAGCGGACAGTTGGAAATATCCTTGTTTCTATTGTGTTTTGCACCAACTACTTCGTTGTGCAAAATGAAATACACCTCCTGTCCCAAGAAGATACTAATTTACAATATGCTTTTGTTTTCATAATGCGGATATATTGGGTATTCCCTGTTCACCAAAACTGAAGTTATCATTACAGGTGCAATTATTTTCAGACCACTTCAACATTCAAGCTTTAAAAAATGCGTTTCCCATTATTTTGTAGGAAGGTGAAAAAAGAATTGTATGATTTATGAAAGTATTTTGAGATTAAAATGTTTCTATAGAACTACAGTTTTCTATTGTACATATGTAATTTAATTTCTCAAAGACTTTTTCAAAATTTTGTTTCCATAGAGCGATATTTTATAGATACAAATAAGATCATTATGTTTAGAGCTCTAAAGTTATATGTATTCAGATATTACAGAGTGGATTTGTATTTAAAAAAAATTTAAATTGTGGAACCCTTCTGAACCTTTTTTGTCTTTTGTATTTTAATTGGTTTATTATGAAAATAAATCAAGTACAACATGTTTATATGTTTTTGTTTGTGAATCTAGGAGTCTGGAGAGATAAATTTGGCATGCATTACCATGTAGTTCATTATCAGTTCATTATCCTGAACTGTTGTTCAGGATAAAACAGTCTTGGTAAATAAATTCAAATACAGTACAGCAAATAATGAAGTGTCTTCACCAATATGGCCATCAAATACACTCAGCATAAAAATAATTTTTAATCCCCCAATGTTGGTAGGTTGCATCCAACGCTTCACAGGTGACCTGCTCATGCAACAGGACTTCTCACTCCTCTCCAAAATATTGTGTGCACACTGTTGACTGACGACTCTTCTGCACTGTCGTCCACTCCTACTTATCCCCACGTTGCAGTGATTTATGACAATCCTGCATTGTTATGTACTAAGCAGGCTTCTATCTAGCAGCTTCCAGAAGCACAATCTTTTGTGGCAGAAACAACAAAGTATACAATTGTATACATTTAAGCTGGTACCCCTTGCACCTCCTGGCAATTTGGCTCCATATAGCTGCCAATGGATGATAACTCTTCATCTGTCTAATGGGCTCTAGTTTGCAAAAGCTTATGCCATGATGAGTTGGGTAAGTGTTTTAAGATAGCACAAGAACATGTAATACATCAAAACAAGTGATTATTGTATAAAGGGCTGATGTGAAATAGAGCTTAACTATACTCCTCTCCCTAGTCATTTTCTATCAGTGGCAGTTTTCCATTCCAGGGGTGGGGGAATACCTCATGGGCACTGTGAAGCTTTGATTATCCTTGGAGCGTGGTCACTGAGTGTGGACATCCTGAACCACAGGGTACCTGGCGGCAAGTCGCTCTGGAGTGCACGATCCCACATCAGATGTTAGTGTGCAGTCCAGCAGGCCAACAGGTCCAAAGTCCAGTCAGACCAGGTTCCTGTCTTTGCAGCTGATAAAGGGGTCAGGGCACTGGGAGGTCAGTCCCACACAAGCACAGTCCCCAAGAACTCCCTGGAACATCCAAGCGAGGGTCCAACTTACATGGGAAGTTAGGCAGACACAGCACCTCTGCTCTGTTTCCCTTTTATCTCTTGTCTGCTGATTGCAGCCTCTGAGCTTGATGGGGCAGGTGACCTCACCTGTTCGGCGCCTACTCCAGCTGGGGAATCACACACTTCCTCCCAGAGCTAATGAGCCCCAGCTGGTCAGTTAGGGAGCTGGGCTGTGGGCCCTTGCCTGCCTCAGCTTCCTAGCAGGTCCCTTCCGCTGCTCTTTATGCCTTGGAGTCCTCCATGATTGTAGAGACGGGCCTCTCTGGTCCTGCTGCTCTGGTTCCTGTGCACTGACCCCCAGCATCCTCCATCTCCCCACGAGTACTTCCTACACCAACCTCCTTTCCCCATCCTCAGCTTCCCCAGGTGTGTCCTCTTCCTCCTTTTCCTCCTCCCTGTTGTCCTGCCAGTTCATGACAGTGAAAACCCCTGCAACAGTGGCCTTGTAATCTTACAATCCCATAAGATCTTTTTCTGTATCTCAATTCTTTTCTTTTCTTTACTTTTTGCTTTCCTCACCATTATTTTTCCTTTGGGATGTGGGTAAAAGGAAGAAAAAAAGAAGACTCAAAATACAGCATTTAAAGCAAATATGGAAACATGCACAGCTGAATCTATAGGGAAGTTTGTAGCGGAAAAGATAATTTGCCCACAGCATTTGCTTGTGCACCTGTCATTTATCTCCATTGCAAAGATAATAAACACAGAAGGAATTCCTCAATTTTGGTTTTCTAGAGCTAGCTCTTGTTTTAAAAATACTTTAAAGTTTTGGGCAGAAGAGAGCGGTCGACAGAAATCAATAGCTATATCTAATCTTTTACTAATTATATGACAGGCTGGCAGGTGCATGCCCTCCAACATTTTCGTCCCCCAAATGGGACGTTAGGAGGGGCACACCTTCCTCTCCTGCTGTGTGGTGCTCATCGGCTCTGTTGACTCGCTCCATTCCAGGATCCAAACACAAGCCAGGATTGGCTTCTGTGATCTGGAATGTCCCACGATATGCAAGGATGTGCAAGTGCACCCCACCACCCTTACAACAACAACAAATAATAATAAAAAATGAAACAAAAGGAAGCAGGAGTAGGGCTCTTTCTAGCTCCCCACCCTCAAGGATATTTTTTTTTAATGTATATATTTAAAAGTACAGCCAATCTGCATGCAAGTCACTGGAGGCTTCTGCAAAAACAATCATTTTAAAAGGGAAAGAAGCAGAAAGAATCTGTTATTGGCAGATATAATGGAGCTAAAACAAAAACATGGGAGAACGGAGGTTTTATGAGACAGGAAAAAATGCCAGAACTTCAAGCTCCAGAGGTGTATAAGGGAGCCATTGGAGCACGCCACAATCGCCTAACCTTGACTCCCATAGGTTCAGGTCTTCAAGCAAGGGACTTCAGCCAGGAGATAGAAGCAAACCAGCAGCCAGTAGGCTTTGCAACACCACTTCAAACTACCATATAGAAGCAGAGAGAAGCCCCAAACAATGGTTACATCCATATTCCCAAAATACATTTCCAAAAGCAGCATCAAGACATCATAGATATGTCCCAGAAAAATGTGTGGTCTCAGGTAGAACCTGAGATCCAGGCATGCCCGAGTCACTCAAAGTCTTTCACACATACTCCATCACAGTACAAATAAAAGTATTTCGTTTCCAGATCCCTGTGTCAAGTCAGATACACCCATTTGTGTCCCTGGGCTTCTTCCCACTATGGGGCAGGTAGGCACTGTGACTGACATGGTCATGTCTGGCACGCCCATGACTCCTTGGGAAGGCCCTGGGCTCTCTCGCCGCTCCCCTTACACCTCGCTTCCCTGGGTCCTAAATGCCATTGGAAATGAGGAGATTGATGCAACGATGCGATTTCTAGTTTCCCCATTGAGCCACCAGCCAATTGCGACAGTTGGGCACGTGCCTCGGGGGCGGGAGAGGGGGGCGGGGGGTCTCGCGCCCTCCTTCCAATTTCCCGGTAACTGGTACGGAAAATTTCTATAGCTAGGCAAGATTTCAGCCAAATATATATTATGCTTTGCATGAGAAAGCCGAGAAATGATTAGCTTATAAAGTGAAGCCACGTAAATTTAGAACCAGAACCAGACGAGGGTCGGGAGCTTCAGGAGAGAAGCCCTTTCCAGGCAAGATCTCGGTGTCCTTCCCGCCCCGAGGCGCCTCCCCCGCCCTCTGACGCTCCAGCCGAGCGGCGGGCGCTCGCTGATGGCGTCACCGGGACGCCCCGCCCCGCCCCTTCCCTCGCCGTAAAGAAAACCGAACCAAACTCTTGGCGCTCTCGAAGTTTCCGTGGCGTCGCCAAGATGGCGGAGTCGGCGGGGCTGGGCGTGTTGCGGTGAGCGGCCTGGTTCCCCCCCCCCCGGCTCCCCTCGGGGTCCCCTGTCTGTCTGTCTGCCTGTCTGTCTGACTCTGAGCCTCTTTCCCCTCAGGCTGCCGGACGGAGACGTCGAAGGAGACCCCGCCGGAGCCGCGCAGGTGAGCGCCGCCAGCCGGGGGCGCGGGGGGGGGGGAGGCCGGGCGAGAGCAGGGAGGCTGCCGCGCTTCTTCCTCCGCCCCGTCTCCCATCTCGGCTCACCCGCCAGCTCCTTAGGCGGCCCCGCCGGTCCCTTGGCCGCCTCCCGCCTTTCAGGACCTCCCCTCCCTCTGGGACCCGCGTCTCTCGGGGGGCTTCTCCGCGCCAGATCTCGCCCAGGAGCATCTTCAGCTTTTCGAAATTGCCCTCCTTAAAGTCCAGAGTCTGTGTCCGACTGGGCTTAGCTTTCCCTTGCCTCTGTATGGTCACTTCCTCGCGAGTTTCCACTGCATCAATCAGTTCCTTCCTGTTGGTGGGGACCAGGTCCAAGATAGATGATCCCCTTGCTGGTTCTTCCACCTTCTGGGAAATGAAATTGACAATGAGGCAATGGAGGAATTTGTTGGAAGTCTCCCATGACTACTGATCTTTCTCCTTTTTGAATGTTTGGTCATCTGCCCAAGGAAGGAGTCATCCATGTCTTCAGTTTGGCTTGGAGGTCTTTAGCAGACCCCCACAGTAAGGTCACTGTTGTTTCTCTCTCCTACAATTTGTATCAGAAACTCTCAATCTGCTTTTCATGCTCCAGGTCATGGATTTCTTCAAGAGTGTAGACTATCTTTACATATGACGCTGCTACTCCTCCCTTTTTGGTCTATTCCTTTAAATGTATTGATTGATATATGCAGCCCATATGTTTATATTGGAACATATCCAAAACCCTGGATGACAGCCCCCAATGCTTTTATGTTGTTGTTGTTTAGTCGTTGAGTCGTGTCTGACTCTTCGTGACCCCATGGACCAGAGCACGCCAGGCACTCCTGTCTTCCACTGCCTCCCGCAGTTTGGTCAAACTCATGCTGGTAGCTTCGAGAACATGATTTTCGAGAACATGAATGCTTTTATAGACATTAAATAACATAGGAGAAAGAATGGACCCTTGTGGGACCCCACAGTCAAAGGTCATGGGGCTGGCACTCCACAACATCCAACAAAATCCTAATATTACTTGCTGGTAGTGACCTCATAGGAGGTAGTGACCTAGGAGTGCAGCTACTGTAATACAATACAGTGGTACCTCAGGTTAAGAACTTAATTTGTTCTGGAGGTCCGTTCTTAACCTGAAACTGTTCTTAACCTTAGCCTTATGAGGAACGGCTAAGGGAGCTGGGCATGTTTAGCCTGGAGAAGAGGAGGTTAAGGGGTGATATGATAGCCATGTTCAAATCTATAAAAGGATGTCACATAGAGGAGGGAGAAAGGTTGTTTTCTGCTGCTCCAGAGAAGCGGACACGGAGCAATGGATCCAAACTACAAGAAAGAAGATTCCACCTAAACATTAGGAAGAACTTCCTGACAGTAAGAGCTGTTCGACAGTGGAATTTGCTGCCAAGGAGTGTGGTGGAGTCTCCTTCTTTGGAGGTCTTTAAGCAGAGGCTTGACAACCATATGTCAGGAGTGCTCTGATGGTGTTTCCTGCTTGGCAGGGGGTTGGACTCGATGGCCCTTGTGGTCTCTTCCAACTCTATGATTCTATGATTCTTAACCTGAGGCACCACTTTAGCTAATGGGGTGCCGCGCTGCCACCACGCAATTTCTGTTCTCATCCTGAAGCAAAGTTCTTAACCCAAGGTACTATTTCTGGGTTAGCGGAGTCTGTAACCTGAAGCGTGGTGCCACTGTACTTCCAATTCCCACTCCCTTGAGCAGCTTCAGAAGGGCATCATATTAAATGACACAGTTATTCTAATAACCCATTAAACTAATAATCTTATTTTAGTATAGGCAACTCCTGTTTTAGGCACGTCCAAACGACATATGATTGCACACATGTGCAAGGCACTAAACCTGGTAGTAGCCCCAAAATATACTAAAGATACCATGAAAACTACTCCCACTGTTACAATGAGTTTTTGGAAGTAACCTCTCCCCCCAAAAGCATTTTAAAGAATGAGATCATAAATATCAAGGGAGGAACTCAACAGTGCTTGCCAGATGAAACAACCTGCTTTCTTCTCCCCCTGCACTGTGTGCAGTTCTGGGGGTTCTCCCAACACTCTAGAATGGATTTGGGGGATGGAGAGAGGCAGGGAAAGCCCTCTTGCAGGAACAGGAGCCCTTGCGCTGACTTCTGCTGTTGTGCCGAGTTACTGCAATCTGGCCCCAAGACTCTGCCAAATTCCATGTTACAATTCTCTGAGGGGTAATAATTTATTATTATTTTTCAATGTCACTAAAATCCAGGCAAAACCCAACATATTAGAATCATGTTGCTCCATTTATCATCTACTACATTTATTATCTGTGGGTTAAACCACTGAGCCTACGACTTGCCGATCAGAAGGTCGGCGGTTTGAATCCCAGCGACGGGGTGAGCTCCCATTGCTCGGTCCCTGCTCCTGCCCACCTAGCAGTTCGATAGCACGTCAAAGTGCAAGTAGATCAATAGGTACTGCTCCGGCGGGAAGGTAAACAGCGTTTCCGTGCGCTGCTCTGGTTCGCCAGAAGCGGCTTAGTCATGCTGGCCACATGACCCGGAAGCTGTACACCGGCTCCCTCGGCCAATAAAGTGAGATGAGCGCTGCAACCCCAGAGTCGGCCATGACTGGACCTATTGGTCAGGGGTCCCTTTACCTTTTAACATTTATTATCCACCATCCAACTTGCCTAATAAGGTGACAGCTGGGAAGTTAATACCTCACTATTCTCTAAATAGCGACAGTTATAACCCAAACTTTTCTTATAGCTATACATAGCCACCAAAATATGTATGAAGACTATATCGCCCACATGTCCAACATCAAGCACTTGATAACTTACATCTTTTCACAAGCACCTAGTATATCTGAAGACTGCAAAGTTCCACCCACGTTTCTGGCATCAAGCACTCAGTTATATTTTTTGAAACCTCAAATTTGTTTGTGGATTTTAATTGTGCTTTTGCTGCTATTTTATTTGTACTCGACTTGGAGAGCTTTTTGATTATGTGCTTTATAACTACAAAAGATCAGGCACGTCCAACTTCAAATAGGCTGCGATCTACTACCCAGGATCATAAACTGGCAGTGATCTACCCATTGTCATTGAAGGGACAAGGAGTGTGCGCAGGGTGCGTGTGTGGAAGGAGGTTGCTAAGGAGGGGGGAGTTTAAGTTGGGGGGGAAGGAAAGGGAGGCAAAAGTTCTCTTTCTGAGGAGCCAGTCGGCTTCTCTCCCCATCCCCACCCCAAGCCAGCCCTTTCTTAATTTCTCTCTACCCCCTTAAGCAGCTCTCTCTCCCCATCCCCCACCCCTGTCAAAGAGAGCCACGCAGCTGTTGGATCCCAATCCTGCCTGATCCCCCACCCAGGGGAACCGAGCAGCTGATGCTGTTGCTGGTCCTGATCCCGCCTTCTGTCAGAGACAGCACAGACCACTCCCCAGCTCCCTTGCCCGCCTGCTTCTCATTGCTGCCTCCACCATTTCCCGAGCTCCAGCCTCACACAAATCTCAGTCCCCCTTGCCCCTTATACCGCATTGCGGCCCCCTCGCAACATGAATGATACAGTCAACTAAGTTGCACCCTGATCGATGGGTTGGACATGCCTGCAATAGATGAATCAGCTTAAAAGATTTTTCTTTTGCCCCCACATTCTTCCTCCATCTGTCTCTTATCTTTGAATATTATGTCCACCTTCTTTTGCTCCTGTCTCTTATTCTTGGCACTCAAAGGATTTCATTATACTCTAGATAGCAATCCTTTCTGAGAATTGTAGTTTCCCAGCATTATCTCAAGTATAGTTTGTGACCTATGTGATACTGTTAGTCCTTGCAGATTTATTTAAGCTTTTTATTAGCCAAAACTCATATATAGGTTTCTAGATCCTTTGCTGTCACTGCAACTAATTCTCACATCTTTCAGACCCCTTACAAATTTTGTATGTTCCTCTAGTTTTCTAGAAACTGATGTCACAATATATTATCACTTTGAAAATGTTTCAGTGGAAAAATGACATTGCCAGAGAAATTTTATGGGCCATTACTAACGTAAACTTAATCCATTTTCTCACTAGCACTCATTGAATGGCATTAGAATGCACCATCCTACTATCTCCTAAACAGTATTTTAATGATGTTTAAATTCCTGATTGTTCCAGAGTCCATTGTGTTGGTTATACCCTTGTATCATAGCAGTTTATAGAGCTGCTCACAGCCTCCCAACATCTGGGGGGCTTTAAATGTTACCCTAGGACTTTTCCAATTGAAACAAACTTGTCTGCAGTTATGTACTTAAGAATTCTAGGCAAAAATTGTGTTCCTAAACTTTTTAAATGCCAACTTTAAATGCTCCTTTTGCCATTTCTACTTGAACAAAATTCCTTGGCTTCACTGCAGTGCTAAAAAATCAGTTTCCCAATTATTTTTAGCTGTTCCATAGATGCATTTTTTGTGAGAAACAATGTTTCCATGTGCTCTGGCACTTGTCATGGCCCTCCATGCACCAGAAGTGGTTTAGTCATGCTGGTCACATGACCCTGTTTGTGGACAAACCACGGCTCCCTTAGCCTGAAAAGTAAGATGAGCACCGCAACCCCACAGTCGCCTTTGTGGGGTCCAGGCATCCTATACCATTTACCTGTGAGAGATGAAATAAAATTGAGCTTGAGAATAAAAAATTATTTGATTCTCAGCAAATTCTTGTTACTAAACCTGCACTATCCAAGATAATGGGAAAACAGGGAACACTTAGGAAGATTATTATTTTATTTATTAAATAAATTTGTATATCACCCTTCATCTGAAATACTGCTGCAGAACAGGAAGGAAAGATAAGAAGTTTGTAACTGAAAGAAGATATTGGTGTTATAAATATGAAATTGGAAACTGCTAAATATGTGATATAATGAAATTTAGATTGGAGGGTGTCAAGGAAGTCTTATAGCAATGTACAGTGGTACCTTGGGTTACATACGCTTCAGGTTACAGACTCCACTAACCCAGAAATAGTACCTCGGGTTAAGAACTTTGCTTCAGGATGAGAACAGAAATCGTGCTCCGGCGGCGCGGCGGCAGCAGCGGGAGGCCCCATTAACTAAAGTGGTGCTTCAGGTTAAGAACAGTTTCAGGTTAAAAACAGACCTCCGGAATGAATTAAGTTCTTAACCCGAGGTACCACTGTAAATGTACCAGGAAACAAGAAGAAACAATTCTTCTTTTATTTTTTCGTTTTTATTGCTGTTATGTTTTTATGTTGTGTCAAGTGTAATGTTTTTCTTTTGTGTTAATGTCTATGCATTATATGAGAAAACCAATACTTTTTGGGGGGGGGGTGAAATACTGCTGCAGCACCCTGTTTTGCACTAAGTAACTGACTCGGGTGGGGAACAGAAAGGGGCTGGAGTAGATTTGCCTGTGGGGAAGCGTTGGTGGATGAACCATTAAGCATGTCCCTCCTCTCCATGAAGCTTCCTAAGTCAATTTTGACCACCAAGGAGTTGCTTGTGCCTGTGCAACTTCATTCAGAGCAGTGCTGTTACATTGGATGTGAAACTGATCTTCTGTCGCATTGGGTATGAAATTGGTTGTCTACCCTGTTAGCTTTGAATAGTAAAGAGAAATTTGTGTGTATACTGAGAAATCAGAACAGTTGCACAGTAATAAATAGATGTCAGAACATTATACATTCAGTAAATAATTTTTACTGTCCCCCCCCTTCATTCTAGATACAGTTTCTTGACTAAAATGCTGTTTACTCCTTGGCGTATACTGTGATGCTTTTATCTCACTTATAGGCACCTATCCTCTGAATTTGAGAATTTTGCTTCTGGTGTAATTCTTCTCAAAGCAAAATTGTACTAATTGATGCTCTTTGATTTGACAGGCAAGACATTTCACTGTGGGCTACACAAGGATTTGTAGAAAATGTCATGTTAAATTTCTGCATTTACACTTGCAGAAGCTGACAGCGGCTTTAGAACAGAAGCCAGATGATGCAGAGAATTACTGTCAACGAGCTTTTGCTCACATTCTTCTACAAAATTACCATGGTAACATCTCTTTATTTGGTGCTGTTATATCCCAAAATGCTAAAATGTTTTTAGAGTTAATGATGGTCTAAAATTTGATTTCATACAGTCAAAGAATTGCCGTATTGCAGAGTTGGAAGGGTCCCTGAGGGTCATTTAGCTAACCCCTTGCAATGCAGGAATTGCAACCCCTTGCAATGCAGGGCTTTCGTTTCTTTTTTGCTCCCCTTCCCCGCCAGCACATTAGTAGGCTTTGCTTGTGTATTTCACAAAATAACTGCTTGGAATGCACACAGTTTGTGTCTTTGCCTGATATTTTCACCTCATCACACCTCTGTGCTAGATATAGTTACTTCAAAATCAATTCCATTGGTTGGATCCAAACTGGGTAATAAGCAAGCAGAAGGCATTTCTACCCTCACAATATCAATGGTGTTTCTCCAGTTTTGGGCACCTTTCCGGTCCCCTATGGCTTACATGCCATTCTGGTCCTCTAACTTCTGGAGCAGATTTGGGCTTGTCATCAAGAGGCTCAGTTCAGCTGTAACTCTTCATGTGTCCTGAACAATGAGAATTTCATTGTGGTGGATAGGGTAAGCCCCCGTTGTGTAAACCAGGGATGATCTCAGCACAGGGGGGAAACCAGTTGTGTGTCGAGGGTTGGATGCAGGCCACAGCCACCTGACCCACTCATGGTGAGAGCCTCTAGCGGGTGTGATAAAGAATCACTGGGCGAGAGATGGGGAGGAAGTGGTTGGATCTGCCCATTGTATTGTCTGTGTTCTTTTACTGTTGATTAGGCATGGCATAGGGGAACTACGTGGGTGGCAGCCATCTGCGCTTTTTATTTTTTATTAATATTAAAATTTGCATACTGCCCTACACCCACAGGTAGGGCGGTTCACAACATAAAATCACAATATAGAAACATGAAAGACATAATAAAAATAAAAATAAGAACAACCCAATAATCCCCCTTCTCCAACACATTTTAAAAGCAGATTGGGTGTCAATCAACCAAAGGCCTGGTTAAAGAGTTTTCACCTGGCATCTAAAGGTGTATAATGAGGGCACCAGACGAACCTCCCTGAGGACAGCATTCCACAAATGGGGAGCCACTGCAGAAAAGGCCCATTCTTGTGTTCACCAGTATGCAGACTATACCAAGCTCAACCTCTTGTTTAAATCAGAACCAGTGAAGACAGTGAACTTCTTGTGTGGATATCTGGAGGTGGTTACGGAGTGGATGGCAGCCAGTGGATGGAATTAGTGGTTCTGGGAGACAGAGCAAGCAGGTGTGGGGGATTCCCTGGTCCTGAAGGACCAGGTGCACAGCCTGGGAGTCATTTTGGACTCACAGCTGTCCATGGAGGCATGGGTCAATTCTGTGTCCAGGGCGGCTGTCTACCAGCTCTGTCTGGTATACCAGCTGAGACTCTTCCTGCCCGCAGGCTGTCTCGCCAGAGTGGTAATGCTCTGTGTATCTCCCACTTGAACTACTGTGCTCTACATGGGGCTACCTTTGAAGGTGACATGGAAACTACAACTAATCCAGAATGTAGTTACCAGGCTGGTGACTGGGAGCAGCCACTGGGACCATAACACTGGCCCTAAAGGATCAATACTGGCTCCCAGTATGTTTCTGAGCACAATTCACAATGTTGGTGCTGACCTTAAAGCCCTAAATGGCCTCAGCCCTGTATGCCTGAAGTATCTCCACCCCCATCATCCAGCCCAAATAATGAGGTCCAGCTCTGAGGGTCTTCTGGTTGTTCCTTCACTGCAAGAAGTGAGGTTACAGGGAACTAGGAAGAGGGCCTTCTCAGTAGTCAAGCCCACCCTGTGGAATGCCCTCCCGTCAAATGTCAAGGAAATAAACAGTTACTTGGCTTTTAGAAGCCATCTGATGGCAACCCTGTATAGGGAAGTTTTTAATTTTTGAAGTTTTATTGTGCTTTTATAATTTTTGGAAGCCGTCCAGAGTGTCTGGGGCAACCCAGCCAGATGGGTGGAATATAAATACTACGACTACTACTAGTACTACTACTACTACCAATACTACTGTTGTATATCTTATCTTTTCTAGCTGATTTATTATGTACTGTACTTGTTTGTCATAACAGCTCAATATTTGAAACTGATACTACTAATCTAAATAAGATTCAGAAAACTTTAGATGCAGGTTTTGCCTTCTTCCTAGAATAGCTTGTTTATATTTTATTTCTAATATATGTAGTTGCCACCCATTAACTGACTATTCTAGTATGAGGAAACCTGTGTGAAGTATTGAAGAAAGACAGAATTAGTGTGGTTTAATAGTGAGTGAAATAATGCAATACTTAGAAATTTAATAACCTTTTTTTGTAGGTGCCATTGCAGATGCAAAGAAGTCACTATCACTTGATGCCAGTAATGCTGTAGCCTTTCTCAGACAAGGGTGAGTGTTTATTTTATGAATCGTATGCAGGTGTTTTTAGTTTCCCAATTTTGTGAAGATCTTGTTTTTGTATGGGGAGAATTACTGGCATTCACACAAGTTGCCCTCCCCCCGATTTTTGCCACACACTCCCCCCACCATTGTGGCTTCCTGAGAAGTTGTTCCTTGGGAATGGTGTGGAATGTGGGTGCAATGGGTAGGGGGGTTGGAAAGAACTGGGGCCTTGCTTTACAAAATTGGAAGTGTATTCTATTCTCAAAATAGTACTTTTGGATAAATATTTACAATATTTACCTGGACCTATTTATGATTTCCGTAGCAATTTAATACAAGTTTATTCAAGATTCTTGATTGCAAGTCACAGACCAAGTAAAACTAAGGATTCTTTTAATTATTAAATAATTGAAATGTTTATAAGGTTTGACTGTTCCTCTGCATTAATAGGAGTGAATTGTCAATCAATTACTGAATTTTATAATGTTGGTAGATCCTGCTTAACAAATATTGGCATTTTCTCCTCTTACGTGTACATCAGGGTAGGTGAATACCATATGAAAGACTATGATTCTGCACTGAAGTCTTTCAGGGAAGGACAACAACTGGATAGTAAGTATGAACGTTCAAACTGATATGCCACCTCATAGTTTAAACCATGCTCAAAGTGGCTGACAACATTTTAAAAATCACATAATTACAAACATAATCAAAGTAGTTATCACAAATAATGCATTGAAAAGCTCTAAATTAAAGATGCAAAAAAATAATATTGGTAACAGCAAACCCCCCCCCCCAATGATACAACAGCCCAGGAGTCTGTTCAGCAGCTTCAGTTTTTGTAGGTGGGGTCAGTCAGGGTCTCACCCTCCCAGGCCAGGTGAAAAACACCCACCAGACAGAGCAGGTCTTCCAGGACTAACAGCCAAGATCACAACACCATCATTACAGTGAATCATATTGTAGTTAGGCATCCCAATAACAAACCTAGGTGATCCTTCATGCGATACTCTTCCCTCCCCTGTAACTGTGAAGAGGAGATCAGAAGCTTAATCTTAACTAACGTTAAGGAAAACAAGCCACCTTTATAAACTATGGTTTAAAGTTGGCTTGTTTTCACTAACCATAATTAAAATTAACCAACCATAGTTTGCTAGAGTGTAGATGACATCCAGTTTGCATACCCTCCATGATAGATGTATTCTTTTTGGACTTAAATGAAATCTGATCACCAAACTATTTAAGTAGCATTGAAAGCTGGGACAACATTGAGTGCCTTTGTCAATTGGTTCAATATTGAATGCTTTTAAAATAAATAGTTGGTACAGGTGCAGCTATGTTACTATGCTATCCTTCTATAATGGCATTTTGTAATCAAAAACGTTTTTCTGTAATCCAGAGTTGAATACAATATCTCAAAGTTAACTGCTGATAAGTAACGGGTAGGTTACTTGTGTGTGACTGAGAGCCACACTTTTTGCCACTTAAGGAGCAATACAGGGAGCCAGTGTGAAGCAGCCGTGAGCCGTGGCATATGCATAAGGTGCATCAGATCCAGACTCTGTTCAAGAAATTACTGCCTAAGCATGGCAGAGAGAAAAAAAGCCTTTTGAGTTACATCACCCTTCTTGCCAGCTGAACTTATGGCAGTTTGCCAGGCCACTTGACTGAGCTCAATGGTCTTAGGATCCAGCTCAAGCCTGCCCCATTCCTGGAACACCCTTTTTTCAGGACTTAAGATCCCCTGGGCCCAGCTGCCCTGGGAACCTCCCAGCACAACTAGATTTCCGCTAGATCCTAGCTCTGCTCCTCCTGGCAGATATTGCTATAAGTTTGCTCCCTTTGTCTTCTTCAGTAAAAGCTAGAAAGGCTGGGAATCTCAGATTCTAGCAAGAGCCTGTGTTTGCTATGTAGACAGTTGTCACCACAGCATAACAGCTTATCAAATCTTATAGTAGATGTCATACTGCAGTAGACTATTGTGTGTTTCATCTGCTAGGTACTGACACAGCTTTTACTATTTGGATTCAAAGATGTGAGGAAGCCATCAATGGTAAGCAATGTTTTACTTATATGCATTCTTATGGGATGGGAAACCTCAGATGTGCCATCCTAATGGAGCCTTTTTCGTGTTTTCATCTATACCCTGGTAAATACTCTTCACTGAATTTTTAATGCTTTTGACCCTGCCTGCCCCAAAATCTGTGTGATATATTCCAAGTAGAATCAGGATTTACACTGCACAAGTTTCCCTGTGAAGAGGATTTATTGGGGAACAACCATCAGCAAACCTAGTTGTGAGTCGAGGACCCGCCACCTGCGTAGGATTATAATAAGACACAAAAACACATTATTTTAGGTTAATGGGAAAAATTAGGCCACAACTTTATTGGTTACAGCATGTGAGTAGTATTGCCTTAGGCACTGGATAAAACATCAACACATGACTCCACCCCTCTCAGCAGGGAGTCATTTCAGGGTTAACAACCAGTGGGAGAAGCTTGTTGATGCAAATACAACTGGAAGCTTCCCCATGATGTCACCGGGGGTTGTGCCATGGCCCTAGCCACCAGCAGGGCATCGGACAGGATCCACGACCGCCGGATTCCTTTAACAGAATACCCCAAAGAGGAGGGGTAGATGATGGCCCATACCCAATCCTCCAACACAGCACACCTATTCCAATGCCTAACCGCCAATACCAGAAAGTTGTGATGAGTTGCTACGAGGTAGACGAGAAAACCAAGAGGCTGGTGCCAAATTGCCAAATGGATAAAAAAAAGTCCTACCAGTCCAACCGAAGTCCATAGCAAGGTCAATACGCAAAGGAAGCTGACCAAAGAGGGAGGGAGGGAGATCCGATGCAAGCAGGAACTGACTAGGGTCAGAGAGCTGCCGTGGCTGCTTAAATGCAGCTAACCCCACCCACCAGCCAGCCCTTTTGGCCGACTGAAAGGCTTGGCCGCAGCAGCAGAGGCAATCAGAAGCAGGGAGCTGGATACGCCTCCCTGCCGCTGCGGGAAGCTGCTCCCACTCACAACTCCTCCCCTCTGGGAGGAGGAGAGGCCTTGTAGAACCTGCCAAGTGGGTTACGATATCTAGTGCAACACTTGTTTTTCCAAATAACTTACAAATACATAAATATATTCATATTTATGATTAGGGTGGCAACATGTATGTGTGTGAGCATGCAAGTGGTTCGTATACAAAAAGGTGTGACTTTCAGAAAATGTGTGGTAGAGAGACATTGCAATTATAGACTGAATTTATTTTCAACCTTTCTATCTTGCTTCTGCCATAGAATGGTCTCAAGGTAGCTTACAATAATATAGCACAACAAAATGCAATACAATGAAATCAAAAAGAAAAGAGAGCAGATCAACTTCTAAACAAGTATAAACCAGTGATGTAAGTCCGTTAAAATATCTTACACACAGCTAAAAGCCTGAAAGAACAGTGTGCACTTTGCCTGATGCCTAAAGAATAAGAGAGATGCTGCTGGTCAGAGAAGTCTAAAAAAATTATTTTGTAAAAAATTACAAACTGGAAGTGGTACTCCAGGGTCCAAGAATGTTCTTTACAGTTGCCAGAATTTCTTCTATAAACGTATGGTATTTTATTAATTGGCTTTTGGGCTACTTCTTAAATGTACACATTTCTGTCATAGACACTGAAATTACTGAATATTTGCTTTGATTTTATTATTCTTCCCTTGTATTTTGAATGGAGAATAAAGAAACCTATACCTAAATGCAGTAATTAAGGGGTGTTCTGTTTTAAGAAGCTAGGGACAGAGCACACATAGATCTTGTACACATTTCAAAGCTTAGTTTAAATGCGATGGGAAATATGAAAGATATATAACTTTGAATTGACTGCTTCTGCACATCCCAGTGAGAATATGGAGATAATATTTTCCTCTTTGAGAAATAAAACCCTTCTCAAACTCCTTAAGGTAGAAAGTAAAGCAAGGTAGCCAAGTAAGAGTCGAAAGAGCAGTCATTTTCTACTTATTTGACAGACAAAATATTCTCTTCAAGCAATTTTATGATTCCTACAAGGAGAACTTCAGTTCAAAATTCTACAGGCAAAAATTCAGCCCCCCCCCCCCCCACGTTTAAAGAGTGCTAGAAGTGCCTAATGTTGTTCTCCTTTATTTGGGTAATTATTTTAAACCACGTAGTAGACACAGAAGTGAAATAGTGATTCAGAATGGAATTTGTGAGTTAACTGCAACCATTTGAACTTCAAGTACTTCATAATATTTGGCATTTCTGTAACACATTTCATAGGTTCTGAAACCTCACATCAGCTCATTAATCCTTACTGTAGCCCTTTATGGTAGGCCAATACGATAAAAGAATTGACAGAACATTCCCTTTAGTGAGCTGGAGGAAGACATAAAGACTAACAACAACAGCAAAGGTAAAGGACCCCTGGACGGTTAAGTCCAGTCAAAAGCAACTGTGGGGTGTGGCGCTCATCTCGCTTTCAGGCTGAGGGAGCCGGCGTTTGTCCACAGACGGATTTCCGGGTCATGTGGCCAGCAGGACTAAACTGCTTCTGGTGCAACAGAACACCATGACGGAAGCCAGAGCACACAGAAACTGTGTTTACCTTCCTGCCACAGTGGTACCTATTTATCTACTTGCACTTTGACGTGCTTTTGAACTGGTAGGTTAGCAGGAGCTGGGACGGAGCAACGGGAGCTCACCCTGTTGCTGGGATTTGAACTGTTGACCTTCCAATCAGCAAGCCCAAAAGGCTCAGTGGTTTAGACCACAGCGCCACCCATGTCCCTAACACTTCAGTCGCTGCATACTTTCTGCTTTTCTGCAGTTTGGGATGCAACATTTTAATTGCCTGAGTCAAGCAAAGGATAAATCAGTGTTATATTGTACTACAGTGCCAGTGTTCAGATGAGTATGGTAGTTTTTTATTGATTTCTTATTTGCATTTTTAATAAATTTATAAACAATAAACAATGTTGCTGATTTCCAGTTTGTGGTCAATGAGAGCAGGTGTCTAACAGTTTAATACAAGTGAGTAATTCCATTGTGTGGTATGAGTGGTTCATTCTAGGTTTAGCTGTTTTCTTTCAATTGATTGATTGATTGATTGGACTTTCCACAATGAGCTGTGCCCAAAGTGGTTCATTTCCAGCATCTAGTTATATAAAGTTTTTGAAGGAACCAACAGATTCAAAATAAGGAGTCTTAAGAGTGGAAAGGATTTGCTTATATAGGCTGTTTAACAAAACAGTCCAATGTTCTAAAGTTCTTGCAGATTTTATATATGCCCCCACCCAAGGTGATGTCAGGTAACTGGCAGGTGGCATAGTTTGCTCGAAACAGCCTCACATGCCAATTTCAGAGTCAGATGGGCCTAAGTAGGCCTCCAGCTTGGAAGCCCACCATAACTGCCTTAGATCTCTGTGTGTGTGTTGCTGCTGCTTGAATGGTACATTACTGTTGCCAGAAACTTTTCACACTTGGTGTGGAAGCTTGTTCATGTTTCCTTGGAAGTAAGTCCCACTCACTCCCTAGTTAAGGTTTGCAATCTAAATGTGTCTAGTGTTAAACTGACTCATTCTGTAAAATAACCTGGAGCAAAACTACTAAATAGCTTTGATACCAGCATGCTTTCTTTGTGGCTAATTGATATATATTTTAAGAAACATGTTTTCAAAATAAAGATTTATTTATTTTTTTGCCTTGCAGCTGGATTGCAGAATAAGGTGGTAAGGTCCCTCTAATTTGTATACTTGGTTTCTAGAGCATAACACTTCTCCAAGTTGTATGGCAACCTTTGTAAGGATTTTATGTTGATGCTGATGAGGCATTTTATAATGTGACCCAAACACTTTCCAACAGGATTCCTACTATTCAGTGTCCACTAGTCTTCCCACCCTCTGAACCAAGTGCTAATAGATCAGAAAATCTCAGATAATTTTTAAATGTAATTTATCAGAATTTTAAATGTAAAGAACAAGAAACACACAGAAGAATATACAGTGCATACAGAGATTTACACATGTCTAGGACCAGGCCTTTCTTGCTTCTCTCCTGTTAGTTAGTTAGTTCTCTCCTGTGAGTTAGTTCCTCTCTGCTAGGTCTTTCTCTTCTTCCCGTAGCTTGTATCTCTGTGACCATGGCCTTGGATGGTTTCTATCTCCATTCAGTTCTTTCCAGCTGGCTCCCTTGATCTTTGTCTGCTCCTTGGTCATAACCTCTCACACAGTTCCTTGCTTTGCTGTTCTTGACCACATAAGCTAACACAGCACACTATGTTCCACCCTGAGATTCCTCATTTAAACATTTCCCTATGCTGTCCTTGCCAACACCTTGTGCTCAACAGCTTTCCGTTTAAAAATCTTGCACATTCTCTCTGCTGTGTTTTTCTTCTGCTTATATTTAAAGTTCTGAAGTGCTTTTAGCTATAATAATGGTTTTAATCTTATGGTTCTGTGTCCTTATAGTTTTGAGTCCCCTTGAGTAATCAGAAAATGATTTATTATCTGTAAAATTATATGTAGGTGCATGTTTTTCTAGTCATACACCCACCCACTGGTTTCATGGGTACAGGAGTTGCGGAAATATGACATATATGTGTAAAATGTGCCTAAACTTTCTTTTTGCATGTGTGTATTTTCATGTGGTTCTTGTATTGAAGTCCATTTCATGCACAAGAGACCACAGATAGCTACTAAAAAGTACTCTTGTAACGTGAAAATATTATGATGCTTGGCTTAAAAACTGCTAGATTATTCTAATTTATCAATATCTTTTCATTGTAAAGGATGACAATCAGATTTTGCAACATCAGTCAAAACCACCTAAGATCAAGTAAGATGGAGTTCTTTTTTAACATTCTCTATAACAGTACTTAGTATTTACAGAATAATTTTCCTAAGAAAGGCCTCAAAAGAAAGCCAGAACCAGTGGGACTTTCCTCAGCCAAACCACTCCAGGTGATCTGCTATAACCTGTCCAGTGGAAAGGGTTCCAGGAGAGGGAGGGAGGCAGGTAAAGGCCACCCCGGAGCAGGGGCAGGCTCCAGCAGAACTCTTGTACCCTGCCCCTCAGAGTGATATACCATCAGCTGCCCTATGAGTAGCAACCTGATGGTGTTTTTTTAAATTTGTCACTATTGTGTTTTGTGTTCTTAAAATACATAATTGAATGTTGCTTGTTAGCTGTCTTGGTATTAATTATATCCTGAAATGCAATGTAGACATAATCATAATTTCATTAGAACGTATGGTACACTCTGAATAATTTTGTAATTTGACCTTCCCCCTGAAGCCCTTTTTCCACCTTGGGCCTGGGGGTGGGCCCCATACTCCACCACAGCATATAAGGCTCCTAGGAGGCCTCGGGACATCGCTGCTGCCGCTCTGCCGTGAGTCGTGGGGCGGACCGCCCCCCCTGAAGCCCTTTTTCCACCTTGGGCCTGGGGGCGGGCCCCATACTCCACCACAGCATATAAGACTCCTAGGAGGCCTCGGGACATCGCTGCTGCCGCTCTGCCTATGAGTCTTGGGAGGACCGCTCCCCTTGAAGCCCATTTTCCACCTTGGGCCTGGGGCGGGCCCCATACTCGCCTCCGCAGCTTATGGGGCTCCAGGGAGGCCTCGGGTGTGTGGGGTGGGGTGGGTGTTTAGTTGGGTGTGGGAATTTGTTTAATTTAATTATGTTGTGTTTGTAATTTTGTTTTTGTTTTTATAGTTTTATTGTTCTGTTAGTTTGATTTTTGTATAGGCTTTAATTTGATTTTAAGGGGAGGGGTCAGGGCTGCCTGGGAGTGGGTCCCAGCAAACAAAATGGCTGGGGCAGGTTCCACAGGGGGGGATGCACTCGGACAACCGATCTCAGTGATCACGGGTAGGAGGAGGAGTTACGCTAAGACCAGACCATGTCATTACCGAGGAAGCAGGCTTAGTCGTTGTTTGAGGACTATCCCTGCTTCCAGGTCTGGTCCTGACCGGAAGGATACTGGAATCAACAAGGAAACCCACATGACCTGAAAGTGTTGCTGTGCAATGCCAGGTCAATGATGAATAAAACCTCTGCCATCCACGACCTGATTGTGGATGGAGGATTTGACCTGGCATGTGTGACAGAGACCTGGTTGGATGAAGCAGATGGGCCCGTCCTTGCCGCTGCTTGTCCACCGGGTTTCTCTTACGCACAGCAATCCAGGCCTTGTGGGCGGGGAGGGGGGGTTGCAGTGATTTTTAGGAAGTCATTAGTTTGCACCAGGCGTCCTATTGGAAAGACCCAGTTCTCTGAGTGCATGTTCTGGAAGTTGGGCAATAGGGGCAGTACAGGATTCCTATTGGTGTACCGACCTCCCCGCTGCACCAAGGATTCCCTGCCCGAGCTGCTTCAGGTCGTGGCGGATGTCCTCCTGGAGACACCTAGTTTGGTTGTCCTAGGGGACTTTAACATCCATGCCGACACGACCTTACAAGGGGCCGCTCGGGACTTCGTGGAAAGCATGGCCTCCATGGGGCTGTCCCTGAATAAGTCTGGCCCAACTCATAGCCACGGGCATGCCTTAGACCTGGTGTTCACCTCTATGGATGTTGGTGATCTGACATTAAGTAAAAGCGAAACCAAAGAAGTGCCATGGTCAGATCACTTCCTGGTGCAACTGGACTTCTCCGTGACCCTTCCCCTCTGCAGGGAGGCGGGACCGATTCAGATGGCCCCGCCACTTAATGGATCCAAATGGTTTCCAGAGAGTGGTAGGGGATGTTTTATCCCATGTTGATGGCCTTTCAGCTGATTCCCTGGTGGCCCGCTGGAATGTGGAGTTAACCAGGGCTATTGACTGTTTGGCTCCAAAGCGCCCTCTCCGATTGCATGGAGTCCGGACAGCCCCGTGGTTTTCCACGGATCTGAGGGCAATGAAACAATCGTTGAGACGGCTAGAGCGCCGGTGGCGGATAACCCATTCTGAATCTGACCGGACACGGGTTAGAGCTCAATGTCGAGCCTACCAAGTGGCGATAGCGACGGCGAAGAAGACTTTCTTCACCGCCTCTATTGCATCTGCGGAAAACAGCAGCAGGAGACTCTTTCAGGTGGTTCGCAATTTAGCGGAACCACCTGCTCCATCAGGGCCCAGTAGCGGCCACATGATCTCCTGCAATGACTTTGCAAAGTTTTTTGCAGATAAAGTCGCTCAGATTCGAGAAGAGGTAGACTCCACCGTGGGAGCAGGGCCGGGCGGGAGAGTGCTAGAGTCCTGTCTAGTCAAGTTGTGTGGGATCAATTCCAATCTGTTACCCCCGAGGATGTGGACAGGCTGCTTGGACGAGTGAAACCAACCACTTGCCTCCTTGATCCTTGCCCATCCTGGCTTATAAAAGCTAGCCGGGAAGGACTGGGCGATGGGCTTCGTGGGGTGGTGAATGCTTCCCTCCGTGAGGGAGCCTTCCCAGACCCGCTGAAAGAGGCGGTTATTAAACCGCTTCTTAAAAGACCATCTTTAGATGCGGCCACAATAGCCAACTATCGCCCAGTCTCAAATCTTCCATTCTTGGGCAAGGTGATTGAGCGAGTGGTTGCTGAACAACTCCAGGCACGCCTGGAAGAAGCGGACCATTTGGATCCCTTCCAGTCGGGATTCAGGCCTCATCATGGGACTGAAACTGCCTTGGTCGCACTGGTTGATGATCTCCGGCGGGCTAGGGACAAAGGTGAGTGCTGTTTCCTAGTTCTGCTGGATCTCTCAGCGGCGTTTGATACCATCGACCATAACATCCTTCTGGACCGTCTTGAGGGGCTGGGAGCTGGGGGCACTGTTATACAGTGGTTCCGCTCCTTCCTCCTGGGCCGTGTTCAGAAAGTGGTGGTGGGGATGAGTGTTCAGACCCCTGGGCCCTCACTTGTGGGGTGCCTCAGGGTTCTGTCCTCTTCCCCATGCTTTTCAACATCTACATGAAGCCGCTGGGAGAGATCATCAGGGGATTTGGGCTGGGTGTTCATCAGTATGCAGATGATACCCAGCTCTATCTCTCCTTCAAATCAGAACCAGTGAAGGCAGTGAAGGTCCTGTGTGAGTGCCTGGAGGCGGTTGGAGGTTGGATGGCGGCTAACAGATTGAGGTTGAATCCTGACAAGACAGAAGTACTGTTTTTGGGGGACAGGAGGCGGGCAGGTGTGGAGGATTCCCTAGTCCTGAATGGGGTAACTGTGCCCCTGAAGGACCAGGTGCGCAGCCTGGGAGTCATTTTGGACTCACAGCTGTCCATGGAGGCACAGGTCAAATCTGTGTCCAGGGCAGCTGTTTACCAGCTCCATCTGGTACGCAGGCTGAGACCCTATCTGCCTGCGGACTGCCTCACCAGAGTGGTGCATGCTCTGGTTATCTCCCGCTTGGATTACTGCAATGCGCTCTACGTGGGGCTACCTTTGAAGGTGACCCGGAAACTACAACTAATCCAGAACGCGGCAGCTAGACTGGTGACTGGGAGCGGCCGCAGAGACCACATAACACCGGTCTTGAAAGACCTACATTGGCTCCCAGTACGTTTCCGAGCACAATTCAAAGTGTTGGTGCTGACCTTTAAAGCCCTAAACGGCCTTGGTCCAGTATATCTGAAGGAGCGTCTCCACCCCCATCGTTCTACCCGGACACTGAGGTCCAGCACTGAGGGCCTTCTGGCGGTTCCCTCACTGCGAGAAGCCAAGTTACAGGGAACCAGGCAGAGGGCCTTCTCGGTAGTGGCGCCTTCCCTGTGGAACACCCTCCCACCAGATGTCAAAGAGAACAACAACTACCAGGCTTTTAGAAGACATCTGAAGGCAGCCCTGTTTCGGGAAGCTTTTAATGTTTGATGTATTATAGTATTTTAATTTTTTTGGAAGCCGCCCAGAGTGGCCGGGGAAGCCCAGCCAGATGGGCGGGGTATAAATAATAAATTATTATTATTATTATTATTATTCGTTTCTCGCTGTAATCCTGCCTATGAACACTACACAGCCAACTTTACCGCCTGTGGTCTTGAACTCCCTTAAATTACTGCCCATTTGCACTTGTTTTCCCCATGTTTGGAAGCCCCTCCCTGAACATAAGGTATAAACTCTCAGTTTCCTGAGAACCCATTCATTCCACGTGGGCTCTGTCATATTTATCCCCTTAATCTTCAGTTCCAGCTAGCCAAGCATATAGCTGGGTTTGCCTGAATTCTGCTTTTCCTCCCTTCCTGTCTTGTTTTTGTCATTTTGTTCATCTCAGATTGTAAGCTACTGCCGGCAGAGATTTTGCCTTTGCAGCTCAGTACATTGCCATATGCACTGATGACACTGTGCAATAATTAATCATCTTTATAGCTACCATACAGGTAGCACTATGGTCTAAACCACTGAGCCTGGGACTTGCCGATCGGAAGGTTGGCGTTTAAAATCCCCGCGATGGGGTGAGCTCCCATTGCTCGGTCTCACTTCCTGCCAACCTAGCAGTTCGAAAGCACATCAAAATGCAAGTAGATAAATAGCTACCGCTTCAGCGGGAAGGTAAAAGGCGTTTCCATGAGCTGTTCTGGTTTCGCCTAGCCCCATGACCCAGTCATGCTGGCCACATGACCCAGAAAAACTGTCTGCGGACAAACGTCGACTCCCTCGGCCAGTAAAGCGAGATGAGCACTGCAACCCAAGAGTCGTTTGTGACTGGACTTAACTGTCAGGGGTCCTTTGTAGCTACCATGTACAGTAGTTAGCTAGTATTAGCAGATCCCCTAAGTGCCCCTATTTTTCAGGGACATCCCTGATTTAGAGAAGCTGTCCTGGTTTCTGATTTGATCCTGGAATGTCCCACATTTCCTTAGGACATCCCTGTTTTCATTGGAGAAAAGTTGGAGGGTATGGAATTATCTGACCCCCCAAGCAGTTTGAAGGCAATCTGGTATAGGGAAGTGTTTTTATGTTTAATGTTTTATTACGTTTTAATATATGTTGGAAGCTGCCCAGAGTGGCTGGGGCATCCCAGTAAGATGTGTGGGGTATATATAGTAAAATGATCCTTATCGAAGGGGACATCCCTATTTTCAGTGGAGAAATGTTGGAGGGTATGTATTAGTATTCCCTCTTTATAAATGAGGGGTTGGGGCTAAGAGAATGGCTAAAAGAATCTTTTTGCTTTCTGTGTTGGACTCCTTGAAATTGAATTATTTGATTAATGTAAAGTGAAAAAGTTGAGCTATGATTTCTGGAAAATAATTATTCCAGACAGCCTACTGGACAAACTCTGCTCTGCTGTCAGGCGGCACATAAGAATATAGGCATCTAGGACCAGGATTTTAATGGTTTCCTGTTTTTCCAAATTAACTTATTTGCTGAAGAATCCCTTAGTATCTGGCCTGGAGCCCTGTGCATTGTGCATTCTGTTCTTGTTCAGCGTTAGAAAGCAGATAGGTATAATTAACTTTTGTGACTCAACATCATTCCAGAGAGAACTTCCCTCAAAAAATAAAACCAATACTTGACTACTCTGCATCCAGACAGAAGAGAGCAGATTCCAAGGCGTTAAAGCCATTGGCAAACCAGAGGTTCCTGAAACAATATCCATCCATAGCCCCCCCCCCCCAAATAATAATCTTGATGGGTTTGGTTTGGCAGATGCACACCCTGACCACACCAGACTCAACAGCTTCTGCATGGTCAGCATCCAGTCCACAAGCTCTGGCAAGCTACACTTTTCCTTCCTTTCTACCACCTTGTGGTTTCCTAATAGGATTGCAAATCCCAGCCAGAGGGGAATCTGTGCACTCAACATCTTAAAATGTATTAGCCACATAGTGGCCAAAAAGTGTAGCTGCGTGGGGGAGGTGGAGAGCTCAGAAGGGCAAGAGGAAGCTCCTCTGGTCATTTTGCATATAACCTTTCCTCCACTGATCTCTCCAGAATCAACCCAGAAATAACATCCGGTAGGCTTATGGGTCCCACAAACAACATAAACTGACATCCATCCTGACAAAATAATTTGCAAATTTGCACAGCTTGCATTCCCACTCATTACATAATCATGGCCAGGAGCTAGTGATCTGCTTTACTACCTCTATTTCAATTGCGATTTTTCTGTTATTCCTACAAACTTCCACAACAGCAAGATACTGCATCCATGAGTGGCATGCTAGGCTTTCTACCGCTGGGGTAGATACAGAGCCAGTGCCCCAGTACCCGGAAAGGCAGGTGGCAGACCAGGGTAGTGTTCTGGAGATCTGGGGTGGGGATGTCCTGCTTCCTCACATTTCAAGCATTTCCTCCAGCAAGCATCCAAATAATAATAACAACAACAACAACAACAATAATAATAATAATAATATATTATATGCCGCCTATCTGACTGAGCTGCTCCAGACATTCTGAACAGCTTCCAAACAAATTATAAAACCACAGTAAAACATCAAACATTAAAAACTTCCATATACAGGACTGCCTTCAAATGTCTTCAAAAAGTCAAATAATTGTTTATTTCCTTGACATCTAATGGGAGGGCATTCCACATGGGGGGGCTTGACTACTAAGAAGGCCCTCTGCCTGATTCCCTCTCAGGGAGGGAACCGCCAGAAGGCCCTTGGAGTGTCTCAGTGTCTGGCTTGAAGGATGGGGGTGAAGACGCTCCTTTGGGTATTCTGGACCAAGGCCATTTAGGGCTTTAAAGGCCAGCACCAACACTTCCAATTGTACTCTGAAGCGAACTGGGAGCCAATGTAGATATTTTAAGACGGGTATTACATGGTCCCAGGGGCAGCTCCCAGTCTGGCAGCCGCATACTGGATTAGTTGTAATTTCCAAGTCACCTTCAAAGGTAGCCCACATAGAGTGCATTACAGTAGTCCAAGCAGGAGATACCCAGAGCATTACCACTCTGGTGACACAGTGTGCAAGCAGGTAGGGTCTCAGCCAGTGTACCAGCTGGAGCTGGTAGACTGCTGCCGTGGACACAGAATTGACCTGTGCCTTCATGGACAGCTGTGAGTGCAAAATGACTCCCAGGCTGCACACTTGGTTCTTTATGGGCATATTTACCCCACTCACGACTAGGGAATTCCCCACACCTCCCTGCTCCTTGTCTCCCAGAACCAGTACTTATGTCTTGTTGGGATTCCACCTCAATCTCTTGACTGCCATCTACCCCACAACCGCCTCCACACACTCACACAAGACATCCACTGCCTTCACTTGTTTCAATTTAAATGTGAGGTACAGCTGGGTTTCATCTGGTGAACACCCAGCCCAAACCCCCTGTTGCCTCTCCTAGCAGTTTCCTATAGATGTTAAAAAGCATGGAAGAGGAGTCAGAGCCCTGAGGCTCCCCTCAAGTCCAGGGATCTGAACACTCACCTCCCCCAACAGTACTTTATGGACATGGCCGAGGAGGAATGAGTGGGTTCACTGCATAGCAGTGCCCCAAACTCCCAGACCTCCTAGAAGATCCAGGAGGATACCATGGTCAGTATCAAAAGCTGCTGAGAGATCCAGCAGAACTAGGAAACAGCTTTCATCTCTGGCCCTGGCCCTGTCCCACTGGAAGTCATCAGCCAGTGCAACCAGGGCGGTTTCAGTCCCATGATGTGTTGATTGCAAGTGGTCCAAAAGGTCCACATCCTCCAGGCGTGCCTGGAGTTCTTCTGCGACCACCCGCTCAATCACCTTGTCCACAAATGGAAGATTTTAGATAGTGCGATAAGAGAAACCTGGTCGACAAGCAGCAGCAAGAACAGAGCCAGCTACCATGTCCAACCAGGTCAATTCCTCCATACATAATCAGTGGCACTGGTCTTATGAATCATTAACCTAGCATTGCACAGCACTACTTTAAGGGCATGTGGGACACCCTTGTTGATACTCTTCTTCCAGCTGTGCATTTTCTTCTGGAATCTGTTCTAAGGCTCTCATCAAATAGTCTTTGAAACTTGCTGAGACCATCTATTGTGGGAGCTTACTTAAAGGTAATGCACTTGGTTGCTTTCATGTCAACTTGAAGAATTAATGAACTTGATGCTCTTTGGTTAGAAAGGAGCTGCATCTTCCACTTAATATACTGATAATTATGGGGACTGATCAATCCTCCCTTCTTGAAAATGAGCATGCAATTCCACTCCAAAAGGCTTGGATCATTGCTTTAGGAGGATCCATGCTAAATTCCTGGATGATCCATTTTCTGCCAAGGATCATCATTGACATTCATGTTTGACATAACAAAATAAAAAATAAAAAAATTCCTTCCAGTAGCACCTTAGAGACCAACTAAGTTTGTTATTGGTATGAGCTTTTGTGTGCATGCACACGAATCTGAATAGTATCTGAAGAAGTGCGCATGCACATGAAAGCTCATACCAGTAACAAACTTAGTTGGTCTCTAAGGTGCTACTGAAAGGAATTTTTTCCCCCCGACTACGGCAGACCAACACGGCTACCTACCTTTAACTAAATGTTTGGCATAGTTCACATGGGCCCTTGTTCAGAGGGAAGGAGTTGGGAAAGTCTTGGGAAGCAATCAGGATACAACAGTGGGATATTCACATAAACTAAAATACTGGTGTTTTTTTTAAAGGCATGACTGGTATCAAACAGAATCTCATGTAATTGTAACTATTATGCTCAAAAACGCAAAGAAGGATGATGTAAACATACAGTTTTCAGAAAAAGAGGTAAGATATGCATAAAATTCAAACTGAAATCAAGGCACCCTTAGGTTATAAATGTAGTTCTTTTCAAAGTCATTTCTTTGAGTTCAGTGTAACTTCCAAGAGAGTGTGTGCTTATTGCAGCCCAAGATAAAATCATCAGCTTTATGCTTGAATGGGGAAAAGTGAGGCTTTGCGAAATGTTGGTGCAGGTATTATCTAATATTTATACAGTGGTGCCTCGCAAGACGAAATTAATTCGTTCCGCGAGTTTTTCGTCTTGCGGTTTTTTTCGTCTTGCGAAGCACGGTGTCGGAAAAGTTTTGGAAAAGCTTCAAAAATCACCAAAGTCTTCAAAAACCTCAAAAAAGGCTACCGAAAAAGGTTATGAGTTGCTCCTCGAAGTCAAGTCGCAACTGTATTAACGGTTTTAAGAAAAAGGAAACAAACTTGCAAGACGTTTCCGTCTTGCGAAGCAAGCCCATAGGGAAAATCGTCTTGCGAAGCAGCTCAAAAAACCAAAAACCCTTTCGTTTTGCGAGTTTTCCGTCTTGCGAGGCATTCGTCTTGCGAGGTACCACTGTATTCTCTGTATTGTTCTGTCGTGCTGTTCACTAAATCTTAACTTTAATTATTGGGACCCCAGGTTTGGTTAATTATATTGCAAGTATTCTTGTTTTATCATTTACATATTTTAGACTATAGAATCAAAAATTCAGTGAGTTGCTGCTTTATATTCACACATCTTGCTGGGTATGGAAATGTGTGAAGTATAAAGCAAAAGAAGAAGCTGTGTGTCTTTTGTCCATTTAATTATTTATGGCTTTTGGTAACTTTCTACAGTTAATGCAATTCTTTACCTAAAGAATGCACATCAAACTGACATAACAGGCTTTCTGAGTACCTACTTGATGACTAAGAACATTAATCTTCTGTTTATGTTCTAGCACACTTTGAATTATCTGTTGAATAATTCAATATAAATTGCTGTTTGAAATTCCTCTCTTATACTCGACACAGATTAGATGTTCCCAATGAAAGGTCTTTGCCTTCATTTCCTGGGAAATGACAGAAACACTAGGAGGCCTTTTCCATGTGTTTACTACTGATTATGTTTCGTATTATTAACAGCTAGATGTATTCGTGAGGCTTTCGTCAGAGGAAGACTACAACTTAAAGCTTCATTTTCTTCATTCCATAGTTCCAGAACAAAGTACATACAAAGTTCTTTCAACCAAGGTAATCTTTTAAAGAACAAATTATTTTGTTAGATACTTGTCGCCAGGGTGGATTTGATTTGATTTAAATTAAATGACGATTTAAATCAATAGTCAGTAATACTTGATTTAAATCATATTTTTAACAGAAAGACTCATTCTTGCTGGTATAATCTTAATATTTACAACCAGATGAAGGTTTCATTTTTGGAATAATAACTTTTTAGAGTAGTTTTTACAGTTATATAAAAAATAGCTGATTCAGTTATACTATTAGAAATACGTAGACCGATAATTATGAAATTATTGTGAGGTGTAATAAGTTAACTGTTTATATTTGGACAACTTTTCTGCTGTACTTTATTGGAAAGAGAAAAATAAATAATCATTTTCTTAATAACAATTTAAACAATTTATTTAACTAAAACAATAACATTATAGAATATGTATCCATGTTTGTTAACTGATGTGGTTAGAGACTTTCTTGTTTGGATGATGTCAGGCGAGCCCTGGGAAGAAGGGCCTGGAACTAGTGTGAACTCTTTATTAGTTGACTGGCAAGCACTTCAAGGTCTCGCCAAGTTACTATTTCCACCACCCCCACCACTCCCTTTGGGATTTGCTTCTACGTTCAGGTGCCTATTCTGTACAGTTAAGTGTTAGTGCAGTTGTTGGAACCCAGTGGGATTGGGAAGAGGTTGCCAGCCCTGAAGTGCCTTCCGCACTTGCCTCAAGTCTGAATTGCACAGATATGCAACTGACTTACACAATTATTACACAAAGATTCCAAGACTTGTGGAGTATTCTGCTTACAAGGTTGCACTTCCATCTTTACTGCTTCACACTTAGCTACTTGTGCAGATCTATTCCACTCCAAACAATCTATTCATTGAAGAGGTAAGGGGTTGATTCTGTGTGTATAAATTTGCAAAGGAACAATGGATTAAGGTTTCTTCCTCAACGCTGTATGTTTATTTTATAACATTTTTCCTGTGAAGACACAAATTCACACTTTTGAGAACTGCAAAAACAAGCATCTGTGATAATATCTTCTTGTTAGAAAAACTGCCCCAAATAATCTTACAGAAACCTCTGGAAGAGTATGACATTATGAATAGATTAATGGAATTCATTTACCAAAAAATTTAAACATTGCATATAAAGCCTCAGGCTACATAATTAAAAACAAACCCTTATTTCGTGATGAATAGCCTTTGGACTATTATGTAATTTAAACAGAAAACAATATTTGGAAAGATTTTTCCTCCAAAAGCATTTTTCTTTAAAAAAAAAATCCAATTTAAAATTTAAAAAATTGATGTTTTTAAGAAATCATTTATTTTTATCCTCCCTGCTTGTCACTTACTCATATTTGTAACATGCGTTTTTACCCCCTCCCCCCAAGAAAAATCTTAGCTGGTTAAGAAAAGTAGTTTGTGTGCATGCTTCTGCAAATGACTTAGGCTGCAGTCCTAAGTATGTTTACCTAGCAGTAACCCAACTGAACACAGCATAGTTTTGTTGTCGTCATTTAGTTGTGTGTGACTCTTCGTAACCCCTGGACCAGAGCACGCCAGGCACTCCTGTCTTCCACTGCCTTCTGCAATTTGGTCAAACTCATGCTGGTAGCTTCAAAAACACTGTCCAACCATCTCGTCCTCTGTCGTCCCCTTCTCCTTGTGCCCTCCATCTTTCCCAACATCAGGGTCTTTTCCAAGGAGTCTTCTCTTCTCATGAGGTGACCAAAGTCTTGGAGCCTCAGCTTCACAATCTTTCCTTCCAGCGCTGATTTCCTTAAGAATGGAGAGGTTTGATATTCTTGCAGTCCATGGGACTCTCAAGAGTCTCCTCCAGCACCATAATTCAAAAGCATCCATTCTTCAGCGATCAGCCTTCTTTATGGTCCAGCTCTCACTTCCATACATCACTACTGGGAAAACCATAGCTTTTACTATACGGACCTTTGTTGGCAAGGTGATGTCTCTGCTTTTTAAGATGCTGTCTAGGTTTGTCATTGCTTTTCTCCCAAGAAGCAGGGGTCTTTTAATTTCGTGACTGCAGTGATCATGGAATAAAATAAGAAATAAAAGAAATAAAATCTCTCACTGCCTCCATTTCTTCCCCTTCTATTTGCCAGGAGGTGATGGGAACAGTGGCCATGATCTTCGTTTTTTTGATGTTGAGCTTCAGACCATATTTTGCGCTCTCCTCTTTCACCCTCATTAAAAGGTTCTTTAATTCCTCCTCACTTTCTGCCATCAATGTTGTGTCATCTGCATATCTGAGGTTGTTGATATTTCTTCCGGCAATCTTAATTCCGGCTTGGGATTCGTCCAGCCCAGCCTTTCGCATGATGAATTCTGCATATAAGTTAAATAAGCAGGGAGACAATATACAGCCTTCTCTTGCTCCTTTCCCAATTTTGAACCAATCAGTTGTTCCATAACCAGTTCTAACTGTAGCTTCTTGTCCCACATAGAGATTTCTCAGGAGAAATAGCTTACTTTTGAGTAGACATGCATAGGATGGTGCAGCTTTAATAAAATCAGTTTGTTTTCAGCTAAAACTTGGAAATTCAGAATGGTGGGTCAATTTCTGTACTAAATATGCAGTTATTGTAGAATGCATTCTCCCCTGCTGATATCTGAACTAATCAGTCATATCAAACGATATAGAGGTTAGCATTAATCTTTTTTTAGGGCGGAACATTGAGATTAAGAGTCCCCAACACAATGAGTTGCTGAATCCTGTTTTATGACAGCATCTTATGACAGATTTCTTTAAGATTAGTTGACTACTTAAAAACAAGAAAAAGAAATGATGTTTCATTATTCAGATCTTGCAGGTAGAAATTGGTGGCTGCCTTGTGGATCCTGGATAAAGTCATGAACGCAACCTAGGATTGGAGGAAGGCACAGAGGTTAAGCCATTCACACATGTTCTGCAGGGAAATAGCTACTAAAGATAGTTGCTCTGTCTAATTAGAAAGCCAGCCTAGTAGCTCAAAGGGTGCTGGCCAAAACTTCATGCTGCTCCTTCAGCCCAAAGTTCTTACATTTTTCTTATTAAGCACAATCTTCCTTGCAAATATTCATTGAATTACACAGCCTTAAACTGGCAGGTTAAGCTTAAAATTCTACAAGGAAGGCTCAAGCAGTATGTGGACCGAGAACTCCCAGAAGTACAAACTGGATTTAGAAGAGGCAGAGGAACCAGAGACCAAATTGCAAACATGCGCTGGATTATGGAGAAAACTAGAGAGTTCCAGAAAGACATCTACTTCTGCTTCATTGACTATGCAAAAGCCTTTGACGGTGTCGACCACAGCAAACTATGGCAAGTTCTTAAAGAAATGGGAGTGCCTGATCACCTCATCTGTCTCCTGAGAAATCTCTATGTGGGACAAGAAGCTATAGTTAGAACTGGATATGGAACAACTGATTGGTTCAAAATTGGGAAAGGAGTACGAAAAGGCTGTATTTTGTCTCCCTGCTTATTTAACTTATATGCAGAATTCATCATGCGAAAGGCTGGGCTGGATGAATCCCAAGCTGGAATTAAGATCGCTGGAAGAAATATCAACAACCTCAGATATGCAGATGACACAACCTTGATGGCAGAAAGTGAGGAGGAATTAAAGAACCTTTTATTGAGGGTGAAAGAGGAGAGTGCAAAATATGGTCTGAAGCTCAACATCAAAAAAACAAAGATCATGGCCACTGTTCCCATCAACTCCTGGCAAATAGAAGGGGAAGAAATGGAGGCAGTGAGAGATTTTACTTTCTTGGGCCCCATGATCACTGCAGATGGTGACAGCAGCCACGAAATTAAAAGATGCCTGCTCCTTGGGAGAAAGGCAATGGCAAACCTAGACAGCATCTTTAAAAGTAGAGACATCACCTTGCCAACAAAGGTCCATATAGTAAAAGCTATGGTTTTCCCAGTAGTGATGCATGGAAGTGAGAGCTGGACCATAAAGAAGGCTGATCGCTGAAGAATGGATGCTTTTGAGTTATGGTGCTGGAGGAGACTCTTGAGAGTCCCATGGACTGCAAGAAGATCAAACCTCTCCATTCTTAAGGAAATCAGCGCTGATTACTCACTGGAAGGACAGATCGTGAAGCTGAGGCTCCAATACTTTGGCCACCTCATGAGAAGAGAAGACTCCTAGGAAAAGACCCTGGTGTTGGGAAAGATGGAGGGCACAAGGAGAAGGGGACGACTGAGGACGAAATGGTTGGATAGTGTTCTTGAAGCTACCAGCATGAGTTTGACCAAACTGCGGGAGGCAGTGGAAGACAGAAGTGCCTGGCGTGCTCTGGTCCATGGGGTCACGAAGAGTCGGACACGACTAAACAACAACAAACTGGCAGGTTCACTGCACTCAGATTATAAAGCCTTTCCTTGCCTTTGGACTAACAAGAGTGCCTCTAAGCAAATGGGCACAACTATCCTAAAATGTGACATTATTTTAAAATCTGTTATTTTAAGTCCTGTCTATTTAGGATAGCCCTGAATAACCATTTTCCTTTGGTAATCTTGCATAGACCTTACATTCATATAAAATACACCATCCATGCTGTTTTGAATTATTATGTTACAAATAGCGATATTAAAAATAAACATGAATACATTCACAAACTTTTCAGACTTACTTTGTGAAATAATATCTGACTTATTATGATGCATGACAATACTGGCTTGAGTTCTATGGCTGTGTAATAAGGCAAAAGTGAGAAGTAAGACCGACAACCCCTAGCTCCTAGCAGGAACAATCCTATTCAGGGCTCCATCCCATCAGCTTTCCTGCAGGATACTATGACAGGAAACTCAGCTGTGCAGTTGATCCATCAGTTGAATTGCTGCCCATCGGATTTCTGTGCCACTGAAACAATTGTGCTGCCGGTGACAGAGCTGGATTAAGGAACTCTCACAAACTGCAAACGGGGAATGCAACTCTATCCAGAACTGGTTGAACACCAGCTCTCATACACTAGGAATGATGTTACTTGTGCAACCTGTGTCTTGTTGGAGTTGAGCTTCAGTTTTCTGGTCTTCATGGTACTGCATTACTCCCCTCCCCCCCCCGCTTGCCCCCCATAAGGCAGAGAGCTTTAAACTGTTTTTGAGCCGGGTCTGCTTGGGTTACCTGGTGCAAAAGGAGCTTTTAAGTGCTCTGTTTGTTTGATGGGCAAGGCCTGCTTGGCTCTGGGAGTGATGGGGATGCTGTCACCCGCTAGATGTTGGGTGGCTCCAAGGGTTTCAGTATACAGTACACAGTTTTCATTTATGCATAAGATGTGGGATTACCATGTGCTCATGTGCATGTGGGAGGGGGAAGAGAAGAATAGGATTCATTTACAATGCAGTAGGAGCTCTGCTGTTCTTTGATAAAGGGTTTGGCGAACACCCTGGTCTGCTTACTGTGATTGTTGTTTGGGGTAGAAATGTGAAGACTTGGCATAGCACAGGTCATGGAAAAAATATACAAGATGTACTTTAAATACATGGTGCATTACCAATGAATGCAACTAATTCAATTTGCACCAAGATGTCTCACAAATAGCATATTTGTGGTGTAGTGGTGTAGAGAGCCAGTGTGGTGTAGTGGTTAAGAGTGGTAGATTCGTAATCTGGTGAACCGGGTTTGCGTCTCCGCTCCTCCATCTGCAGCTGCTGGGTGACCTTGGGCTAGTCACACTTCATTGAAGTCTCTCGGCCCCACTCACCTCACAGAGTGTTTGTTGTGGGGGGAGGAAGGGAAAGGAGAATGTTAGCTGCTTTGAGACTCCTTCGGGTAGTGATAAAGCAGGATATCAAATCCAAACTCCTCTTCTTCTTCTTCTTCTTCTTCTATTTTGCATACATTCATACACTAATATAGCATAGCTAAATTTGCCAAATGCAGCTGTGTTAGATCATGTTTGTCAATTCACTGAATTTGGTTTTGAAGTTCTGGAAATTCGCTGACAGATCTTTAAAACTCACAGTTATTGGTTTCTTCTGGAACCTCAGTAGTTATGTGAAATTGTCACTTTCACTAGAGGGTGCTAAAATATTGTTTCAGGCTCATTGGGTTCAGTTTTTAATAGTGGCTTGGGGGGGGAGGGAAGCAATGAATAAATACCTTGGCTTGGCTTAGTACTTCATTTTCAACCATTAACTTTCCACCATTATTATTGTTCATAGTTTATACTCTAATGCACATTTCAAGAGTATTCTAATCTAGGAATAGGAATTCAATACCTCTTTTACTTCTAAAAGTGTTGCAAACACATTTAAAAATGAATGAATGCAGCCTTAAATAAGCACTGGAAGTTTAGAAAGGTTCAAACTGCTATTTCAGGAGTTTTGACTTAAGACTTAAAGAGCAGTGCTAACCATGGCTACTCAGAAGTAAATCCTTTTGAATTCAGTAGGGCTTACTCCCAGGTAAGTGGGATTAGGCTTGCACCCTAAACAGTTGCGTAACCTTTTTTAGATTTCTCAGCAGCTTTTAGTATTGTTGACTATGGTATCTGGATAGGTTGTCTTGAGTGGGATGTTGGGAGGCCCTTTTTTGTGGTGGTTTTGCTCCTTAGACTGTGAGCTCCAGAAGGTGGTGCTGGGGGATTATTGCTCTGGCAGCAGTTTATGCCTTTTGGTTCTGCAAGGGGCAGTTTTATCCCGGGGTGCGCTTTCCCTACAATTGATGGATTTCTCTCTCTCTCTCTCTCTGGTGTCATAAAGATATAAAAATTACTCTCTTTGGTCTGCTTAAATTAGTATATTAAACAATGTAAGGTAAGTTAGCACTATTTAGTTGACATACCTTAAAATATTGAAAAGTATGAAATATAGATAATTCTCAAGTAAAATTTTACATCTGTTTAACAGTAAGGGCAACTTTTGAGGGTGAAATCCTGTGATGGGGGGGTTGGGGTATCCCCTGGACTGTGGGGTGTTGCTGATCCGCGTTTCGGCTTACGGTAGATCTGTCCTTAAAATTGTGTTTTCCTGTTGTAGCCGTCGACAGCCCTGCTGTTCTCACCACTCCAGCAGTAGCAACAAAAGGGATTATGTGTGGATTCACTGAATCCAAAGTTTGATCAGAGTGACTATAAATATTAAATAAATAAATCAGATATCACACTGCAGCCAAGTTAGGTTTCCTTAATCATAGTTTGTTGGAATTGAGCTGGTAGCAGCACACCATAGTAGTGAGATGCAAACACACACAACCTCACTGCCTTAATTTTTCTCTTAGATGACTTCCAACCCCACCCCTGTTGGGACCAAAACTGTGGAAAACACTAGCCTTAGTCTTACTTGGAAGCTAGAACAGGTGTGTACTTGATAGTTTGGAATCCCCTGGTTTAGGGTTAGGGTCAAACAGAAACTAAAATAAATATGTAACGAGGAGAACTAGATAAAATCTATTTGTATAGTAATATACATGTTTTTGTATTGTGATTTTGTGTTGTGAGACACCCTGAGGTCTGTGGGTATAGGGTGGTATACAATTGTTGTTATTAATGTACATACATATACTTATTTTCCCCTAAGAAATAGCATTTTTGTAAACGTAGAAGCCTATTTTAAATTATTTCTGTTTAGTTCAATGTTTAAAGTAGGAGTTTTGATTCATGACAGGATATTCAAACAGCTTGCTATAAGATGACTCTAGGGTGAGCATTTACAAAGGTGCCGTTGTTCTTAGGGCTACAGGGATCCCTGGGTTATCCTGGGTTTGAATAGAGCTGAGATTACTCTGCCAAAATTACTCTGCCAAAATGAGTAAGTTTATGCATAAAATTGAACAAGCTGGACTTCAAGTCATATGGCAGACTGCTAACACTGATCTTGGAAGTAAATTATATGTTTGTAATTGTAAAATGAGTGCTGTGATATTTAGTGTGAAACTTAAAATACGCTTGTAACAGGTGTGGGTAGAGATCATGATGATATCTCTTCTTTGGCTGATTATGAAACTGCATAATATAAAATTATCCCAAAACAAGAGGGATGAAACCAATATTCTGTATAACTTTAGAATGTATAGTATGTTTAAAAGTCCATGCCTCTCTGCTGAATCATAGTCTGTCCCATTTGTTTTAAATGATACGCAGGGTTTTGTTTTGTTTTTACATGTGCATAATCATTATTTAATTGTGTTGCTTGATTTGTCAAGTGTGCCTTTTTTTAGTCAGTCAAAACATGTTTAATCAGTGGAGATTAGTCCATAATTTCTACAAGTAAAATTTCAAGCACATTTTTATAAAGTTTACCCAAAAATCTCAAAGTCACATTCTTTCATGTCCTCCACATACTCATTTCTTTCCTTCAGCTTAGAGAGACTCCTGGGGATTTTCCTGCCAACCAGCTGCCTGCACCACTCAACCAATCCTAATCCAAAAGTACTGTTGTCGCCAGGAGGTCCCTCCCAGACAGAAAAACCATGTGATAAATTATATTTCACTAGAACGGCAGACTTCTTTACCTTAGTGTTGCAGATTCTCCCTCCATCCTGTTTGTAGGTCTGCTGGTATTGTAGACCTTTCAGAATCCTACAACTGTTCTGAGCATGTTCAGAGTGCTTCCTTGCAAGCCACACTAACTTTGAGCTTGTAGCATGTTCTAAGCAGCTTTGTCTTTTTTTCTTTTGCTTATTATTTATTTTGTGACCTTGGTAGAAAGAGGGTGCATTAGGGGCCACAGTGTGAGTCCCTTTCTAGAATGTTTTTTTTAAAAATTAATTAAATCATTTTGCATTTGTTTAGGAGGAGAAATTGCCGGTGGCTTGTGTGTGAGTTGCAGCAGCTTTTGTTGCCTGCCTTGCGCAGGTGGGTTGGGTTGGGCCAACAAACATGTGCTAGAAATTAAGAGAGTTGTTAGTGTCTCCTTGCTCTGGCTTCCCATGGGATTCATAAAGACAGGTGCGCTGGTAGTGAGTGATTGACTTGAGCACAAAGGAGAGAGTTGAGATTGAGGGACAAGGGTCCAGAGCACAAGTAGTCGCCTTGACTGATCCAAGCAGCTTGTTTACATCCTCAAGCCTTATTAAGTGAAATTCATCCAATATAATGGGACTAGACTGTGCTCTGGACCCCCCTTGAGATTCATCTGCTATAACAGCCAAGTCAAGATCCTGGTGTATGCAAGCAATTCTATCCTTAAAATGCTTTGCAAACAACTCATAGCTACCGTTGGTTTCAGCACTTCCTTTGTGCCAGACTGCAGGAGGTCCTGCACTCCCTGGAAGAGCTCTGCTGGACGACCTACTGAGGCTGCAATGGAGGCAGCCAAGTAGGCCTTCTTTCCTGCCTTCACTGCCACTAGATGGGCTCTATGGTGAGCCCTCACCAGTATTTGGTTGATAGAGTTTAATTTCTAAGTAAGAGGTAAGTAAGCCAGTCTTCTGAAAAGGATACTTGGAAGCTCTTTCCCTGTCCATGAATGTGAAGAAAATGATTTATTTATAGCAAGGAGACAGTGGCACTGGCACATGTGGCATATGATACATTTTTCTAAATGAGTTCTGTACATGTCCTGTTGTGAAGAGAACTACAAGGTAAAAAACTACAGCCCCACCAAGTCCAAATGTCAACAGTTGCCACTGTGCTTAGCAGACTGAGAAAGTGATTCAGCCATAAGTATAAAAGTAATGCTCAAGCACACTTCCTAGGATTTGTTTTTCAAAACCTTATTTTCACACATCATCCTAATTACTATGGCTCTTCCCAGGCAACAGCTGCTTCTTTTTTTTGTTGCTCATTGTTCTGCAGAGCTATAGAAAGGTACAGGCTGAATTCAAAGAGCACAGCTTCAAGTGAACAAACACATACCAGGATTTGTGGCTTATTTTGCCCAAGCAGACCACAATCTGTAGTCTAGGTTTGTTTTTCGGCTTACTGATAATTGTTTAGAGCAAAACAAGCCACAGTTCCTGGTTCAGCTGTAACACACAGCTAGGGCTTGTGGTTGGTTTTTGGATGCAGGGGGCAAAGTGGCTCTCATCAGCACACCCACAATAAACCATTTACTATGATAAGCAAATTGAGCTAGTTTGTAAATTAGCTTAATTGTACGTTTAACTGGTATGGCAGTTAACATTTTTCTTTTTTAAAAAAATTACACCAGAAAAAAACTACAGGCCTCATTTAGTGCATTAAAATTTGGGTTTTTGTTGTGTGTTCTGTAGATTGAAATAAAAATGAAGAAACCAGAAGCTGTACGATGGGAGAAATTGGAAGGCCATGGAGGCTCTCCTAAACTAAAACAATTTGCGCCTGGTTAGTATGTTCATGTTCAGTTCTACAAATTGTACTTTTGCTCTTATCTACACACTATTGCACTCTTTTGTTTGAGACAATCACTTATTGGATTATAGGTCTGTTCTTGGATGCCATCATTATCCATTATTAAACAACAAATTATAGTCCTGCTACTCAAAGATCACTTGTTGTAACGTAGCAGAGAGAAGAGAATCTACTTTGGTCAGGATGCAAACTTTTTTTTCTATTTATTATTTTATTTTAGTTATCAGATTTTTAGTGTTCCTTTCACCATTGGTCCCAAAGTGGTTTCCAGCCATATAGAGAAAAACTAGATACAATTTAAGATCCAAACAATGTAACCTTAAATGGACAGGACAGGCCAAACGGGTCCTCCTGGGAGAACTGGCTGGTCTTTGTTCAATATTTTATTAATTTTCAGTTACAAAAATCCAATAAATGCCATATTTTATCAATACCAAATAGCAATATCAATTCAAATACAAATCAATTACATAGCCAATTATAAAATTTGTGTGGCTTCCAACATGCTGTACTTCAAGGTCTACTGATTCTCTTTAATTCTGCCTCCAGACTATTGCTCAAACCATATACAATCCACTCTTGATAAAATCCCTTATACCACAGCTACAATAATTGACGTCAGTTCCTATTAACACATATAGTAATTTGTAAATTTGCAAGTTCTCCTTTCTTCTTCCTGTGTGAGGTTTTAATTTTCATCAATTGTTCCTTTATTTATCAAATATTATGTCCATATTAGTTATTCCTGATCTCCTTTGTGCCTTACGGCTCTGTTGACTCAGAGTTATTCGGGAGGGATCTCTCTCTTTTGTTCTCAACTCTTCTGATTGTAGCTGTAAAATTCCATACTTCCGATTTCAAGCAGGGAGTTGCCTAATGTCCTGCCAGAGCCCCGGCAAGCCTCCAAGTTCTCTCCCCTCCACGTCCAAACGAAGCAATTAATTATAAGTACTTATAGAAGAATGATCTGGTGTCCCACTAGAACCCCAGGAAGTCTTCAAAGTCCAGTCCCTCCTCCCCTCAATCAGGGGGCAAGTAAAAAATTAACTCCGCAGATGCTCCAAGCCCTTTTTATAATTATTCCAAACTTTAATATTTTCCTCACACAGTCCCGTTTGTCATTATATTCCATATCTATACTCCCATTTTCTTTCCTCTTCACTTGCTGTGAAGAACAAAAAAAAAGACATTCTTGGGGGGAAGGGTTTTGCTGAGTCATTTATGTAACAAAGGATTTATAATGAAGTGATTGGCTTCCCTCCCCAACACATACTGTCTTTAAGCTCGATTGAAGTCATCTTTCCAATTCAAATCTGTACGACCTTGTAGCTATTTCAATTCGGCTGTCCTTAATCTTTTCCCATCATTGCCAGCACGCATCTGTGCATTAATCCTAATTAATCTCTTAATGAACAGAAGAATCACTGCTCTTAATGGTGGCATTGGAGGGTTACTGAGAGGCAAAGTACTTTTGCACTGAGTGTCTCCCTGCTTCCCACATCCATGTCTGAGCGAAAGTCAGGTACCTAGACGATCTGTGAGTGAAGCTCTTTCCCCCAGACCCTGGGGGGAGTTTACAAAGATAATTACCCTCTATCATCTTTGTTTATTGCTTCACCAATGATCTCCTGTGGCCGTGGGAGCTGCGCGATTAAGGAAACCAGAAGCTGAGAACTGGCTGGTCTTGACTAGATGATAAAAGGCCAGTAACAAACAGCATTGCTACCCACGTCCTTAGGAGGGAAGAATTCCCAAGTCAGGGCACAGTCACTGAGACAATCCTGTCCAGCATTGCAAGCAATACTTGCCAGTGGCCCTGTGACCAACCACCCTCCCCACAAGTGGATCTCAAGGCTTGTACTGGCTGAAACAGGAAGACTCACCACCAAGTGTCCAGGTTGTTGTTGTTTAGTCGTTTAGTCGTGTCCGACTCTTTGTGACCCCATGGACAAGAAGTCTTTATATGCCAGCATCAACACATTGAATTGGGCCTGGTATTATATAGGGAGCCAGAACAGATCTGGTGACACGTGGCTTCCCATGGGAGCACCTGCCCAAACTCTAGCAGTAACATTCTGTATTAGTTGCAGTTTCTTGACCATCTTCAAGGGTAGCCCCATGTAGGTGTCTTGAATTGATTCCTGGCTTGTAAGCTTCTTCTCTTTCCTCTTTCCTCTCTTGAGAAGAGAAGAGCTTGAGATAGTTTTTGCTTGATGTGTCATAATTGATGTTTAACTTGTAAAAGCAGTTTTTAAAATTTGATTTTCAAAATTATAAACATACAACAAAAAACAATTCAAAATCCAAATATCGAGATTACTCTGAATCTCATGACTTCCCCCCATCCCTTCCCTGGGTCCTAATGATAATATTTATAACTGCATATCAATATTATCCAAATTTTTATCCTTCTAAATTATCCATACTTTCTGTTACTTTACAAGTGTGGTTAAAATCCTGCTAATGTTTTAATGTTGCAGTGGTCTCTTAAATAAATTATAAACTTTTCCTATTCTTTTTAAAATTTCTTATCTTCTTGGTTTCTGAGCTTCCCAGTTAATTTTTTCATTTCGGCATAGTCCATCAACTTGGTTTGCCATTCTTCTCTGGTCAGGGTTGTCTCTTCCTTCCATCTCTGGGCTAATAGTATCTGTGTGGCTGTTGTTGCATACATAAACATTATTTTCTGGTCCTTTGGTATCTCGGTACCTATAATTCCTAATAGGAGAGCTTCTGGTTTTTTAACAAAAGTTATTTTAAACATTTTTTCCATTTCATTATATAGCATCTCCCATAAATTTTTCGTTACTTTACACGTCCACAACATATGATAAAAGGTACCTTCTTTTTCTTTACATTTCCAGCAAGTAATTGTGCTTGTTCTGCACATTTTTGCTAACTTAACAGGAGTCAAATACCACCGGTACATCATTTTTATGTAATTTTCTTTCAGTGAACAACATGCCATGAATTTCAAATCTGTTTTCCATAGCCTCTACCAGGCCATATTATTTTCTAAAACATCGTTTTGAAATCTTGATAACTCATAACTAAAACCTTTCTTTTTATCTGTCTTTAAAATATCATTTAATTGATGATACTGTAACCAGTCTTTTACCATTTCTCTTATCTCTTCAGAGTCTTTTAATTTTACCTGTTTTTCTACTTCGGTTAACAGCTCTATATATGTTCAATTTTTTTCAAAGATGTTGCTTCTAATAGGGAGAGCCACCACAGTGTTTTTTGTTCTAATGTCTTTATATTTCTCCTATACCCTAAAAATGGATTTTCTTATTATGTGATTCTTTCATACCATAAGTATGCATGCCATGCAAATCTGTTATCATGTCCTTCTAAATCTAAAAAGTCTCCATTTTTCAAAATTATCTATTCCCAGATCCAGCAAATGCAGGATGCCTCATAATATAATTTCGTCATTTCTTATGTGAATGCTCCTTTTAGTTATTGGAAAGGTGGGAAGGTTCCTCTGAAGGAAGATTACAACATTTGGGGTTTTTGGTTTAGAGAAAAGGAAAGTAAGAGGAAGTATGCTAAGCATATTTAAAATATGCACGGCATGGAGAAAGTGGGTGGGGGGAGCTTTTTCACCCTCATAACACGGCAACCTGTGGGCATCCAATGAAACTGAATGTTGGAAAAACCAGGACAAGCAAAAGAAAAGACTTGTTCACACACCACATAGTTAAACTGTGGAATTTGCTTCCACAAGCAGGTAGTCATGGCCACCAACTTGGAAGGCTTCGAAAGAGAATTAGGCAAATTCACAGAGGCTAAGGCTGTCAATGGCTGTCAGCTGTGATGGCCAAGTTTTACCTCCACTGTTGGTAGGCAGTATGTCTCTGGATACCAGCTTCTTGGAATTCTTGGAATTAGCCTCTGTGAGAACAGGATTCTGCCCTCGATGGGTCTGATCCGCAAGGCTGCTCTTATGTTCATGGGGTGGGGAGAGAAGGAGCACAGGTAGAGAATGAAAAAGTAGAACAGAACTTTTCACTGGCTTTTGTGTGTAGAGTGACATTTGTAAGTGAACTGAGTGCTTGGTAGAGCCCAGCATGAATCTACTGTGGAACAAAAGCTGCCCTCTTTTGTTCCCTCTTCTGCATTATGTAGCCCATTGTTGGAAGACTGGGAAGGTGTGGATTAGAGGATTGATTGTGTTTGTGGTGTGGGAGAGAGGCCAAACAGATATATATTATTGGGGGGGTGCGAGAAAGAGAACCCCAGTGGATATATGTATGTAGGAGAAAGGTGTGTGGTTTCAGCCCCATTCATCATGGGCATGTAGTTCCTGAGAAGAGAACTCACAAGGACCCATAGCCTTTGAATTAGAAAAGATTGCCTGCCCCTGCTCTGGCTTTTATGGTCCTGTTTGAGTAAGGAATGCAGAGGGAAATACATGCTTCAGTAAACTCAGTTATTTGGAGCTGTTGCCTTCTTTTCAGTCTGTACATGCTAAAGTCCACCACTGTTCATCTGTGATAAGCTGTGATATAGAATCATAGAATCATAGAATCATAGAATCATAGAGTTGGAAGAGACCACAAGGGCCATCGAGTCCAACCCCCTGCCAAGCAGGAACACCATCAGAGCACTCCTGACATATGGTTGTCAAGCCTCTGCTTAAAGACCTCCAAAGAAGGAGACTCCACCACACTCCTTGGCAGCAAATTCCACTGTCGAACAGCTCTTACTGTCAGGAAGTTCTTCCTAATGTTTAGGTGGAATCTTCTTTCTTGTAGTTTGGATCCATTGCTCCGTGTCCGCTTCTCTGGAGCAGCAGAAAACAACCTTTCTCCCTCCTCTATGTGACATCCTTTTATATATTTGAACATGGCTATCATATCACCCCTTAACCTCCTCTTCTCCAGGCTAAACATGCCCAGCTCTCTTAGCCGTTCCTCATAAGGCATCGTTTCCAGGCCTTTGACCATTTTGGTTGCCCTCCTCTGGACACGTTCCAGTTTGTCAATGTCCTTCTTGAACTGTGGTGCCCAGAACTGGACACAGTACTCCAGGTGAGGTCTGACCAGAGCAGAATACAGTGGCACTATTACTTCCCTTGATCTAGATGCTATACTCCTATTGATGCAGCCCAGAATTGCATTGGCTTTTTTAGCTGCCGCGTCACACTGTTGGCTCATGTCAAGTTTGTGGTCAACCAAGACTCCTAGATCCTTTTCACATGTACTACTCTCAAGCCAGGTGTCCCCCATCTTGTATTTGTGCCTCTCATTTTTTTTGCCCAAGTGCAATACTTTACATTTCTCCCTGTTAAAATTCATCTTGTTTGTTTTGGCCCAGTTCTCTAATCTGTCAAGGTCGTTTTGAAGTGTGATCCTGTCCTCTGGGGTGTTAGCCACCCTCCCAATTTGGTGTCATCTGCAAATTTGATCAGGATGCTCTTGAGTCCATCATCCAAGTCGTTGATAAAGATGTTGAATAAGACCGGGCCCAGGACAGAACCCTGTGGCACCCCACTAGTCACTCTTCTCCAGGATGAAGAGGAACCATTGATGAGCACCCTTTGGGTTCGGTCAGTCAGCCAGTTACAAATCCACTGAGTGGTAGCATAGTCAAGACCGCATTTTACCAGCTTCTTTACAAGAATATCATGGGGCACCTTGTCAAATGCCTTGCTGAAATCAAGGTAGGCTACATCCACTGCGTTCCCTTCATCTACCAGGCTTGTAATTCTGTCAAAAAACGAGATCAGGTTAGTCTGATATATTGTTGGGATCAATCTGTTCTCTCCATTTTCAAGTTTCAGATGCGACACACCTTTATCCTTCATCTTCTCATTATACAAGGAATTGGGACAAATTAGTAGTTGAGATCAAAGAAGAAGAGAAGAATGAAAAGTTGGAGGGGGATGCAGCTTTAAATAAACTGTTCCAGCAGATATACTCTGATGGCACAGATGAAGTGAAACGTGCCATGAACAAATCTTTTGTAAGTTAACATGAGATTTTCTGAGTTGTGTTTAATTTATTATGACTGCAAATGTAACATCAATACCCTTTGACAAGGAAGCCTGCCATAGAATTGTAGAGTTGGAAGGGTCCCTACCAAGGATCTCATGGTCCAACCTCTTGTGATGCAGATATGGCTGTTTCTGAGAGTTGGAGAACCATGAAATAATAGGAAATTATTTTGCAGGTGGAAGGGTGCATTGAACTTCTTAGTTCAGTGCTTAGTGACTGGGCCACTGTGTCTCCTTCTCGCCTGCAGAACTCAGTCTACTTGATTCTTGGATTATTCCTTTTTTTAAATAATCGACAAATGTGTGTTTTCCTGTTTCAGATGGAGTCTGGTGGGACAGTTTTGAGCACAAACTGGTCTGATGTGGGTAAAAGGAAAGTAGAAGTCAATCCTCCAGATGACATGGAATGGAAAAAATTCTAACTTTTTCATGTGCCGCTTTGTGCTGCCCATATTTGTGTATTTACCATTGTGTGTGGACACAGCATCCTTGAAGCTGAAGCACTGAATGTTCATTTGAAGATTATTCCTGTCATCTTACCTTGATATGCTCTAGGAATACCTTTCTCTGCAGGTCTTAGAGGAATTGAAGTCTCTTACTGCTTCTGTCCTTGAAGGGGTTTTTTGGGGAGATAATACGAACCTATCATTCGTACATTTTCTGCTGGATTGCTTTCTGCTTTCTGCTTATGTATTTGGAGAGTTAGCAAGACTTTTAATGGGCCACCTAGGATTATTGCCTTATTAATACACAAAAATTCTTTAAATAATTTATTCGCTTTGATGATTTTGGGGGTAAATACACTTTTCACCTACAGTGTTAAGATTGTTTGCTGTTTAACTCTGCATACAAATAAAACTGTAAATATATAACTTTTCCAAAAATATCTTAGGCTCATTCTTTGTCAAACTAAAACAGTTGCAGAAAGCAATTTTTTTTTTATAAGATATTTATTGAGATTTTCAAAATATTACAAAATAAAAATAAAAAAAGAAGAAAATACAAATTAAAAATAGTTAAAAACAACTCAATCTTTCCATTACTTATTTTTCATTAGCTTGCATTTTTTGAGTTACGTAGCCTGTGGATAGGCCTCCTCTGTGCTAAAATTAGGATCTTAGTACCTCAGTACCTCAGTGGTACCTCAGTTTAAGAACAGTCCGGTTTACGAACTCCGCAAAACCGGAAGTGGTGTCCTGGTTTGTGAACTCTAAGAATGGAAGCCAAATGGTGGAAGGGTGGCAGGAGGCCTCATCAGGGAAAGCGCGCCTCGGTTTAAGAACGGGTTCAGTTTAAGAATGGACTTCCGGAACGGATTAAGTTTGTAAACTGAGGTACCACTGTACCTCATTCGATTTACAATAAAAGTAACAGACATTGCTCTATAGGCATTATACATAGTGTATTTTTATAATATAATAGAAATAAACAGAATATGCACATAACAAGAGGCTAACCACCATATCATAACCACCGTATATGATATCTATCCCGCGAGCCCACACTGCTGTCCTTCTCCCATGCAATCACATGGAACGGCATTGAGTTTCACCTTCCTTCCATCTTGACTTATTACTGTGGGTGAACCAGGGTTCATCTCTTATAATAAAAGTGGGTCAGTTTCACAACAAGCCAAGTTCAGACTATGAGTTACGTTTGATAGGGGAACGGACTCCCTCGGGAGGTGGTGGACTCTCCTTCCTTGGAGGTTTGTAAGCAGAGGCTGCATGGCCATCTGTCTTGGATGCTTTAGCTGAAATTCCTGCATTGCAGAGGGTTGGACTAGATGACCCTTGGGGCCCCTCCAAACTTTACAAAGCTTTATGAAGCTGATTTGTTACACTAACCAGAGTTTGTTATTTCCCATAGCTCAATAATAAGCCAAGGTTCAATAAAAGCAAAACTAAACACTTGCTTTAACGGTCTGCCTTATGGGAATCCTTTGAAGCAAGAGGATGTTCAGAAGTAGATTGTACAGGGTCCAGGGTGGGGGCAAGATAGAAAAATGCACAGTGAGTGTGTTGAAGCCCTTGGGGACAAATGGCACATTGTGTCTTAGGCTCTGGTATCATTCCCTTTCCCAAGATCAAACTTCAGCCCCAAAGGTGTTCTGTTAATTTCCTAGACTGGGAAAGTGAATTGAGAGTCCCGTCCCCCCACTGCTGCCCTCGGACTATGTACAGTTTTGTTTTGTCCCTCTGTTACCTCTGGTCAAACAGGTTTGGCAGTGTTTTGAAACAGAACACACATCTCCAGAACCTGTTTACCACTAGGGAAAGCAGATTGAGTCTATGCATTGTGAACAGAAAAGTCTCTTTCAAATCATCTGCAACTGTCTGAGGGGCAGGGACACACACAGGTTGTTGGGGTTTTGGAGGGGGGATTGTTGCTGTTGATTTTTTGTATATTTTAGATTTTTTGATTTATGTGGAAATCGTTCAGTTTGATTTTGTATTATGTTTTAGTTACTGCTTACAGCTGCTTTTGTTATGTTTTGGGGTTTTTTTCATGTTGTAAGCTGCCTTGAGCATGGTTTGAGCATGGAAAGGTGGCCTACAAATAAAATTATGTACATATGTATGTATGGATGTTCTAATTCAGTTGTATCCTTTTTTGAGATCTAGTCAGTTCATTACAAATATAAGTCCAATGAGGCATTAAGCATTTGATTGTCTATAAATAATTGTTGAATAGACATATATGGGGGAGGGGGGGAGGTCACTGAAATGGAACTACCAGTAGATGAGTTTTCTACTTCTATTAAATGTTTTTCAGCTTCAGGTTTTGCACAAAGCATTGCAATGTTTTCTAAGACTTTGCTTTGAATTGTTCATGTAGGATTGAAATGTAGTGATTGAAAGGAGGCGTATTATTGAGTTTTTTAAAAAAACATTTCAGTAAAGATTTCCTGACGTGCACATAGTTTTTGCATATATGGAGGTATCCACATATCAAAGTGAATAATGCATATTAGCAAGTTTTCTATAATGAACAGCTAAAGTTCATTCTTGTATGGAAAAAAGCATCCACATAGATAAAAACAATGCAAAGCCTCTTAACAGTTTTCAGCTTCATTTAAATATGTTTTCACATATTTGCCTTTACTCACTTAGCTTAAGGCAAAATAATTGCATTTGGCCTTTGAGGGAAATATAATGCATATATAATGGTTTTGCCTCAAAGTAAAAACTTGTACTAGTCAAACTATAAAACGTCCCATCCTTCTCAGATGTCTCTCTTAATGCTACAACATATAAAATTCTTTTATACCGTATTACAGGGTAATGTGGTTCAGTGGACTAATTGTGACAGCAGAACTGCTCATACTTTAATTATACTTTAAACATTAACTTAGAAACAAGCACATTGACATTTGATCTTTGGGGTGTCTTGCCCTCCAGGGCTAGGAAGCAGTCTCCTGAAGATGTTCCAGAAGGGATGGGACCACCCTTGTGTCGTGGAGGCAGCATCCTCCACAACACAGGAGCTCCAGTGCTGACCAGATTACAGTGGTACCTCTAGTTATGGACTTGACCCGTTCCAGGGTGCCATTCGCACCCCAAAAAGTCCGTAAGTAGAACGCTGCTTCTGTGCACGCGTGCAGTGTGATAGAGTGCTTCTGCGCATGTGCAAAGTGTGCAGAACGTTTCTGCGCACACACAAGTGGGAAAACCCGCTTGTATACACTTCCGAGTTTGCCGCGTTCACAAGGCGAAAAGACGCAACATGAACCTAACGCAACACGGGGTATGACTGTATTCCCAACTCGGGGAGGAATCCAACGGCAATATCCTCTGGTGGCCCAGTTGTGCTTCCTGCCACTTCTTCCCTCTCATCCAGAGCTGTAGGACAGATTGTGGGAGGCAGCACCCTGTGTGTTTCTCCCACCCCCAGGGATGAAGTCAATGAAAACCCACAGGGCCAATGGAGGAGGAGGAGAGGGTCTGGGTGCCCTCAGCCTGCCACAGGCAGGAATGACCAGCTCAGTGAGTGAAATCACATGTATTGTCCTCATCCAGTTACCGCATTTTTCGCTCTATAGGACGCACTTTTTTCCCTCCAAAAATGAAGGGGAAATGTGTGTGCGTCCTATAGAGTGAATGCAGGCTGCGCGGCTAAGCCCAAAGCCAGAACAGGGAGACGGAGCGCCCTGTCTCACTGTTCTAGCTTAGGGATGGCTGCGCACAAAGCCTCTGCAGGGCAGCGGGGTGCCTTCACCCCGCTGCCCTGCAGAGGCTAGAAAGGCTGTTCCCAAGCCAGAACAGCTTGGGGATGGCTGCGCAAAGCTATCCCTGAAGCCTTTGGAGCACAGCGGGACCTCGCGCTGCGCTCCAAAGGCTTCAGGGATCTTTGAGGCTGGCGGTGGGGGAAAGCCGCCAGCCCCAAAGAGCAGGTCAAAAGGAACCTGAAGCCTCCAGAGCGCAGCGGGAACTCCCGCTGCGCTCCGGAGGTTTTGGGTGAATGCACCTTAAACGCACCTTGTTTTAGAGGGGGAGAACAAGAAAAATCCCCCCCCCCCTGTTCTCCCCCACCTATGGTCCAGTGCGTCCTATAGTAGGCAAGCTTTGCTTGAAAACTTTATTTTTAAAAAATAAATTTATTTTTCATTAATAACAATGCAATGGAGGCCACATTAATGCAATGCCAAATTATGCCAAATCACAATACAATAAAAAAGCCAATTAAACAGTTCCGAATTAAACATAAACTTCCCATGTTCTGGCTATCATTGATGTCATTCCTTGGTCCTGCACAAATTCTCTTAATTAGTCCCAAATTCCACAATTCTGATCTTAATCCCTTGTTCTAGCAGCCACTGATGTGATAACTTTCGATCGTGTTTAATAAATCCAAATCCATTAACTTGCAGAGGGAATTTATATCCTTTAGCTGTGTGAAATATTTGTTTACCTTCTTTTCCTTCATGTTGTAATCAGTCAGTTTTCTTCCACATTGCCCCTCCTTCCAAAACTCATTTGTAAGCACCCCACAGCTCCATTTTGCCTCTCTGAACTGAAAGCACTCCAGCGTCTGGCCGCGACTTCTGGTTAACTTCCAGTGTTTCTCTCCTTCTTCTAACGACTGGCATCTCACCAAAACCATAATAAATCAGAACTAGAGCTCTCTTTAGTTGGCAATGTTACAAATCATCACAGTATTTCACACAGTCTGTTCTTTCAAGCACTCTGTAAAGAAAATTATAAGTTCCTGTTGAATCCCTCTTGCATTCCATGTATAGTTGTAATCCATTAGTACAGTGGTACCTCGGGTTAAGTACTTAATTCGTTCCGGAGGTCCGTACTTAACCTGAAACTGTTCTTAACCTGAAGCACCACTTTAGCTAATGGGGCCTCCTGCTGCTGCCGCGCCGCTGGAGCACAATTTCTGTTCTCATCCTGAAGCAACGTTCTTAACCCGAGGAGAAAGGAAAAAGGAAAGAGGGGGAGGGGATCAAGTTGATTCCAACTTGGTATAGAGAAACAAGGTATAGGGGAAATGAGCAAATTTCAGGAAACAGATAATATTAACTCACATGGGCCAAAGCACAAGATTGTTAACGTGATACATCTCAGGGCTTTGTCCTGTGTGGTGGCCTCTTCCCACAAAATCACAAGGACCTTCATGAAGTAATTTCTAACTATTGGATTGGATCTTGTACCCAAGTTGCTGGCTACAAGAGTGGGAGGAGCTCCACTCTGCTCTTCCCCTGCTTTCCCTCCATTGCCCTATGTCTCCTGCCCCTCTTGAACTCCGACTTGCTGAAGTACAGGTCCTTACAGACATGGAAATTTTAAAACAAATTTCACTGCAGTGTGGTTGATTGTATATGATTGAGGAATATGACAACCGTGAATGTGCACTAAAGGCAAAAATTATGCTCAACAAAGCATCCCCTGTGTGAGTGCCTGAGGGCCCTGCGCTTGCCACTTACCATCTGGCCTGGGGCGGGGCCTGAAGCCTCACAAGGACTGCTCTGCTGCCCAGGAGGACTCCCCTGTGTGAGTGCCTGAGGGCGCTGCTCTTGCCACTTACCATCTGGCCTGGGGCGGGGCCTGAAGCCTCACAAGGACTGCTCTGCTGCCCAAGAGGACTCCCCTGTGTGAGTGCCTGAGGGCGCTGCTCTTGCCACTTACCATCTGGCCTGGGGCGGGGCCTGAAGCCTCACAAGGACTGCTCTGCTGCCCAGGAGGACCCCCCTGTGTGAGTGCCTGAGGGCGCTGCTCTTGCCACTTACCATCTGGCCTGGGGCGGGGCCTGAAGCCTCACAAGGACTGCTCTGCTGCCCAGGAGGACTCCCCTGTGTGAGTGCCTGAGGGCCCTGCTCTTGCCACTTACCATCTGGCCTGGGGCGGGGCCTGAAGCCTCACAAGGACTGCTCTGCTGCCCAGGAGGACCCCCCTGTGTGAGTGCCTGAGGGCCCTGCTCTTGCCACTTACCATCTGGCCTGGGGCGGGGCCTGAAGCCTCACAAGGACTGCTCTGCTGCCCAGGAGGACTCCCCTGTGCGAGTGCCTGAGGGCCCTGCTCCTTCCTGCCACTTACCACCTGGCCCAGGGCGGGGCCTGACAGGCCTCACAAGGACTGCTCCTGCCACCTACTATCTGGCCCAGGGTGGGGCCTCACAAGGACGGTTGTTGCCACTGATGCTGCTACTGCCCAGGAGGACCCGGAGGGGTGCAGAGTTCTTTTAACATGTTTTAAAATCTCCCTTTCCCTTTAGATTTTTTATATATGGAGGTGGGAGGGATGTTTGGGTGGGCTTGGGAATTTGTTAGATTTTGATGAATTTGTAATTTTTGTAGTTTTTATTTGTATTGTTTTATTGTTTTCTGGGTTGTTTTTGTTTTTTGTTTTTATTGTTTTAAGGTTTTATTGTTTTAGGCTGCGAAAGAATAACATTAATTGCCATCAATGGAGGCTACTATGAGGCTTGGGATTGCTACCGTGGAGGGGCGAGGGAGGTATGGCGGTGGGGGCAGATGTTATAGGCGAAGGGGATCGAGATATGGATATGCTCGTACCTCTTCCAATCTGCTCTTCATCCCAAAGGACGAGGGTAGGGTGAGCAAGGATTACTCACCTCCGTCACTGGTGCTGTGCAATGCCAGGTCTATAGGCAACAAAACTGCTACCCTGCGATATTTCTTTATCTCGCAGGGGGTCGACCTGGCTTGTGTGACGGAGACCTGGGTGCGCGAAGGGGCAACAGTTACCTTACGAGAGATGGCGCCCCCGGGTTTCTCCGTCCCCCACCAGTTGCGGACTGTGGGCCGGTGGGGAGGGGTGGCATTATTAATCCGGGAAGATTGTCCTTTCAGGTCTCTACCATCGCCATCGATCTCCGGCATTGAATGTGTTGGCCTAGTGTGGGGCTCCGAGGAGAGCTTGGCTGTGTGGCTGGTGTACCGGCCACCTAGCGCACCAGCAGCCACCCTGACAGGCCTATTGGAGGCGGTGGCCGGCTGGGCCTTGGAGTTCCCTAACCTATTGGTATTGGGGGACTTCAACATCCATGCTGATGCCACTCCCTCCTCACAGGCTCTGGACCTGGTGTCTTCCATGGCAACACTAGGGCTCTCC